TCAATGTAACGTCCTGTGTTGCCAGGGGGAAGAGTTTTCCTTCAATCTACAAGATGCATGCAAATCCGACGTCTTGGCGCTTTCGTCATGCCCAGCACACAGGCACGCATGCGCGTCAACGTTTCCTATTCGCGGGTTTTTGCAGACAAGATGAGCAAGATCAACCATCCCTTCCCAGGGCAAGGCATCCAGCCGCCCGGCAGGCATTCAGAGGCTTCCGGCAGGCATCAAGAAGCTGCATCCTCTGCTTCATCTGCATCTGAGTGGGGGAGGGGGGGTCCGAAGTTACAGCCGGCCGCATGCACTAAGACCAGCTAAAATTGACCGCTCTGGAAAAGCCGCGCGCCCCACGAGAACTCCAGCATCACCCCTGTATCCCCCTGTATCAACAATGCACCTTCCAGAACTCTTTGGGATGCAGCTCGCGTGCCTTGGTCGTTTGCGGCGTACACCCTTTTCGCCAAATTACCACTTTAGACGGGAATGGGTCTCTGGCTAGCTGGCTAGTGCTTCTGTGTCCGTTCGCACAGCGCGGATGCATACCGCCAGCTGGCGATGTCACGGTGTGGCCAGGGCATGCCCAAACAGGCATGCCGCCATATTAGGGGATCGTCAAACACGGCGCACCGATTCGCGCGCCTTTTGCTCTCCTTTCTTGTCTTGCGCCTCCGTTGCCAACTTTATCTTACATCTACGAACTTGGCATTGCGGGGGAAATGGCGACGGCGTGCCGCCTTTCCCCCCCTGCTCAGCCGCCCAGGGCGTTTCAAGAGAGCTTTCAGCATCCCGGTCTTCCCTTGCTTGCAACATCCAGCCCTTCCGGGATGTTCCATTGACCGTACCAAAACACACCTACCTACATGTACGAGTATTCCGCACTGCACACGCCGGCAGTCGCCAGATGGATGCGAACATGTTCCGCTCTATAACCGACCTGCATTTGTGCGCCAGCATATGTCGTCTCGACAGCCGAGCTGTCCAGGTTTCTGGCGAGGGGTGTTTCTGGACGACAGGAACTCCCCGTTCGGACGTCTGGTCGCCGAGCTTGCAACCAATCACCACCCTGGTTTGACCTGTTTGGGGCAAGTAGCAAGCAACTGCATCGATAAGACGGGCAGAGGATCGGCAGCCTTCTTTCTCTTCCCTGCATGCTTCCATTGCACTCAAGCAATTCCGCCCACACCACCCTGCTGCTCATGTGATGCGCAATCTCTTTGCTGTCCTTTTTTCCATCAAATCGCAGGATGACAATCGCGAGGATCCCCAGTCCCAACAGCGTCCGGCCGGTGGTCCGGCGGCACGCGGCGGCCCTGGTGCACTTTGTGAGCCACCACCCATCTCGAAATTGCGGTCACCGACGCCGCGCTTTGACGAAGGACATCCAACCACAATCTAAGTCGCGTTACGGTTGCCTTTCACTGCTATGGAAAATATGATGTGTCATGACGAATTCCCTCCCTATGCAAAGCAATCTGCAACACGCTGTCGCTGTCCAGTTTCAGTGCACCACCGCTGACAAGTGGAATATTGAAGTTATTTTCTAGGACCCTTACTAACGTTGAAGTCATGACGACGTAGCACCGGTACCTAGTGTACCTAGTGCGCTAACCCCCATCATATCATGCGGGATTGTCGTTTCGCTACTACCTTGCCTCCACGCGGCGTGTCCTTTCTTGCTTGTCATACACACCATGGCTGCATCATGCTCTTTCTTTCCAAGGATGGCTTATATCATCACCGACATGGTAGGAGCCTTCTTCTATTTTGTCTTTTGACATGTGCAACGGACATGGCTCGGTGAGACTCGGAGAACTGCCGGTGTGGGGTGCACGTGCCGCTGTCGTATGGCGTTGACCGGGACAGGATCAAGGTGAGGTGAGAGCAGGCCATGACACGCTGGCACTTGGCAACCTACGGAGTAGTATCTACACCTTGACTATCACAGCCAGTTGTGGGGATTGCTCTGGTCCTTACTCGCTCTCTGTCGTCTCGTTTTCAAAGTGAAACGCAGCCGCAGGCCATGTCGCCCGTTGTCGACCAGAAATGTGCTGCCCGGGCGGTTTTACACCTGGGGGCACTGGGGCGGAAACCAAGCATCCGGGTCCCCACCCCCCTCTGCAACGACATGGACCATCTCGCCGTTGTCGACCAGAGTAAGTTGTGAATAAGTTGTCTGGGCACGACCTGGGATGGAAAACTTTCTCTCCGGATTCTCCCACCCCTCCCCCTTCCTTGGTCCTTGGGACTCGGGACAACGAGAGAGAGAGGTAGATATACCCTTTCCCGGGGATGGGTGCAAGCATCCGCCCTCCCCATCCCAGAAACAGAAAAGAAGGCATCAGCCAAGGCCCTACGACAGAAAGCCTGTGAGGCTCGATTCGCTTTTCCCACTTCTCCCAACTCAACTCTAATCAACCCCCATTTCGGATTGCAGTAATTAGCGCCAACGGACAGCGAACAGAGTGCATCGCTGATTGCACTAGACTGCGGGGTAATGGAAAGCAACGAGACCACCATGACCTGCACACTTTTTCACCACAACTTCAATAGCTAGCTTGGGCTGTGCGAAGAAGCACAGGGAGTTGGGTGTATGCTGGTGGTGCTGCAAGTGCTGCTGCATGTGGGCAAGGACAACAAGAAACGTACTTGTACGTAGCGTTTGGGTACGGAACATGCCGGTTTTGGCCTGCTCCTCCAAGTTTTCCCCACCGTCCCAGTTGCAGGCCCGGCCTGCAGCCCACACGCATCTTTGTGTTAGCTAACACCTACCTAGTTGAACACCAACACCCGGTCCACACTCTTAGTTGAGGCTTGGGCTTTTGTTTTTTTTTTGGAGTCGTTTCTTTGAGGGAGAGGAGATTCTTCGCCTCCTTCCCCCGGCGGCGTCCCATCCCATCCCTCGAAACATGGTGGCGGCTGTGCGACCCCTCCCCTCCCCTCCCCTTTCCGCCATTTCCTCACGCAAGGACCCGAATAGGTAGATGCAGGTTCCGTATCACCAGCCTCACTCTTCGCCCCCCCCTCCCCCGCGCGCGCCGCCGCCGTGAGCCAGTTTTGTCTCGTGTGTCTTGCCCCGGGGGGGTTTCGGATCTCCTGCGCTGCGCAAACATGTATGATTGGGGGGGGTGTGGGGTCACGCGAGAAATGGAGTTGAACACGCTCGATCACAATTGCCCCCCCCCGAGTTCACCTTTTTCACGTGTCTGTGCGGTGGCAGCGTTGCGTTCAAGGTTACGTACGTACGAACGAAGCTAGGTAGGGAGTAGGTAGTTGGAAAGAATGGGCGCCCGGAAATGGAACTCGAAGGGAGATTTGGGGAACAATGAAGGGCAATGCAAAAGGCACGTGGCAATGGCACCGATCTGGCTGCCCCATCCCTGTCTGTCCCTATTGTTCGCCCAACTGGCATTGGAATGGCGTCTTTTGCACTCGGTAAAGGCACACAATGTAATAACCGGTCATTTCACACACTCCACGGAGGAAGTAGCTAGTAGCGGTAAGGTATGATGAAGAAGAATTGGAATTCTAGGCGGGTAGCCCAACCTAATTAAAAGGAAATATCTCTCAACTGTTGTAGACAAATCCCGCCCGACTTTACCCACTGGGTTCTGCAAGTCTGGTATCTCTTTGTGATGCACATAAAAAAAACAACAAACAACAAAGTTGAATGAACCCCCCCCCCCATTCCAAAAGAAGCAAGATGACACCGCACACCAAACGGATATGGATAAAGAAGACCCTTGAAGGTTTTCCCCTTGTTGGTACATGCTCCTTTTGTGTTTGTCTGCTGTTCTAAAAGCGCCAAAATGGTGTAATCCGACCCTTGATCTAATGCGGCTTCCTCTAATCAAAGCCAAAAAAAAAAAAAAAAAAAAACGCAAACACACAACGCGCGCGCGATATTGGAGTGATTCCCTCTACTCCCCTCCCGAGGTATAGAACAGTTGTTGATTATGAAAATGCAGAGAAAAAGAGAAAAACAACAAAAACAAGCAGTAAAGCCAGGATGGCCCTGTCCAAGGGCAGGCTAGTGTGTCTGTTTCCACACCAAAAAATGGAATGCTTTGCCCTCCCTCCCATATAAGCGCCTGCAAAACAAATGTGATGGTGGATATGATAGAAACTCCTCTTTCCCAGAATAATGAAGAAATCCGATACAACGACAGCAGGCTGAGTGAGGTGCTTTGCAGATGAAAATGAGTGGCTGTAAAAAAACGAAGTGCGCGGAATTGGAGCAAGGCGAGTTTTGCGAGGCGGAAGAAGCTGAAAAACGAGAAAGTTGCAGATAAAAAAAAAAGCAAAGTCGGCTTCGGTAAAGAGTAGAGGTCTCTGGTGGTTGGAGGGCGAGGGGCATCCCAAAAAAAAGCAACACCAGCTGTGTCGTTTTGTTTCCCCGACTTTCCGCGGAGTTGGACTGACCAGAAGAGACGGCATGTGCATGCCTCTGTCTGTCTCTGTGCGACCGCGGGAAGGATACAAGACCAGCCCGAGGTCTTATTCCCCTGCCGCTCTGCAGCGGTGGCGCTTTGCTTTGCGTGATGCGATGCAATGACCTTTTTTTTCCCGCCTCGGACGCGTGTTTGTGGCACGCACGCGCCGTCTCCGTTTGTGCGAGGGAGGATCTGCATGTCTCTTCTGCAGTCTGGGCCCGGGTGGTTTGGACCGGGAGCAGACGTGACAAACATCGATGCAGGAGAGAACGAGACAGGCAAACGGGTGGGTGTAAGCGCGCGATCGGCGTCCCTGCCTCCCGCGTCTCGCGAATGTCTCTTTCCTCTCTCTATCTCGTCCCCGCACGCAAAGACACGGCGAGCCGCCGACGTCGAACCACCTTTCTCACACGACCACTGCACTCGTTGTTCGCAGTGACGTGGCGGCTGTGCGTGTGGCGGTCGCACAAGGGCGTCGGCTGGCTCGGGGCGGGATGGTGGGCGCTGCCCTTCTTTTTTTCAGTGATGCGGACCTCTTAGTAGTGATGCCGTGTAGACCGCGCGCCCGGTTCAGAGCGCAGGCGACTGCGGGTAGTAGACCGGGTACATGGGCCACGACTGCTGCGCGACGTAGTGCCCAGGCATGGTCGAAGGGAGGCCAGGGGCGTACCCAGAGTCTGTTGTTGGCGAAACGCGGTTCTCGGTTAGCGTTGGGAACGGAACCATGGCAGGACCAAACACGATACCGGGGGAGAGAGAGCAAACGTCAAGGGAGAGAAAAAGACTTACCACTGTCGATGTCGTCAAACTCGCTGTCGTGGCCCTTGACAAAGGGCATCGACGTGGGCATGCACGACGTGTCCAGGAGCGGGCCGACCGTCGTCGGGATGTAGCGGTACTCGTCGTTGCCCGTCGACGAAGGGCTCGACACGGTCGACGGCACGGACACGGGCAGGACGGCGGACCACGGCTCGCGGGGCTCCGAGGTGGGGATGTACGAGACGCCGTTGCTGAAGTCGCCAGAGTTCTGGCCGAACGACGAGGCCCGGCTCGAGACGCCGGAGCTGGGTGCGCCGGCCATGTTCTCTTCACCAAGGGCCTTCATGTCAGCCACCCATCACTCAAGATCGGTCGACCACGGGGAGGAGGATTCTGTCTTATCTTACCGGGAGGAGGGTAGTGCTGGGACGTGGTGGGGGGCATGCCAGCGCCGACCTCGCGCAGCTTGTCGCTCAGGAACTGGATCTCCTTCTCCAGCGCGCGGTTCTTCTTGAGCAGGTTGTTGACGACGTCGTCGCGGCTCTGCGCGCCGCCCGACTTGAGCTCCTCCAGCTCGCGCTCGAGCTTCTCGATGTGCTCCTTGGTGCGCGCCCTGATGGCGCGTTGCGCCTCGCGGTCATTGGCGCGTTTCCTGGCCAGCTGCGTGGGCGTGAGGGTCGAGACGCTGCGGGTGCCTAGGGGAGGTTGTTCAGTCAGCATGTGGGATATCGAAGGGTGAGTGAGGGCCCGTGAGAGTGAGCTTGTATGGTGGTGGTGGAGGACGCAAGGGTCCAAAAGTGGGCTTGCTAGGAGGAGGAGGGGTCAAGAGGAGAGAGAAATCACATACCTTTCCGCTTGGTGGTCTTGGTGGGCTCGTTTGAAGGTGACGAAGGCATGGTCTTGGTGGCGAGGGGTGTTGTGTGTAAGAAGTGGTTATTCAGGTAAAGATGGGAGGTAAGGGCCATAGCACAGGAAGAATGGCTGGCTGTGTTTGTGTGTATGAGAGAGAGAGAGAGGAGAAGAGAGGCAAGAGAGGAAAGTTGATGAAGAGAGTAGTGATGATGATTCTTCCTTGGATGTCGAGGAGGCGATGATCTTGATCATTTTATCCACAAGACGGAGTCCTGGGCAGGGTCGTGGGGACCTTATATGAGATCTATGGATCTTTGCCCCATAACCTGACTACCAACTAGACCCTGCCGGCAGGACTACGTCTTCTCGCAGAGGAAGTGGATGTGTGCAGGGGTGGCCGTCAGGTACTGCATTCCAGTGAGATAGACTAGCTACCGACTGCGTCTAAGGATCGAGAGGTAGAGAGAGAGAGAGAGAGACGAGAGTACCTAAGAGGGCCCCCGGCATGGCACCTGACAACGAGAGCCGGGCAAGGCTGCTAAACCACTTTGAAGTGTACAAAGTCGAGATCCCGAAGAAAGGTGTGTCTTTAGGGTGGCTGGGGATGAGGTAGTGGAGGGGGGGTGTGTCTTAGTCGACCAAGACCCACCGCACCGCAGGAGCCGGGATATCTCCGTTGGAAGCCAGAATGGAGACGGCGAGGGACCAGACCACTCACACACCCTCCTCTACGATCCAAGACCCCCTCTAGGTAGTGGCCTGGTCTGGCGCGGATGCAAGAAGTCACTGTACAGCAGGGTCTGCTGCTGCGGGCTGCCAAGTGACGTCTAGACAGTGCTGGCCCCCGATTGACTTTTTGATCTGGTCGAGACATGACGGCCCAATCACAGGCCCCGGTCCTTGGTGTGCCATTCGGCCTTGGGCCCGGCAAGGATTCTCTGGAATTAGAGTTCTCACTAGCTGCGAATCAGTGCTAGCACGGCTCCCCTCCAGAGCCCAAGTACACGACCCAGACCGCCTGCTAGGACTGAGGTCGGGCTGCTGCACGGCGTGCTAGCAAGAATACCTCGACTTGACCTGGATAACGCCGAGCGAAAGGGAGCAAGCCCTCAACTCTACCCTCTGTGCGATCGATAGGTTTAGCGGGAAACAGAGGCGATGGAGAATGTACTTTGGGCGAGCCCATCTGGGCTAAATATCAGGAGAGGCATAGCGTACAACGGCAGTATCAACAGAACTGTGCAGTAGTGCCGTCTTCCTCAGCGAGCGTGGAGGGTACACCCTCTCGTAAGCAGATTCCTAACGAATGAAGGGTACACCCTTTCGTAAGCAGGCCAGGCCCTAACGGGGACGAACGGGCTGCAGCGAGCGGCGGCCTTCTTTGCCTGCGTTCCAGGCTCCCACCGGACACGGCGGCCGAGGCAACACGAGGACGCTGTCATCACTACACACCTGAAAATTCTCCGCGCTGCTCTAGGTGTGAGAAGAACTGAGCGGCAGCCTCCCCGCTCTAGGGGGCCTGTTGAGCCGTTCGAAAAGCCCCAGCCACCCCGAGAATCCAAGGGTCTCACGGTGGTAGAAGGTTCTCAAGCTAGCTGATGATGATGATGCCGACTCTTCCCTCGAGCCGAAACTATCCCGATGGCCTGAAAGCGATGTGTATTGTTGGAGCAGTTCAGCAGCATTGCCTCTTTAGCGAGAAGGGTGAAGGACGTACCCTACCTAGTGGCTCGACCGCAAAAGTTTGCTGGAACCTGAAGGCTCTGGAATGCTGCCGTGTCCACATGTACCTATCACGGCGCTGCAGATGTCTCACATTGCGTTCTTTTGGGTTAGCGCGCCAGGCACGCATTCTGCAGTCCTGTGCGAAAGTGGTAAAACGCAATGGGCAGCATTTGCACAGAAGCAGACAGTTGATTACTGGATTTGGAAGAGATGTCTAAATTTGCGGTTATCATCAATGCTAATCTCATGACCATGACGTGTTTAGCTGGAGAAGCCGAAAGGACGATCCCGTTTGCGCCTTGAAATGCGATGCTTCGATGCTTCAAGATGAGATAAGAGTGTCTTACCACCAAGTGATCGCCAGGCTTGAACGGCGGCGGATGTGTTGATCCCAGACTATCCTCCTCACTTCGCACGTAGTCTGTGAACTCCCCTCGCATACAGAGACGTAGGTAGGTAGAGATCGTGGTGCAAGACTGAGGGGCATCCGCTTAATCCAAGCCAAAGAGCCACTGATCTGCCCGCCAAGGAGTGGAGTGGCCCATCAAGCGAGCGGATCGTTCAGATCTTAGCTAGGTGCGGCCAGCTTGAGGCCCCATAGGAAGCTGGAGATCGAGGGATAGCCTTAGGATCCAAGGTTAGGTTTGCTCGGGCTGTGGATTAGCCTCAGCATCGACAGCCACTCAACGTTGTGGCTTTGCCCATCAACTCAACTGTCACTCGCCTCGAGTCAGCAGGCGATAAGAGAATGAGCGGAAAACGGCCCGCGAAACTGAGAGTGACTGATGACAGATCTATTTTGACTGGAATGTAAGGTCCACTCTCGGTGGCTCGACGGACGAGGCTTGATCGTATGAGCAGCCACACTTCCCCAGCCTCGTCGTTTTTCTCAGCCCGGTTGCGCCTGACGACTGGCGTGTCATTCACATTCCAACGCCACACTGAGGCTTGTGGAATGTCTCTGGCCAAGGTCCATTGTCGGCAGTTGTCGGACTGGAATTCGCTGCTCCTTTGTTCGATCACGATGCCACCTCTGGGCCCTCCTCGTTTTTGACAGCTTCGACCAGCTCTTCCATACCACCAACTTCCACAGGCCCACTCGTGCCTTGGGGTGGAAGAGCCCACTTTGGCAGCGGACTGGTGTAGGACCACTTCCCGTCCGCATCCTCATACCGCAGGCTGTGAAGCCAAAGCGCCAGCTCGTGCTCGCCAGGATCTGTGTAGAGCGGTGCGTCGCACAGCTCGCAGAGTGCGCCGGACATTTTCTCCGCCTTCTTTTCGTGGTATTTGTCGACCATCTCGTCGTAATAGGCCACGGCGTCCGCAACCTCTTCCTTGCCCATGCGCGCCAGCCTGGTCATGATGTCGTCGTCAGTGTTTTTGCTAGCATCAGGATCGTCCCGCCCAAGGTCGATGCCCCACACCCTCTGGTTGGCATAGATTGGGTCGTTCTCAATCGGATGGCCCAGGTGCTGGAGATGCACCCTGAGCTGGTGCGTTCTACCCGTCACTGGCATACAGCGCACAATTGAGTAGCCCTGCTTGGCTTTCCACGGCTGCCCAGCGCGCTCCGCCTCGGAGAGCGCTTCTGCCGTTGGGCCGCCTTCTCCGGAGCCTGACGCTTCCGGGGGATAGTACGCAAGCCTCTTGAATACGGTTCTGGCATGCCTGCCATTAGCTCTCACGCGGTTGAGCCCTAGCTTGGGCGATATCTGTAAAATAGGTTGATTGCAAACAACCTCGCCATCCGGAAACTTTCCGATGACACGGGCCACATACTCCTTCCTCACGGATCGCGACTGGATCTGGGTGCTGAGACGCTCGGCCGCCTTTGGGGTTTTGGCAATGAACATGATGCCGCTGGTCAAGCGGTCCAGTCGATTGCAAGGGTAAGGAATCCATTCCGGCCCTCGCTCAGACTTCATGATCTCCACGACGGAATTAAAGTTGTAGCGGCCTGCGGGATGGACGGGAACACCGGCGGGCTTGTTGATAACGACCATCTCGTTATCCTCGTAGATGATGCCCACGGGATCTTGAGTCACTGGCGGTTCATGACGATGCAGAGTATGAGACACCATCTCGCCGTTCTTCAGTACATGATCGGGCCCAACGACCTTGCCGTTGACGAGCACCAGGCCCCTCTCCATGGCCGATCTGTAGTACGCCAAGGGCCTGTCCCGGAATTCACTCTCGAACACATCGATCAGGACCCGGCCACGCCACCTCTCCTTGACCCAGGTATTGTAGGTATAGTAATACGGCTCGACACGCCGCAGGCCACCCTCAAAGAAGTACGGTCTCGGCCAGGGGTCACCGCAAGGGGTGGTCAAGGTGAGCCATGGGTGCTTGTAGGACTTTTGGCGTGGCTTGGTCTGCGGCTTTCGGATGGGAGCAGTTTCTTTCGGAGGCTTGTCCACCGTCTCTATCGACAGCTCCTCGAACGCCCCGACTGGCAGTTCGCCCAGTGGGTTGGCCTCAGCACTCATTGTTGAGAGGAGCCTGACCGGGAGAGGCGCGATGCGCTTGCCTGCTAGTCGGGCAAGCAGGCGCGGGACGAATGCCAATTCCAGCGTGAGGTTGGGGTAAACGAGTGGCACCTTTCCAAATCGAGAGCTTCGTCAGTTCTCTCGGTCCTCTAGCCGAGAAAGAGGGGTCCTTTTGCGACAAAAGACAAAGAAACGCTTAAGGACAGTGGTTGTGTGTATTTTGGGTTTGCATTGGGGTTCACTTTTTTTGCACCTGAAAATTGCCTTTGGGGAATGTGACAAGGCGCCAGGGCGGATCATTTGGCGCTAAGGAGGGCGGAGAAAGAAGGCAGAACCCCGGCGAGCACAGGCCCCGGCAGCTTGATTTGGAAGGAATGCTGGGGTACCTTACAGCATTGGGCCCCTGGAACAGGCGCTACGTAAATGGCTTGAGGGGACCTGGAGGCCCAATCTAGGACTGTTTTGGCAACGCTGAGAGCTAACCGAAGTTTATTCCGACACTAGGCCGGCCAGGAAGCCTCGGGACTCGGTCTTCTTAGCGCCCTGCCAGCATCTACGATGTCAACGTTAGCACCGCATTTAACGGGATCGCAGAGTTGACAAGAGCCTGGCGCAAAGTGTGACCTGCCTGCCACTTCATCCGTCTTTTGACAAATCGATCTCTCTTTGAGGAAGAACAAGGGCTATTCTCGAGACACCTGTCTCACCGCCCACACCCCCTTTGATCTGTAAACCCTTCTTTCTAGCCTCTGGTCAACCCCTCCCGCCCCAGAGGCTATCGGCCGAGGCGACAGTGACCCATGGCGAACTACGCGACGCTCAAGGCCAGGACCCGGGGCGACTATCCCTACGTCCTCGACTATCGCACGCGGTGGTAAGCTTCCAGGCCCGCCAAGATCGACTTGGTCCAAAATCTATGACCTAAGAGATCTGGCCGCTGGAAAAAAAGGACGGTGCTGATATCACAACTTGCTAGGGCCGATAACGACATGTATCATCACATGAACAACTCAATCTACAACTTTCTGTAAGTAGCGGCCCTCAGGAAGCAGAAGTCTGAGAGGAGAGAACACCCCTTGGCTAAATGTCCTCTCTCGAAAGGTATGACTCTGTCGTGAACGCTTATCTCATTGAGAACTGCGGGCTGGACCCTCAGAATTCACCACAGCATCCCATGATGGCACACACTCAGAACGACTACTTTGGTTCCATCAGCTATCCAGCAGTCGCTGAGCTAGGACTGCGGGTGAATAAGCTCGGCAAATCGAGCGTCACGTATGAGATCGGTCTCTTCGAGCGAGGGGTGGAAGAGGTCAGAGCTGTGGGCGAGTTCGTCCACGTCTTTGTGGAGCGAGCTACTGGACGGCCAGTCGCCAGCATGAACAGTGTCTTACGAACAGGATTAGAGCGGATTCTAGTTGCATCTAGCCCTAGCAAGCTATGATATCGCGGCAAGGCCGGCGTCCTGCACCCCAGATTATGGCGCAAGACCTTCGTTGTCGCCGCTGCTGTCCACTTGTGATTGCCTTGCTGAGGAAGGGCGGAGTCCTACTGGTGCTTCAAGTAGCGTCGCTCTCCCTCTTTTTCGGCACTCTTGAGCAACCCCTCCAGGAGCTCTAGGTCCGCGAGAGCCTCCTCTGGACTCTGGCGTGGGTCGGGCTTGCCGGCCGCCATGGCATCCGCCCAGGCGCGAATCTCTATGGGCACGGCGCTCCGAAACTCAAAATCCTTATCCTCCCTGTCGGTGCCACTCACGAGGGTGACTCGGTCCCGGGAGACTGTCACGCTTCCCTTCTCACAGATAACGGTGTAGTCTTGGGCTGCGAATGTGGAGCCCACCGAGCACAAGAACGAGCCCGCCGCGCCGGATTTCAGTCTAAGGACGCCATGGAGAGAGTCCGGCGGAGGTAGATGCTGGGTTCCGGTGTGGGAGAATCCCATGACGGACTCTACCGTCTCGTCGCCAAGCATCAACCGCATGGCAGCGACCCAGTGCACGCCAGCGTCCAAGACAAACCCATAGTCGTGGGTCGGGTTGCGACGCCAGTCGGTGCCGACATATTTGTTGTCTAGAGCGCAGAGTCAGCAACATGACAATGATGGAAAGGACCGAATCAAGGAGAGAATACCAGGCTTCATCATGTAAAAGACTTTGACCACGAAGCCAGTCACCTTGCCGAGCTTACGGGCTTCCTGGCCAGCCCAGACATACTTGTCCAGGTACCGGAACTGCTCAGCGACGGCCCAAGTGACGCGCTTCTCAGCGGAGATGCCATGGTACCACTTGATGAGCTCCACCGCGGCAGCCGAGTCCGGAGCGGCTGGCTTCTCTGACAAGACGTGCTTGCCAGCAGCGAGAGCCTTCTTGATGTACTCTGGTTGGTTGCGAATGGGCAGGGCGATAATGACTGCCGCGACGTCGGTACGCTTCAGAACATCATCGTAGGATTTGCCCTCCCCAGAGTCCTCAGAATACAGATCAACAGGCGGGTGCGAGCTTGGGACCAGCGAGGCTGTGTCCTGGGCAGACTTGAGCGACCTCGAGTAGATGGCCTTCAGGGCCAAGGTCTCGCACGCTAAAACCCCAGGCTGAAAGGGTAGTGTTGCGTCTTAGCTCGTGCTGTACCACCTAGTTGAAAGCATAGCTGATCTTGGGCCACATACCAGGTGCTCTTCCTTGACAAATATTCCCCCGCCAATGAGAGCGACTCCAATGGGGGCCATGATATTTGGTGATCAAACGTTTTGCAGGTTCGTCGTTAAGTGACTGGTGACGTCTTGTCGCACTGAGATCGTTCTCGCCGGTATTGAGCTTGGTCTTGAAGATGCTCAAGCAGTATCGCACACGCTCAGAGGTAACTAACCTTTGCGGCAAGGGGTCGTCCAGCGAGCAACAGCTTGATGGCAAGCTGTATTGATGTTTGATGATGTTGACACCACGTTATGGAAGAGCACATGCGGGGCAAAAGAGGGGAACATCAGTGAGCGGGTCCTGGGCTTGTACGATTGCGACGACTGGCCAATCCGGACAGCGAGATGTCTTGTGATGCATCTCGCTAATCTCGTTAATCTATGTTTATCTATCTGCAAACCAAACGCCGTACATAACTAGAACCAGGTTGATGGATTGGTCGAACAAGAGCGTGTTCCTGTACTTTGTCACTGTACCGATACTTGTTTACGGGCAAGCAAATGAGGTTGCGTCGGCACCAGGGGACGGAGAAGCCAAGAAAGACACCACAAGGTCGTAATGTCGTAATGTGTTAACGACACCCCGTCCGGGGCCTTTTGTTCGGCGTATTCCCCGCAAGGAACCAGTTTGGAAGGTCAAACAGCTTCACGCCGCCTTGGATGGTGCCGTTGCTTGTTTGTTGGCTCTCGTCTCCCTTTCCATGCAATGCATGTCTTTGGGCTAACAGGCTGATAGGATGGGAGCAGCTTGCGGCCTACGGGACAAGCTGAAGAAGCAGCACCTAGGAATACACAAACACGGAAGAGAAACAAGGCTCCTCTTCGTGCTGGTGATTTCTCCGCGGGTGAAATAGCCGACCGCCTAGGTGACACTACTTAGATTGAATGCAGATGCGGTTCCAGATTTGATGTTCGCCGAGTTGGAGGGTAAGCCGGCCAAACGGAAAGGGCGCCCGAGCCCGCCAACTGCAGAATGTCCACCGTTTTTGGGTGTACTCCGTAGTGGGTGTCCGGTACCGCCACTGGACCGGTGAAAATTTTTCAGGCGTTGGTTGCAGACCACTACAGGCTGTGAAAGGCCCCCTGAAGTGGCCAATGCCCGCTGTAAGTCGTTGATCCATTGCTCCCGGTCCAGCTGAGGGTTACAAGGTTTCCAGCAGGGCGGGCCACACCATACGCCCCTTCTGTCTTCCCTTGGACCTCCAGTGCTGCTGAACTGAACCTTGTTCACATCGACAACAACAGCTTCAGCTGAAGATGGTCATCCACCTCATTGGACCCTGCAGATCATCCATTCCGTGCCAATTCGCATCACCAACGGCTTGGCTTTATGGCCAACCAGCAGCTCCACTCACGCCTACGTACACACACACACACAACCGCATCAAGGGACGAGCGGTGAGCCAAACAGCGGTGATGCGGCAGAGAGGCTGTGCAATATCAGATTTGATCCCGTCTGATCTCGTGATCTGATCTCGTGTTGGCCCTCTATCGGCACGCCCGTGAATATTTGATCCTTTTACGGTTCTTTGAACAAGAGCCCTTGCCTCACACGTCCTTTTCCACTACACCACTGGCTCAACCTACCATAAGCAGTAACCCTCCTCCGGCAGGATTCCTCTTGGCAAGTCAGCACACCAGGACCAGTTACCAAACTCCCGGGCCAGCTGTAGTTACGGAGTATTCTGACCTTTCGCTCGGCACACACCGTGAGAGGTTGAATTCTCGGCATCTCCCTGGCTCATGGCCGCGATGGCGAGTGCCACTTCTTCGAGACCCATTCTGACAGATCGAAATACCAGCTTGGGATCGAGACAACCCTCGGGCTACCACACGTGCGCGCGACGCAAGCCACATCTCCCACGCGCCTCAGGGGTTCAATTACCTCTACGATACGGAGTACTCTCCACTTATGCTTCTTATACATGCTGACATACATCGCGCTTACCTCTCAAAGAGTTCTAGACCTTCGTCTCTTTCCCGCATCTCCGCGGGCATCATTAGCACAAACTTCACCAAAATTCCCAAACAATACTACCAGTAATCACTAATGCAGCTTGATGCACTTGCCATTCCCATCGGGGTGCAGCCGCAGCGTGCACTCTCACTCAAAGGCATAGCCTGGTCTGGTCAACATGGCGGCAGATGTTTGCTCCAGCCGATCGATCACTAATCCGCGCCGTCCACGCCAAAACGCCCTCCACGTCAACGGCGGGAGCCGCCAGGCACGACTCCGAGACCATTCTGTTTCCAGTACAACCCCGGTCCGGCAGACATGTGGTTCCGGTGAGGCGGCAGACATCCATTTCTTCGGCTGAAGATCACGGCACTCAAAACCTTTGTCCTTGTGTTTCCCATCATGCAAGCCACGCATCTTGGGAACATCACGAGAGCTGGTCTCCAGCACGGCTCGGCTTTCTCCTAGTGCGAAACAGCCTGAGAAATGCGCGTGCAGAACAGCGGCGAGTGTGCGACTGGCCACTAGCAGGGCGGCACTGGTAGCCTGTATCTTGCGCGGGGAGTGTTTGGTAGTCTGCGACTCCCGAAATGTGCTCTTATTTCCGAGGATCAAGACCAAACACATTCAAGGGAACGACAATTGTCTGAATAATTTGTATCACACAAGCAGGACTGCCGATTCTAAATCTATGCCTGCCCATCGACGCCTAGAACGTTGAACGGCGACCTGGCTTACAAAACAGAGGTCTTCTAACAACCAACGACATCGTCCCGCTGTCGAAGACGCCGTTTTGACGATCTGACGTGAGGGTCGCCACTGAAGGCACCCATGTGCCGCTGGGTATCTTCACTTAGCGAGACGCACGCTTAACTGCAGCTACGATACGATGAGAGACACCAGCGAGATTGCGACTGTGCCTTGGTCTCGAGCCTATCGAGTTGATGTGATGTGTCTCCGGGTTCTAACTTTCCCAAGACGGGACGTGGACGAACAGAATGCTCTCAGTCGACCTGCCAAGACTGGAAGAGGGTGAATCCGGACCAGTTTGTCCATCGACCTCTATGTGCCCATGGCGGGACCCCAGATCCATCCATCAGTGACGGCTTGAGAGCCATCGTTGACATAAAACGTGATACTAGATCCTGTCGCCTCTTCCTTTTCGAGCAACCATCTCGACGATCCCAGCCACTCTGGCCTATGGCGATGTCTCTGATCAGGCTGTCCAGACCGGGTATCGTGGAAGCTGCCGTCTCGAAACCTTCTTTGGCCCCTCGATGTCTTTGTTTGCTCCGGGAAGCCCACCAGGCCCAAGGTCGATGTCGATGTCCCTGTACCTTGCAGTGCTGCAGAACCACCTGACCCTGGCGCCTTGCCCAAAGTGGGCAAAAGGGTGTGTCTGCAGCAATTTCTGTCTCAGATTTGGAGAACTCTCAAGACGATCCGGCCGGGGCTGCAGATCCATCTTTCTTGTCTTCGACTCCCGCCGTACTGTGGAATGAACGCTAACCGTCATCCATCTCCTGTAGGTAGCATGCATCCTTTCTCCCTCAGCTTGCAGTTCCTCCACTGTCAGTCAGCAAAGCACAATGGTGACAAAGACCCACGGCTTTGCCCGAACTAAGCAGACAGACCACCCCATTGTCACCCGGCCGTGGTGCCGACTCCTCCTCAGTCGACAGATAGGACAATGGGGCCTTCCTCCCGATGCCTCCATCCTGGAAGCCGCCGCGGGCCTTCTCTGTAGCCCGGTCTTTGGCCACTGTGAGAACAATTCGCTGCGCTCTTGCGCAAAACCAAATGGGGCACCGAGCATCTAGCTACATGCTGGACTCTTTTTCCCTTCTCCACTCCCGCTTTCTTCAGCGAAGGACGAGGACAGCAGCCGGGGTCTTGACAGCCTGTCCGCGCGGACGCCACGAACCCTATCGTGGACGCCTCTTTCATCACTTGTCACCTTTCTTCCCTCTCTCTACGGCCTTACCAACCTCCCTCTTTTCGTGGCGTCGTAGTGGCGTCACGTTGACGAAGTCCCATTGGCGACGAACGACTGCCGCTGTGACAGGTGGACATGCAACCTTCTTTCCCCCGGGAGACCTGTCTCTGTTTGGATCGTTGTAAGCGAGAGTCCCCGCGCGGTCATACGATTTTTGCCCATCGAGGGAAAAAGCACGTGTGAGACCACCGCACAGCAAGAGGAAGGACGGGGTGGTGGGTGCTGCTCATGCAGTCCTCTCCTCCCTCCTCGCGGCAGAGATCAAACCGAGGGCCAGTGCCTCTGTCAAGTCTTGTTCTCGGCGGGTGAGAAAGAGTTCGCCCACCACTGCCTACACCCCGGTGCCCTGACTCTTCCTGCTCTTCCTGCTCTTCGGCGGCCCTCAGGCTAATGCAGCGAGCGCTGGCTACCGTATGTGTTGTCTCCTTTTCCCCGCAGTCAGCATGACAGGGAAACCCCTTCCCAGGACTCTGGGACCCAGCATTTCAATAGAACAAGAATGCATGCGGGCATGGCTGCTCCCGTGGCACGATCCCACTTAGAACGAGATATGCGCATTTCGTGCTGTAAATAGAGAGAGGAATCCCGGGTACCTTGCATGAAGCATGAGGAACCCAGGCACGTACCTAGGTAGGTAGGTAGGTATGCGGGCAAATGTAGATGGAGATTGGCCACCATGCCAGAGGCCAGGGACAAACAAAGAAGAATTCCACGGGAACGCACATTCTCTGGCTCTAGGGGGGAAGAGGGAAGTGGGCGCCCCTCGCCTACCCGTCATGCCTCTGCCAGGGCCAGCCTCGTGCATTTTGGCCCCTCTGGCCTACATTCCAGTGAACCTTTCTGTACCTTGTCTTCCTTCATCTCGATTTAGCACGCATTCCAGACGTCCTTGGTCCAGGGGACAGCACATGCCTGTGCCGTACAGCACTAGGTAGGCACTGGAATGCAACTGTCGCAGACTCTCAGCAGAGAGGAGAGAAGAGACAGTCCCCATTCAAACCTCCTGGAAAAAAGGTCACAAGCTCGGGACGAAGGCCCACCTGGACTACCTAGGTAGGTACTCTCTTCCCTCTCTCTTTGGTGTCTTTCTTGGCAAGAGCCCACGTCCGGCGCTGTGTCGGCGCGGCGGGCAGTCTAGGCACACTTTTAGCTCTTTGGGGTAAGAAGCGGGCGTCCACTGTCTCTGTCTCTTGTCTCTTGTCTCTTCGCAGCACGACCTGTACTGGAGGGGAGAGGAAGAGTGGGATCGGGGGGGGGGTCCCATTTCTTCTCGTTTATTTTTCTCCTCCCTACCAGACCTGGGCCCATCTAGACCAGCTGTCAACGCACGAAAATAACAAGACTGCCAGGTGTGGGTCGCCGGAGGTCCAGAGACATTGGGGCCCTCGCGTCCAGATCCCGGGTGTGTGCGTTCGTATCTTGTCCATTTGCGAGCCCCGTGCGGAGGTGGGTTCCGTGAATGCTGGGCACCTCAGAGGACCGGCAACTTCTCTCCGTTATTTCTGTGGTCAAAGACGGGAGGAGATCATAGAGTGTGAGAAAGGCGAGATGAGGGCGGTCTAGATGCTGCCGGCAGTGATGTGGTGTTGCGATGATGTGTAATGAGGCCGAGAAGAGTCTTCCAAGATCAGGCCAGATGGAAGGCTTGTTTCATAGGTATGAAATATTTTTGGCTGTTTTTTTTTTTTTTTTTGAGAGTTGATGTATATTTAGAGAGGTCTTGTGAGGTGTTGGAAAGTAAAATAAGCGAGGAGACGAGCTTATTTTAGGTAGTTGAGTGGCATGAATAGCCATCTTGAGGCCTAGCATGGCTTGGCGTAGTTAATGGCAGAGCCTGCTGCTCGTTGGGTTCCCATACATTGTGCTGTGTTGAAGCAGAAGGCTACGTTGGACGAGATATTGTAACGTAGTTCCCAGGAGGGAGCTTGGAATCTCGTGAACAATTGCAACGTTTTCTACCTGGCTTGATGCATCGAAAGCCACAGGACGCAAGCATGGATACGTTACCACAGGATCTAAATATATCGATGGTATCTCATATGGATCAGGAGTATTTGCTGCTTATACTTGACCTCTATAACTGAGTGGTGGGCCCGCAGAGCCGATTCTTGAGTCTGGACGTCTTGATTCGGATCGTTCCATGTCCCCTCGAATGGACAGAAGAAAGTTGATGTTTCGAATCTATTTTCAGTCAACGGAACGACAAATCTAGCCGAGGAATACTCCAGTTGGTAGAGTCGCAAAACCTCTTTCGTGGCTTCCTGTTTGACGAGAAAGAACGAGGCCAAGTACCATATACTGCTTTTCCGGATGTCAACATATATTTCAAGTTTACAGGCTCAGTCTTCAACACTACCTAAATTAAGGTCACAAGAGATGTGGATGTGGCCAGACTGCACAAAGTGCAGTATTGGAAACCTTGTATCATGCAAGGGGGTATATTGATGCTCAAAGTAAAGAAATCCATCCTCACAATCAGAACTGGCATGCCCGCTCAAAGACAATCAACATACAAAACCAAAAGCAGTCGTAAACCATGAACCTTCATCACAACCTAGACCCCAATCATGCCACCCTAGGCGCAGACATGACGCCTCCTTCCGGTGCCTGGGTCAGCGGCGTCGGCTCATAGAAGCCCCTCACCTGCTGCCTCGCCTCCTGCTCCTCCGCGCTCCTCGGTCCGGCCTGCGCAGGCGGCGGCCCCGCAGGCGAGTAGTACCCCGCTATCTCCGGGTTCGGAGGCGGGCCTCGAGGCTGTTGCTGCAGGGGCATGCCGGGAGGGGGAGCGCCGCCGCCGCCGCGGCCCCAGACGAAGGGCCACATGGCGCGCCGGTCGCGCTCGATGCGGCCCTGGTCGCGGCCCATGTGCCAGCAGCAGGCGGCGGCGGCGATGGCAAAGATGCAGACGCCGACGATGATGACGGTCGTGATGATCCAGAAGGGGACCGAGTTCTCGCGGGGCTGGCCGACGAACTGGCGGGCGTGCTGCTGGTGGTGCGGATGCGCGGCAGCGTGGCCTGCGAGGTTGTCTGGCAGGACCCGCCTCGAGGCCATGGCTGTTTGCCCTCTACGGTGCGTCGCAAGCGTGTCGGTCCTGACGAGGAGCAGTCCTTTTGCGGGTGAGGGGTTTGGATGGATGTCTTCCGTGTGTGTGTTTGTGGATGGCTTCCTCCTTCGCGGAGGCGAACACTTATGAGGAAACGAGACGGTTCATGGAAGGGTATATGACGCCCAGTACTCTGGTGATTGATGGTGTTTGATTTGTTTGATTGTCCACCACTGCTGCAGAAGCATGTGCCCCTTTTGAATTGATTGTTGACGAGGAGAGTGACTGACGAGAATAGGCAGCCAACTTGCCAATTTTTCCGCAACGGCAGCCCAACAAGCAGCCAGCCCTGTTTGGCTTGAACTCCTGCAGACCCCCTGTCCATATCCAGATTTTGACAGGCTAATGTTACACCAGCGGCGGGTCATCAACTATCAGAATCAATTCCGTCAGCCCAACGACCTGAGCGCGCTGCGGCTTGGCGGCACAGTCGAGCCGGATCATACGCATCGCGAGCTTGTGAACGTGGTGTCACCCGCTGAGAAGCGCCCATCTGAAATCCAAATACGAGAAAAAGAGTCGCTAAAAAGAGAAGTTGAGCGGACCGAAAGGATGTAAACAATCACACACGCAAAGATAGCATCTCTACTCTCCTTGTAGCTAGCCATCTCCACAAAATGCATGCCACCGTCTCCACTAGATTCTTATCTCTATATGCATACCTCAACCTCATCTCGAGCCTCCTCCATCATACGCAACTCTACCACCCCCAGCACACAAAACACCCTTAAAAACATGCCTCTCTCCGTCTCCGTACGGGATCTCAACTTCACCGTCGTCGCGGAGCCCCTCACGCCCGCCGCCTTCCGCCCCTTCGGCGACGTCGTCCAGAACCCCAGGCCAGACATCCTCCCCTCCCCAAGCCACACGACCGAGTCCCTCCGCGCGGCGATATCACCACCGCTGGCACACCCTCCAGTCGTAGCCAACCAGGGCACAGCGATCAAGTACCCCCAGGTCTCCCAGCCGCGGGACCTCTACGCCCAGGCCCGCAGCCGCAGGCCGTCCCTCCCGCAGACCAGCATCTTCCAGTGCGCCGCCCGCCGGCTCTCCGGGCCGGCGGGAAACCAATTCCCCGTCGCCGTCCTCGAGCGGCACCCCTTCACGACGCAGATGTTCTGCCCGCTGGGCGCCGACGACGCCGCCGCCTCGGCGCGGTACCTCGTCGTCGTGGCGCCGAGCGGGCCGCCCGGCGAGGCGGACGCGGGTCTGCCTGTGCCCCAGGACGGCGAGGGCCTGCCGGGCAGGGGCCTGCCGGACGTGCAGCGGCTCAAGGCGTTCGTGGCTACGGGGGCGCAGGCCGTGACGTACAGCGCCGGGACGTGGCACGCGCCCATGGTGGCGCTCGGGCGGGAGGGGACGGCGCTGGACTTTGTCGTCACGCAGTTCGCCAACGGCGTGGGCGACGAGGACTGCCAGGAGGTTGTGTTTGACGGCCGAGGGCGCGGGGCGGTGGTCGTCGAGGTGCCGAGGGCGTTGACTGGTCAGATAGCGCTGGGGCCGAGGTTGTAGAGGTCTTGTACCCACGAGGAGAATCGAATGAGAGGAGAAAAGCAATGAATATTACCTCGATCCATGGATCAAGATATGCATTAACGTCAAGTCTGTACCTCGACTGCACTTCGTCCTTGTGTCTACCCGTCACGAAGTCAATCATGGTCATTTCATCACGATAGAATGAAGGGATATGTGGTCAATGAAAAATCAATTGTGAACGCCGATGATAGTCCCTAGTAGTAGTAGTAGTGGTTACGCGAATCTCGTAGCTCTAAAAGGTCTGGAAGACCTAGAAGATCTTGAAGCTCGCTTTTCCCTGAAAATCTGCGCATCGAGTGGAGAGAGAATATAAATACAAAGAAAGCAGTAACTTTTCACCATTTTCTCCGGGCCATGAAGGAAGTCAAGCCGCATCGAGACCAAGGAAGCATGGTGGCTTCTTTCAACCGTAGATGCCCTCCTTCTAATCCACATCCATCATGTCGTCAACATTCTCGCCATCAACCTGCATGGCATCACCATCCTCGTCCTCAGTCTCCTCGTCAAGTCTATCTCGCTCCGCACGCTCCGCTCGGTCCAGGAACCCGAGCGCCGCGTCGTACGTGCCCTCGAGGGGAGGCCGCGATCCCGCGGGGCGACCCTCGACGTAGACGTCGATCTCGCGCAGGTCCCTCTCGAAGTCGTGCGCCGCGTAGCCGTAGCCGCCGGGCAGCATCGGGGCCACGGGCACCCCGGCGCTCGCGGGCGGCTCCGCCTCCATGTCCGGGTAGTGCGCCTTGTGGATCTTCTCGTCGATCGTGTCGGCCGTGTAGAAGTGGTAGACGTGCACCGTCTTGTCCTGCCCGCGCCGGATGCACCGGCCCTTGGCCTGTTCCATGATCATGTTGAAGCCGTCCTCGTCCTTGCGGATCGGCGGCGCGACGAACATGACGTGGTTGGCGTTGGTGAGATTGCTGCCGGCAGAGTCTGCGCTGTCGACCAAGAGGACGATCGCGCGGAGCTCTTCGTCCGCCTCCTCGCAAGCCTCGGGGTCGTTTCCAGCCTGGGTATGGTTTCCAGTCGTCGCGTTCTTGAAAGCCTCGATGTCGTTTCCAATGTTCGCCGGATCGACGCCAGTGATGGGGCCGATGTCAGCCTCTCGGCTCTGGAGCGCGCCGACGACCTGCGCGCGCATGGCCTCGAACGGAATGAAGATGACGATCTTCTCTTCCTTCGGGATGGAAAGAATCTTGGCCATCACGGCGGACATCTTGGAGCTCTGCTGGCCCAGGCTCAGCGCGCCGGAGTAGTGGCAGCTCGGATCTCGCAGGTCGCTCAGCACCTTGGGCCGGACGCCCAGCCAGTGAGTGTTGCACTGTTCGTACGGGCAGCGATCGACGACGCCCGCGCAGCAATTGTTGCAGACGCAATGTCCGCACATCGGTGAAAGCGAGAGTTCATTGTCAGGGTAGACGTTGGCGCACTTGTCGCACTTGTGGGATGTGAACTGCTGAGGGTCCAGGTGCTTGTTGAGCTCCAGCAACTTGGCGAGGTATCGTGCTCGCTGAGCAGCCTCGGAGAGCTGGTTGCTATGCTCAATGATGGTGTGCTTGAGGTAGAGCACGACATTGGCAACCTTGTCGAGCTTGGTGCTGCGAACAGTGATCTTCTCGTGCTTTGGGAATTCCTCCTTGACGCCCTCCTTCTTCCGGTTCTCGTCATAGTCCTTGGGAGATGCTTCTTCTCGAGCATCTTTAATGAGGAGCTCTTTCAGCTTTGCAGTGGTCTGCGCCCCGACGGTGAGGCCCTTCTTGCGGCACAGGATGCGAAGATCTGCTGCCCTCATTCCCTCGATCTCGTCTTCGGTGACGTCTGAGTTCCAACCCGCGCGCGGCAGGTTCCGGATGAAGCCACGGACAGCCTCCTTCACGGACGCAATGTCCATGGAGTCGTACAGGGCGGCGCGATCTTGTCCGGTGGCTCGACCCTGCTGTGTCATCGGCCTGAAATGCAGCAGGAACATGTCATTCGCCACACTGCCCTGGGCGGTGCCCAGGGGCTGGCGCTCTCTAATGAAAGCGAGCTCCCGAGCGAGGGTCCGCCAGTCATTGTCCGTGAGATTCTGAGCGGCAGTCTGGTTGTCGAGGATCTCTTCCATGAAGAAAAAGTCAAAAGGCGTATACAGGGCGAAGCCCTCATTGGCCATCAGCCACGCCTCGAACGTCCATTTTGCTAGAGCGACATGCTCAGGTCCGAAATTGGTTTGGGGATCGGTGCCGGTGAAGATACGGAGCATCAGCTCCTTGATCTGCGAACCGCCGTACTCGTCAATGTTGTCCTGCTGAAGCAAGTCCCCAATGAACATCTTGACGCACTCGATGGCGTCCTTTGTCTTGTCGGCACAGCCACGAACGTCCCCCCCCAACAGGTCCTTATTGTTCTCCAGGCGATAGGACAGATACATCAGCTTGTCAAAGTCGCACTTCATCAGGCGTGCCAGATGAGCAAGTTGCTTCAACTGCTTCTTGAAGAGGTGGTGCACGAGCTCGAACTCGGTTCCGACATGACCGCTCAAGTCGGGATCGTTGACGAAAATATCACCGAGGTGGCTCGAGGCGCGCTCCGACAGAGCCCTCCTCGACAAGACCTTGCCATCCTCCATGAACCCGATGTTGCCGGCAAGTGACATGCGAAGGTTCTCGGGCAGCGCGTCAAAGTTGTTGCCCGTATAGCTGAGATTGTATTCGAGCTCGCCGTATGCGGTGGCCTCGGCGAGGGACATGACGACACGGATCTCGGTCTCGCGCGTCGGCAGCTGGTGGAAGTACCGGTTCGACCGGTAGAAGTGAGAAATGCCGAGGCGGGCTTGGTCGAGACGCTCGAGCGAGAAGTCGATAGACTTCAGCTCCTTGAACGAGCGGAACTTCTCGGCGTTGGTCATGGGCTCAAGAACTGGTCCCTGGGCCATCTTGGGGAGCCCCTCAACCACGCATGGCTCGGGCCGCGCGATGTGAGCGCCCAGCATGGCTACAGTCTTGTGCACGCTCTGCAGGGAGTCCAAGGGCGGTGTGCCCGAGAGAAGCCACTTCGAGCTGGCCGTCAATCCCTTCACCAGGCAAGCGATCGCGGGGTTGGCGTAAGAGAACTCCTCGTAGACAATGCGAGCAAAGCTGCACATTTCAAGGCAGAAGCTCTGGAAGAACTTCTCTTTGGGCTCCGCGGGCATGTTCCCTTCTTTCTTGTGGAGTTTGTTGAGCATTTTGACGTTGTCGTTCCACTTCTTACGACGCAGATCCTGGACAAAGGCAGACATGTCCTCCTCGGAGCGATCGCCGCCCTGGTAGTGTTCCATGGCGCGAGAGAGATTCTCAAGGGCATCATGGTACCATTTCTCATACTCGCGCTCAGAGTTCGCTTCAGGTACAAAAGGCTGTCCGGAAACAAGTTGCAGGCGACTATGGTACGGCAAAGTCTTGCCCCTGTTCGTCTTCGGTGGCGTGAAGATCGCATCGCTCACAATGATCATGTCAGCCTTCCGGAGGCGTGAGTCCGTCACATTAGTCGGGATGTCCTTGATCTTTTCCCATCGCAGAATCACGTATTTGTCTCCTAGGAACTTCCGTGCCTCAGTTCCCCATTGTTGCACGATGGCGGCGGGCGCGATGACAAGAGTTGCATGCAAGTTGAGGAGGGGAAGGTGGCTCCGCTCTGCCATGGACAAGGTGCGGTCCCAGGTCCATTGCAAATCCAGAAGAGCCAGGACTAGAATTGTCTTGCCATAGCCGATATGGTGTGCAGCAACGCCTCCACGGCTATTCAGCCTCGACGTGTCATGGCTGTGGGTCGCAGTCCCCGACAATCTGAGGTGCAAAGGCTCCACAACAGATTCTTCAACCTCCTTCTCGGGGAAAGGCATTGGGCTGAGCTCCCGATTGTACATCCACACGACTGCCTGTCCTTGGTCATCGACCAAGGGAAGAAGCATATGTCGCAGAGTCAAGTGCCGATCGGATATCATGTACGCAACGTCGATTCCGACATTGAAGCCGGCATTGGCGGATCGAAGTGAATCCCTAAGCGGGCGAAAGTCCGGCCTCGGTGCCGGGACAAAGCCATTCTCAAAGCGATAAGTCAGCGCGGTTCCCTGCGCCATAGCCTCGCGCGTCATCTTCCGGTGACGGAGTTCCGAGAACAGGTGAGCCATGGCCCGATGCGCCAAGGTTCGGGGATAGGTGAGCATCCGAATGAAAAGAAGAAAATCATGCTTAAACTGGACAGATATCTGTTCGGTCACACCAGTCGGCAAAAAGCACACGTTTCTATCATGTTGATTGGTGATCTCCTGGGGTTTGTCTTTTCCAGGAAGGTGAATCTGTGCCTGGACGACCAACGGACAAGGTAGACCTTTCAGAGTCTCGTCATAGACCTTTGCCTCGTCTGGATCCTCGTTGAGGAAAATCTTGCCTGCTGCGTTGAGAAGTAGGTGTACTCCGGGTGAAGGCACGATGCACGTTGAGCAGAGATCATCATACATCAGCGGGATGTCCCAGACCTGCCGCCCCTGATTATCAAAGGCGAATGGGGTATTGAACGCAAAGTTCATGCTCCTGACAAACTCAGAGAGCTCCGAACGGTGAATCGTATGCCAGAGCTGGTCTCTGCTCAGAGACGGACCGCAGGCGAGCTTGTGCTCGACCATGAGTCGAGTGATGGCGGAGCCTTCCGTGGTACAGTCCACGACGGGGATTTGCATCATTGCCACCAACTTTGCACTGCGCTCGTCACAGGTTCCCAGACCCTCGGTAATCGAAGTTGAGTGTCCGACATAGAGCTTCTCATGCTCCGCCAGAGCTTGATCAGGTATTAGGACCACTTGGTGTCTGGCCTTCTCCTAGAAGCCAGTGATATACCCAACGTACCGCTTAGTCTGAAAGTCAAACTGTTTGTGGGGTTTGAAGTCGGGTCTGCAGTGGAGGATCACATCGCGATACTCAAAGTCCTCAAGCTGAGATTTGCCATGAGCAAAGACAAAGTGGTCATCTTCAACGGGCCCGAGACGGGAGCACTCCTTGAAAAGAAATACCTCTTCGCCCTCGTGAATGAACAAAGAGTCCTCGGCGGTGCCGCAGTGTGGCAGCCTATAATAGCTTCCCTCGACCAGAGACCGGATGTAGGAGAACTCATCTCCACAATCCATGTTGTCAAAGGCGATCTTGAGCCCATCATTGCTCCGAGTAACAACCAGCTCGATCTCGTTGTTCTCCGTGGGTATCCAGATGCAGAACTGGTCCGTATACTCTGGAATCACATGGTCCGAGGCCATGTCAAGCTCAACTTTGCCAATGGGCTGCTCCAGAGCTCCATAACCAAACTTTGCACCCGCCTCCTGGTCAGGTAGGGGAAACAAGTACCAGGCAACACAATGCATTTTGATGACTGCCCGAAGGCACATAGTCTTGGCCATGTAGACCAAGGTGATCTCCTCGGTCACTTTGCATTCCTTCAGATAGAACGTCAATTCTTTCAGCTGAGGGAAGTTGAGCAAGAGCAGTCGTCCAGGAAAGATGCTCCGGAGGCGCTGAAGGGTCTCAGACTTGGAAAGCAAGTGAAAGTCTGGTTTTCCGTGTCCTGGCGACCACTTTTGCATCACGTGCAAAGGATTGCCAGCCGTCGTATCGCAGGCTGTGCCGCCACATGCAGAGCACTTGAGGATTGAGCAATGGTGGTCTTTGGTCAGGAAAGGCCCATTGCAATAGCAGTACCGCTTGCCCCGGATAAGGATGTCAATCACGGCTTCCACAGACGTCCTGACATAATTCGAGGTCGACCATGCCGGAGACTCCCTGGCCTTGTGAGCGATGCCGGAAATCAGCTTCCGGTTGTTGCAATAAGTGTGCTCTAAAGGAACTATCACCGGAGGCAGAATGCCGTTGGCGGGTGCCGGGAAGATATTGAACCCCCTCGGGCAAACACGGCGTTCGGCCATGAGGGTTGCCATGATGATAGCGGTTACAACAGTGGTCGTCATGGCATTTCCCGCAAGCTCCTGCAGGAAAGGATTGGATTCCGTCGACAAGGTGAGCTTGTTGATGGGAATGCCTTGCAGAAGGAGAGCCTCAATTCCGAGTATCGGTCGGCCCTGGCTCGTGCAAAACATCATGCCACTGGGCGTGCAGCATCCGATGATGCCGACCTGCATCAACTTGCCCCTATCGACATTCTGGCTGAGCTCAAGGGTGCCGACTTTGTATGACATGTCAAAATCCAGCTCAAGGCCAACCTGGTAAGCGATGTCCAGAAAGTCGAGGACGCGACCTGGCTGGCCATACACCCAGGCCCTCCACGATCTATCGCGTGGGGTCACAGAGCACACGCGCTGGCCCTTCAGCTCGAGCATCGTGTACTTGTGAGTCCTCGGCAAATTGCATTCAGCCTGAAACTTTCGGTGCCGATCCACAGACAAGCACCAGTCGCCGTCTCGGGACAGAAAGCTCTCAAACTTTCGGTCAGACTCTGCCTTGTACCGGATGACGCGCGGGTCGTCAACTTCAAGCAGGAATTTGTCGACGGGAGACGAAGCTGGACGCTTCAGGTATTCGGCAAGTTTGAAAGCCATGGACAGCAACTCTGTGGCGTGGTCCTCGTATAACTCGTCAGGAACGGCCACGAGATACTTTCGCAGCCTTGTCTGAGGCAGGCCGTAATCCTTGGAGTCAAAGGAATCAAACTTCGCCCGGTATCCAATCAGAGCAAGATAGATAGTGGTTGTCTCGAAAGGCACACCATGGACGTTCTCCATGATGACGACGGTAGGGCGGTGGTGGAGAATAACAGACAAAGCTGCGAAGATCAGCTTCTGTGATTCTCCAATCTTGGACATGACTCCATCCTTCAGGAAGGCAGGCATGTTGTCATGTGCTAGCCATCTCTGATCATGAGGAGGAGGCTCCAGGTTGATGTCATGCTCCTCCAGGAGAGATGCGAGAATTTTCTTATTCTCGGGCTTTGAAGCGTTCAAAGACGAGAAGTCGATGCACGGGCTGCCTAGCACAAGAACATCGTAGTATTTGTCAATGGGTGCGTAATGTCCAGCAGCCGTCATGCTAGGAACCAAATTAGACCGTGAATCAGAAATATTCGAAGAGGAGTCTACTTACGCTTCTGTCGCGGCAGGGTCGCTCAGATCAACAGCATCGGCAAAGATCGTTGGCTTGTCCCTGTTTCGAAACAGGAAAGCCTGTTTCTGGGGGTTGTTTTCGCAAGCCCAGACTTGTGTGAGCTTGAACAAAGATTTGCCCTCTTCCTTGAGGGCATCTTGCAAAGCCTCGAGACCGAACATGGGCGCGTCGGTTCCGGAGTACATGGTAGCAACACGTAGCTCCATGCAATCCTCCTTCAGGATTTCGAGCTCTTCACATTTGGAGAGCACACAAGAACCCATCTCTCGATACAGAGTCTCTATGTCATTGGCCTCCGGTAAATCGGCATTCAGGATTTTGCTCGTGTCGCCGAGCTTATAGTAGTTGAGCTTGGCGGCTTGAGCCGCAGACCGGCCTGGCTGTCCTGGCTGCGGGCCGCTGCTTGACGACATGGCTGAGTCTGGCTGCGGGCCGTTGCTTGACGACATGGCTGAGTCTGGCTGCGGGCCGCTGCTTGACGACATGGCTGAGTCTTGCTACCTGAGGGTTGGTTAGGGCGACTGTGCATATATGGGAACGGGGACTTTGGGAGAGTTGGGTACTGACGATATGATGAGGACCGTAGTGATGATGGCGAACCCAGCCAAGTTTGCCCGATGGCAAACTATACAAGAATTGCAATCCAGCAGGGTTTGATGATGTGGCGATGTTACAGTATGATGCAAGCAAATAATCTCGGCGAGCGTCGAGGAAGGGGTGGTGGTTGTGGAAGCGGAGAGGGAGAAAGGATGTGGTTGTGGAAGCAGAGAGGAAGAAAGAGATGGAAAGGCGCGAGGACGAGAAACGAGGAAAATAAACAAACCCCGCGATCAAGTGGCAGGACTCGTGGACTCGCCAAAAAGATTAGGGCTTTTCGAGGGCTAGGATGTCGTCGGCGACGTGATCCGCGGTCAGTGCATCCGCTTAGTCGTCGACAGTCTGACCGGACCGGGTGTGGTCAGGATGCCGCCGAAAGTGGGGCCGGAAGCGGGTCCGATCTCTTGGAAAATGCCGGAAGGTACCGTTCCAGAGGCACCCTGACCCAGTCTCAGGCTGTCGGAGGCCAGATATCAGGGGCTCCTTTTGGTATGTACCTTTCACATTCCCCATGAAGATAGGAGACAGGTTAGTACTTCATGATCAAGCCTGGGCTGACCATGAGCAGGCTCCAAAGCATCTCAGGCCTCAGTCTGCCAGAATCGATCTGACTTTGAGAAGTGAGAATGGATCTGTCAGCTGCTGAGCAGTGAAAGCCAGAGGTGGCTAATTCAATGGCCCTTTCTCTTGATGGTGTGAATGTAGAGGAACATCACGCTGAGGAAGAACCCGGCAAACAAGGAAGAGATCTTCCCCATGGATGCTCCTCTGGAAGACACCAAGATGCATCCCTTTCGAATTTCTGCGGAGCTCAAAGTTGCAGTTAGGTGAGTCAAGGACCCAGTTGTACACACACACACAAGTTTCTTCCTGCCGGATCCAACGACCCTGAAATCGGAATAGACGCAGTATTATAGCATCGACGCTCTCAGAAGGCAGATACTCCTGTAAACCCTAAGCAGTGTGTGTCGGAAGCATTTACTCCTATGGGTCTGGAAGGGGAGTTCATAGCGATACACTTGAAGGCGACTCCACGAAAGACCACAACTGGCAGCAATACATATCGGGGTAAAGGATAGTTGATGGAGGAATAGAGAGTTGTGAGGTTCCTTAGAAGGAAAGCCGCGAATAGTGTGGAATGTGGCTGACGATGGTACTATACAGGGAGACAGTGTCGCGACTTGGAAACTCCTTTCTCTTCAGTAAGACCGAAATCTTCGCCCATTAAGCAAAACGCTGCTCAAACCAAGCAGCCCGAGAAGGATAGTTCAACTGTCAACTTCACGAGTCGAACAATTCCGAAGTATGACGGACTAGGACAGCCAAGTACACTCGTACCAGTCATGCCTCCCCCAATAACCGTGTTGAAGTGAAATGGGCTATTGGTCACTCAATTTCGTGCAGGGCTTTTGAAGTACGGGGAAAGCATTATGGAAGACAATACCACCTCAGGTTCTGGACTTTCTGTGGGTTGTGTATAGTTGTTGCATGGGTCTTAGCCATGTGCTTTATGACGAGTGTGTCAGGTTCCAGCCATGTGTGGGGAAGGAGTGGAGAGAGTGTGGCGGAACCACCGTTCGACAGTCTGACATCGTGCGGGCTGAATTCAATTTCGAAGCAGGTGATGTACTCCATACTTCAGCACCGCACACACCGACCTGTGCAACATTTGAGAGCTGCGGGAATTGCCTTTCCAATCCTCTCAGTCAACTTGGACACTGTGAGAGGGTCCGGGACCGGCACCATAAGATGGATTCTAAACTCGAGTCGACAGACGCAAAAAACAAGCTCGAAGACCTGTCCGGAGTGGTGCTCAAGCCCGGCGAGAATCCCTACCACGCTCTCATAGACACTTGCCATAATGATGCGGTAAGTCCTCTTTTTATTCTGGCTGTCACTCAACACCTTGTGATCTCAGTTCAGCAGTTCAGGCCACTTTTGGCAGACCAGAACGAGACTCTAAGGGGCTGCGCTTGCAGGCAGTCTGAGCAGCACTGAGCAGAGCTGAGGGTTGCTCACGGCAGAATAAAAAGCGCTCGTGCGGAATGAAAGGACCCGTGTACTGACATTTAATTGAAGGCCGAGATCCAGACCCTCTACTCAACCCATCGGGTGACGAGGAACGCGCAACAAAAAGAGAAATTTCTCACCTCGGAGTTCAAGGAGGTCATCATAGACCCGTTCCTTTTCAGACTGGAGAATCCGAAGCTCTTCCCAGGCTTCGCAGATCCTCGTAATTGCATGGTGCTGTGGGCAAGACCGCCAGAACACATCATGAAGCTTGCCAGCCACCTTCAGGCGATGCTGAAGGAACTGGCTCCAAGTAAGTTGAGCGAGAACCTTGGTCAGATTCGTTGATCTTGTCTACTCTCTGAAGTCAGAGATACTCTGTAAACTGCAGAGATAAGCCAAGGCGTGTTGGCTGGCGGAAGGCTGCGGAGGCAGCATGCCAAAGCTGCTCATGCCGAGGTGGCAGCCAGCGGAAAGTCGACCCCTTGAAGAGGCTGGCGCAACAGCCCCCTGAGTGATGCGCAGGCTCCATGTTGAACTTATGTCGGCTTGGAATGGTTTTGCCACGAGTCTGTAAAGTTCAATGGCCCAAGGCACAAGTCGTGCCCGGATTCTTCGCGAGCCTTCAGTGAGGGCCACTGTTTTGGAGGAAGAGAAGAGGCAGTGTAAGAAGTGGAAGAATGGGAGTGTGGTAGAAGAAAAAAGAAGAAGGGAAAGGAAAAGAGTTTGAGGAGGATGAGAAGAAAAGTCCTTTGAATAGAAGGGTAGTGGCAAGGCTTTCAGCCCAGATCGGCAGGACCCCCGAGGCAGCAGCCTCATGGACGGCTGCAAGTCGAACCATCCCCTTCCGTCCGAACGCACACAGATACCGAAGAAGAACCCCAGCCCTTACGAGATGCGCACAGTCGAGCCTTCCGCTTTGAGAGAAACCTCATTTCACGTGCGTACGTCTGCTAACACCAACCCTCCCTATCCAGGCCTATGGCTCATGCCCACCCACCGCATGCACCTCACGGCCCTCGAGGTCGACCACTCGCGCACGCCCGACGAGATCGCCGCCCTGCTGGCGACCCTGCGGCCCAGCGCCCCGGCGCTGACGGCCTGGCCCTACGCCCACCGCGCGCGCCTCGTCAAGCCCATGCTCTCGTACGACCTCGCCGCCATCGCCGTCTCCTTCCTGCCCGCCGCCGGCGAGGAGGTCCTCTCGCCGCGGCCCGTGCTGCCGCAGCCCGACGACCGCGCGTCCCGGGACGACGGGTACACGTACCACCACCTGCGGCGCGACCTGTTCGGCCAGGTCCGCGAGGCCGGCGTGGACATCGTGTCGCGGTACGTGGTGCCGAGCGCGCACATCACGCTGTGCCGGTTCCTGACGCAAGACGACCACGCGTCGCCCGAGGCCCGGCAGCGGTGGATCAACAAGATCGACGAGATCAATGCCTGGCTGGAAAGAGAAGTGTGGGATCGCAAGGACGGCGAATTCCTGGGCGAGTGGATCGTAGGTCAGGAGAGAGGACTTGATTTCCGGGTCGGGCCTCTGTGGTACGGAGGTGGTCGGTCCATCATGTTGGGCGAGGGCTTCTAAAGAACGCTAAAGGCATGTGCAAGATACCAGGACACAGCTTATAGACTAGATTACTAGAGGATGCAAGCTCGAAAGATAATACCACTGCTTTATGATCAAGAGTGCTTCATCTCATGTCACATCACACACGCCGGGGCACATCTGCATAGCGAAAGGCAGAGCTTCCACACCCTCGAGATAGAATGCACGCCCCGAAGCCCCAAACACTCAACAAGATTCTTCACAAGCTTCGATAGTCGCAATATATGTCCACAGGAACGGTCGTAACAGGTCGGATATTTCTGACCGCAGTCCAATAGGGATTCTATTTGTGCCCTAGATACTGCTCCTCGAAACTGAGGATTGACTCCTTTTCCCCATCGCCAATGTTTCCAGCCGTGTGACCCGCGTGCCGTGCAAGAAAATCGTGAACCCTTATGAGCGTAGAAACAATGCAATTAGAACACCAGAGCAGCACCCTTCGTCTTCTTGTCACCACTGTGAAGTCATCGAGGTTAGCATTCGTCCGCAGCGGTCGACTTCGTCCGGGGAAGACTCGACATACCCGAGCTCGAAGTGCTTGCAGCGCTTGAGTGCTAGCTGGCACTTGGTCTTGCATGAAACGCACTCCAACCGCAGAACGACCTTCTTGGTGGTCTTGGCCTTCTTGTGGAAGACGGGCTTCGTCTGACCACCGTAACCGGACTGCTTGCGGTCGTAACGGCGCTTTCCCTGGGCGAAAAGGGAGGCCTGTGATCTCCGTCAGCAATTGCGCCCTCGACTTGCTTCCTCTGCTCCTAGCCGACTCCGGGGAAAGTTCAAAGTCGAACTATCGCCGAGAGGGGTGGGAGGGCACATCACGCACCTTGCCAGCCTTGTACTGGGTAACCTTGTGCTGGGTGTGCTTGCGGCACTCCTTGCCCTTGCAGTAGGTCTTACGGGTCTTGGGAATGTTGACCTGTTTGCCGCCAACTGTCAGCCTTCTGTATCTCGAGATCCTGATGCGTCATTGCCCTGCGCCATATATCTCCGCTCCAGCTCGACGGGGAAAGGTCGTGGGTCGTGGAATGATGTTCGAATAGGATTTTCGCAAGCTGACGTCTGCATCATCGCTTCGTTTCGACCCTTCGTTGTGGATTGTTGAATGTCCGAATCTTGTCGATAGGTTTCTCCCAGTCGAGCCGCCCATGTCCAACGTCAAATTCCTCGCATCGTGTTTTCGGTCACATTGAGAGCATCCATCTACCCCCGAAAGACATCAATGAATTGCATACGTACCATCTTGACGGTGTTATCCCGAGTCGTGATATGTGGCTGGTTGGTAAGTGGAGGAGTCGTGAGAATTTGTGGTAAAAAGTTCGTGGATTTGGGTCAAATCGAGTTGTGCGTCGGTAGGGTCGGCGCTAGGCGAAAAGCAGAACTCTGGTGGGGTGGCCCGTACGAAATTTCGTGAGAGGAGATTGGGTGTGGCGTCAAGAATCACGAGCCACATCAAGTTTGCACGAGCCACACAGCCGGCACCCAGCTGTCACGTGAGAGCTTCCCCAAGCATCCCAAAGCAGTGCACTTGCTGACCACCAAGATGCCAAAAACCTCCGGTTGGGTGGGTATGATCGCGGCCCTGGATGCAGGGTTATCCCCGTCCAGTAACACGGGATGTTAAGAGCTACTGAAACGAGCGGTGGGGATGAAGCTCTCCCCATGGCTGATTGGCACATTCAAGACTGAAGGCTTTTTCTTGCCTTTCTTTGCTCTCAGACCGCCATATGCAAACAAGCTGAAGGTCACTGGCGAGAAAGAAGAAAAGGAGCAAGGCAAAAAGCAAAAAAGAACGCATTGATGAGACATCTTTGACCCTCAAGATGATTATGAGTGTTGAGCAATGGCGCTGGAGGAGCTCTTATTTTGGTCAGTATCATCAATCTTAGACCGCAAATGAGCATCAGACACAACCCATGTACACATATCGTAATCGTGATTGATTGCTCAGCACCGCCGGACCTGATTCTTGGAGCGCAAAAAGAAAACAGTCGCATGCTTGTACGAACCTGGCGAACAGGAGCGATTCGGGACAAGGTTCATTTTGGTGATGTGATTTTACGGAGCTGGTCCACCAGTGAGCAGGGAAAGCCACCCTCCTGTGCCGCGCCGGCCAAGGTGAGGAGCATCTTCCTCGTCGTTGCGCGAACCGCAAGCGTATTGGCGCGCAAAAAGCCGTGCAAGGGAAGACTGATCACCAGCGTCGCGAGGGATGAAACGTGGCAGTCGTCCTGTCGACTCGATGGGAAAATACAGTGGTTCAATTTCTGAGCTACTGAAGCTGAAACAGCACTCAGTGGCTGGTCAGATGGGGTTTTAGTGCTGACTTGGATGCCGACGAAGTAACGAGCAACGGATATCACAGTGTTTCGGATTGCTAGCAGTTAAGGCCTACCTATTAAGCCCCAAGGACCTCTCTGTATTGCTGTCTCCGGCCAGCCACTGGCAAACTTCGTACACTCGTAATGAGTCAATTGGGAGCCCATGCTCACCTGGACAGCTTCTAGACGTTCCATCCTCCCAGGTTCGACCCCAGAAGGTCCAGTCATTGAACTTACGTACGGAGTACGTACGTCCTGGTCTGCTGGCCAGATCAGACCAGGTACGGATAGTGTGTTTGGATTTGCCGCACTTCCCGCGCCCGGCTCAGCCATCGACCAGCAAAGGCCTCCTCGTTCCTGGATGCGACCCTGGTCGCTGTCCCTGATCCTGACCCAAGGTCAGCCAGAATGAACCCCTGTGGATGCAGGGCTCCTGTGAGACATCGTGAGCTGGGCCCGGGACATTAATATTGGCTCTAGCGAGGAGATGCCCGTATTATGATTTCTTCTTGCAACCCAGATCTGTGTGCGTAAATCAATTGGGGGTAGTTGTCAATCATCTCCTTGTGAGATCTTCAGGTTCAAGTACAAAGTAGGTACCTACCTCCATGTAAGATTGGGGTACCTACGTAACTACATTACCCAGGTACAAACCAGGCAGAGATCTCTGCATCATCGCTTTTGTGGTCGGGATACGCCGAGAAGTCCTGCAGCTACTGTAGAAAGTCAAGCGAGGCAGCTCCTCCTCCATCCTTTGTTTGCATATGCTTGCCTGTGCTGGCTGGCTGGCTACCTTAGCTGCTTCGCTCGCTCGCTCACATCTCGTCCCATTTTCGAGATAGCCAGGTGCCCTTCCCCCGCAGCTTCCCTCGCTCGCTAATTAAGTTAGCTAGCCAGAGAGGCCAGAGGAGGGTCCCGAAATTCGCAGTGGATCTCGAGCCGATCCCAGCTCTCCTCAAACCGAGCAAAGGCAAAAAACCCCCCGCATGCACGCAAGGACGCCGGCCGCCACTGAGATCGCACGCCGTGTCGATCCCTCTCCAACTGTGACCGGTCTTGCCTGCGTGCCTGCGTGCGAGTTGACTCCCCCTGCGCCCTGGTGAAAAAGAGGCAGACGACTTCAGAGGAATCGGATGCTACCTTCCCACGCTTCCCTGGGCCCTAATTAAAGATCAATCTCCAGCTGTCCGGAAACCTTGTCCGCCTCTAGAAGCATCTTGTGCAATTCAGCTTGCGACGCTGTGACGTTTGTCCATATACTTTTATGCCCGAGTCAAGCTTACCCTTCTCTCAACGAGACCTGGTCGCACAGCACTCCTGGTGCCTCTCAGAAACCGAACCCTTGCTCTAGTCGCTGCTGCTCGCGGCCACCGTACGATAACTAGTCCCGGGGCAACCAGATGGACGCTTTTTGAGGGCTTCTTGCCCGACCTGTTGTCCACGCCATAAGAACCAAGGATTGAACACCTTCTTGTCGAGAAGCTCATACGTCGGTGCAGGCCTCGCATCCGACAAGAGCTGTTGCACCCCTTGAGGCATCTCCCCAGCTTCACTAAGCCAATCCTTCCTAGTGGTCCCGATGTGCATCGTGGCGAATGGGGATACGACAAGGGCTCAAGAGCATGCTCCCGCCCGAAATGGAAGCACACTCCCCCCACAACGATGACGATCCGCCGCCGTTGCCAGCAAGATCTCCTGCCGTTGTCGCACCCACGATCTCTCCTCCCACCACAACCGAGTCGCCCGCGGCTCCAGGCATCAAGCTTGAGCGGAGGTCCTCCGCCGGGAACCTGTTCTCCAGCTTCCGATCAAACACAATGAAACAAAACACAATCCGGTCTGTGACGCCGGAGCCGACCGACGACGAGTCGAGCATACGAGATGGGTCAGTAGGAGCTGCGCGGGGCGGCCGCAGCGGCGCTCGGCCGTTCGAATCTGCGTCACCTCAGAGCTCGCCGAGATCAATACCGGGCGGCGGCAGTCTCTCTGCAGGAGGGAGCAGCAGGAGGCAAGGCATAGTGTTCAACGACCCTGTTGCCGGCGCCGGATCCTACGACAGCACTTCGTCGAGCCCTCCGCCCCGTCAGACGCAAGCATCGACTCGGCCACGAACACACACAATGGACGGCGCCACTGTTTTCCGGCAGCAGCTTGCCCCGGCCGTGAGCGCCGATGCACGCCATAGGATGGGGTCGTTCTCGTCGGGCGGGTCGCTGCCAGTCGAAGAGATGCGGACCGTGTCACTACATTCACCCCCGCCCGAGATCGCGTACGGCTACTCTGCCTCGACCATGAGGGCATCTGACTTGCAAGGCCGCTCGGCTTCGAAGGAGAAGAAGTACAGCACGCGAAGATTGACGAAACGCCCAGAGATATCACGGCCTACTTCGCCGATAATCAATGGACCTCCGTCCGTCGACTCGCTGCCAGTCCCTGTGCCCACGCAAGATGCGCCGAAGATGCTCCTGGCAATGAAGACTTTGTGCGGACGCATGAGGGGTGAGATCGAATACCAGACAGATTCGCAAGGGCCATGGTACCCCGGTGTCGCATATATCGACGAGGAGCGGGGAAGTCTGATGTTTGAGTCTGGCGAAAACGGGCCTTTCCATATCGCGATTGTCCCAGACCTTCGAGGCTGCCGAGTCATGCCAATCATGAGGTCAGAAGATGAAGGTGTGATTCTTGAGATATCAAGCACAGAGCTCGCCTTGGAGATTGTGTTACGTCCCTTTGTGACAAACGAACTAGATCTGTGGCTCGCCGCTTTGCTTGGCTGGCAGCAACTCCGCCCTGGAAATGCCAGAGGTGCCGGTGGTGGTAAAAAGTCAAATATGCCAGTCGTTGAGTCGCATGACCCTTGGAAGAGAGGATCTGCAGCGAAATCAAAGGATGGCTCCATCATCAAGATGGAAAAGATGATGTTCTGGGACAAAGGTCTCGCTGCAACGCCACGAGCCATCATGAAGAGGGCATCGACTCGAGATCTCCGTTCTCCTCAGACATCCTGGAGGAGAGTCTCCTGCATGCTCCAAGGAAATGGAGAGCTCCGACTCATGACGATCAACGACGTTTCTGTTCTCTGCGTCATAGGGCTTTCTCAGTTGTCGCGCTGCGCCATTCAGCAGCTCGACAGATCTGTACTGGAAGAGCAATACTGCATTGCCATCTTCCCCACATACGCATCGACCGCAACCCAGATCTCCGTCTTTCGTCCTGTATATATAGCCCTTGACACCAGGGTTGCATTTGAGGTCTGGTTTGTGCTCCTGAGAGCTTTCACCATTCCCGAGCTCTACGGCATCGATCCTGCCAAGGACGAACCGCTCCACGAGGTCCTCGACATCGATACGGATGCGCCCGCTGAAATGTTCCGGATAGAAAAGAGTCTGAATTTGAGGCTCACAGAAGCCAAAATGAGGAGCCAGACGATGGACGGGGCCAACTCTGGAGAGCGCCACTTCAAGGACAACGACCCTTCTCTCGTCGGCCACTACCTTGCAGAAGTTCTGCTCGACGGCGAGGTACGCGCTAGAACTACAGTCAAAGCCGATACAAAGAACCCTTTCTGGCGAGAGGACTACGATTTCGTCGACTTACCTTCCACCCTACCATACCTCTCAGTGGTAGTCAAACGGGTCGATGGCAACCTCGACACCCTAGGCCAGTCGCTCCGTTCGTCATCGAACCTTCCGAGATACGGAGTGAAGGAGCTCCCATATGGCTCGGTAGACGTAGCGCTTTCTCAAATGGAGAATGGCAAAGACCACGAGCAATGGCATCAGATCTATGACGAGAGGCAGCGCGCCGTCGGCTCTCTGCTGCTGCGGATACATCAAGAGGAACTCGTCGTCCTGCTCTCTAAAGACTATCAACCTATAGCAGACCTTCTGCATCATTCCGGCTCTCAGCTGACTGCACAGATCGCTGCCTTCCTCCCTTCAAATACGCGGCGAGTTGCCGAAGTCTTCCTCAACATCTATCAGGCTTCCGGAAAGGCCAGTGAATGGATCATGGCCCTCGTGGAGGAAGAGATTGATGGTATTGGCAACCAGCAGAGCCTGAAACTGCGATTCTCAAAACGCCTGAAATCTAGTGAATCCATTGACTCTTCAACCGAGCGCGAGACAATCGTGCGCGACATGGGCAAGTCATTGGCAGGAGAGGCAAACTTGCTCTTCCGAGGCAACTCCTTACTCACACAAGCCCTCGAATGCCACATGCGACGCCTCGGCAAGGAATATTTAGAGCAAGTTCTGGCAGCCAAGATATTCGAGATCAACCAGATCAATCCCGACTGCGAGCTAGACCCCGCCAAGCTGTCAGCTATCGAGGATCTACCCAAGCACCTCGAGCTGTTGATGCAGTTCACGGAGGAGATCTGGGACTGCATCATCAAGTCGGCCGCGCGCCTACCGCCCGAGCTCCGCCAGATCCTCAAGTACGTCCGCGCCGTCGCCGAGGACCGGTACGGCGACTTCCTTCGCACCGTCGCCTACACCAGCGTCTCGGGCTTCCTCTTCCTGCGCTTCATCTGCCCAGCCATTTTGAATCCCAAGCTCTTCGGCCTGCTGCGTGACCACCCACGCCCGCGGGCCCAGCGCACTCTAACCCTCATCGCTAAAACCCTGCAGGCGCTGGCGAACCTCTCGGCCATCGGCAAGAAGGAGGCTTGGATGGAGCCCATGAATCGCTTCATCAACGCCCAGCGCAAGTCGGTCCGCGACTTCATCGACGCCGTCTGCGCCATCCCTGCTGAGCGAGCTACCCCGGCCCACGTGCCGGCCTACTCGGCGCCCAACACGGTGCTCAAGCGCCTCGACCCCATCGCCGGCGAAGGTTTCCCCAGCCTGCCGTACCTCGTCGACTACCCGCGCAATTACGCCGCCCTTGTGCGCATGTGGGTCGAGTCGCACCCGCCCGGCTCTACCGAGACGCACCTCTACGAGGGTCCGCTGCTCGAGTTTCACGGCCTCTGTGCCGACCTGCACCACCGTACCGAGCATTGCGCCGAGCATCTGCAGGAAAGCCGCGCTGCGGCGGCCGCGTCCGCCGAGGACGGCGCGTCCCAGATGAGCAGCGAGCTCGCGGAGCTGCTCGACTACGCCTCGCTGTCCGACACGATGACCTCGACGGCTGCGTGGACGGGTGCCAGCAACGCCGGCGTCGGCGCCGACTTTGACGGCATGATGCGCCCTCCCGGCTCGTCGGGCAGCGAATTCAGCACCGAGGGCCTGCAGCACCGCACCGGCGTGAGGGGCACCAGCGTGTACCCCGGCGCCGGGCCGTCCTCGCAGCGGCAGGTCAGCGGGTCGTCGGACGTGGGCGGGACGATGCGCAGCCTGCGCAACGGCAAGCACGCGCGCAAGTTCCTGAGCGGGTTCATCACGCGCAAGGGGCGGGACAGGAGTCCCGAAGGCTCCAGCCCGGCGGGAGGGCGGTTCGCGCCCGGCAATATCAACAACAACGGCAAGGATAAGGAGAAGGCGCCTGGGTTTGGATTTGGCGAGTCGTGGGGCAGTGGGAGCATGAGCGGGAGCGATGCCACGTCGAGGTTTAGCTGAGACGGCAGGGCGAGGCAGCGCGACTGGCTACTGGTGTTGATACGGGATTTCTTTATTTTCCTTTTCCTCTCTCATCTCACCTCTATCTCGAGACAGGTTCTTTTATGGGCGAAAGAATTCGGCGGCGGCTCTAGTCTTGTGTTTTTCTTATCTTTCCTTCTCTCTCTTCTAGCTTTTCGCTTCTTGCTCCCTTTCTCTCACACACACATTTCTTTTCGTCCTTCTTGCCTGGCTGTTTAGCACGAAACAAAAGCATACGGCGTTTTGTCGACTATTATATCCCTTCGCTCAAAAGACAGGACACGATTCGGCAAAAAGATTCATGAACTTCCGTATTCGTTGGAGGAGACAGGCATTCTTGCATCAGACGGGGAGGGGAGGAAAAGCAAGGGAGAACAGGTTCCCCAAGATTCCCATACCGGACGCATTCGTTGTCTGGGAGCTTGGTTTTATTCTTTTTCACTTCCACACGTGTGTGTTCTCGAGGAGACACGCGCAGAGACAGACAGAGAGATATGAAATATACAGCTTGAAGGGTAGCATAGAAGCCCTCGATGAGCTATTGGAATGAGAAACGTACACCGCAGTCTTTGTCTTGAGGTGTATCTAGTGCAATTTCTCTAGGTATCTACGCCTTGGTCCTTTTTTGTCCGTTCCGGTGACGCCGGCTTCCTGTACAAATGAATGGGCCATAAGAAAAGCCCGTGAACCATGCCGTAGTCGTCGTCATCATGCTTCTTCTGCCCGATCGAAAAACCCGGTCTCTCGTCATCCATCAAACGCTCACAAGTTGCTCTCCATGCCGATGGGAGCTTCAAGAGAAGAACTTGCTGTAGGCAGCCTTCTCCTTCTGGCGCCTCTTAGCCGCCGCGCTCTTGACGGCCGTCAGCTCCTTGGTGATGGCGGCGTCGCCGGGGACCAGCTTGTTGGCCTCCTCGAGGTCGTTGAGGGCCTCGTCCTCGTCCTTCATCTGGATGCTCGTCAGGGCGCGGCGGTAGAGGGCCTTTGCGCGCTCGGCGTCGGTGATGCCGGCGACCTCGAGGGCGTTGCAGGCGGCGGCGCGGGCGTCGCCCCAGTGCCGGAGCTTGATGTTCATGAGGGCCGAGTTGCTGTTGAGGGTGAAGCGGACGGCGTCCATCTTGGCCTTTGTGCCCTCGGGGGCGGCGTCGAGGTCCGGGTCCTCGTTGAGGTAGCGCAGGCCCTTGCTGTACTTGTCGAGCGCGCGCTCGAACTCGCCGGCCTTGAAGGCCTTGTTGCCAAAGTCCTTGCAGTCGGTGGCGATCTTGAGGACCCTCTCGGCCGAGAGCTCCTTGTCGCCGTCGGCCTCGTCCTCGGGGTAGTCCTCGTAGGCGTCGCCGAGGGCGTCGGGCGCCTTGGGCGCGTCGCCGGGGATGTCGTCGCCGGTGAGCTCGCCGCAGTCGGCGATGACGGCGTCCTTGGCGGGCTTGTCGCCGGACTGGGTGGGCAGGTTCTCGATCTGGCGCACGATGGACTTGCCCGAGATGACCTCGCCGAAGACGACGTGCTTGCCGTCGAGGTGGGGGGTCTTGACGGTCGTGACGAAGAACTGGGAGCCATTGGTGCCTGCGGACGAATTGCGGAGTTAGCTTCGCGGTCGACCCCAGGAGAAAGAAATCGATGCAGCGAATCGAGTGATTATACGAGGGAGCTAGCTTACCGGGTCCGGCGTTGGCCATGCTCAGCAGGAAAGGCTTGTCGTGCTTGAGCTGGAAGTTCTCGTCCTCGAACTTGGTGCCGTAGATGGACTCGCCGCCGGTGCCATTGCCCTCGGTAAAGTCGCCGCCCTGGATCATGAACTGCTTAATCACACGATGGAAGAGCGACCCCTTGTAGTGCAGGGGCTTGCCCGACTTGCCGAGGCCCTTCTCGCCGGTGCACAGGCAGCGGAAGTTCTCGGCCGTCTTGGGGACGATGTCGTCGTAGAGCTCAAAGGCGATGCGGCCGGCGTTCTTGCCGCCGATCGTGATGTCGAAGAAGACGCGGGTGCGGCTCTTCTTGGCCTCTTCGGTCGCCATGCTGATCTGAGGTGTGGGGAGGTTGGTTTTGTCTTTTGCGAGTGCGCTGAGAGCGGAGAGCTGCAAAGAGAGAGAGAGAGAGCTCTCGAAATGGTGAATCAGGCTCGGGTGACAATGAAGGAGGGGTAGGAGTCAGTCAGGGCTGTGTGCTTTTTGCGCGAGTTGGTCGCTTGGCGCCGAAAAGAAAAGTCACGCTGCTGAACAGAAGAGAGTCTGCAATTGATCTGACAATACAGGTGAATGGCTTCTAAGAATATGGTCAACAGACCTGGATCGGTTGCAGTTATGGGCAGCTTGTCTGAGGGCCAGGCAATCTTCGGGAATCTTCTATGCCATTGTTTGGCTTCCACCTCTGGTGGGGCAAGACTCCCCGAGGACAAGCCACTAGCTACAGTGGATTGGAGCTGTCTTCAGAGGGACAGTCAGCTTCCATTCCCGGCGTCCCGGCGTGGGGTAAGGTACCTACCTACGTGCTTTCACTCCATTGACAAGACGATGAGACCATAGGTACCTTTCGACTGCCAAGAAAGATCAGGTCGAAGCTGGACATCTTTGGTCCAGACAGCTACGCAAGCTTCGATCTTGTTACCTGGCAATTCTTCACTTGATTGAATATGCAAAGGTTTTTAGATAACAAATCGATCATGAATCTATTTCAGGAAACGGTGCCTCGTCAACAGTAGTGTCTGGGAGATACCTAGCGACGACGAAGACTCCCGGCCAGTACCGAGTGTAGGCTTCACTTCTCTATTTGTCTGTTTCTATGTCTAGTCATATCTGCATCCCTTCCCACATATCATCGTTACCTACTTGCCTACTCCTCGCAGAAACTACTCGTAACATTACATCGTCTCATGTGATGTCCAGCATTCCCATCCATCCCGCTCGACGAGGCTACTGTGTGCCATCGGCACTTGGGCCATCTGTCTTGGCAGCAGGTTTCTTCTCGGCCTTCTTCTCGGGGCCTTTGACTGTAGGCGGAGGGTTTGCATTGAGTTCCAGCGTGACCTTGGTTGCCTTGTCAGTCTTGGAAGAAAAAGAACTGAGCCAATCTTAGGTGTGTTATGCTCAAGCACTTACCGGACCGTCATTTACGAGGGCGACCTCCATCATGGCCTGAAACACGCCATCCTTGACCTTGTCTGCATTGTAGCCATCCCGCACTTTTTGCAAAAAGTAATGATACAGCCTCTTGGCTTCGGGACCGCCCTGAGCACCGTGGAAGTCTGGCTTGCTGCCCTTCTTCGTTGAGGCTAGCAGAGTAAACTGTGATACACAGAGAACTTCTCCCTCGATGTCCTGGACACTGTGCTTCCACCGGCCACCGGCCTCATCGTCCCAGAGTCTCATCTTGACCACCTTGTTTGCTAGACTGTCGGCCTCTTTCTCTGTATCACCCGGAGCAACAGCAGCAAACACGAGAATGCCTTTGCCTATGGATGACACTACCTCCTTGTCCACCGTGACCGAGGCGGAAAGAACACGCTGGAGGATCGCTGAAAAGCATGTCTCATGTCAGCGATAGGGAACTCAGCATCCCGGGGCTTGCCATTTGGGAGACTCACCCTTCATTGTGACTCGGCCCGGGGTCGCTTCTCCTCGTTGTTTGCGCACAAGTGGCAAGTTGCTTATTCAATGCAACTACAAGGGCCAGAACCGGCCTATTGTCCCTCCCGGGTTGCTTTTTCTACAGCCCCAAAAGCGGCTTCAGTCATAGCCTGCATGCAAAACAAGCAAACGGCACAAAGGGGAGGTGTGTGTGTGCTAACAGCTAGCAGCCTGGCCCGGGCGAGGACTTGTTAGTGCAGCCTCGGAAGACGTTATCAAAAGCAATGAGGTCAAAGTGGGGACCTGATGGAGAGGCGCAGACTTTTGCTCTGATGAACTGGCGTTTTTGTCCAATTCAGCTGGCCTGGTGGAACCGCACACCAGATGCAGCCGTGTTTGGCCCATGCAGCCTCCCACCCACATGTCACTCCCGGCTCGTCCAGATAGTGCTGTCAGTCTCTCCAAGAGGGAAAACGCCCTGTGATCAGCTCCTTGTTGGAAATTAAAGGCAAAAGATAAAGTCAATGAAGTCCCTCAATTGACTTTCTTCTCACAAATTCCTCAGATATCCCCAATCTCATTGTTAGCGAGCATCCCCAGGTCCTCAACCCCTAACAAGGCCAGCCTGAGGATACAAGTGGGGGCCCATTCCACTAAGCCAGGCCCCTGCAACCGCCCTACTGCACCTGTGTGATGCCTTTGATTGCTTGTTGGCGATTCAGAACACCAAACAGCCTCATCCAGTCGGATACCCAGCAGCTGCGCTGTCATCCTGCACCCCCCCAAACAGCCAAACCACCCGCGCTGGGCGTTCTCAACACCAGTGCCTGTATTTTCGGTGCCGGCCCCCATTTGTACGACTCCCAGCCCGCCGCCAAGCAAACTTCACCGAGTACTGACATTGAGCTTGTGAAAAGCTTAAGGACCAGCCAGCCGACGACCATCACGAGCTCTCCCTCATCCCCCTCCCCCTCCACACCCAGCCTCTGATCAATCTCAAAACCCATCGTCGCAGTCATCGACCGGCACCATGGCGGCAAGGAAATTGCAGCAGGAGGTGGACAAGTGCTTCAAGAAGGTGGCGGAAGGCGTCGCAGAGTTCGAGGGCATCTACGAGAAGATCGAACAGTCAAATAACCCGGCGCAAAAGGAGAAGCTCGAGGACAACCTCAAGCGCGAGATCAAGAAGCTGCAGAGGCTTCGTGACCAGATCAAGACATGGGCAGCAAGTAACGATATCAAGGACAAGGCTCCTCTATTGGATCACCGGAGGCTCATCGAAACGGTTCGGCCTCTCTCTCTCTCTCTCCCAAGGGGCACACGCACGCGGGCTCTGGTCTACCAGAAAAGTACTGACGTTTCAAAATAGCAAATGGAGAAGTTCAAAGCGGTCGAGAAGGCGATGAAGACCAAGGCCTACTCTAAGGAAGGCTTGTCTGCAGCGGCGAAGCTGGACCCCAAAGAGCAGGCCAAGGTAGAATGCGGCGAGTTCCTGAGTAGTCAGGTCGACGAGCTGGAGCAACAGATCGAGGCCCTCGAGGCCGAGAGCGAGTCGATACAAGCCACCATGAAGAAGGGCAAGGGCCAGGCGGCCAAGGCAGAGCGGATAGCCGAGATCGAGGCCTCCATCGAGCGGCATAAGTGGCATCAAGGGAAGTTGGAGCTGATTCGGAGATCTCTCGAGAACGGCGGTGTCGAGGTCGAGCAGGTCAACGAGCTCGAGGAGAGTATACGGTACTATGTCACCGACAACATGAACGACGACTTCATGGAGGATGACACCATGTACGACGACCTGGCGCTGCATGACGAGGAGGATGCCTACGGCATGAACCAGGACGGCGACAAGGGATCATCACAAGACACGCAATCAGTGCAGGAGGAGACGATAGAACCGGAAGTCAGGGCGCCGAACGTCACGAGTGGGAAAGCGCGAACACCAGCGACCGAGGCCGTGGCAGCGTCATCGGGGAGGAGGCCATCGGCGCAACTCAAATCGCCCTTACCAACACTCGCAACACTACATACTCCGCTGCCTACGATCGGCAATGGGGCATCAAGCAATTCCGCTATGAAACCGGCAGCGCTACCCGCGCGACCTGCTGAGGGTCTCAAGTATGCCTCTGCCGCTGCCGCCGCGGCTGCGAGTGATAAGAACAGCGTCGGGATTGCACCGTTACCGCCACCGCCATCAGCAACACCTGCACAAGTCAGGACGAGCGCAGCGAATTCTCCGAGCATAGCTTCCATACAGCCTGCTCAGGTCGCGCCGCAGACAACTCAACCCACAGCCGCACCAACGAGTACCAAGGCCGAGGGCAAGTCCAGTAAAGCACTGGGCAAGGCAGCTGCCGCAGCCGCAGCCGCAGCAGCAGCGTCCACGCCGGCGGAGATGGCGGGTTCCTCAAAAGGTAATGCCGAGTCGTCTTCGAATGAACAGAATGAACCTCGGCTAATAGCATCATCATCATCAGCAGGCCACGCCAACGGCATGGCAAACGGCGTCAAGGCGGCACCGGCTGCGGTAGCAGAACAAGAGGAGGAGTCGATTTACCACCTCCCGGCATCTCTGCAAGATCTCGTCGAGTCTTTCGAGGCGGGCAAGAAGCGTGCCGCGCCGGCGAACTCGGCGGCGTCCCTTCTCATGCTCGCTCACTCGCAGGCCACCGCGCCAGACACGACAGACTCTGAGGCGCCGCGGGGTTACCAGCCGGATGTCAAGTTTCAATCGTCCTCTCAGTACCCCCAGGAGCCCCTCAGCATCTTTGACGACCCGCGTCTGTACAACCGCATCGAGCCGGACACGCTGTTCTACGTCTTTTACTACAAGCAGGGCACCTACCAGCAGTATCTCGCGGCCAAGGCGCTCAAGGACCAGAGCTGGCGGTTCCACAAGCAGTACCAGACGTGGTTCCAGCGCCACGAGGAGCCCAAGAGCATCACGGAGGAGTTTGAGCAAGGCACCTACCGGTTCTTTGACTACGAGAGCACATGGTAAGTGCACCTGTTATAAAACACCGAAGGACCCTAGCATTGCACGAGAACGCATTACTGACAGCACCATGCAGGATGAATCGGAGGAAGGCAGACTTCAAGTTTGCCTACAAGTTCCTCGAGGACGACGTCTAGACGTTGTGTCTCGCTCGGGCCTCCCACGTCATTCTTACTCCCTTTTTCGTCGTCTTGTTAGGTGTCTGGCCTCACTTTCCCTCCATGTTCGGCTAGATGCCATCCAATCGATCTCGCCTGGTTTTTTTCGTTGTCTTTTTACGGTCATGCCTCCTTTCTCTGGGCATTGTGGGAAAGGGCAATTCCCCGGGGGGAAGCGGGCTGGCCCTGTTGAAATGGTTGAAATGGTTGGGTCTGCATTCGTCGTCAGATGTCAGATGTCAGATGTCCTGTGTGTGGGTGTGTGTGTTTGTGATATTAGCTCTACTTTATTCTGAGCCGTCTACAATAGAGAACGGTCTGGGCAGCAGGGCGTCTCTGCGTGTCTCCATCTTCAGCTGCCTCCATCGATGAAGCCTCGTCCTTCACATGCTTCACATGACTGCAGCATCTTGTGTCCATCGGTGTCGATGTCCGTCCGAAGCTATTGGTTGCCACCCATTACTTTAGTCTAGCACTCGGCTTCAAGAAAGTGCAGCTTTCCCTGGCACCCATCTTGTGCCAAAGCAATTGGGCAGTCGCATATTCGCGCAACGGATGAGCTGCGATCGCTTCCGAGCAGGAATACGTGGCAGCACCCCCCACACCTCAAAGCGCTCCCGCTCTTGGTATTATCTCCCACGAGCAGAAAGTGTAACTCGTGTGGTCTGCGAGATGCATGCATTGATGCCTTTCGGTCGTGGTTGGCGACTTGATGCCCAAAGATTCAGCAATATATGAAAGCCACAGTCTGCCCGGTTGCCTATTGCGTGCTCTCTTTTCTGCCGCGCCCGGGCTGACTTGCTCCTTTTTTTTTCTAGAATCTTGATTTTTCTATAGCACTCCCTCGATCCTACTTCGCCCCTGTACGACACCAGAGTTATGTATGTCTAATGGGAGGGGTCTCTGCTCCAAGGGACATTTCGGTCTAGATCTCACACACACACACCCTTGCCGGCGACGATCTCCGTTCATCCGCTACCATGGGAGCGGTTCAAGAGGCCGGTTCAATCACGATGACACACGTTTACAGGTCGTCGTCCGCCCTGGCGAAAAGAGGAAATAATAGGAAGAAGCAGAAGCCTCAGATGCAGGGGTCGAGGGGTGAGGGATCTTCGACCGGGCCTTGACCGAGCTCTCTGAATGGAAGGGCGCAGGTGAGGGGTTATGCGTGCGGGTGTGCTCGAGCTACGCTGTCTTGCTGCTCGCTTGCTCGCCCCGTCTTGTTACCGAAAAAAAGGGGCGAGTGCTCATCTTTGGAAACAAGGCGAGCGGCATGATGAGGTGCCGGAGCTTCAAATGTGCTATTACTTTTGAAAGAGAAGAGGGGAGAAAAGATGATCACGATGGTATCAAGAAAGATGACCACCGAGAAGTCGAACAGGCAGGTCCCCTGCACTGGACGGGGAAATGGTCCAGGCCTGCGCCACTCGTGCGCTGTGACGAACTGACAGGACAGAGGGAAGTAGTGATCGACGGTTCCTTCCACGTGTGTGTACAGTGACAAGGGGGAACAACGAGTGTTTTTGCAGAGAGGAACAACGACGAACGGTCGTTCAACTTCCCCGTTCCACCATCCCCGAACATGCGTTCTAACGGCCCTCCAGATGATGGCTTACCACCATTCGCACTTTCGCATTCAATGGAGAAAATTCGGCGATAGAGATGATGTTATGCAAAACTAGGAAAAGAAGCAAGCGTCAAAAAAAGATGTCCATCTATGCAGCAGGGAAAAGGACGCAATGCGCGGCCCTACCGCGGCACGCGCGAGTCCTCCAGCCCCATCCGGAGTCGTTGCGAGATAGGCCGAGCAGGAGCCCGGGGTCCCCAATTGTGAGAATCGAGTTTCTAGGTCATTCATTGTTCATCGCGATTCTTTCCGCTCTGAAAGCGATGATTGCTGTGGTTGGTCACGACTGACAAGTCGCAGTTAGGCAACACTGAGGCTGCGGCTTGGGCATTTCTCAAGGCGCAAACCACCCCGCAACACTGCCCTATGGCATGGACGTATCAAATCCCAAAAGCAATCCAAGCCCTTCTTGGAAATCGGGGAAGCAGTTACACTCGACAAGAGGCTGAGTCATAAGAGGGACCTCTGCCAGACACGCGGGCCAAGTGGCCGGCGGTCGGCCAGCAAGTCCATCAGGCTGCGGCTGTGCCAGATACCACGGCCATCAGCCTCAGCGACATACAGCTCACTCGCGCGCCCTCCACTTGACGATGTATCTGCCATCTCTTGAATAAGTACATTGTTCTTTTCAGAACTCTCTGCTACTAAGCTGCGCTGCCCCACGACGAGGGCGCTTGCAGAGTCCTTGCCAGCCGGCTTCGGCACATCAGATGGGACCTACAGCATTGTATCGGACCCTCATCCCTGGCTCGATTACTTGAGACTGAACCTCTCAAACATTGAAACACCCCTAGTGGACGCAGTTCGGGGCTGTCCGCATCTTGGCTAGGATCGTTGTCGAACTAGCACCCCCAGGCACAGCATCGGCCACGGCGTCTCTCTCCAGGGTGGACCACGAGGCTCACTACCGCGCCTCGACCTCTGTCTTCATGTGATCCTTGACACAATCATAGTTGACAACATTCTTTCTTTCTATGGGTGCCTCGTTTTTGACGATAGGCGCGGAAGCGTTCCAGATTCCGGCCTCAGTAGCCACGATCTTGTCGGAATACTACCCTCATACACCTCCTGCGCCTCCGCTCTAGGACCTGATTGGTCTGCGTCTTGTTTATACCCTCGCTACTACACCGAAACTACTTAAACGTGTTTCCACTACAGGTGGTCTTAGTTCGGGGTGTGCCGCCGGTGGCTTGGTAAACCCCTTACAACGTGCAAAACAAATGTTCATGGAAGTTAATGCCAGCCACGTCTGCACTTGCTTGTAACGCACGTCAACGGCGATCTCGAGGCAGCCATGGCTTCCCCATATAATCGAGTAGCAACTTCAGGTGTTTGCCCTCGTTCTGTTCGCTTCGTGCTTCGTGCCTCATTGCTCAGCCATGACCCTCAATCTGCACGATCTATCTCTGCTTCAAACCCGAGTGGTTGACAGCGTGTTGTTGTGGTCCACGCATGGCACCCTTTTACAAAGCCCCCTCACCGTCTTAAATTTGAGCACACCCATTGCTCGCCTCACCTTGATTCGGTGTATCGATTCTGAAATCAACGCAGACTATAACTTGAGCAATACACATCCATCCTGACACACATCCTCCACCCCGTCGTGCCCACTCAGACGACTCCCAGACATCAACAACACCAGCTCACAAGGATATATATCTGAATGAACCTATCTCTCGAACTGCTCGACACTCCTCGTCTATGAACTGTGTCTTCAGATAGCAGCTTCGTCTGGCACCCACCCCATCCTTCTCATATAAAAATACAATGCACCGGCATACAGAACGGTGATACTACCTCAGATAATCAAGCATATATATAATAAGGAGTGAGCATTCTTCGCCATGAGCTACCAGCACTACCAACACTACGGCCCGGTGTCGCCCGATGGTCGCTACTACTATCCCACTACTATGCAACGCTCAGGTTCTGGTGCCAGTACCGGGACTTCCGCTTCTGACTTTTACTCAGGGGGAGACATGCAACAGTCTCCCTACACCGAATATCAGGGGTAGGTCGAAAGTCTTTTTTCTATTCTCCACAAAGACAGGGGAATACCAAAGAGCTAACACGGTGCTGCCCGCCAACCACAGGTCCGAGGAGGAGCAGGGCCCGTCCAAGAAAAGGCGCGGCGGCGGCGCCGAGAAGGAGAAGAAGTACGCCTGCCTCTTCAAGGACTGCATCAAGAGCTTCGCGCGCAGCGCCGACCTCGACCGGCACATGCAGCAGGTGCACGGCTGCTCGCAGAAGGAGCACCGCTGCGACTACCCCAAGTGCCAGCGGCACCAGAAGCCCTTCCACCGGCTCGACCACTACCGCGACCACCTGCGCGACTACCACAAGGAGGACCTCATGAAGCGCAACAAGAGCGGCCTTCCGGACGGGTGCCGCGTCGACCGGGGCTGGTGGCGCTGCAGCAACAGCAAGTGCCTCGCGCGGGTCTACGTCGACGAGTGCGGCTGGGAGTGCCCGCAGTGCCAGCAGCCGTGCGAGAGGGCGCGGATCGAGCTCCGCTTGAGAGCTTAGGCTCTGGAGACGTCACTTGTCGCGGCATACCTTCGATCTTTCGGTCGTCTTCTCTCTTTTCAGAAGGGGGGCCAACAAGCCTCACGGGCATCTGTCCGAGGTGTCGTCTGCTCTCCTCTCTTCTTCGAGCTTGCTCCCGGTATCAACTGGAGATACCTACCTGCTCGCTTCGCTCATTGACACTGCTCAGGGGGTAACATTTTAGAGAGCAGTGTCCGGAAACGGCCTTACGATCTGTACGGATGGTGTTGGAATACCTGTTCTGATTGCTCGAATTACGAAATGCCGCTGCCCTCCGAGACGCTGTCAGTTGGGCCAGCCAATTGGTTGAGCCTCATTGTGCCTTTTCCGACCAGGCTGAGGAGGCCTCAAACCCCTCCCGACATCACTCTATCGCACGCTTTTGCTTTCCTCCTTTGACGCTATACCACGTCTCCCTCGCTCCCATCTCATCTCATCTCACTCGTTCTTCTTGATTAAAAAGGAAACCAGGATGTTTGGCTTACTGCTTTTTGGGTCTTCCATTTCGCGGCGCTTATTGTCTGGGTGCATGGGACTCGGGAGTGGCTTGCGGTACGCAGGCACACACGCAGGCGCACTCAGATCGGCGTTCTTCTTTTTTTTCTCCTCTCCCCGTGGTAGGGGCAGCCTGTGCTGGGGTGGTGGAATTGGAGGCTCAATCTTTTGCGTCCGTTCTCTTTATTCGTCCTTTCCTCTCTCTCCATTTCTTTCTATCACATAGACAACGTTCCGGGGAGGACTTTTGCATCACCCCCCCCTTCCGCTTACGGAAAGTGTGCATGGCATGTGGCGCAGGGCGTTTAGACTACAGGCGGGAGGGACATGTGTGTGTGTGTGTGTGTGTGTGTGTGTGTGTATGTGTGTGAGCGGGAAACGGGTCCGAGGAGTCTGCATGCAAGCCAGGAAGCAAGCAAGCAAGCTGCAGGGCTTTTCTTCCTTGGACCTGGGAAAGTGGTGTGGTACGTTATGGGATTGCGGGACGGCAGGGAAGACTGCCTCGCCCAGTCCTGTTCGTTCGTTTTCTCAACATTGATATCTTAGATACCCAAATAATGACATTTTATGACTGTGCAAATGCCGCAGAGAGAGAAAGCCTCGCATAGCACGGGAAAGAGTGAAATACGGCTGGCCTAGCCCGTAGGCAGCAGCAGGGCAGCAGCATGCATGCCATGCTGCTGCGGTGGGAACGGGTATGCAGGCCCGCGGGTGGTGGTGGTGGTGGTGGTGTGGGTGGGATCGTGGAGCTCAGCCTTGCCTGCTCGATCTTTGGGCAGCTGCTTGGTCTGCCGTCATCGTGTGGTTTTGCTGGCTTGCCTCTTGCACTTGTCGCCCCTCCTTCTCGTCCAGACCTGATTACACGGCAACCTTGCTGCCTGGTGAGGCTCTTTTCATCCTGCACTATCATCCGATACCGAGCACCTGAGCTGTTCTTCTGAGTTGAGGCTTTCTAGTGCGTCTTGGAACTGAAATCAGAGTGCGCAACTTTGTAAACTACGAGACCATCGCTCTGTACATTGTACTGCGGGAAATCCAGGCAATCCGTGAAGTGGAGGCAGTGCCTTTGATGTTGAGGTCCGGCCGCTCCCGGACGGGCCGACCTATGCAGTCAGTAATAGATGCCTGGTTCTATTGGCAGCATTCTAGATACTTCAAGCCCCAATCGTTTCGAAGCGCTCCTATCCAGTGAACGTGAGCAATACCGCCCGCGGCTCCCATGTCTCGTACGGAGCCCATCCTGCAGTGTATCATACATCAAACCTCCTCGTCTATGTGCCCGCTGACTATGTCAAGAGTACAGTGCTAGAATACAGCTCCCCCCTTTGCTTTTGCGATCGAGGTCCACCCTTGTTTAGAATGTACACATTGCCCGTGCCCAGCTATGGTGTGTCTCTTCACAGCCCTTCCTTGGCAAGCATGTCTGCAATATCAAGATAGAAGGCAATGGCGTTGAACCTGGGCAGCAGCAGCAGCAAAGACTCATCAGTATCCTTTCCCGCCAGCCCGTGCAGCCGTGTCAGTAGCAAAAAAAGAAAAGAAAAATACTCACATCTTATCTTGACCCATCCACTTCTTGACAGCCCACCTAAGCCTGTTACTCCAGTTGATCAGGTCCAGGTGGCTCACGTCGACGAGCGTGCCCTTGTACGCGCCCCACTTGCTGCTCTGGACGCTGACGAGCCCGTCGTTGGGGCCCTCGAGCTGCTCGATGACGCGGTGCGACTGGCGGAACGGGCTGAAGAGCGGCGGGCGGCCGCGCACCATAGCGCCGTAGGAGAAGTACCGCACGGCCGGGTCGTCGGGCGTGGCCGGGTTGAACTCGCGCTCCATGTACCGGCGCGTGAGCTGCGCGAAGGCGCCGGTGCCGAAGCCCGTCGTGCGCTCCCACAGGGCGTAGGCGCGCCGCAGGTTGGCGGGGCCCAGCATCTCGTCGATGAGGTAGTCGGCGAAGGCGCTGCCGTGGTGCGGCGTGGCGACGGTGACGACGGAGCGGACGCGCACGCCCCGCGGCCGCAGGCGCGAGGCCATGTACCGCGCGTCGAGGCCGCCCATGCTGTGCGCCACGATGTTGACGCCCGAGGATACGGTATCGTCCTCGGCGGCGGCGGCGGCGGCGATGTCGTCGCTCAGCTTGGCGGCGCGCTGCTCGATGGTGCCCGAGGGCGGGACCGAGGCCGTGATGACCCTGGCGCCCTGGGCCTCGAGGGCGGCCTGGATGCCGTGCCAGTACTGGATGGCGGGCAGGTAGTCGCCGGCCAGGCGCAGCTCCGAGAAGCCCAGGAGCCCGTGGGCCAGGACGATGGGGTGCCGGGGCGCGTCGTAGTGCTTGCGGATCTGGGCGTACTCGTCGGCGATCTCGCGGCCGAGGTCCCGGATGCGCGGGTCTTGGCTCCCGCCCTTGTCACCGCCGGTGCCGGAAGTGCTCCGGTGCGGTGCCGAGACGGCAATGTGCCGTGCTGTTGCTGCTTGGCGGCGCGAGGGGGGGCTACCTGGCCATGGTGAGGGGAATGGCTGGGGTCTGTTTGCCAGTAGCAGCAGCGACGAGGAGGAGTGGCGCCATGGTGACCCAGGCACGAGAGTCTTCATCTCTCACCCACATCCATGTGCGCCGGCTGAGGTGCAACTGCCGAGACCTATGGGATGCTGAGCGCCAATCTCAATACTGCCTGCCCTCCTACTCGTTGATTAAGAAAACCCAGACTTTCACGTGGTGGCCAGGCGTAGTGGAAGCTTGACAGTCCTCGGCAGGATCCGCGAGTTCATTCTTCCTTGACGTCACGCGCGCACGCCCGCTCGAGACGGGAGCAGGCCGCCTAGTGGGAAAACTGTCACAAAAATTAGCCGCCGAACGGCCCCCAAATCTCGTTACAGTGGATGTGACGGACGAGAAACAGCCCTGGAGAACAGCGGGTCGGCTTCTTATTAGCGTGTTTAGCCCTACGGCCTACGGGTTAGCGTCCGTGCCCCCTGTTCGTCAATCCTCAACCACCTGCTGGTTTGAGAAGACTGGCACAGATGTCTGTGGAGGAAAGGGGAGCAGGTCATCATGGTCAGGAACACTTCAAAGTCTCATTCAGTGCAGCTGTTACAATGCATAAAGCCCTTTGAGAGAAACCGAGGTAGTGCACTGTGTGTTTGTGCTGTGAAAGGTGAGGGTTGCCGAATGGTCAGCACAGGTTAGTGTCCAGAATCCCGTACCCTCCCTCGTCCAGCATGACTTTTCTATCCCTGATGGCCACTCGCCGGCAAAGACTGTTCCTGAATCAAGACCAAAGTCTTTGGTCGTTCGTGTTATCAACTTTGTTAGGTATCATGAGTGTTGTGGGGTAGCACCTGCCGTGATGGGATACTTCCTGCGCCAGTCCAACACGAAGCTCTACTATCGATATCCGGGAAAGAGCACATGCAAACATCTGGACCCTCTTCCGAGAGAGGACTCCCACTCTGTTTCAACTCAACCCTCCACCATCCGCCCCTAGCCGAATGCGAAATGGAAATGCACGTAACTCCGTACATCTCGAGAGCTGGCTGCCTGATTAGGCCTCGAGATGGAGGGCTGGGGTACCTAGTATCTTCCGATCTGCGCTCTGCAGCCAACAGCATCGCGGCGCAGCCCTCCAGCACACACCAGGCCCGCAGCATCCGATCTTCCGCTATCTCCTCTTCCCTGCGCTGATCGAAAATGAGGCCACTCTAATAAGCGCCCATGCAGGCCAGCCGTTGGCAGAATTGGTGTCAACTCGGACCAATCAGTCGAACGGACATCTTCTGCCACTGGATCTAGGATCATGCCAGTCATGGCCAAGGAACAATCCGTCAAGGCCTGGATCGAGCAGCTTCGCAGATCTGCAGTCCAAACTTCCTCATATGCTTCACGAGTAGCATTGAGGATTCGCGGTTGGCAAGCTTGGCTTCCCCGGAAGACCCGCCGGCGGGAGGGCTGATGATCGCTGCAAACATGTTTGTTTGCTCTGGGCCGCCCTAGACGGCCGCCCTCCACAGAACGAACGCGTGACAACAGAAGAGTTGTGCGTCCCGAAATGGACACCCAGCTGCTGTTGGCTGCACGAAAGATATGCTTTATGGCCTGGCCCCCAAAACTCTGGGGGTGGCCCGCCACCGTGAAGGCCTTCGTGTTTCCCCAGATCAGGGGGGTACTTTGTACAGCAGAAAACGAAATAAGCTGCGGCAGATCCACCATTGGACAAAATCACACCCTTGCCTCGCGTCTTGGACCAACGAGCAGAGGGCCGTGGATTGATTACTTGCTGCATATGCTCGCAGATTGAGTAAAAGGTGGGCGGAGTTTGCTTGGCTAAAGTCAGACAAGGGCACAGAACTCGCGTCGTGATTGGCGAGGGCCTCGAGACGCCCGGGGCCGTTGGCGGGAGTACCAGAGCATCGGATCCTCCGTTGCAACGGTGTGCTTAGCTCCTGAGGCCAGTCAAGTTGCTGAACCCCCCCGACTCGAGGAGTGAGAGGGTGCTCTTGCTGCCCGGCCCGTACTCCAGAGGCCCATTTGCCCACCACCTGCCTGTTTGCTTGAGATGGAGGGTTCGGCCGAGTCCACACCCACATACTCCGTAGGGTTCACGCCGCATCCTATCCGAGTCGATGCTCTGATGGGGGCCACGGGAGCACGGTGAGGGAGCGTTGCACCACATCGGAGCCTGGTCTGCCTGCCCTATCAGAATGGACCTTGGCCATTGTCGAGATGAGGGAACAAAATTCAAGCCACCCACAAGAAGAGGGTGTAGAGCAGACCCTCCGTTGGGGGTTTCCCACACCACGGCCTTCTCGTCCTCCTTGTGACGCTGCACACTCCTGCTTTGCTGCTCGCCTGCAGCCGGTCTTATCCCTCACGAGTTCCCAACTGAATGCTGGATAAAGTGACGGCAACTGGGGTTCGACCTAGAATGCTACACGCATATTGCTTTCCCTGCACTCCGCAGCAATAGCACTATATCCTGGGCGCCTAACTACGATATGCAAGGTTGAACCAGAGCCCTGGGTCGTACTGTGTCGTTGGTCCTGCACTCGACAAAAGCACTCACTCCCGGATGCCAAGCTATAACTGCCAGCCACGGCACACTACCATCTGCCGAACTCTACTTCGTCGTCCTTCCTCTCATCGTTACTCTTCCACCTTTCCTCGCCAAGCACCTCCTCCGGTCATCTCGCTATTCCAGGGGCCAAGGCTTTTGAGTCTTCAGATGTAGAGACCGAAACGCCCTCTGTCGACAGGCCTCTGCCCGTTCAAGGCACTTCCACGACTTTGACCGGGCAACGAAGTTCAGTATTTTGACAGCCACCATGACCAGCCTCAACCCGGGAGACTGCACGGCGGCGACCTGCCCCGTGGCAGGCGGCTTCCTGTCCTCGCCGCCGAGCCTCGAGGGCAGCGCCGTCATGCTGGCCGCCTCGGCCGTGCTGGTCCCCGTGCAGGTCGTCCTGGGCGTGCGGTACCGCACGCCCCTCTACGCCGTCACGTTCGTGCTCGGCCTGCTCTGCGAGGTCATGGGCTACGTCGGCCGCATCATGCTGCGGACCGACCAGGCCAGCCGCCAGTACTTTGCCGTCTCGTTAGTCGGGCTCGTCATGGGGCCGACTTTCATCAGCGGCGCGATATACCTCGTGCTACCGCACGTCCTCGTCCTCTATGGCCGGGAGCTGAGCCTGGTGTCGAGGCCTCTGTACCTCGGGTTCCTGTTCCTCGCCTTCAACGCGTTTACCCTCGCGTTCCAGGCCGTTGGGTGCTCGTTTGCTGCGAATGGCGCGAGTAAAGGAGAAGTATGTGACCTGCCCCTGCCGTGTTTGGCAGAGCAAATATGCCAGATTCTAGACATCTACTGACCCAGAACCCGATTGCGTGACAGATAACACAAGGCGTCCACGTCCTCATCGCCGGCCTGGGCATCCAACTCGGCAGCCTCATCCTCTTCTTTGTCCTCTACTACTGGTTCATCCTGCGCATCACGCGGGAGCGCCACCTGATCGAGCCCCGGCACTCGGCCGTCTTCCTCTCGACGCACTTTAAAATCTTTGGGCTGTGTAAGTAGAAGGCAGAACCAACAATGAGGGGGGAACCAGTAGCCTTTTCTTACCCCTCAGAGAGCTTCTTCAACACGCTGACCTGCTTCTCTACAGGCCTGCAAATCGCCACAGCCCTGCTCCTCATCCGCACCATCTGCCGCATCGTCCAGTTCGCGGGCGGCCTCGACTCCCTCCTTGCCCAGTCAGAGGTTATGACTGTCGTGCTGGACGGCGCCCTTGTCCTCATCGCCAGCCTCGTGCTCTCTCTCGCCCACCCGGGCGCCGCATTTGGCCGCCGCGCCTGGGCCGAGACCTCCCCCGAGTACAGCAGCAGCAGCATCTGTGACGACGATGGCTACTATTACCACGGCGGCGGTGACGTTAACGCCGCTGCCGACGGCTCCGTGCCGCTGCATGCCTCCTCGCCGCGGTACTGCGGGACCTACGACCAGCACCCCGCGGCGGCGGCGGCGTCGTCGTCGCACGAGATGAAGAAAAAGAAGGAGAGGAAGTCGTGGCGGCATAGCAACAAGCAGTACGGGGAACAGCGGCAGGCGGAGGAGGAGGAGTACCCGCCGCACTACAAGCCCAACATCGGGGCGACGCTATCGAGAAGCGTGAGCGCGAGCGCGAGCGCGCGGACGACGCCGAGGTCCGCGCAGCCGCTGGCGCCGACGTACCAATACTCCCAGAAGACGCCGCCTTACGAGATACCACCCTCGCAGACGGTGCCGTACGTGCTGCCCGGGGAGATATCCCCCCGGTCGGAAGGAACGCGGTCGAACAGGTCGAGCAACCAGACAGCCGCCGCCGGAGGCAGTAGGGGAGTAGCGGCAGCGGTGGGCCTACCGGCGCGGCCGAAGCCGTTGCAGCTCCAGCCGCAGCATCAGCAGTATCACCAGCAGACCAACAACGTGGTCGATCCGGACTCGCTTTGGTAGACTCGGCAGACTGGGCCGGGTCGGCGGCTCCTAGGAGGGCTCTTCGGGGCCAAGGTCCGAGAGGGAATGGGCGTTGGGTGCAAAGTATTTTGGCTTCGAAACGACCAACTGTCTTTTACTCGTTCGTATTCTGAAAGCGATGGATGATCTATTACCATATGGTTTGCGTGGAAGGGGCCAGACATCATGTGATGCAGTGGCAGACTCTAGGAGTCTGCCTCCTCGATATCCGGAGACAGGAAGGTGTGTGCCGGGCATGCACTCTATGCTTGGAACCCCAGTTTGATACCATCAATGAGATACCTTTACACTTCAAAACATAGATCACACCAAAGGGAGCACTAACACAAATTCAGGCTCAACTGTTCTACGCAGCGGAATAAAAGAGTCTTTTGAAGATGTATGGTTTGCGAAGGTGGCGGAGGATCTTCGTTCTGACTTGTTAAGCCTTGAATAGAGAGTGGGAGTACGACGATTGGCTGTTGTTGTCGTGGCTCGCGGCGGCAGCCGGCTCCGTACGTCGGAGCTGCTACTGATTCATCGCTTACCCGCAGAGCGCCGGTACGCGGCGGGCAACTTTGCAGTCCACCACTGAGACGCCGCCTGTCCTATTAAACAAGAACGATAGCTACTTGGCCTTTGGAAGATGAGTGGAATGGCCTTGGACGGTGATGTATGTCATGATGCTAAATGTATGTCACAATGCTAAACGTAAGCCCGATTAATAACGAAAATTTGTGTAAAGTGGTCGTAAATGCCGACATCGTGTGGAGCAGCTGCGGAGTTTGTCTGCCGACCACAAAACCGCGTAGCGAGGACTGAGGACTATCTCAGCGACGTGATCGGGGAGATAGGGACGATTCTTCCAGTCTATACGTGTGAGTTCGGGATACCAGATATCATGTACCTGATCGATTTTGAGACCACGAAAGACTCGAAATATCAAGGCTCCTGCCGCACCACGGAACGCGGGAAGCAACCTTCCGGGTGTCTGCCGCAGAGCAGTCCGGAGCTGGCTCCCCTCTCGCCCACCCAAGTGCCCAAGGGGTTAGTCGATGGAGACAGGACAGCAGGGTGTAGGTATTCATAGACAAGGCCACCGGAGTGAGGGTTCGAGGCAGTTTTGCGAGGGATGGATTACATAAAGACTCACGACGGGCACTTAAGGACCCCGTAAGATGCCGAGTTTGGACCTCCCAGAGGAACGGATGGTTCGGCCAGGACCAAGAGACCCTTTAACTCGACAAGTCTCATTTGATGGACATCCCGAAGAGGCCCGGTGTGGACCGTGGGGGGCGCCACCTTCCAGCGCTTGGCTGTTGCTGTCGTGCGAGCTTGCGTGGGATTGCTAACGACTTGATGCCCGTCTGGGCTTGGTTCGCGAACAAAGAACGTCAAGGGTATGTTTATGTCGGGTATGAAAGACCACACGGAGCTAATGCACGGGAGGACTTTTGATGGTCCGCAAGGAGACACCGAAGAAGGAACCAGGGCCCTCGCTGGAGCTGTTTTTTATGCTTCGTTCAATGACGCCACAACTTATTTATCCTTGGTTCTCGTGGGAGACAGGCCTGTGGGACTCCCCCGGTGACGCCTTGGCAGTGCAATCGTGCTCTCTCCCTCTCAGTTGATGTAGGCTGGACGACAACACAAAAGAGTGAGGTGTAATTCTGGCCCTCTGATTTGCCCAAAGAGGTGTGTCGTTGCGCATTTCCCTGGCTGGTGAGTGGTTGCGTGATGATCCGGCGTACTTGGCTACGGTCGGCTTCCCAGGTTACCATACCCAGGCACTGAACCCCGCCAACGCAGGGCAGCCCAAGGCATTGTGGAGAAGCCCGCACCCCCTCATCGCGCCATGGCGGCCCACCTGGGCTCCCTGTCAAGCCGCCTGTCGTCCCTGCTAATTACCCGCTACAGGGCTGCCCTTGGGAGCCGGAAAAGGTCTTACCAGACTCGCTGTGTGGCCGGCAGAGATCCATGGGAAACTGAGGGGCTTCCAGATCAAACATGAGTAAGGCCAGATCCTGAAGGGAGGATATGCCGGACTTGATACATGTACAAGTTATATCAAAGCGGGACACAGCATTGAGATCGAAACCCCCGTTTGCGGTCCGAGCAAACATCAGTGATTGATGGTGGCCAAGGGCTTATTAGGTTGCCCATCTTGGCGGGTATTGTTCTGCAGTCCGATCCGACCAGCGGTAGTTGCAGGCGGCCGTGTTTCGTCTGGGTGCTGTCGCAGCGGCCAATCACAGCGCGGCCATTGTCCCAACAGAGGACCCCAGAGGCCCCTTCTCGGGGTTTCATTGCGCCTGGAACCACGGCCGCATCGTAACTACGATCGGGTCGAGCCAAGCTCCGGGGCGCCGTGCGCAGGTTTGAGGTTTGGGCAGGCACCTTCCGCATCCGCAATGCCCTTCGTCTTGGGTTTTGCTGGGATGCTGGGATCAAATGTTCCAATGCGGCAACTAACTACGGTGTAGGTACCAAGGCTACCACCACACACAGACACAGACATCAGTCAGTCGAAACTGGCTCACCACCAACCACTCATCAAGCTCAAATCCAGCAACATTGAACCAGCCAGCCAGATCGCCAGGTTATCCGCGATTTCCCCTCATTCTGATTTGGCCCGCTGCCGCCTTCTCCGCGTTGTTGCTGCCCGTGACCACCTGCACTGTGGTTCTGCACACATGTTGTCTTCTTCTGCTGCTGCTGTGACGACTCCTCCTCTGTCTTGAGACATTTTCTTCTCTATCCGTGCTCTCTGAACCTTTGACTCTGTATTCTCTCCTCTTGAAAAGCATCTGCAATTCTGCAACGTCTTACAAACAATACAAATTAGTACAGGGTATTTGTTACACCTAACTACCTGGTGTCTCCATCTCTTGTCTCCCCCAGATCCTCGTTCCTGCAGCTGTGATACGCCACCGCCCCGACGCCGCCGACACGATCCGCGCGACTTTGAGAGCCCCCGACCCACACGTCGTCTCCTCCGCCCTCGCACACCCGTCCTTGCAAGCCTTGGTACTCCTCCAAGCACGCAAACTACACACACAAAAGTCCACACACGATTATACCGCACTACACTACTCCATACCTACCTCGAGACCCACGAAGCTACCGACTCGTCCAAGGAATTCCCACTAGCTAGGGGGGCAAAAGCTCGAGAAAAGATCCCCCCGATCCCGAACATCGTCCTCCCATTCCGCTCGGAACTTGGCCGAAGCCTGCCGCTGTCGCGCGTCGCACACACACTCTGGCCCTGTCCGCCCGCATCCCTAGTCCCAAAAGCCTAGCCGGTCTCTCCCTCGGCTTTCGTTTTTCCTGTGGCTGAGAAATCGCAGTCGAGAAAACCCCCCCTCCCCTTTATAACTCAAAACCGCTGCTTCACCGATCCAATCCCTCGGGGTCCTTTTCTCATCATGTCTCCCGCCGTCGCCGCCTCTGCCTTCCGGTCCGCTGCTCCCTTTATCACCCGCCGTGCTGCCCCCGTCCTCCGCCCTACCGTCGCTCCGAGATTCGTCCTGCCGACATCGGTCTACCTCCGCCAGCCCTCACTGTCGTCGCGCAACATGGCCACCCAGGCTAAGATCAAGGTCAAGAACCCCGTCGTCGAGCTCGACGGCGACGAGATGACCCGCGTCATCTGGAAGGACATCAAGGACAAGCTCATCTTCCCCTACCTCGACATCGACCTCAAGTACTACGACCTCGGCCTCGAGTACCGTGACGAGACCAACGACCAGGTCACCATTGACGCCGCCGAGGCCATCAAGAAGTACCAGGTCGGTGTCAAGTGCGCCACCATCACTCCCGATGAGGCCCGTGTCGAGGAGTTCAAGCTGAAGCAGAGTAAGCCACACCCACACCACCACTGACACTTGCCCTCCCGCTGTTGCATACGCCATGCATGACCCCAAAGCATTGTGCGCCTGCCGATCCCCTCCCCGCACAACTGCGCGACGTTGCGGGGAGAAGACAGCCGCCACATTGCCCCAGGAAAAATCATGGCACGGCAAATACACCGCAACAGTGGCGGGGTGCAACATCGTCCTCATAACGAGACCTCGAGAGAGAAATAAATGAAGAAAAAGAAAGAACCACCAGCTGACCAGATCTTTTTCTTGTCTCACCACAGTGTGGCTCTCGCCCAATGGCACCATCCGCAACGCCCTCGGCGGTACCGTCTTCCGTGAGCCCATCGTCATCGACCGCATTCCCCGCCTCGTCCAGGGCTGGAAGAAGCCCATCATCATCGGCCGTCACGCATTTGGTGACCAGTACCGCGCCAAGGACATGGTCTGCAAGGGCCCCGGCAAGCTGACCATGACCTTCACCCCCAAGGGCGGCGAGCCCCAGGAGGTCGAGGTCTTCGAGTTCAAGAACGGCGGCGGCGTCGCCCAGTCCCAGTACAACACGGACGAGTCCATCACCGGCTTCGCCCACGCCTCGTTCAAGCTGGCGCTCGACAAGGAGCTGCCGCTCTACATGAGCACCAAGAACACCATCCTCAAGCGCTACGACGGCCGCTTCAAGGACATCTTCCAGGAGCTGTACGACACCCAGTACAAGGCCGAGTTTGAGAAGAAGAACATCTGGTACGAGCACCGCCTCATCGACGACATGGTCGCCCAGATGATCAAGAGCTCCGGCGGCTACATCATGGCCCTCAAAAGTGAGTTTTTCTTTTTTTTTTCTCGTGATAGCCTACCTTGGTTTCCAGAATGCTGACAGTGACATAACGCAGACTACGATGGTGACGTCCAGTCCGACATCGTCGCCCAGGGCTTCGGCTCCCTCGGCCTCATGACGTCGGTGCTCATCACCCCTGACGGCAAGACGTTCGAGTCCGAGGCCGCCCACGGCACCGTGACCCGGCACTACCGCGAGCACCAGAAGGGCCGCGAGACGTCGACCAACCCCATCGCCTCCATCTTCGCGTGGACCCGGGGACTGATCCAGCGCGGCAAGCTCGATGAGACGCCCGAGGTCGTGGCCTTTGCCGAGGCGCTCGAGAAGGCGTGCATCGACACGGTCGACGTCGACGGCATCATGACCAAGGACCTGGCGCTGGCGTGCGGCAAGACGGCGCGCGAGGACTACGTCACCACGACCGAGTACCTCAACGCCGTGGAGCGCCGCATGAAGAACGCGCTCAAGGAGAAGTTGTAAAAGACTTGCGTTTTTTTTTTTGGAGATGAAGCGAGATTCTTGGAAAGGGCAATTGAAATCCCCCCCAGTGTTTGGAAAAGAATGGGGAAGAAAAAGAAATCAGAATGTGAAGAAGGGGAAAAAGAAGGGGGAAAAAGTCGCCGAGGGGAAGTAGGATGCAACGGCTTTATCCCCCGTGGGATTGGGAGGGGAAGTTGATGAGTGTGTGAATGGAAGAATGTTGGGGTCAACAACGTGCATCCGATGAGATAAAGGGCGGGGGGAGGGACAGAGACGAGACAACCTGCACCACCACCACGACCAACCCCTCTCTCTCTCACTCTCTCCAAGATGATCCCGCACCCCAAGTTGGTCCGCGCGAGATCGGAGAGATCAAGAGAGACGAAGGAAGAGAAAAAACGAGAAGAGCATTATACTAGATCAGATATATCTTTCTGGATGGGCAATCATCCTTTTGGATCAGCATTTTCTTCTTTTTTTTGCATAGCCTGCATCTACTCTTCTTTTTTCTCCTCTCATCATCTTTCTTTCTTACGTCTTTCGTTGCTCCCCTCTCTGCATATACACTTGATAGACATGTCGTTGCAAAGAGTGTGTAACTTTGTTTTGTGGTGCATTTCTTCGAGGCGAGGATCTCTGCTTGATATCATTTTTTTTTTCTTGGACAAGACAGAAAAGAAAGCATCTAGAGATAAAGACTAGCCTGGAGGAAAGCCAAGAGGGTACGGTACATGTAAAGACGGGAGATTTAAGAGAGAATCGAAGGGATCAAAAGACAGGCCGACTTTTTTGGATGGTTGCACATAGGAGAGGAGGAACTTGCATGCTCAGATACAATTCTCTTTCCCCTTCCCCGCCCTGCACATAGATACAAAAGTTTCAATATCAGATCGAGTGCGTTGGAGCCCTAGCACAGTAGTAGACTTGGAGCATCACTGGTATCACAAACTTCGAAAACGAGGGTGACTGAAAAAATGAGATCTGAAGAAACGATATAGCTTTTGGAATATGACTTTGCCCGACCAAACCAAACCAAACCAACGCCTTTGGCTCCTCCCGCTTCCTGCCGCCGCCCTTGTCTGGTCTCGGCCAATGGGCTGGCCATCAAGCCAAGCCATTCTTTGTATAGATAATGTACACCTTAATTGCTTGCCTCCCGGTACGATTATGGAAAATGGGGAAAGGAAAAAAAAGAGTCCTGTTGCCCATCCCTTCCTCTATCCGCGTGGAACGCCCCCTTCAAGACGCCATATATCACGACAGCCCCAGCTTCAGCTTCAGCTTCAGCGATACACAATGGGCCCAACCCAGTTGTGGCGCTGACTGGTTGGCATCTCAACCTAAGACGCAGGATGCTCTCTCAGACGCTCATCTTACGCTGCGAAGACAACCCCCCTACGCAGCCTTAATACATCTGCTGTGAGACCTCTCAAGCCTCAACATCCTCTCCTTCCCCGCCTCGAGTCCCCTCCTCCCGCCCGTCCTCAGGGGTAGCCCCCTTGGACGCAGACAGCACCGCCCCGCCGTCACTCTTGCGCCCCGCACGCGGCTTGTTGGACGGTGCCCGGCCCGAGGCGGTCTCGACAGCGCCCTCGCTCCGGCGCTTGCTCCGCTTAAGCGGCCGGCTCGCGCCGCCCTTGGGCCGGTACCCGGCGTCGTCGTCGAGGTTGCGCTTGCGCTTGGCCGCACCGCCTCCCCTGCCCCCGCCACCGCCGCCACCACCACCACTGTCGCTATGGTGATGAGCGGTGTCGTCGTCGAGGTAGTCCATGCTCTCGTCCATCGAGTGGCGCTTCCCGCGGCCGCCGTGCGCCGCCGACGCCCGCTTCGAAGCCCGGGCCCCGATGGACCGGCGCCCGCCGCCCTCGTGGTGGTGGTCGCCGCGCGCGCCGGTCGACTTGCGGCCGCGCCCGCTGCTAGTCGTGGTAGACTGGTGATGGTGGTGCGACGTCGAGTGGGCGTCGTCGTCGCGGTCGGCGGGCGTCGTCTCGCCGTCCTGCAGAAAGGTCTTGGGCTCGTGCTTGCGCAGCCAGTTGTACACACTAGTCGGGTTGCGCAGCATGAAGTCGCGGCTCGACGAGGCCGGGTCCTTGCCGGCGCCCACGGCCGCGGCGAAGGAGCCGCCGTTGGCGAGGACGCCGTTGGTCCCGTTGTGGTGGCCGTTGGCATGGGCTGCAGGGGCGAGGGACGGCAGGGGGGAGCCCGAGCGGGGCAGGCGCGAGTCGACTTCGTAGATGTAGTTGTCTAGATCGTCGGCCGAGAGGAACGAGGGCGGGTGCTGCGCCTGCGACGGGTCGATGGCGGGCGAGTCCTCGAGCGGCTGGAGGTCGGCGACGAGCTCTGGGTAGCGCTCGGCCGTGGCGGCGTAGTCGAGGTGCGGGACCTCCTTGAGGAGCTCGGCCAGCGACTTGGCGGGCTTCTCGCCGACGTAGCGCTTGTTCTTGGGGTCGTCGATGTCGAGATGGGGGATGTCCTCGTCGGCGGGCATGTCCAGGCTGACGTCGAAGCGCCTGTCTGTCGGGATCTGGGCCGAGTTGTTGAGGTCGAGGAGGAGGTCGAGAAGGCGACTGATGGGATCGATCGTTAGTCAAATTGAATCTGTGTAGAGAAAGCCAAATGCAGGTGGGACTCACTCGATCTCGACTGCTATCCTCTTGGATGTTTCGATAGCTTTTTGCTCCTGTCTGTGCAGCTCCTCTCCATCGTGCATCTTCTGGTCGAATGTGATTCGCATCTTGCGATACTTCTTCTTCCATGACTTGTAGCCCGGCTTGCTGTCGATCACCTTGCCGTCGTCGCCACCCGCATCCTCCATCTTGACGTCGTGCACTGAGGCTGCGTCGTCGTCCATTTTTGTGCGGGTTGGCCCTCCCTTTATGAGGCTATCGTGATAATTGGCGTTTCGGGGTGATAACGATGCGAGGGGGAGAGGCAATGGGAAGGAACGCTGTGGATGGGAGAAAAGGGAGCGTGGGATGGGGGAGTGGGTAAGTCGAGAAGGAAAGTGTAGATGCGTGGGAAAGAATTGAGAGAATTGGGCAGGGCTGGTGCGTCTCTTTCAGTCAGCCATGATCCTGACAATAGCGCATTCTGGCACAACCGGCGACGCGCGAAGAGTTCACGGGTTCGGCTGGCTGGCCTGCTGGGATGGGATGGATGGGTGGGTGGAGTGAATGAGCCGGGCACCTTCGAGTCCAGCAAACAAACGTGCGGCCCTGTGCTGGCTCAGTGCTGCTTTCGGCGATTCAAACCTTGAACAGCACTGTCTGGTGCAGCACAGTCGGGTGGAATACGGGCGAATGTTGATGCGGTACCGTCCTCGTTTCAGCACTAATGTCAAGTATGGCGCCCCATTGTACAGTGCACATGTGGTCGCTAGGCTGCTAGCTCATCAAGCTCCAGCTCCTGTGGCCTGGCCTGTAATTGGGCGCCTGTGATTGATTGATTGAAATCTCATAGCTCACCTGCACTTGCATGTCATTCATCCACTCTCTTTCAAGCTCTCTCATACCTCGCTTGTTCGCAACGAGCTCATAGTTACGAACTCTTAAAAGATCCGACGGAAGCCTGATCTATCGACATCTTACTCTAGATCAGACTCATCCAAGAAGAAGATCTACACCAAAAAAAGGGAGAAGAGCGAACTTTTGCCCCCTCCTCCCTCCTTCCACCCTCTCATCCTCTCGCACCTCACCTCAACCCTCACCTCTCCCCATCTTTGAATGCTCCGCACCCTCTCCAAGATGGCCGAGAACGCAGCAAAACGCCTCAAGACCGGCGACGCCCCGGTCACCATCGGCACCCACAACGGCCACTTCCACGCCGACGAGGCCCTCGCCGTCCACATGCTGCGCCGGCACGTCCCGACCTACGCGGGCGCCGCCCTCGTCCGCACCCGCGACCCGGCCCGCCTCGACGCCTGCCACACCGTCGTCGACGTCGGCGGCGTCTACGCCCCCGAGGCCAACCGCTTCGACCACCACCAGCGCACCTTCGCCACCACTTTCCCCGGCCGCCAGACCAAGCTGTCCTCCGCGGGCCTCGTGTACATGCACTTTGGCCGCGAGATCATCGCGCGCCGGCTCGGCCGCGAGCAGCAGCAGCAGCAGCAGGCGGGAGACGACGCCGAGGTCGACGTGCTCTACCGCAAGATCTACGAGAACTTCGTCGAGGCCCTCGACGCCCACGACAACGGCGTCTCCGCCTACGACCCCGCCGCCGTCTCCGCCGCGGGCCTGGCCAAGGCCTTCTCCGACGGCGGCTTCACCCTCGGCGCCATGGTGGGCCGCCTGAACCCCAACTGGAACGACCCCCGGCCCGCGGACCCGGCCGCCGCCCAGGCCGCCGAGGACGCGCGCTTCGAGGCCGCCAGCGCCCGCATCGGCGAGGAGTTCGACCGCGACCTCGACTACTACACCCAGTCGTGGCTGCCCGCGCGGTCCATCGTCGCCGAGGCCTTTGCGCAGCGGGGGCGGCACGACGAGCGCGGCCGCATCATGGTGTTCGAGGGCCAGTCCGTGCCCTGGAAGGACCACCTGTACACCCTCGAGGGCGAGGCCGGGCCCGGGTCCGAGGTCGTCGTCTACGTGCTGTACCCGGAGGGCACGGCTCCCGACTCCAAGTGGCGCGTGCAGTGCGTGCCCGTGACCAAGGACTCGTTCCAGAGCAGGAAGCCGCTCCCCGAGGCGTGGAGGGGCTTCCGCGACGAGAAGCTCGACGAGATTTCGGGGATCCCCGGGTGCGTCTTTGTGCATGCTGCTGGCTTCATCGGAGGCAACAAGACCTTTGACGGCGCGCTAGCGATGGCCAAGAAGGGTCTTGAGCTATAGGGCATGACGGGAGGGTAGGGCAGCAAGCAATTTGTTCGTCTACTGGTACAGGAGTTATCGGTTCACAAAAGATGTCTTCGACAAGGTCTAAGAGGCAGGTCCAGTCGATGGAATTCCGTAGGGTCAAGGTACAGGATCGGGCGGTATACAAAAGCACAGAATTTCAATCAGTTCCAGTCGAAACTACATTTGTAAGACATAGAGTACATAAGCTCGTGACTCAATCCCACGACAGACTGTATTCGGGACAACATACACCATCGAGACTTGCCGTCTTTCCAGATTGTTTGTGTTCTTTTTTCAAGTTATAGGAATGCGGATGACGGACCAGCCCAATCTCCCTCGCGGTAGACTACCGGCAAGAAACGGCAGAATAACAGACGATGAAAGGAAATGGCAGACTCTCTAGCTCGGCCCAATCTCTGATCGATCCTTCACTCTCCCTCTCTCTTTCCTCTCTCTTAATTCCTTGGAAGTCAAAAAGTTCCCAACGCCCGCAGTAGAGGTAGATGTTTCGTAGACTCATAACAAGATAGAAAGAAAGGCCGGTGTCACGAGTTCGACAAGCGAATCGCTTCGATAACGGCACCAAAAAAAGACAACAGAAGTGCCGAGCGAGGGCAACCAACAGCCTACAAAAGTGGACTCAGGTACGATGTAGTTTGTGTTCCATCCTCCCGAGCCCTCATCGCCATGCGCAACCACTATCGCCGAATGGGAATACCCTCGCTCTGCGCTCCGCCGCCGCCGCCCTGCTGCTGCTGCGCCTCGTACTCGACCTCGTCGGCGCTCGTCTCGCGGTGCAGGAAGCTGCTCTCCTTGACGGGGCTGCCGGCCTGCATGCTGCCCTGCGGGTGGTGCTGGTGCGCCTGCAGGAAGTTGTGCTGGGCGTTGGCGCTGCCGGGCACGGCGCCGCCGATGGCGCCGCCGCCGTTGCTGCCGACGGGGGACGACAGGTGCGGGATGTTCTCGGGGACGGGGTGCTGGGAGCCGACGGCGCCCGTGTCGACCGAGTCGGCCTTGCCGGCCTTGGAGAGGGCGTAGTCGCCGCTGTCAAAGTACTTGCGCTCCTTGAGGTGCTTGGCGAAGTGGTCGGAGCGCGAGGGGAGCTTTCCGTAGAGGCGGAAGAGGCGCTGCTCCTCGGGGGAGAGGGACTGTTTCGGTTGGGCCAAGGGAGAGAAGGTCAGCGATGGGTTTTGGTCCTTGGGCGGGGTTTGGGGTGGAAGGGGGATGCGGTAGCAAATGCCTCGGGTTTGCTTCTAAGAGGAGGACAGATATAGAACAGAGAGGAAACAATCTTGAAGGGGGATCATGCTGAGGGAGCGAAAACCACACATACGTTGATGTCAACCTTGTTCTTCTGGTGGGGGTTCATCTTGGCTGGGTTCGCAGTCTGGTCGACTGGGGTCGGTAGGAGGTACGATTGCAGCCTGACAAAGAGGCAAAGGACTGTGTCTCCGTATCGATGATCGAATACGCCTGGGTTCAAGGTGAAGAGTGAGTTGCAATGAGGCGGAGGAGCGTTTGCAATCGGCGAGTCGTGATGGTACTTTTGGGCGTCGCTATTTAGTGGTGGTGGGATGGATGGTTTGGGGATCGAGGTTGCTGCAGGTGGTGTAGTGAGTGGTCCTTGGGCAGGTCGGCCTAGAATCCAGAGCGGGGTGGCTGCTGCCGTGGATGACCGCACATTTAGTGGGGACCTCTGGGATTTAAATGGAGGAGATGTAGGGGTGCTCTTTCTTGAATGCTGTGTAGCGATGCAGAATGTTTACTTCGAATTCTGGGCTGATGGCTGCAGCTTGTTTGGAGAACGCTGCGGGAATAGACAGATATTTCGTTTCAGTAAACACACGAGATGCGAAACTTTTATCTTGCCTTCGAGCGTCTAGATTGGGTTTTCCTTGGTAGGTAGTGGGTTGTTTACCTTAGCCTGGATATTAATGTTCATGCGGTTGTCAGGGTACAGATGGGATGAATGATGGGGAAAGGATGGGAACATGGATGGATGACTCCTCAGCTACTAATCATCCTTGCTCTACCCAGTCAGTCCCTCTCTCTCTCTTATTACATACTCTCAAGCTCATCAACCGATCAATCAGCTTCGATGAGCTCCCGAGACGAGAGCAAAATACCCGGGGCTCAACCCAAGCTCGAGCCAGTCACAACCAGCGCCGTTTCCCACTAAAGCGGGAGTGTCACCCTGTCCAATGACCTGAGTTGGTCTAACACCTTCAGAAACCGAAGAGAGACCTGCCAACCATTCCCATTGCTTGGCCTCTGTCTCCGAGCGAACCTTCTTTGTCTTCCCATCCCAAGCTATCTTTTGCTCCTCCCGTTCCAGCCGTCCGTGTGTACGAAGTATGACAGTCCCATGAGCTCAGCATCGGGAGATAACAAGCTGCAGAGCATCCTCCGCTCTGGCAGCAGATCCCGATATCCACAAGAGGCCGGCAGTGATAGCACATTCCAACCCCGCCCTTGGAGATGGGCGGGCCATTGCCTTCTCGAAGGTGAAAGCACTCACATGACCATTTTTTGGCTCCAGGGCCTTTTCAGGTCAGGGTTTGTTTCACCTACACTGGCGATCTTTTGCTTAGGAATGGCTCTAAAGGATGGACGGGCCAGCTGCTAGCTAAACCCCTTTAAGGATTAACAGCACTATTGCTACCTAATCGTCGAGGGACCGACCAGCTTGTCATGATCGGTCGACGATTCGTTGTAGCTCCTGATGAGTCTATGAGTCTTTAATTTACTCCGTGGTAAGTAAGGCTAATGGCACCTGTAAGGGTTGGACGTGTGTAAAGTCTTGGTCGAAATAGCCTTCATTGTTCCAGAGGAAAGTCATGGACACAATATGACGAAATCCAAGCCGTGCCACAGGAACTGCCTTCCCTCAGAACAAGTCATCTTCGATGCCAATGGCATCCACCATGCAGGGCTGGCCACACCAATTTGGTTATTCATGTGTGTAGTCGTAGGCGGCAGATTCGTCTCGGTGTCAGTGGACTGCTGGCCGGCAGCATCAATCGAATCGGCTTCCTCATGGACGCTATCATCCTTCAAGCTGGACTGCAACCTCAGGTTCCAGCGCCCCAACCGTGGAAATCCGACGTGAACGTTCTCCGGGAATGACTGGCTAGAATGCTTCATCTGCACAGACAGGTCCCTGAAGATAAAACTGACAGTCCTGGACAGCTTCAGCTGCGCGATCAGTGTGATAGGCGACACACAATCTCCCTGCTAGTCCTCATCTGATCAACTGGACAAAGGTATGTCCTCGTCTCGAAACAGCACGGGAAACCCAAGTCTGGACCTACACAGGCACTCGAGGTACTAGATCGTCCACCAAACGCAGCTGCGGTGCTCTCTCCCGCACCAGGCTAGATCTTCGATTGCTTTGATGAAGCCATAGGGTAAGGCTGACGCTCAATGCGAGCCCATAGTTCCTGGGAGTCATCCAAGCCGATCAGCGACAGTAGCCTCGCGCCAAAGGTAATGCTGGCTGCATCGCCCGGGTACATGCGATGGCAGACGTAATGGTCTGTCTGAAGGAGCTGCGGCCTGTTCGGCCACAAGTGAATTCTTCAGCGCGGACGAACAGTCACCTCCCGCTGCTGTGACACGAGCGCTCTCCTGAACATTTTGCCATGTTTTGTATGGCAACGGCCGTGTCTATCACAATGTAAGTATATAGTCTTTGCCAATGACCGGCCTGGGATGTCGAGGCAAAGAGGAAGACTTACGCTACGTCACACTGGCCAGTTCCTGGGTCCCCGTGGAGAGGGGTGGAGGTGCAAGAAGAAGTCTTTGTGTCCATGGTTCTCACGCGAATATTCAAACATTGGACCAGACCTACAATCACATCTCGTGAACGTGTGAAAGTGGTTTGATCAGGAAGGCCGGGGTAGATCACAGGGCCATGAAGGGCCGGGTACATTCCCCCTTAGCGGGCATAAGGAGCGTGTTGTTCCCGACTGGCAAATGGCTGTGCTTCGATCATGATGGCTTTCTCTCCCGTAGTTCAGGGTCTACGACGAGTCGTTGCCAAGCCCGTATCAGGCCTGGGATACACTGCCGGGACAATCATCTTCGGTCAATATTGAGCGCTGTCCACATGAACAAGATCTTAGACGTCAACATGCTGTGCAAGTGGTTCGCCAGGAGATATCAGGAGCAGGCGGCTTATTCAAAAAGCACGCCATAAGAACGACAAGATTAATGAAAGTTGATTGGAACCAAAAGTGTAGGGCATCGCGCTGTCTCTTCCGTGAGCCAGGTCCGGTCTTCATGGGATTGCTTACAGGCCGCGGTTCGGAGACGTCGCCTTGCCTTCTTCATCGTTTGGCCAGTTGCTCTCCTGCTCACCTCAAAAGGCCTCTGCAAAGTCTTGGATATCGTCTGGCCGAGCCCAACTGCCGTGCTCAGGTAATCAACGCATGTAATAGTCTTGCTTGTCGCACCGGGCTTGGCTGAGACCCTACCTTCCTAGAAGAGGTCTCCGCCAAGATGACTGTGTCACTGAAGGACGGCCCGGGTTGTGTATGTCCTGCGGCACGTGGTCCCGTCCTCGTCGGCCGAGGTAGGAATGGCATGACAGAAAGAAAAGGACCGGATGTCGCCGTGTGGTGTCGAGCCCGGCGCGGAATTGCGGGGGGGGAGAGATGTGGTGGGATGGATGTCTTAATTTAAAAACGACGTCATCCGACTGCAGCGTTGCACCCCGTGAAGCTGGACCCGTGACGGCCTAATGCTGATGGCCCGGACGCAACATCTTGGCGAGAGGGAATGAAAAGAGAAGATGCAAGAGCGGATGGATACTGACATTTGCGTCTCAGGACTGCGGTGCTGGCGCCCAGCGATAGGTCTCCCGCTGTCCAGTCTGTCTTGTCGAACTTCATTGTTACATCGCATTGAGCTGGGCAAAGCAAGTCGTGATGTTACCGGATGCGCAGATTGGACAGACACGAGGCTCAGCCCCTGACTTAGCACGCTGGTCGACTTCTTGGCTTGGTGACTGATGCGAGAGTCGCTTCTAGGTTGTGTTTGCCCATCGACGATGACTCCCTGGGACCTGGTGTATTACTTACCTATTATACTGGAAGTTGGCAAAGCGCGCGCGATCGAACCTCGTACCACTCATCTCGGCCAGTTGAACGCCGCCGCGTAGGGACGTGCTTTGGGCCTTTTGTTTTTAGGAACCCTGGTTACAAAAACAAAACAAGGTACGAGTCAGCGTATCTGAGTGGAACAAGTACTTGTAGTTGGGAATTAGTGCCTTGATCGTGGCAACATGTTTATGCATAAACTCACGGTGCCAGTTGTCCCTGTGGTTTAATGAGCAGGTCAGCAGGCAGGCCAGGCAGGTCAGGCAGGTAGTTGGTCGACATGGCTACATTGTCGTCATAATAGCACGCCCGTTAATGCCCGCGACTCGAGTTGTACTTGGGCTCCTGACTTGCCTGCAGCTAACGTTCACCTCGGCCTGTGTGATGGGAGCAGCCGATGGGGACATGTGCTGTGCTTGCTCTCTTCACTTGGCTTTTGTTCCCTCGATCGGCACCTTAGTTGATGGTCCAGCAGTTATCAGGTGCAGACGGCTTCATCGTTGAGAAGCAAGACACGGCAACTTGGATCCTACCTAATGGGTTGACCAAGGCTGAACGCGGATCCTCCCTGATGCTCGTAACCCCGACTTTGGTACATTCGTTTGTAGTGATTTTACTCCGTACGAAGGAGTTAGTTGATGGATGGATGGAGCGTCCCACTGGTGGATACTCGGCACCCCGGCACTTGTTGTACAGGGCACGGGTGCCAGGGCTCGGGCCTTTGTTAGCGGCCTCTTCCAGGGCACAAAACAGGTCCACAGGGCGGGTTTGACTCAGAAGCCAAGGCGGGTGTGGCTTGATGGCTTGCTTTGACAGGTGCTTGTGCCCGCAGGCGAGATCTCATGGTGCACCCATCCGCCCCCAAAAATGTTCCGAGTGCCAAACCTTGAGGTCTGATCGCCCACCCTCCACCTCCGGCTGTTAGCCTTTTGGCCATTCTCCGTCATCCCGTCATCTGGGGAAGCGCAGGATCTTGGTGTGCTCCATCTTGCTTTACTTGTTCCTGCATAGCTCAACTCGCCATGGCCTCTCTGCGCGTGAGCTGCAGCGAAGCTAAGGTAGGGCCGAAGCAACCATGGCTCACGCGAGCCTGCAAACACATGCCCAAAGCCGTCTAGGCTATCGTCGATCCTCCCAAGCTCTTCTCTAATGCCGGCCAGCATGACTGACCGCCCTATCGACTCCATGTTCCGCTTTCATGCGCAGGTGTACCGCCCAATCTCCGCTGCCTACTTGGGCATTCAACAGCACACGCCTCGAGTCAACGGCCACGACCGAGGCCCAAGAGGAACCATCCGTGAACCTCCGCTTCCTTGCTGCCTTGGGTGCTGCGCTGCTGCGTGTCATCCGTTATTTCAAGCACAAGCTGTCCTAGATCACAGGCGGCGTTGGATCGCCGCCTTGGAATGGCCCGGCCCAACCAGCCTGGCCTTTTCAAGGGCCTCCTGGCTCTTATTGAAACGACTTATTATTCGGCTGGCTTCGTCCAAATCACGAACAGTGACATGACAGCTCACAACTTGTGACCCATGTTGGCAGGCTCTCAGTTTGTTCCCCTACCCAGGGCAAGTATCCATTGTTTTCAGGTGACATGATTTATGTGATACACCTAATACTACTGAGACTCGCGGGCATCTCGCGTCACCGGTTCTAGGTCCAGCATTCTTCCAACCCTCCTCCAAGGGTCCCTGTCGCTTGTGACATTCATTTGGTAGGGCTGAGCACAACATACCGTTGCGAATTCGCTCTCTAGGTATCTACCTTCTCAAATTCTCTCGTTCTCTCCCAGGATTCCCATGACATGGGTGCGGTCCGACCAAGCCGCAGCAGGTGTAAGGATCCCATACTTGTACTTTTCTCATTTCCTTTACCTCTGTGCGTAGATCTTCATGGATGTTGCACCATCCAATCCGCCCAGACCCACGATCTTTCCTCCTACCTGCATACAAGTGAACTAGATCGTCGGCCGTGCATGGCCACCGCTACGCCGGGTCTTGGCTCCTGTAACAGGAACTGATCGAAGGCAACCCATGGTGCCCAAGTCCATGTGGCCTGGTGAGATCCTTTTGTGGAAGGTCAGTGCCAACCATCCAAGCCGTCCACAAGACCTCACTCCGTCCGCCTATTAAAGCGCCGAGTTCGTCTCGAGTCGACATCTCTGGTCACTGCTGTGTTCACTACCACGCTACCTTTGGTCGCACCACAGACACACCCCTTCAACTGCCTTCTTACCTTCCACTCCGGGAGCTTGCCGGTGTCCTCGTGAGTCTTTGGTTGAAACCAGGTCAGGCGTGGACCGTTGGTGATTTAAACTCCAAGGCGTACCCTGGTTCTTATCAATACACTTTGGTTCTCTTTATCGTACTCTAACCAGCTCACCAAGAAGCCCTGGTTTAACTCGTTCTTCTTCTCTCCACACTGGCCTCACTTCTTGCCATTATTGCTACCAAAGTTGTACTAGGGAGAACCTGATATCATGCGTTGGGACAAGCTCGGCGCCATATTGATGGCGACCGCCAGCTCGCTGGTGCAAGCCGCCTCTACTTTTACCCCCGCAAGGCCTCCAGCCATTCCCTTGGCTGTCAAATCGCCATACCTCAATGTGTGGCTGAATGGCGATTCCGGAGGCAATCTTCCGGGGTCTTGGCCGAGGTTTTGGACGTAAGTCGGCTGCAACTGAATCTCGTTCCTGTGAGGAAACTTACACATTATCATTACAGGGCCCAAATAATAGGCTGGCAAGGTCTAATCAATGTTGACGGGAGCTCCTTCAACTGGATGGGTGCAGGAGGAGGCACCCTGGTATCTCAGACGTCGTTCCAGTACACCTCGACCAAGAGCATCTTTACCTTTGATGTCGGCGGCAAGATAACCATGACGGTGACGTTCATGTCGCCCGTCTACCCAGATGACCTCGTGAAGCAATCTCTTCAGTTTTCCTATATAGACGTCAAGGTCAAGTCGGCCGACGGCAGCTCGCACAAGGTTCAGGTCTACATGGACATCAGTGGAGGTAAGTAGGCCCGGGGCAGAACAGGGCATCGTGTTGGCTTGGTCTGACACAGCTTTAGAACTCACGAGTGGTGACGCTTCAAAATTGATCAACTGGGACTTTGAGACTTCCAATGGCGTGGCATACCACAAGATTGTCCAGGCACAGCCAGCGGTCTTCTCTGAATCTCACGAGCAGGCCAACTGGGGTAACTGGTACTTTGCCACGGCCGACGGCGATGGGGTAAGTGTTTCGATCTCCGTGTGTCACGTCAATACCCCGGCTAATAATACCCTTCTGCAGTTCACCCACAAGAGCGGAAGTGATGTCGATGTCAGGGGTCAGTTTGCTCAGACTGGTAAACTCGACGACGGCCAGGATGACAAGTTCCGAGCCGTCAACGACAACTGGTAGGTTCTAACAGCTAGGATGGCACTTGATAGCTCATTTGTCGAGACTGACTCCGTGCCTAGGCCCGTTTTCGGACTCTCAAAAGACCTAGGAGATGTATCAGGAACCGAAAAGGAGGTCTTGTTCACCCTCGGCGTAGCCCAAGACCAGGTTATCAACTTTCAGGGCGCCACCGATGGCCCTGCTGGTCTCAAGGGACTGTGGACTTCCGCCTACGGAAGCGATGTCGACTCGCTTGTTGCTTTCCACAAGGACTGGAGCAATGCCCTCTCGTATGCCGAGCATCTCGACGCTCAGATCCACGACGACTCCAAGGCTGCAGCTGGCGATGACTATGCCACCATCACGACTTTGAGCGTGCGTCAGACTTTTGGGGCTTTGCAGGTCGCCCAGGGATCGAAGCAGAACTACATCTTCCTCAAGGAGATCAGCTCCAACAGCGATATCCAGACCGTGGATGTGATCTTCCCGGCCTTCCCCATCCTGCTGTATCTCAACGCGACAATGGGCAAGCTGCTGCTGGACCCTCTTTATGAGAACCAGGAGAGCGGCCACTATCCGAACGCGTGGGCCATCCACGACCTGGGCACCTTCCCCAACGCCATCGGCTACCCGGGCGGCAACGATGAGCCGATGCCGCTCGAGGAGTGCGGCAACATGGTCATCATGTCGCTCGCCTACGCCCAGCACACGGGCGACAACGGCTACCTGTCGGCGCACTGGCCCAAGCTCGAGCAGTGGGCCAACTTCCTCGTCAACGACTCGCTCATCCCGGCCAACCAGCTGTCGACCGACGACTTTGCCGGCACGCTGGCGAACCAGACCAACCTCGCGCTCAAGGGCATCATCGGCCTCAAGGCCATGGGCGAGATCGCCAAGCTGACCGGCAACGAGGACAAGTTCGGCTCCATCGCCGACGACTACCTGCGCCAGTGGAAGGACCTGGGCATCAACAAGGCCGCGACCCCGCCGCACACGACGCTCTCGTACGGCGACGGCGCAAGCCACGGCCTGCTGTACAACCTCTACGCCGACCGGCTCCTGGGACTCAACTTCGTCGGCCAGGAGGTCTATGACATGCAGAGCGACTTCTACCTAACTGTCGCGCTGAAATACGGCGCGGCGCTGGATACGCGCCACGCGGGCTGGACCAAGGCCGACTGGGAGATGTACTGCGCCGCCATCGCCGGCCCGGAGACGCGCGCCATGTTCATCTCCAAGATGGCGACGTGGATCGGCGAGACGACGACCGGCAGGGCGCTGACGGACCTGTACGACGCGCAGACGGGCGGGTACCCGCAGGGCGGGCCGACCTTCGTGGCGAGGCCCGTCATGGGCGGGACGTTTGCGCTGCTGGCGCTGCCCAAGTGAAGGAGGGGGGGTTGTTTGCTTTTCCTGGTCACCTCTGACCGTGGAGGGACCTAGCATTGTTTTTTGTTTACCGTCAATCGTTCTTCGAAAGAGGCACCTTTGCATCTCAGGCCTCGGGAGGACTCAGCGCCGTGAAGCGTTGATTTAGGTTTGGCTGAGAGGCGGGTTCGTATATCTCATTTGCAAGATACCCACCGGGGGAGAGATAGGTTACTGTCGTTTCGGAATAAGACTGCATCGCTTGCAGGTACTTCCATGGTCAGCGCGTTATTGTGAGCGCGCAAGTGACGACTGTCAAACTTACTGCGCCTTGTGACCAGTGAGTTTTCTCCTGAGCCAGTCTGCTACCGCTCGAGCCTCAAGACGGGGACCCTGGCGAACAAACGCCGATACCAGCCAGTGGGCTATCGACCTCATCTTCGGTGCGGGCGATCAACGTGGACGGCAAGGCCTCGGCGTCCAGAAACAAAGAGAACCGCGCGATTGTTATGACGTTCGATGGTGGCGGGTACGGCAAGGCTACGAACGAGGCGGAGCGCTCCAAGCTGAAGGAAAGATTTCATCTTGTTTGATATTGGAAGTAAGGGCAAGAGCAACTATAGAGGATGCTTTGGTGATAGTAAGCTCGCGGTAGCTCATTCCCTCAGTCGAGCTAGATGAACTGGTTTTGTGTTCTCAATCATGTTTGGCAACAATGTCCGCCTTTGTGCGCTCACAGTCGAACCAACAATGAGAATGCATCCTTTGTATCGAATTTGATAAGATCAGAATATAAATAAGAGCTTCACGAGAAAGTTCTAGTCACAGAGTTCAGGGCATAAAGTCCTCGTCGTCACCCCACACAGCGGATCAGTATGACCAAGATATTCGAACCCTGCGCGTCCCTGTCCAAGGCGGACAATGAGTACATCACTCGCCTGGTCAACCTGAATCTTCTCAAGATCCACGCCCTGGGTGTCGCCGGCACTGCGAAGACGAGTCCTCGCGGCCGACCCGCTGCCGTCGACACCCACGCCTACGAAGCTGCCCTGGCCCGGAGCCACAAAGTCCTCGAGGCCGTCGAGCTGCTGGGCCGGCCCGAGCTCCTGGCCAAGGTGTACCTCTACCGGGGGCATTGCTTCTACAACCTGCAGCAGTGGAAGAGCGCGCACGAGTGCTATGTGCGCGCGGCGAGCCACCGCCCGGCGCAGGAGCTCGTCGAGGTCCGGACGAGGGAGTGTCTGGACAAGATGGGAAGAACGTCCAGTCGGGATCCTCCTCCGGCAGTACTCTGTTGTGGAATGGGAGGAGGGTGTGTAGCCGGTGCCAGCAACGCCAGTGTTGATGGAAGCGAGAGTGATATCTGGCTCCAGTTGGCAGATGAAGAGTCTAGTGATGGTCACGTTGACGATTGCCCAACGCTGAGCCAGGCTGACAGCGTCAAACCGAAGCTGAGACGCATTCAGGGAAGTATCGCGTCAATGAAGTATTCGTCTTCGTAATTCTCTTCAGTAAATATTTTTTTTCCTTTGTCACATTCTTGATGTTGGCTAGATGCAAACGGCGGAACCGGTAGATACGTCTCTTTGTTGACACAACTTTGACATTCGGTCCGGACTCTTTGTCTGGGACTACAAAAGTTGGAATAAAATATTAGAATTGTGCTTAAAATGATTTGAGATAGAATTTCTCGTGCTCTTACTGACCCACGGCCTGGTATCAGGAAACCCAAAAATAATATCCATTCTCGTGGCCTCCGATTGCTGCTGTGTACCTAACGCACCAGAAGATGGGCGGACCAGCTAATGTTGAGAATCTGAATTTGAGGACTTACCAGGATGAAGATGTACTCGATGAATTGGGCCTGGTACCTTCTTCGCCTCGGCGTTGCCAGGAGCACGGAACCTTGATTCAGAGCCTCCGGAAAGACATTGCGTCACTCGAGAAGAAACATCTGGATACGGAGGCTGCTTTGAGAGCAAGTCAAGACGGGTATCAGGTACAGTAAAATCCCATAATTATTGACAATAACGATCATGTATACTAATCGAGGTGCTTGGGCGGAACTAGACTCTCGAAGAACACGATAACAGCCTTCAGGCCGAGATCGAATATCTCCAGGGACAGAAAACAAGCTGCCAAAATGCCCTCGCCAAAGCAAAGAGCGAGATGGAGGTACAGTCGTACTTCTCCCTGTTGTACTTATTCGTTGGGGATTGCTGACGTGAAGGGTAGATCCTTACGCTGAGGCTCGAAATAAAGGAGTTGGAAGAGGACTTGTCGTCCAGGGGAAAGACCTCACTGGGCCCAAAGAATGAGCGCGGCGCTGAGGACAACTGGGAGACCATGCGGACATACCTTGAAGAGTCGCCGGAGCTCTTTGAGCTGGTCAAGAAAAGGGCTGCCGACGGTATAGGAAAGGCCAAATCCCTCTCCAAGCCGGAGATGAAGAAACTGGAGCTATTCTTCTCCTTCATGGACAAGAAGAACACCGCTCAAGAGAAATGTATGAGGGCACTGGGGCGAGACGATCCGGACAAGGAAAAGCTGAGGAGAGCGGAGAAGTTGAAAACTCTGCACAAAGAGTACATGGAGAGGTTCGAGCAGCACCGCCTGCCCCTTTCTCCCTTCGGGCGACTCCATGTCCTACGAGCCCTGGTCCTCTTCAAGACCCAAGGCGTGACCGAGGAGTTTGCAGAGGCGGTATACCTCGCCGACGAGCTCGGCATAGGCGTCGGCCCAGCATCCGCTCCTTCAAAGCAGCTCTTGGGCTATCTACACGACGAGTTGACGCACGCAGGTATCGCTGTGCAGTCAGAACCACGATCCTCAAGACGTGGAGGCGGTCAATCTACTCGTCTCTAGCTAGGGGGAAGCCAGGGGCAAGTAATTTCACGAAGTATGCTCGAGTCGCGCGCCATTCATTCTGATGCGACGTGAACGATAGATTGCTGTGTGGCCAATATGGCCTGACGACTGAAAGTGAATGGCTCTGGTGTGTTGGGCTGGGAGCCCAGTCGTGCCATGCTAGTTCGGTGGAAAGGAGGCCCTGGCAAAATAACCAGACAGGCAGCATTGCTCCTGTGATGACGCCGCTTTGCTCAAGGTTATACTGGGATCCAGGGTGAACAACAACTCGGCAGTTATGCTAGTGGTTTTATTTCACTTAGATCACGGATGTCATTTTGGTATCAGTCTCCATCTTGTTGACTGGGTTTCGATCTCTGGAATGATTCCCATATCGTCACGAGCTGGCATTCAGTCTCACCCTTTGCCAATCGTAGAGACCTGGCGGCAAGCTCCCGATAGAACATGGCATAAGGTTGATAGACCGGTCTAGACCATTACACAGGGGGTGAGCAAAGTTCGCCGCATCATAACTACCTAAGTGAAGCATGGATCGTGGAACCAAGATACCACCAGGTCAATCTCCGAGCAGAGGTTTTCCAGAAGCTCTCGACTTGAAGCCACAATATCACTGACCATGCACGCCATGACACTCTCTTCCTATCGGGGGTCGGGAGACAAGTGGGATAGGACCTTTGATGGTGGGCAGGAAAGGGCGTTCGTTCGCCGTTATATTGAGGCAGATGGGGCACTCCGACGCGTAAATGAAGACAGCGGGGAGAACAAGGGAGGGAATTCTGGTTTTGTCACGGACCGAGCAGCCAATCAAGGGTCCGGACATTGATTTCCACACCTCAATCGTTGTCGAATCCCCATTCAGATCCAAGACTGAGTCGGAGGTTGGGGTTCACGGGTACGGTGCACGTCAATCTGTTCGTTGAGAGGGTATCGAGATAGGTGGATGAATTGGGGGGTTCTGAGGTAGCAAGTAATGGCTGTGATGGATGCAAGTCGATGCGCGGACGGCGGGACGAAGCCCGTGAAAGAGGTCAGATTAAGGTATCGTCGCGGCACCAAAACGGGTTTAGCAACAGCTGGAGACTGCTCCACTGCTTCACGCCCTGGATCGAGTTAATCAGGTAAGTGCCAAGGTGCGTACAGCGTGCGTCGCTGCCGCTGTCTGTACTTTCTAGGTCAAGTTGCTAACTAAGTGGACTGGAAGGTTCGCTTCCTCTTTACTTGTGCAACACATGTTTCCCTCTCGCACCCATCCATGGATGCTGCATTCGCTTAAGGATTGACTAAATTGCACGGGCAGACACAGCAGTAGCCATCGGTCAGTTGATGATGATGACTGATATCTTACACACGACGAGCTCCCCAGAGCAGAGAGGACGCGACTTCTGGTCATGAGACGCTAGCGGACGCAGACACCGCCTGGTCCGTAAGCTGGTGGTGCTCGTTGAATCCGAGTCCAGTCTTTTCCTCTTTTCGGATGCAGAGGCATTACCCCTACCACACACACGCACACACACTGATGCACATACCTAACTACATCATCGTGCCAGGCGAAGAAGAGTGCTGAGGCGGGTCTCAGCGCCGCTGAGCGTGCCGCCCGAGTCGACCGCACAGACGTTCTCTCGATCTGTTGCACCACCACACGGACAGGTGTCACTGAGTCCTGCTCCCAACGCCGACCACTTTCAGGCCCGCGTTCCTGAAGCGGATGCTACACGATCATGCTGATCTACCAGATCGACCAGACTCACCACGTTGCTCGGGACGTCTTGCCGCCAGGAACCATCAGCACACGCGTGTGGCCCGCGAGACGAGCTTCGTTCTCTTCTCTCTGTTCTCTGATGCGTACTACCATTCTGTCTTCCTTGCCTCACCTGACAAGCAGCTCTTTCTCTAGGTACTCTATGCTTTATGATAGAGTAGCAATGTCACGAGCCGGCAGTAACCCATCCAGTCGATGGCTCCCCCCAGTTCTGTCGCGCGCTGTCCACATCTCAATCTACCGGACCACCCACTCAAGGAAGTAGGCCTCCCGCCCTCGGGCCAGAACCCTGCGTGGTTTCCCGTTCCGGATTGAGGGTCTCGAAGCCGGCAGCCTGCATCTCCCCTACCTGGTCTACCGAGTCTGGGGAAGTTTTCTTCGCCAGAGCATTGCCATGTCGCCTTGCGTCACGCTGCTTCTCCCCTTCTGCCCGCTAGTTCTCGCTTACGCAGCAGCAATCTACTTCCTCCTCATGACCATCGTTCTGCTTTGCTCTCCATGCTTCCAATTTCGTCCTAGTGCTTGCTGCACGGTCTCTCTTTTGGTCTCCGCTCGGCTCTCTTTCTGGTCATTCTACATCTGCCATGTCTCCGGCTCCTTGTCCCCAATCATACCCTCGAGCACCTTTCTGCCCTTTCACCCCAACCCGTCTCCGTAGGGCGCCTGGTTGGAAGGCAGTATCCTGGTCCTTGTCAATGCAGCAGTCTGTGAAGCTCATCATCGCCAAGGGTCGGCCCAACTTTCTGCAAGACACCCGTCGCTCGCGTCTTGCTAGACTTGCCTCGACGAGATCTGTTATGCCGTCTTAAGATCTACACACGTCGCAATTGCCTATTTCTTCTCACGAAGGACCTAACATAGCTTCATCTGCACGGGACATTCCCCTACCTGTTCCTGGTTTTGAAGCTAACCTCTCTCGATCTACGAACCGCACCCACTCCAATGCCGCTTGTTCCACATGTTGTGTTTTCCTTGACCAGTCTCGTGTTCTGAGAGGCTCGTTGCGGAGTTGGTAGAGATGCCGGCTGAACCATCCGAAAACAAGGGCAGAACCTTACCTACAACTGCATCGAGATCTTCGTACTTGGGGTTTGCAACCCCATACCGCCAACCACCTGCGAGGCTCTCTACGCTCGCTGATTTGCTACAAGCCCTGGAAGCGGTTGATTACACACTGGGATCTCTTTGCAGAATGGTCTCGTCCCACCTAATGAGGCCAAGGTTTCTCAATTTGAAACCTGGAAGAAGCCGCGCGCCGAGCGCCACAGCTGTGCTTGGATACTAGGGTTATTTTCCGAATCAGCTGTGGCAACGGCATGTGGCCAAACCTAGTCTCAGCGTCCCAGGACAAGTAGTCTCAGAGACGCCAGTTCTTGGTGCGTGAGACAACTCTTACGCAGGACGGGTGTTCCTGCTGTTTTCGAACCCGCCCCGAGAAGTGTACCTAGAAGAAGAAGAGTAGTCCTCGGTCTGCTTTAGGCCTGTCTCGCTTCAACGTAGCTGGTCACTGGGCTTGCTTGTCAGCGGAGCTACTTTGATTGCTTCTGCATGTTTGCGCTGTCTCGACATGCCCAGCACTGTCAATGTGACCATCAACAAGCTTCATCTTCTCCCCCACAGCGCAGTGAGCCGGACCAGGGCTTGCAGGCGCCAGAGGCCCAGAGTAGCATATTGCTTGCGTCTGTGGGGGAAGCCCTTTCACTCGGATGCCGAAATACCCCAGTGCACCCAGCGTTGTCAATGGGCAGATGATCGTTGTTTGGTTCTCGGCCATATTTGCCAGTTTATCCATATTGGGCCCACCACCATCCTACCAAGATCAATGCCCGGATCATCCATTGTTGCGGCGCCCCCGGGCATGCACCTAGCCTGGCACAAGACCACCACGGACGGACTTCGTATACAGGAGACGAAGCCGCGCGCCGCGTTGACTGCTTTGTCAAGCTGACCAAAGCCGCAGAGACTAGATTGTTTCATACCGCCCTTCCCACCGAGTGGGATCGCTTGTCTAAGACGCCCCGGCTTGCACGTTCCAGCGCCGGCCGCAGAGGTCACATCGGGCGCCCGCAGTATCGTAGGGACGCGAGCCCGTTCCACGGCGCTCTCCCAAGTGGTGGCCACGCTGGGCACCGCACATGCCTTTGTCCGTGTGGATGGAAAATTCTGCGGTTACGATGGGAAGCACTCCCGAAAGGGGGGTGTCATTGGTCTACTGTCCTGTTTTGATTTATCTGATGGCAATGCAATCAACTACTCAGCCTGCAAAGGCTGAGGGGACGTTGGTACTTGTCATTCAATCTATCGGATGAGTTGCAAAGCAGTGTCTGTGGTGGAGGGGCGACCTCACTCGCAACCTTGATCCTGTCCGGTTGAACTTAACGGCCACGGCATATCTATCGTTGATCATTCAACTACAACGAGTCCCTGCCCTTGGCCCTTTCCAACCAAGGTCACACTCATGTCAATGATCCTAGACCAAACCCTGGCTCTGATACTTACTGAGGACCATGACAGAATCTAGGGCATACCAAGACCAGCCTCCAGTCCCACTTCACCATGTAAGTGCTCAACAGGAGCTATTCATGTATATAAGTCTTTTACCCTGTTGGGCATCCATCCCGCTTCCCTTGACTACTTCCTCTCTTTCCTCTCGCCAAGGACGGTACACCTGATATCGGCTCTTCTTCAAGGCTTCGTACAATCTTTTAGGATCCTGGTCTATCTGCCTTTTGACCTCAATATGGCTTGGGGTGGTGCAGCTCCGACGGTGACAGGGGAGCATGGCTCGACAGGTGGTCAGGCAGGTGGTCAAGCAGGCGGCGCCGGCCCAGGTCGTGCCTGGAAACCATCTACGGAATTCTTCGCCAAGAGACAGAAGGTCAGCGTGGACGCTACAATCACGGTTGCCGAGGGACTATGCGGTCTCATTGCGCTCTTCGTCATCATCCACTGGACTCGGTTGATCGTGGTCAGGATGCAGCGGTCGAGGGTGTCGCCAGTGCCTCGGCTGCTCACCAAGCCGGTTGTAGCCATCACGAGGTGAGCCTCTCGCATTGTTGGAGACCAAGACATTTGGCTGATACCCGATTAGACCCATCAGAAACGTACTTGTCCGCAAAGTTCCGGGTTTCAACTCAGCTGGCCATGGGCTCCTGGTAGCCGCATACGTGGGCATCAACTGCGCAGCCCTCTTCACCAATGTCGACTGGAGTCCCGGCAGCGTCGCTGCGAGGTTTGGCTGGTGAGTGAAATGAGCCTGCTTCGTCTGAGCAAGTCAATCATCTCGGCTTGACTAACTGGCCGAACAGGGTTCTCTCGGCCAATTATGCCTTTGTCGTATTCTTGGCTCTGAAGAACACCCCTTTGGCCTTCCTGACGGCTTACTCCTATGAGCGCTTGAATAGCCTTCACCAGATTGCGGGCGTCGCCACTTTCTTGTTGCTAGTTGTTCATGGAGTGACCTATACTGCTTACTTTGGCAGTACCAACAAGTGGCATGTCATGCGGGAGGAGACGGTTATTGCTGGTATCGTCGCCGGATTTGCCTTTCTGAGCATCTTTCTTTCGGCTATCTGGCTCCGGAGGGTATGGTACGAGGCCTTCTACATTGTCCACTGGCTTTCGTTCGTGGGCTCGGTCGTTGCCGTTGCCTTTCATCGACCAGAATGGAAGTCCAAGACACCGATCATTCTTTGCGTTATTGGTGGGATGTGGGCTACCGACCGCCTGATCCGCCTCACTCGGGTCCTGTTGTACAGCATCAACAACTACGCCACCCTCACTCCGCTCCCCAACGGCGGCACGCGCATTGTCTTGACGAAGCCCCCCGCGCTGGCTGTCCCCGGCAAGCACTGTCTCGTCTGGATCCCGGGTGTCCGTATGCTTGAGACGCATCCGTTCACCATCATCTCGACGAACCCCCTCGAATTTGTCGTCAACTCCTACGATGGCTTCACGCGCGACCTACACGCTCGCGCTGTGGCCCATCCCGGAGTCAAGCTCCGCGCCTCAGTGGAGGGACCGTATGGTACCTTCCCCGATCCGATGCAGTACGACAAGATCATCTTGATCGCCGGTGGGAGCGGAGCGAGCTACACATTTGGTCTAGCCGTCAATCTCCTGCAGAGAATGAGCCCTTCAGCAACCAAGGAAATTGTGTTCCTGTGGGCTTTCAAAACCCATGGTAAGTCATCGATCCCTGTTCGGCCCCTTTGGGCACGCATAGCCACCAGCCAAGATCGTGGTACAAGAAACCGCCACGTCAGAAATAAATTAATTGGCGCCGCAATCCTCGGATGTCGCTCTCTGTCTTGAACAATGGCTAACACAGTGACGCAGAGAATCTCACGTGGTTCTCGGAACATCTCAACACCTTGCGGACACACGCCCACTCTCCCAAGGTTTCGGTCGCACTCTATGTAACCCGGGCGCCTGGGTCATCGAGTTCGGCCGAGAGCCACGGCCCACTTCCACCAATCCGGCTTCGGACCGTTTCGTCCCAATCGTCCGAGATTCTGACCGAGAACTCGCCTTCCGACATTGAAAAGGCCGTTCTCGAGGCCGCATCCCACATCGATGCGCACGGCACCTCGACGGACCCGGAAAAGGCGGCAGAAGAGCACCACCATTCACACGCCAGGCACGAGGAGGGCGGAAACCGCCCGCACCGTCCGGGGCTACACCACACCGTCAGCTCCGGTCGGCCCGACATCTCGACCCTCATCAGCGCAGCCATCTCGTCGACAGACAAGAACAGGCGGGTGCTGGTCGCGGCGTGCGGACCCGACAGCCTTTTGCGGGTGGCGCGCAACTCGACCGCCAGCGCCATCCGGCTAAACGGACCCGGCGTAGAGCTGCACTGCGAGCAGTTCGGTTGGTGATCGGAACCTGCCGGTCGTGGGGCGATGTACATGGGGAATCCGGGCTTGAGACTGCATATGGGACGGCGTTCATTACTCTGGGGTGCAAACATTCGCTCCTCTGGACTTTGAATACACTTCTTTCTTTTTCTTTTCTTTTTACCGGTTCCCCTGCTTCTATTGATGATAAACACACTCTTTTTACTACTTACTGGATACGGTGCATCGTGCTCGGGCTTACGATATACAGGGGGTGCGAGCTCCGGACATGGAAGACCTGGCCGGAAATGCGCCTCGACCGACAGCTGTGGTGCGGTAGAATGATGGGAAAGGAACGCAGAGGGAGGATGTCTATGAACCTCTCTTCTCTTCTTTTTGACTTCAAGTAGGGGGGAGAGTCCACATCATGAACGGGCTGCTCTTCCTTTCGAAAAGGCAATGGGGGAACACCTATTAAAAAAAGCAGAAATCTACGCGAGTTCTTGTCAGATAAGCGCGCCAGGTAGATACCTTAATGAATATGGAAGCCTTGAAGGAAAGGCTTGATTAAGCGTGGTCCGTGATTCATCTCATCTAGTCGGAATATCTAGAGTAGGCTGAACAGGGGTAACCTGTGGGCTTTTTCTTTTTCTCCTGGGAAGGTACGACCGCCATTGTTGGTCGTTGCCCTGGTCGCAACTCCATCCCATTCTAGATCAACACGCTCTGACAAAAATCTCAAGTCAATTTGAGAATTCTGTCAAGCAGACCAGGTTGAGGATCTCAGCATTTCTTTACCTCACCCTCATGTGTCTCGAGGAGGCACTTCTCAAAAACTATTCTGCAACTCAGCAAGTCCCCAACCAGTCCTCCTCCACTCTCAGGCTCCGAACACAAACAAGGCTCTCCCTACCCGCAAGCCCATCATGGACTATCAAGAGTATAGGAGCATGAAGATGTCCTTCTCTCGCAAGAGAGCAAGACTTGAGATGGAGCGGGACGAGCTGAAATTCGTCTATGACCAGCGGAGCATGCGATCCCATTGCGTCAAGAACTGGGATGGGCGCATCCAGTCGCACCTCAGCGAAATCAGACGTATGGAGTTCCTCCTGTTCAACTCCAGGGAGGAGTGGACTGAGCATTGCGAGAAGCAACAGGCTCTGAACGAACTGGACCGCCAGCAGCAGGGCGATGATGATGCTTATGAGGATGACCATGATGGTGCCAAGCTTTTAGCCCCCTTGGGTCAGGATCTCGACACAGCTGACGAGGGTGTCCACGCCGATCGTTCTCAAGACAACAAAGATGGCAGCCCCATCTTGCCGGACGGACAAGGTGGCGACATGAACGCCGAAGAGTACATCGACCTACAAGATCCGCATACTGCAGGAGCCAAGCAGCGTCATGCCGAGGAGGAGAAGAGGGACGAGGGCGAGCTCCCATCCGGACGCGAGCCGCCGTCTTCGGCCGGTTTCTACTTCGACCCTCCTCTGGGCGCAGGTCAAGACCGCCCTCGCGGCCGTGCTTCCCCGAGGCTGCCTGGCAGGGTTGAGCACGCACGGGAGCCATCGGTCGCCAGGGGTGGCGACACTCGTGGCGAGAACGACACGGCTGGTTCGGCGCAACAGTCCCTCATTCCGTACCGACCCCGCTCGGTTTCTCAAGCTCTTGCTCGCCACCACCCGGTGCCCGAGGAAGATTCGGGTCGATCGTACGATGGCAGACCTAGGATGATGGCTGAAAACTACTCGGTACGGGAGTATCAGGCGCTCCCCTCCGGCCGTCCGCGAGAGGTCTATCGCGAGGAGCCGAGGATGTACGCGCCCAGGGGAGGATTTGTCTCCCATGATGAAGCGCCACGATACTACGCAGTGGACCGCGTCACCGCCGCCCAGAGGGAGTATGCTCTGCCCGAGTCGACTCACCGCCCTGCGCACTTCGTCCCAGGGAGGACTGGATTCGTCCATCACCAGTCCTCCAGTAGCTACTCGCGACACGAGCTGCACTACCAGGGCTACCGCGACGACGAGCGCACTCGCGCACCGCGGCCTCCTCCGCCGGGCCGCGTGGTTTCTCCGGCTTACACCGAGTCGACCTCCTCGAGGCCAAAGTCGCAGAGGGAGGAACGGTATGGCAGTGACGACGATCCCATTCACTTGGAGACCAGGGCCAAGAAGAGGCGCATCTCTCTTCTGGAGTGATAGGGCCCATCTACTACTCCCAACTTTGACTACGGCCTGGACATGATGGCCTCTTGCCGTCTTCCCGACCCCGGTTTCCTGAAGACATCTTACACTGCCCCTTCTGTTATCGACGCCTGCCTGTGTCGGTTGAGCCAAGCCTGGCAAGTTCATTTCTCGGTCTTGGCAAAACTGCAGGATATCGTCGTCACTTGGAGGGGCGGAGGGTCCTGTTTATTTGTTTTTATGTTTTGTGTGGCTTTCTTTTTTCTATCTTCCGTGTATCATCACCACAGTTGGTCTTGATTCTCGACAGATGGACCGTTTGATATTTTCCTTGCGTTGCGTCTACTTAACTACCGAGATCTTCGTTCTCCATGCATGAGAGCGAGTGAGCCAGCAAGAGCTGGCGCGACGGGATACAAAATGACGGGGAGATCGAAGGAGGTGTACAATAGAAAGAGACAGGGCGTCAGAACAGAGAACTGCAATCAATACAAGGTCACATGCTATTTCGCATTCGGGTAATTTCCCACGCTTTTTATGGTATTGGTCACATCCCTGTGCCGGGACATGTGAATGTGTATTTACCCAGGATCCAGGGATCGGTTCTCCGTTCTTCTCCCCGTGGTAACCAGAGAGACACCTGCAGAGTATCCAAACAGGAGACCGGGGGACTTGGTCCTCTCATTGGAGCCTTTTAGAACCCTACGCACGATTCCGCGGCTCGCTGGTCTCCAACCTCGAGAACTCCAGCACAACCACTTCTATGCTTAGGCGGTCGTAGAGAAGCTGGCACTAACTGGCTCGAGCAATATTGTGGCATCGCTACCCCGTAGCACCCCAAGCGCACGAAGGACTCGCTACGATCTCCGCGTCAGGGTGCACCACTCGGTGCTTGTTGCCTTATTCCCATCTAGACAACATACGGAGTAACTAGCAGGTCATCAACTCCTCCAGCATCCCGCTTTGGGCAATGGTCTCGGACTCGTGAATTCTTGCCTTGATCCAAAGAGGATCCTCCTCGCCAGTGACCCTCCAGGCATCTCCATCCACAGCGGCAACGTCAGCAGCAAGTTCTGCGATGGACTTGTATCGGCCATGCCAGCAACTCCATATGACGCCATCACACCCCAAGTGGCCTATCCGGGGAAATTCCATCCTCTGTAGCTTCTGCATACGAATCGGGCCGTGATCCCGACCCCACCACTGGTCCTCAAACGGGTCGTAGCCGCGAGTCAATGAGTAGAAGACCGATCCGATGGCGAACTGTTCCGTCCGGCAGCCAGCCTTTCCATACGTCCCGCGATCTGCGCCGCCCTCGTCGCCGAGAAGTCTGGCGAATGGCTCCGTTCCAGACAACATATCCTCTCCCGTCTTGAGCGTACGGTCAAAGTCTGCCAGCTTCACGTGTCCGGCGGGATACAAGAGCATGTTCCCAGGACGAATGTCGCAGTGGGCCAGACCAAGCTCTTCAAGCCAAGCGGCAGCAGCGCCCAGCTGCTTCATCCAACGGAAGCAACGCTCTAGGGGTTGTCTCCTCGTAACCCCCATCACTCGCCGGGATGACTCGTCTCTTTGCTGTTCTTCCCTGAGAAGGGATGCAGGATCCCCGTTCGTGGCATACTCCAAGAAGATCGCGTCCTCGGTGCGGTAGAGGCTCCGGACAATATACGGCGACGGAGGGTGGCGCTCAAGGATGTCGAAAATAGTTCGTTCGTTGGCCAGGTTGCGATCTCGGCCAGGGCGGACCTTCTTTACGGCGATATATTGGTTCAGCTTGAACGTAAACCCAGTGCTACCTAGGCTGAGTAGATGGGGTCCAGGCTGTGCATGCACCGAACGACTCGACTCCTCCACAGCTTGCTTCTATGAGCATCGATAAGGGCGGAGACAATTTGGGGGGGGGGGGGGGGGGGGGGGGGTAATCGAGGGCTGGAAATGGGGGCTCACTTGTCGTTAATCTGTCTCTTCTCATAATCACCCACCAATTAGTTACACTCGAGTGTGAGCTGGCGCCTGACCACAGTGCATGCACGGTATTTGTGCCCGAAATGACATCCCCCATTCTTCCCCAAGAAAAACACAGGGAATCAGGTGTGCCCTCGCCGTTTTGCGCGTGGGAGTGCGACGGCCAAGATCCATATCCGGCTGGTCCTCTATGAGAGTTGAGTTGGCTGTCGGGTGTCTCCTCGCTGGTCCCTCGACACCCACCACAATAAGCGGACACTTTTGCTGGGAACCACCAGTGGATTTGGAGATCGTTTCGTGACACTCACTGGTATCGGACGCTTAGCTCATGGCGCCGCCTCAATAAATTAAAACATCGTTCTCCGGCTATTCTACGATTATCGTGATTCAGCGTGTACTGCGGTCTGCGAATCCCTGTGCCCGTTATTAGTCCTCGCGCTTGGCAGAGCCCTATGGCAAGCAGCGGTCCTCTATTCCGAACCAGCCGGTTGCGATCCTTTAACAAAAAATAGATAAGCGACCAATGGGCATGTGGACCTCGTATGTCTGACTTATATGAGTCCCGTGGAGGATCGACCACCACACCGGGGGCGGGAAGAGGGCTAGAAAAAAAAATGTCCGACGCAAGACGCACGTCTGACAGGACACGCGGAATATGGAACAGAAAGTAGCAGCGGGACGGTAGATGGGGAACGGGACAAAAAAGGTCCTTCTACTGTATTAATCATCTGCCGTGTACGGCACGGAAAGTAACAAAACCTGGGGAATCCCTGTTCGCCTGCAACAACGGCAACTCAACTTGGACGTCGATCAACGTATAAGCGGCGGGCTTGGAAGCACGGTGCTATTTGGAGCAAGGAGACAAAAAGGATAACATGTTCACAGTATTCGTTCAGTTTAATCGATAATGATGTTGCTCAGCTCTCGGCATTAATTATATCTAAAATAGGAATCTTGGTAGATCCGATATGTCCCCCCATGTTTGGCAAAAGTTAAGTGCCAACCAACCTCAGCGCCGTTTGTTGAAGGAACAGATCTTGACATCTATCCCATCCCGTCCTCTCTCTGGTCTAGTTCATAGCCATCTAGCTTTAAAAGAAAAAGTCTTGTCACATACAGTCATGTGATACGTCTGCTCCGTCTTCTACTAACTCTGTCATCTCTTCTCATAGACGTACTCCCATGAGAGAATCTCGTAAATTGGGAGGGTTCAGAACAGGCCATCAATCTCGCCGGTCTCAAGATCGACGTCCACGTTCAGGTAGCCAGGCGCCGTGGGCAAGCCGGGAATGGTCTGGATATCAGCCGCCAAGGCGTACAGGTAGCCAGCGCCGGCCGCCATGCGGACGTCGCGAATGGGCACCGTGAAGCCCGTCGGCGCGCCCTTGAGCTCCGGGTCGTGAGACAGCGAGTACTGCGTCTTGGCGATGCAGATCGGCAGGTGTCCGAAGCCCTGGTTGGTGTAGGTCTCGACCTTGCGTTCGGCAAGGGGGCTCAGCTCCACGGCAGCGGCACCGTACATCTCCCGCGCGATGGCCTCGATGCGCTCCTTGACAGTGTTGCCCTCGGTCTTGTACAGTAGCTTGAGTTCCTTGGGCTTCTCGCTGGCAGCGATGACACCCTTGGCCAGCTCAACAGCGCCCTTGCCACCCTCGGCCCAATGATTCGCTAGGATGGCATCCTCAGCACCTGCAGCGATAGCCTCCTCTCGGATGACTGCGATCTCGGCCTCGGTGTCAGTAGCGAACTTGTTGATGGCCACAACAACCGGGATGCCATAGCTCTTGGCGTTGGCGATCTGCTTGCGCAGGTTGACGCAGCCGGCACGGAGAATGTCGACGTTCTCCTCCTTGTACACCGGGCTGAGCGGTGCACCCGGGGCGATGGGTGGACCACCACCGTGCACCTTCAGGGCGCGGACGGTGGCAACGATGACCACGACATCGGGGGAGAGTCCCGAAGTACGGCACTTGATGTTGAAGAAACGCTCGCCACCCATCGTGAAGTCGAAGCCAGCTTCAGTGACAACGAACCCAGCCTTGGATGAGTGGTCCTCATCAGGCTCGGTACCAGTCAGCTTTAGAGCCATCTTATCCGCGAGGATAGAGCTGTTTCCAATGCTGATGTTGGCAAAAGGCCCGGCATGGACAAAGACAGGAGTCCCCTCCAGGGACTGCATGAGGTTGGGCTTGATGGCGTCCTTCATCAAGGCAGTCAGCGCGCCGCCGGCTCCAATATCGTCACAAGTGACAGGGTCGCCGTTTCTGGAGGTAGCAACAACCATCCTTCCAAGCCTCTCTCGCATATCTGCCAGGTCTGTGCTCAAAGCCAGAATGGCCATACACTCACTGGCAACCGAGATATCGAACCCCGTCTGGCGGATCTGCCCCTTCTCAGTAGGAGCAACACCAACAGTGATGCCTCGCAGGTGTCTGTCATTAACATCCAATACTCTTCGCCAGGTAATGGTTTCCGGGTCGATGTCCAGGCGGGCGAATCGGTGGATCTCGTCCTCGGTCAGATCATCCGGGTTCGTCTTGTCAATGCCGAGCTTCTTCAGGCGGCGGAACATTACAGGAGCAAACACACGCTGCCCATTCTTTGCAGGCACTAGCCGTCTGTACAGAGGGCCATCTTTCTGAGTGTTCTCGTGGAACATGCGCGTCTCGATGGCAGCAGCGAGCAGATTGTTGGCAGCCGTGATAGCGTGGATGTCTCCCGTGAGGTGCATGTTGAACTCGTCCATAGGGATGACCTGACTGTAGCCACCGCCAGCAGCACCACCCTTGATGCCAAAAGTCGGCCCTTGGCTGGGTTGTCTGACGTTTGCAAAGGTGAGACGGCCTAGGTGAGCGCCTAGAGCCTGGGCAAGGCCCATAGTCGTGGTGGACTTGCCCTCACCCAACGGGGTGGGAGTGATACCAGTGACCACGACATAGCGGCCATTTCGCCTGTGTTCTAGACGCTTGAGCAGGCTAAGGTGAACCTTTGCCTTGTATGCGCCGTAGGGCTCGATCTCAGCACCAGCGATGCCGATTTCGCGGGCAATGCGGGTGATCTGCTTGGGAACCTGGGCTCTTGAGACGGCAATGTCCGAGGGCACGGGTACTTGCAACTTGATGGGACTGGGGATGATGTGACGATTCCTTTGCCGCTCAAAGTATTGATTCGTTGAATCAACGACGTTCTGCAGAAGCATGGCGACGGTCATGGGACCAACACCTCCAGGAACAGGCGTGATGAAGGATGCTACCTGTGAGGCAGATTCGTAGTCAACGTCTCCGACGAGACGTTGGCCGGACTTCCTCGTCGAGTCCGGAATGTAGTTGGTGCCAACATCGATCACAACGACACCAGGCTTCAGCCACTCGCCACGGATGAAGGCAGGCTGCCCGATGGCGGCAACAACAACGTCGGCATTCTTGAGATGGACATCAAGATCTGTGGTGCGAGAGTGGCATACGGTCACCGTAGCATCGGCATTCTTGAGGAGATAGCTGACCGGGCTGCCGACGATGTCGCTCCGGCCCATAACCACAGCGTTCTTGCCTCGCAGATCAACTCCTGCTTCCTTCAAAAGGACCATAACTCCTTTAGGGGTGCATGGGACGAAGGATGGGCGGCCTCCGCGCTTGGCGAGTTCGCCGATGTTGTGGGTACCGAAGCCGTCGACATCCTTCTCGTCGGCCACTGCCGAAGTGACAGTGTATTCAGAGAGGTGAGCCGGCAGCGGAAGCTGGACAAGGATGCCATGAACTGACGGATCGTCGTTGAGCTGGCCGATCTGATCGAGGAGCTCGGCCTCGGTAATGCTCTCGGGCAAGTGGATAAGATCACAGCTGATACCGGCCTGTTCGCGCGTCAATCGTCTATGTTTTCGGGGCAGCAACTACTTGAAGCTGGGGATAGGGTACCTCTTGAGCGGCCTTGAGCTTCATCCGCACATAAGTGGCTTAAGTGAATGTTAGTCTAAAATGCCGAGGCACAAGCCGGGTTTGGGTTGTCATACTAGAATCCGATCGGTCGGCCACTATAGTAAGGTTGATTAACACACACTGCACGCAGACTTTGGAGCTTGTGCAGCATTTACTCACCCTGAATGATCTTCAGGCATGGCTGGAATTTAGGGTTGGCCTTCTGCGCCTCCTGGATTTGGGCATGGAGACCTTCCCGGATCTTCTTGGCAATGGCCGTGCCGTCAATCCGTGTGGCCGTCATGGTGGCTGCTGACGTGGAAAAGCTCCGAGTGGCAGGATAACTGTTCCGACAGTGCAATTGACCCAGGGGACGGGTTTCCGACAAGTTGAGCGGAGAAGATAGCCTCAGTTTGGGACAGGCATGCAGGGACGAAGACGAAGCAACGAAGTTTTTCGGCGGGGGACTTCGGGCAACGGGCGATGCGACGGGCGTTGGATCTGACGGGCAGAACCGCGGGGCTGAGGCGGTGTGGATGGGCGCTGAAAATGGCAGCTGACAAGGGCGGCTACGGGACCCGGAGAACTTTTGGGCCCCTGAGTTCCCGAGGCGGGCCGGTCTCGCAGCACAACAACAGCTTGAGCCGGTGAGCATGATGGTGCAACCAGAGCTTTTCTTTTTTGTCGCACTGGTAGCAGTCGAGGCAGGCCTCCAGAGGCTTTGTCGCAGCCCTTGCGTCCCTATCGCAAAGCTGCACGCATGTCTGGCGCTGCGCTCAGAGGCACCAGCAACCGCAGCAGCAAGAGCAGCCGATGGGCGGCAACAAACTCGGCTCACGCTCCCGTAGCGGCTCTGCATCTCGGGCGTGTGCCGGTGCTAAGCAGTGCTGCCTTGGCAATGACTCAGACTGGGACGATGACCAAGTCTTGCTGGAGTGGAGAGAATGGTCACAATGCAGGCTTATCATTGCATGATGTCCCCAGAAAAGCCCAGATCGAGTCGATGAGGATGGCGATGACTGCGAAAGCAAAAAAAAAGAACGGATGCCGAAGTGGACAGTGATGCTTGCTGCTGGTGACTATACCAAAGTGGTATCTTGCGGTTGAGTCACCAGAAATGATGCCAGAACAAAGAAAGAGTGAATGGATGCAAAGGAAAGCGGCATGAACTGCATATTGTACACTGAATTCGTATCGTCACAGATTTCCACTCCCTTGGCTCTTTCCTGGCCGCGATCTCAATTCATCCTAAAGGCGTCGACTCTCCATGCACAAGCACACGCAACGGCACAGAGCCGAGCGAGGAAGGCACTCGCCACAGAAGGTGAGTCACGTGCATAGGCGGTGAGACAGCCCACCGTACCAGGGGGGCCCAAAAAAATCCCAAGCTATGACTGTCCTCAGAAGGATTCCAGGTGTGGCTGGCTGGCTCGGGCGAGCCTGGGACTGGTGGGGCCCGCTTGCCCCGCGCTCTTTCTGGCCTCGCACAATCTCTGCAATTTTAATTCTGCGACCAGAGATAGAGGACGACGACGACGACGGCCCAGCCACGACCGCGATTACAAAGGCCGGATCACGACGACCACGCACCGCATAGTTCTCGACGAGTAGAGCTTGCATCAAACAATCCGGCACCATGAGGCCCATTCTGTTGGCAGGGCACGAGCGTGCTCTCACCCAGATTCGGTGCGTAGAACACATGCCTACCAACTTTCCCATCTTCATTGTCCCCCGCGTCGTCGCGCGAAGAAAACCTCCTCCAAAGGCATCTGCAGCACTACGAGGGGGCAACATACAGGAAAACAGACCTAGAGAGACTAACGTGCCGTGTGCCCGCGCAGATTCAACCGCGATGGCGACCTCATCTTCTCCACCTCCAAGGACCAGCAGATCTGCGCCTGGTTCTCCCACAACGGCGAGCGCCTCGGCACCTACCACGGCCACCAGGGTGCCATCTGGACCGTCGATGTCGACCCGACCGACACCATGATCGCCAGCGGCTCCGCCGACAACACCATCCGCCTCTGGGACATCAAGAGCGGCAAGTGCCTGCACACGTGGGAGTTCCCCACGGCCGTCAAGCGCGTCGAGTTCAACGAGGACGGCACCAAGCTGCTCGGCGTCACCGAGAAGCGCATGGGCCACCTCGGCACCATCGTCGTCCTCGACATCAACCTCGACCCCGAGGCCGAGCAGAGCGACGAGAAGGCCATGACCATCGTCTGCGACGAGTCCAAGGCCACCGTCGCCGGCTGGAGCTACCTGACCAAGTACATCATTGCCGGCCACGAGGACGGTTCCGTCTCGCAATACGACGCAAAGGTGCGTGACTGGACAGGCAGAAGAAGCCGATTGCAGTGTATTGGGATGTGGGCAGATACTAACATGAGTGCCTTGCATGCAGACCGGCGACCTGATCTACAACATCCAAATCCACGACCTGGGCTCCCCCATCACCGACATCCAGTGGTCGCAAGACCGGACCTACTTCATCACCGCCTCCAAGGACAAGAGCGCCAAGCTCATCACCGCCCGCGACCTCGAGGTCCTCAAGACCTACGTTGCCGATACCCCTCTCAACAGCGCCGCCATCACCCCCAAGAAGGAGTTTGTCATCCTCGGAGGTGGCCAGGCCGCCATGGATGTCACGACGACGTCGGCGAGGCAGGGTCGTTTCGAGGCCAGGTTCTACCACAAGATCTTTGAGGAGGAGATTGGCCGTGTCAGGGGTCACTTCGGTCCTCTGGTAAGGGAACCCCCAAGAATCCATACCGAATTTACCGGCAGGAGAATCGTTTACTAATTAGGAGTCTAGAACACTGTTGCTGCTGACCCTACGGGCCGGGGCTACGCGAGTGGTGGTGAGGACGGTTACGTCAGAGTGCACTTCTTCGACAAGGGCTACTTCGACTTCATGTACGAGGTTGAGAGGGAACGGGCAAACAGGATGGCATGAAGGAGCCAAGTGTGCGCAGACAGCTTGACGAAGTAGGCGAAAAGCCGGCACTCAACCCCGATGGATACCCAGAAGGAGATCGCACTCTGGAGACGAGACTGGGTCCTCAGCAAAGGGGATGGGGATGGGGCAGAGAGGGGATTCCCTGGGGAGAGCTGGGCAACCGGCAGTTGATGGTGTCATGACATGAGTGACTTTTTCTGGCATTTCAGGGCATCAAAATCTATGGCGTTTAATGGCAGAGGAAGACAACGGGAACTCTAGATCAAAAAGGCATATTTGGTACCGAAAGATCTTGCTTCTCGCCTCTGGGGGCTGGAGTGAAGTACCTCCAAAACCCTCGAGTATAGAGATAATTCATCACGCATCAAAAGAAGGGTTCAAAGTCACACACATCTTTCCAACGAACCAAAAGTAATCTTGTAGGAATGGGTGATTTATCGCGGTGACATTTTTATGTGTACATAAGTAATGGCAACTTTTTGAGGTACTTGTGCTTCGCATCACGGCCCTGAAGAGAAGCATCCACATCAAAGGCCCCCTCCCTAGTCTATCAAACTCCTGGCACAGCATCAAAAGCAGACACACAAGGCAGACCACCCATATCCTCCCGCCCCATGTCACAGTCTACTGAGGTCCACCAACCTAGACCAGCACAAGAACAAAGTCCCAGCCGATAAACGCCATCCCAAGACCTAGACAGTCCCCAAAGTCATGCCGCAAAAAGGATCGAACGACAACTCCCAAACATTAATCTACGCGTAGGGGGGGTGACACTGCATGCACACGACTACTTCTTCTTGCCCTTCGGCTTGGCCTTGGTAGACTGGTTGGACGCTACGCTGGAGGCGCGAGAGGGCGCAGCCGATGTGGCCTTGCTGCCGGTGCCGGACTTGACATTATCCAAAGCCTTGTTCTGTTTGATCAAATTAGCCAAAATGTTCTCTTTTCTTTGGGCAAGTAGTTTTGGGCAAGTATACTAACCTTGACACCATTCTTTGACTTCTTCTTAGGAGGAGCCATGCCCAGAATGCTGTCCTCGTCGTTCTCCTCGTCTTCCGGCTCCCGCTTGCCGCGGCCGTTGACATGTCCGTTTGCCTTGGTGGTGTTGACATCCTCAAACTCCTTGACGATGGTGGTCAGGAGAGTCGTACACCGACGGCTGAGCTCGTTGGGCGTACGGCTCTGGAAGAACCAATCGAAGCGGAACAGCGGGCTGTCGCGAATCTCGTCGCGGATGGTCTCAAAGATGCCCTCCGAGTCGACGCCGTGCTTATCAAGCTGGACAAGAAGGAAGCGATCTTCCTCCTCCGTGTAGACCTTCTTGTTGGTGGTCGACACAGAGTAGTTGATCTTGAGCTGCTGAAGAGGCACGCGGTACTGCTGCATCTTCTTGCGCAGCATCTTCCGCTGGTGTTCAATCTTTCGTAGCTTCTCCTCGCCATCTTCAATGGTCTTGATCGCCTTCATGTAATCGGCAAGCTCCGTGTATCGCACCCAGAAGATCTTGGCGTACGCCTTGACTTCCTGAGGCGTCTTGCTATCGACCTCAGTCGCGATGCCTTCATAATCCGTCCGGCCAAACTTGGCGGAGCCATTGACAAACTGCTGGAAATCCCTTCGGTTCCAATCGCTGAAGCCCAGCTGTGACAGCTTCTGCTTCTCCTCTTGCTCCTCCTCAGTCAGAGGTGTGGCTTCGTCAATTTCCTGCTGGTCAAGAGCGCGCTCAGCCTCACGGTCGGAAAGATTCTCTTCGTCACCATCAGCAAGTGGCACCTTATAGCCAATCTCCTTGCGATAGTAGGCAGTCTCGCGATCCTGAAGATCCCGGAGAGCAGGGGGGTAGAACTGGTAATCCTGGATGTGGATCTGCTTGGGTGCGCGTGGCGCCTTGGGCTTCTGCTCCTTTGGACCTCCCGAGGAACCATACATTGCTTGGCGGTAGTACTTGTCGATCGAGTAGGTCTGCTCCTTGCGCTCACGCTTAGCAGGGTTGATCCAAGTCATACCGATATCCTTCTTCTTGGCCGCGAAGTTCTCTCCGTTCCAGTCGTAGGCAGACTCGGAAGTGAATTTCTGGAGGTCGTCGATACCAAGCTTCTCGTACCTGGCATTGAGCTCCTTGGTACGTGTCTCACCGCTGGACAGGATCTTGTCGATGTCGTCATCCGTCATATCCGTACCCTTCTCAGCGATGAGACCAGTCGCGCCCTTTTGCTTGAAGACATTTTCGGCACCGTGCTGGATCATGGACAAGAGCTCGTCCTTGTTAGCAGCGGCCTTAGCTGCTTGCTGTGCACGGCCTTGCTGGATAACCAGCTGATCGAGACGCAGCTTCTGCGCGGCTCGCTCTAAGACTTTTTCTTCGATAGCATTGTCCGTGACGAAACGGTAGACAACGACCTGCTTGGTTTGACCAATACGATGAGCACGGTCCATGGCTTGCAAATCGGCCTGAGGGTTCCAGTCGCTATCGTAGAGGACGACGATGTCGGCAGTGGTGAGATTGATACCAAGACCACCAGCCCTGGTAGTCAGAAGGAAGACAAATTTCTCCGAACCAGGCTTGTTGTACTCGTCGATTGCCGCGATACGGTCTTCGTGGGCGGTACCACCATCGATACGGCAATACTTGTACTGACGGAAGACACAGTAGTCCTCAAGGATATCCAGCAGACGGCTCATCTGAGAAAAGATAAGGACACGGCTGCCCTGGGTCTGGAGCCGCTTGAGGAGCTTGTCCAGAACGACCATCTTTCCAGCGTTATACACCAAGTGTTCATCGGTCGTGTAGGGAGGTCCAGGTTCCGCCCCCTCGAACAGATACGGGTGATTGCAGCACTTTCGCAGCTGCATGACGATGTTCAAAAGACGAGTCTTCGACTCGCGCTTTCCGCCAGCACCGTTGACAGCATCGATATCCTTCTCCAGAATCTTCTGATACCATTTGACCTGCATTTCCGACATGCCAATGTAGACGTTGACCTCTTTCTTGGGTAGGAGACTCTTCTCCACATCGCTCTTCACTCTTCGGAGCAAGAAGGGTCGCAAAACACGATGGAGCTGCTGGACGACAGTGTCCTGGTCACGATCTTGCCCAGAGAACCACTGATCGAAGGCCTCAGAGTCGCCGAAAACGTCGGGAAGCAGAAAGTTGAGCAGCGCCCAGAGCTCGTGCAGGTTATTCTGAAGAGGCGTGCCGGTAATCAGGAGACGGTTCCGCGAGTTGAACAGTCGGATGACTTGTGCGAGAGAAGACTCCTCGTTCTTGATACGATGGGCCTCGTCGATAATAATGTACTCCCACGCAAATTTCTTGAGATGAGCCTTCTCGCGAAGGATCATTTCATAACTCGTGATGCAGACATCAAAGTTCTCGTCGACCAGGCGCTCGCTGATGAGGTTCGCACGCTCTTCCTTGGCACCCTGCAGCACCAAAACGTTGACCTCAGGCGTCCACTTGGCAAACTCTCGCTTCCAGTTATCGAGTGTAGACTTGGGCACAGTGACCAGGTGGGGTCCGGTGATGCCCATGATGTGGCGAAGGTAACCGAGGAACGAGATCGTCTGCAGAGTCTTGCCAAGACCCATCTCGTCGGCCAAAATACCCGAGATACCATTCTCGTGTAGAGAAATGAGCCAGTTGAGGCCGGCAACCTGGTAATCTCTCATTTGGCCCTGGATGAAGGATGGCGATTCCCGGAAGACAGTCTCAGCTGAGCCACCATGTTTCTCGTCCTTCAGCAGCTCTGCATCTTCTTCGGCCTCAGTTCGGCGGCGTCTATCGCTAGTAGCACCGCCCTGTCGAGCACCTCCTTTCTTTGCCTTGGCCTCCTCTGCATTTTGTCGGTCGATCTCAGTCATGATGTCGCGAATCTTGGGGTCTGGGTTTGTCTCGATGAAGTGGCGGAAGAGATCTGTCAGGCCGAGAAGATAGCGGAATCGGCGAATGGTATCATCTTCCTGGGCAGAGGATGTCGTATTAGCGCCACTGGCCATTGGAATTTCACGCGACTGTGCGTAGAGTGCTCTAGTTGACCTACCTTGGATTCTCCCAATCTATCGTGTTTCCTGCCGAAGATGCTGCGCCTGAGCTGGTTTGCCTCGGAGCGACGCTTGCGGCCATCTGATATGGGCTCGCCAACGACACTGCTGGCGGTCGTGTTCGGATTGGTGTCCGAGTCTGTGTAGTCTGGCGTCTCGTCCATGTCCTACGAGGATGAACATGTCAGACAACCCATTTTTGGCTTTGTATAAGTGGACGGCAGTCCAGAGAAATATGTAACGCAGGTGCATATCTTGCTGAGAGGACTTACCATCTCGTAAGCCGGCCTCGGAGAAGGCTCTGGTGCGTCCTGCATTGACGCGTCGGTATCGTTACCGCTCAGTCTCGATCGTGAAGGAGCCATGATGGCAGGGCTGCTCTGCGAGCCACTTAACGCGTTTGCGACGCGCCTGGAGCTCTTGGCGATATCGTCTGAGTAGGTCGTATTGTGGCAAGGAGAGTCCTCGTGATGGTTGTGGCCCCGAACGTTGATGACGATGGTAAGGAAGGGAGCCTGTCCTGGTGTTTGAGTGGTGGCAGAGGGAGAGAAGGGTGCTGCAGAGAGGGCAGGGTGGGCTTCCAATGTCGAAGCACCCCAAAATTCATGAATTCGCGTCCCAAAGGGGACTAGCGCCAGTCGCCAGTCGCGAAGAGTGCCTCCCAGGGAGTCACGTGTAAAGGAGACGGATGGGAGTTTTACTGCCATCAGGCCTCACCGCCTTCGTTCTTCCACCATCAATGACGTCCAGGCTGCTTGATGTGGGCTGGGGGCGGGCTCAAAAATTGAATTACCATTGCTCGAGATCTAGTTTAGAAGCAGTTGGTTGAGTTAGTTGTCCCAATCCCAAAAGCCTCAAGCCGAAGGCGTCAACTCTGACAGTGAGGGACCCTTCCCTTCCTACGCTTCCATTCATGCAAAGCAATAGGGCCAGTGTCACATTCAATCTCATCTTTGATCATCATTGTTACGGCTGCGTTTTCTACGGCTTTCTGCTTATGGGGATACTTCCCTATTCTTTAGCGGCTACTAGGCCTATTCTCAATGCTCAATCATCGCAACGTGACCCCTAACAAAACAAGATAGGCTACCCGCCAGTGCCGCCAAAGTGGTCACGTTCCCATCATTCCACATACCATCCGGGTTGTCTCACTGACCTTATTAAACCACCCATTTCGTATCATCGCGTCAATTCACCCCGCGTAAAGTCGAGCCTGCTCTCCTTTTCGAATAGATCAGTGACTGTGCTGCGAAGCGCTGCTTCTTCCTCACCACTATACTATTCGACATAAAAAGCGGTACCGTTCATTGGAGTCCACTGTATCCACCTGCAAAACTGCAGCGCCTTATTCAGTCAGGGCCGCAAGCACGACCCACAATACAACGGCGGTTGTTTTCGCCAAAAACCCCTCCTCGACTAAAAGCAAGCAAACAACTCGACATCTGCATCGGCGCCTGCATCCTGCCAAACTGGCCCGACCAACGTCCACTCCTTTCTCTCAACCCTATTGACGCAGCAACTGGCAAACACTCTCCTTCCATCAAACGCCGACAAGTATGAACACAGATCTCCCCGAGGAGCTCCTCGGGAGCTTTAAAGAAGCCGCCTTCCAGGTCACCAAACTGTACAAGGCTGCCGCTGCCGCCCACGGCAAGGGCCGGGCGGACGGCTACCAAGACTGCCTGGACGACCTGCTGGCCTTCCTCGACAAGGAAAACATCGGCGCGGCCGCTGGCGAGGGATGGAAGGTTAGGAACTGGGCATCCGAGCGGTTGGTCCGCCGGGAACGTGATGGCGTCTCCCAGACGGCCGAGAGCGAAGGCGAGGAGGAAGCGGACAAGGTGGACACTGCATCGTCACCAGAACTGCACCGGGCGGACAGCAATATCCCCATGCAGCCCGCGGCGAACTATACGGCCATGCGAACCGACTCTGCACCGCCCTCGGTCAGACCGTCTGTCGAGGATGCGGGGATAGTTGTCCCTTCACAGGACACGTTCGAGTTCCGATCCCAAATGCAATACCCGCAAGACTCTTCAGACCTCTCCATCGCCACGCTAGACCTGTCAGACTCGAGATCTCACGAGATGTCAACCTCAACACCAGCAGTTTCGATAGCAAGACCACCGAGACCTCGCCATAACGCGGCCGGCCAGAGAAACTTGTCTCGCTCGTCGAACCTCCTGGGCCGCGGCGCAGGTCAAAAACGCAAGCTCAACATTCCCGAGCTGGAGTTCTTTGAGAGCCTCGGGCATTACGGGAAGGACTTCTTCGGCAACAGGGGCGGCAAGAGAAACAAGCACGCTTAGCAGCGGGGCCTTCGGCATTTACTCAGCATTATTACGGGAGGCGTTCTTTTGGGGGGGCGACAGACGATCATCACTCTTCGCCATGGAGACGGGACACTACTCAGCATAGACACGGGGGTGGTGAGTTGCGAGGACGCACGGTTTAAAGGCACGATTGCATCAGCGACATTGGGACGGACTCTGGGCATGGAGCGGTGTTTGTTGTTCTCTTTTCAATTTCCATCGGAGGGATAACGACCATCAATGACTTTGAAGCTTAGCATGGGCCTGGTGGGCACCAGCGATTTCACGAGATGTCGTAGCGGAGGAGGGAACTGGTTGAAGATACCCGCGACGAATTTGAGCTTTCTTCTGTACGTAGTTATAGCCTCTACTGTCTCCCTGACTAAATAGAGTTTTTTTCATGTCCCTGTCTGGTGCTCGCGAGTGCAATAACAGTAGGCAACTATGGTTTGTATCAAAAGACAACCAAAGAAGACTAGCAGCAAGTTCCGCAGAGTCCTACTCTAGGAGGGGCTGTCGTCGTCATCAACGACCAACCCTAGTTCTCTCCCTCTTTCCAACTCTGCGCACTTTCCGTATTCCTTGTTACCTGATAAGATCTCTCAATACGTCTCGTTCTTGGCATCATCGGCATTAGAGAGTTGCCTGCAGCCTTACCCTCAATAGATTTATGAAATAAGTTAAAACTCCCTATCTGTACCTATTGCGCAGCCTAGCACACATGCAAGTGCGTTCTTAGCGGCCCAATCACCAATTCTCTCATCAGGGAGGGCTCTGGACTCAGGACCAGCCGAATCGTCTTGCCAACGGGAAATACAGCCCAAAAGCAGAAAAGGGACAGCAACGGGCGCTTCTCTACCCTACATATCAGTCACCACCACCATGGCCGACGAAGACGACCCTGTGACTAGCACAAGCCGCACCCCGCTCTTCGCCGACCGGGAAGGAGGGCCCCCCGACGCACCAGACCCGCGCGACCAGGAGGAGGACGACGACGACGGCGGCCTCCCCCACGACCGCCGCCGCGGCCGTGGCGGTGGTGGCCCGAAGTGGCGGTGGTGGTGGAAGACGGCGCGCGGCCGCGGCAGGGCGCTGCTGGCGTCGCGGGAGAAGCACTTTGCCATCATGGCCATGGTCTCGCTCGACGTCGTGGCCCTGCTCGTCGACATACTCGTCTCGCTCGTGGCCTGCGACTGGGGCCGGCAGGACGAGCCGTGGGTCGGCGAGACGCAGGAGGCGACCAAGATCTGCGGCCTCGTGTTCAGCTGCCTCTTCCTGGCCGAGCTGGCGGTGAGCGTGTGGGCGTTTGGCGTCTCGTAAGAAAGAGCCCATTTTCAGTCTTTCTTCCCATGTCTCTCTCTTTTTTTTTTGGTTTGTTTCTGTGATTAAAAACTACTCTATTGCACTGGATGCCGTGGTGGTCAAGTTCAGGGGAGGGGTCCTCTGTCTGTTTGTTACTAATCCCTTGCAAACGGGTGGCAGGTATTTCTCCTCGTGGTTCCACTGCTTCGACGCGGCCGTCATCGTCGTCAGCTTCGTCGTGGACCTGCTGGCGCACGGCATCGCGGGCCAGATCGCCTCCCTGGTCATCGTGCTGCGCCTGACCCGCCTGGTCAAGATAGTGAACGAGCTCAGCCTGGCGTCGGCGGAGCGCATGGAGGGCATGGAGACCAAGATCGCGGACCTGGAGCGGCAGAACTCGGAGCTGAAGAGGGCGGCGAGCCTGAGGCGGTTTGACGGCGACGACTCCGACGCACGGTAGGATCCCCGGGTCGGCCCCCTGTTCTGAGGCGGAGTTGGGAGGTGCAGTGCTCCGAGGCTACGACTGCACTGCTTGGTATACTTATGGCATGCTTATGAGTACTTGTATTAGGTACTTGTACTAAGGAAACATCTGTACCTGTTTTTGGCATCCAGAGACTGTGGATTCTGTGGATGTCTGCCGTGTCGTCTCGTTCTTAAAGAAATTGTCGGGGGGCGTTTTCGTTGCATTTATCATGGTTACAATTCAGGGGTGTGTGAGCCAAGCATTTTCTCTGATGATCCACCCACATAGCCCGGGAGCTGTACTTGTACAACACCCCGGCGTGCTGGAAGCTCGTATGGGCCGTGTGCCGTAGCACGCACATGTATCAAACGGCCACAAAGGATCTCCAACATCGTGACAACGTGACAAGTTATAATACAGATACTCAATCATCCATCAAGCCCGCCGCCAACAGCGTGTCCAGCTACCTACAGTACGTAGGTACACTTGTTCATCATGGCCGCCCCCGAGTCGAAGTAGTAGATAATGGCCGAGAACCGGTAAGCGAGATATCAAATTAGTGTGCAAATGTCGCTAATGCAAGCCTTCCCACCGGGTCCTCCCATCAACCCTTGCTAGCCGGGGTTACCCCGGAATGCGCCAGTTCCCGTTCTGGGTGTTAGCCCGTGCAAGTGCCCCGGCATCGTCAGCCAACAACTTCAGCTGCCTCTCCCGAAATGTGACCTCTCCTGATGCCCACAGGGCCTGCATGGGTGCATGACCCTGCATTCCTCGGGATTTCTTACTAGACTTTGTATCTCTCGCTTTCGTGTCTGCCCAGTGTCTCAACAAAGGGGGTTGCTGTGCTGCAGGGGGTGGTTGAAGCTTTTTTGTCTCACTTGTCACATTTGTTTTCGTATTTTTGTTTTTGTGTTTCCTCTCGAACTCAAACAATCGAACCTGCTCATTACTTGCTCTAGCCCCAGGAGTCTAATAATTCGTGCTTCGAACCTATTCAACTGTTCCCCGAACCTTCTTCCCCAACGGAAATCTCGAGCTCGACATTCGTTTTTCCACCGATAGCTCTTCATTACCGTCTGAATCAATCTTTTGTAATATCCGAGATCCCCTCACTCTCGTTCATCAGCATTAAAAAGACCTTTAATATCAACAATACAAAAGCCAGCAAAAATGCGTCCCGTCATCGCCCTAGCCCTCCTCGCCTCCTCCCTCTGCCCCCTCGCCGCGGCCGCCGACGCCTCGTGCCCGGACGGCGCAGACGTCATCGTAAACACCTGCCTCGACCAGCAGAACGCCATCCTGGCCACCTGCACCGACGGCGACTGGGACTGCAAGTGCCACGCCTGGCAGTCCATCGTGCAGTGCGTCTTGGTTTCCTTTCCTCCCTAACCGGCCACCCCCCGCCTCCCTCCCATCCATCCTCAGACCCTGTGACTAAAAAAAAGATACCGAAAATAACAGGTGCTTCATCAACTGCCCCTCCGACCCGCGCAAGCAGACCAACGAGGGCCAGCAGTCCATCTTCTGCGGCTACGCCTCGCAGTACCCTTCCTCCACCAAGGCCGTCTCCGCCGGCGCCGCCAGCACCGCCGGCGGCTCCAAGGGGCCCGAGCAGAGCGCGGCCGCCGCGACTCCTGCTACTACCACCGCTTCGAAACAGGGAGCCGGCAGCAGCGGCACGCCGACTAGCTCGCCGACGGCCGTGGCGAAGAACGGCGCCGTGGGCGCGCGCGAGCGGGTGCTCAACGTCGGCGGTGCCATCGCCGCCGTTGCTGTCGGTGCCATCGCTGTCCTGTAAATAGGAGTCTTGTCATTTCTCTGTGGGACAATGAAATGATTATGTTGTGGCGGATTGAGTGATCTGGATCAAAAGATACACTTACGAGACTATTTTAGTCTTCATGACAATTATTTACCTGTTGTAATGCTCACTGAGAATAATAATTCAATGTTGTTGTGAAATCACTCATCCAGATGACAACCAAACGGGACCAGCTCCTGTCCATCATCATTTTCTTCGTGTTTCATTTCGTCTAGTTGTTGCTTGCGTGATAAGTACAGTATTGGGGGCGTGCGCGTGCTGCTCTCGACATATGATACAACGCAATGTAAGACGCAGCATGCTGGGAAATCCACGCAGTGCAGTTAAAAAAGGTATAACAAGAGCGGCCTCGCCAAACAGTTCTATTGTCCGCCCCCTCTTGGTGCAAGCCTTTCTCCTTTTCTTCCCAACTCCAAACAATCCAAAGGCAAAAAGGTATCGCTGTCCACCAAATTCTTACAAGTGGTTTCCCCCCCAGTCTGGTTTGACACCGATGACAACCTCGAACACGTCGTCCTGGACATGTCGATGGCCATAAGTGAATCCTCATCACTCCTTCCGTCTTCTCCCTCGCTGTAGCGCTAGCAACTAGCGTTTTCGGTGGACGATGGCGAGCGGCAGGGATCCCATTCGTTGGAGACAGAAGGCGCCCGAAAGAGCAGATAAATCCAAGCAACGCGATGGTCCCGAGCAAGCGCTCGTGACGTGAATATATGTACGTGAATGTGCAAAGGCAATTAAAGATGTATGTAAATGCCGCGGCAAGAAAAGTGGCGTTGGTCGTCGAATAGGGCTAGGCCTTCTGCTTTCTCCTGCCCTTGCCAGTCGTAGTGACAGGACCGACAAAGGTGACATGCTTGGGTTCATCCTTCTTGGTCGAGGTGCTACCACGATGGTGGCGGATGGCTTGAGGACCATCGTCCTCGTCGATGTTGATCTCGGCCACGTCAGACACGGAACCAGCGTCGCTATCGCTGATCTCGGATGAGGAACCGTCATCAGAATCATCGTACTCCCCGTCGTCACTAACAAGCGATGGCGCATTGTTGCTGGCAATGGTGTTGGGACTGTGTTCCGTGTCCATGTCGTCATCGTAGAGCTCAGAGCTGTCCTCCTTCTCATCGGTGGGAGTCAGATCAGGCGTGGAGAAAGCCATGTGAGACGCGACGCCCTTGCTGCTCGCAGGGCGCGTCCCCCCCATCGCAGCGGGCGCCATGGTAGGCCGGACAGGCATGCGCTTGACAGCGGGCGTTCTGGCCGCAGAGGCAGGAGGCGACTGTAGGCCGTCGGCGAGGTCGGCGCTCTGATCTCCCTCCTCTGATTCGTCGCCAGGCGAAAGCTCGTCCAGGTCGATCTTGGTTTTGGCATCTTCAACCTGCTCCTTCAGATTGCCCTTGAACTTCTTGTTCTTCATGAGGTTGGACAAGAAGGGCGTCTGGTCAGAGCTGACAAAAGCGCGAGACCCCTTGGAACTCGTCGGACGTTGCGATTTTGAGACGCGGGACTTGGACGATGAGGTGTCCAAGGAACGGTCGGAACAGGCGGTGAGCGTGGCGTGGATGCGTGAGAGGATTTTGTTCGAGTCCTCCTTGTCAGTGTGAGCAAACGCATGGACGAGACCAGAGGCGGTAGCAACGCCAGCAGGCTTCTCTTCACTCGTAGTCCCACGGTTCTCATCGGCTTCGATGGGATGGCCGCAATGAACAGCAGCTTCCTCGTGGCTCTTGAAATCTCGCTTGTGAGCGATGCGACAATGGTTGATGAAACCTTGCGTGCTCGAGAAGTTATCCCGATGGCAATCGATACAGACCAGCTTGACGGTTTGACCATCAGACCGCTTGAGGATACACGGCCCAGCCTTGTCCTTGGGCTGCGGGTAGCCGTTCGACAGAGCATGCAGTTTCTGCGCACCCGTGCCGCGCATGGGGCGGTTCTTGCCAACTGCAACCGGGTCACTGAGACTGTTCCTCGTCGTCCTGCCCTCCGGCACGAGCGCCGCAGAAGGCGCCTGGGAGAAGCCGTGCCACTCGGGAAGCACACCATCAAAAGCAGGGTCCGGGATGAGCCACTTGGCATAATGGCGCGCATACGGACCATCCACGACACCAAACGGCGCTGCCCATTTGGGCACCGACTGACCGGGACGGCTGCGTACAGAAGGGCCTTTGCCCTTGCTGATATCGAGCATCTGTTCGGGAGTGGGACAGCTTATCGGATACGGAATCAAGTGACAGCGCCTGAGCTGCTCGAGCGCGATCTGGCATTTCGCCAGCTCCTGGTCGATCAGGCGTATTTCGTCATGTTTCAACAGGATCTCCAGACCAAACTGATACTGAATGACTTCCCTTGCGCGGTCGACATCACAGGCAGCACCAGCAGCCTTGGGCACGGGAGGACCTTTGCACGCAACTCCACCGACAGAGGAAGACTTGTCATGGGCTTCTACCTTGGCGCGCTTGGATGTGATGCGCTCGTCAGCGCCGTCAGCGCTCTGCCTCTTCCGCTTCACGGCATGGTTAGCTTGCTGCTTGGGGCTGGGCTTGGACACGCCACCGGTGGACTCGGTGAACTGAGGCATAGGCTGAGCTGCTTCGGCAATCTTGTCGCTTCCCCTTGGTTCCGAGATCCAGAAGCGGAACATCAGCAGACCCTCGAGGGTGAGACTTGACCACAAGGCTTTCACGGCAGCAAAGCTTTGTAGGTTGTGTCAAAGTGGTGAGGATGCTTTCAACAAGTGACACGACCCAAGTCAGATCGAGATACCAAGGCAGGTAAGACGGGGCAAAAAAGGGGGGGCGGCCTTCGGCAGGCTGACGTAACCAGAACAGCCTAGCGCTGGGCGAAGTGTGGAGCCGCAGCTGCGACTGACTGGTCGGGGCGTTCGGGTGACGAAAAGTGGGCGGCGGACCAACAGGCTGAAGTGATGGTGGCCTGGGTCAAACCCAACCAAAACCGCTCAGGCTGCAGGGAGCGAATGAGCGCGCGACACACAGGGGGCGCCGAGAGCGAGAGGGAGAATGAGCGTGCGTGGCTTGCGAGAGAGAGAGAGTGCGTGCGAGCGTGAGAGTGAGAGAAGCGACGATGCGACCGGGCGACGCAGTCGACCAGCAGATTTGGATCGCGTGGAAGAGAAGAGGTTGCGCGAGAACTAGTTAAAGCCTCGACGATTAAAAGAGGATTAAGTATGCGCGAAAAGGAGAGCGCGCAAGTCGTGGAAAAAGAAGATTCGTTGCGACAAAGAGATTAATCGCGCGTCGCTACTGAGGTTTTGCGACGTTTGAGGTGTTGTGATGGTTTTTGGGGGGGAAGTTTGAGCGAAAGGAGGGAATGGAGAGGAAGGTTTACAGAGGGGACAAAGGGTGGAAATTGCCTCTGTCAGTCTGTCGGGGGGGAGGAGGAAGCTGGTGGAATCCAAAAACAGGGGCGACCAGCAGCGCGCGAAGACTTGGAGCATGTGAGGGAGATTTGTTTGGGAGTTGGGGGGGGGGTGGGATCACTCGATTTCGGGGGGCGGAGGCAAATCAAGTGGGTGACTGGAGTGAGTGGGCATCGAGCGTGTGAAGCGTGTCTCCGTGTGAAGCGTGTGCAAGCAGCGACAAGGTCCCCAGTTCTCTCTGTCTGGAAAAAGACAGCAAGCATCGAGAAATGGGTGGAGAAAACACGGGCAAGAGTCGCCAGCATGCAGCAAAATGCAGTCAGTGCTGAGGAGGGAGTGGGGAAAGCGTGTACGAGTCGTTGGCGGCCCTAGCAAAGATCAAGGTTGGTGCAGCAGGTGTTGGTGGTCTGGGCTGGCCAGGGATGGATCATGGATGGATAAGCTGCTGGCTGGCGGGGGGCCCTCCTCATGCTGTCCACGGACGGGGGGTGACTAGTGGAGGACTACGGGTAGGTACCAAACAATGAGGCTGATTGCAATCGCTGCGCAAAATTACTGCATCTCGCTATGAGTGGTGACATGGGCGATGGCCTTGGAAGCACAGCGAGCATTGGATGGCGACGCCAGTGTGGGTGGGTAGAAACAAACGGGGCGTAATAGCGTTCAAGCCGAATGGAATTAGGAACGTGAACCATGGCACTTCCATCCCCCCGTCATGGACTGGGCAATCCTCTGGCAAAAGCAAGAGGCAGAGAGGGTGTGGTCTTTTGCAAAGTGTCTTACCTGGCGCGCAGCTCGAATCCAAGAGGTACCTACCATACCCATATGAGGCAAAGCCGTGATGCTTTCGAGCCAGCAGAAAAAAAGCAAATAAATCCACGCACGGCAGAAGGTGACGCCCTTGCATTCGTGCCGCAGGTGAAATACTACTCTCGCGCGCAAAAAACAGCTCTGTGCCTTTGTTTGTTTACCGGTTCTTGAACTCACGGGCCTCCGGCCGTGCAAAGGGTAATTCTCAACCATTCATGGTGCTGATCAAGGTCTAATAAGGCTGCTATAATAAGACGTGCGCCGAGTACCTACCTGCTGTGCGAGGTACCTGACCAGTGGTGGTAACGCTTTTTCATGCATGTCTCACATCGCTTGATAGGTGAGGGACCCTCAGCACGAGATGCAGGATTCTCCTTGCTTTGGCAATCGCATTTGCCTAGGTACCTATCCACTCGGGCGAGGGACTGAGTGAGCCGGGAGATGCGATCCGCCCAGTGGTCGGAGATACCTGTGCGTAACCGACCGCAGCCGAAAAGGCATCGACAAAGCAGCTGAGGACTCGAGAATACATCACCGCGCGTCCAACTAAACTTGGCGCACCTTGCTTCTTCGAGATGGCTTCTGGTCCCTTTCCTGGTCGGGTCCCGGTGATCCGTGCGTTCCGTGCCTTATTTCGCTCCGGCTTCCACTTCTGACGTGAGGATGCGCCGTCGTGATTGGGTCATCTGGGATGGGTCCCGTCAGCGAGCCGGTCCAAGGCCAGGCCAGGCCAGCTCCAACCTTACTTCGTAAGATCGGCCTGGTTTCAGATAGCTCTGTTCTAGTTTGAGGGGCAAGAGGGGTTACCATCATCCAGCGAAGCTCAAGCAGCAGGTTATGAGAGTTGGGGAATCGCCGTATTGTCGTACGATCGAGCAAAGGCATTCCAGATTATGAGGCCTATGGCTTCTCTACTTGTACAGAGTCCGGCTATCAGGCTCTGAGCTACCTTCGCTTTCACAATGCGCTGCATGTCAGACCAGTTGAGGAGCCGGAGCTACGTCCCAGCTAATCTATTTGGATGGTCATACCACACTTCATGGTCTGCCGTACCTATCACCATTGGTGATCGCCCTCATTGGCCGTAGTGGCTCTGCACCAGTCTTTGGCTGCCTTCCAAGTTGTTCCAGAATAGATGGCCGAGATAGCTGATCAGCCAACCAACAGCTGCATGCCAGGCAGATCCGTCCGATAGCAAAGGAGCACTGGCGTCCAGTCATCCGCTGCGCGTTTCCAGGTCGAGCAGGCAGCGATCATATCATGACTACAAGTACGTCCTCGGTAGCCTGTGCCTAGAGTGTCCAGTCAATGCATATCTCAGGAGAATCATGAATTCGCAACAGACTACTGCAGCTTGGATCCAGAACCATCCAACCGGGTGCCAAACCCTGGAGTTTTGTGGGGAGGCCACCAGCCCAAAGCCAAAGAGTTACTTTGGACGGCCATGCCGTTGCTGCACTCCACTCTCGACCTGCAGGTCCCCCAGCCACTGTGATCCAATCCTCGGTAGGAAAGTAGGCATCTGGAGAAACGAACCCATAGCAGAGGGAAGCTATCGTCGTGCTCGCAAGCTGTGGTACTTGAATTCTCTGGTGCTATGCCAGGGTGATCAAGAAACATGGCTTACCGATGCGATATTGCCGTGATGCCGACAAATGTGTTCTGCCCCCTCAGATGTTGCTCAATTTTTCAAAGTATTCGAGACGTAACCTGGACTTCCGGATCTTGGCTGTTGGACAAAAGGTGGAAAATCCGGGGCCAAAATTTGCTTGTTCGCCATGTTATTGTCCACCACCGTACCGTCCGATTTAGCCATGGAGGATGTATCATCTCGATGGTTTTGTCGAGCCAGCAAAATACCGAGGGAACCGCACCACATGTTTATACAATCACTGTGCCGCAGGGTCTTCCGGATAACTAAACAACAAGTGAACGCGTTTTTTGAGTCTTTCGACGAAGTTGATGGAGAGGGGCCAGGAACACACGTGTGGCAATGAAAGACTCCAAATAATGAAGCCCTTATTCCCTTTTGAGAGATTTTAACACATCTGATAATCAAACGTCTCAAAGTTTGGGCTCTTGAATTGAGCAAGAAGTGACGATGCTCGCTCTCGCTTATCGATAAGCCACAAACAAAAGATTCCAATTCCACCCCACAGCAAACAGACCCCCAGACTTCATCTGAACAATTCCCTCTCGGCATTCTGTAGCGACCAAAACCCTCTCTCAGATTGCCGCCATCCTCCGGTCGGACCACCGATCCCCGCACAATCGGATCCCCGAGCAGCCGCATCGACCAGAAACCCAAAGACGGGATGGCCTCCCCCAACGGCACGCGCCTCCAGCCATCCTCCACCCCCTCCAAAAAGCGCAAGCACGACAATGACGACGACCAGCCACAGCCCGAGGGCGGCGGCAAGGCGCCCCCCGCCAACAACGGCCGTCACAAGAGGCAGCTCACGGGCCCGAGCACGAGCCAGATCGCCCGGACGCTGCCCCTCGAGCCGCACAGCGCCGTGCTCGGCGAGCTGAGGGCGAGCTACGACGTCCTGACGCTCTCGGTCATCTCGTCGTCCAAGATCGAGAAGCGCGTGACGGCGGCGCTCGCCCACCTCGGCCGCTTCCACCCGTCCGACATGGCCGTGCGCCCGGGCGTCGTCATGCTGCACGCGCGCGCCCGCGACGCGGGCAAGATGATCTCGATTGCGGAGCTCGTGCGCCGCCGCCTCGCCGAGGGCGGTTACAAGTGGTACCAGTATAACAGGCTGTACGATGTCGAGACACAGGTCAGGGACGCGGGCCCTCCGCCCTCTGTGGTGGAGGAGACTGTGCTTTTGAAGAAAGGTCCTCGGCCGAGCAAGGGTGGACATGCGGAGAAGGATGAGCAAGACGAGGAGGACGAGGAGGAGGAGGATGACGATGAAGACGATTTTGAGGCTATGCCAACTCGATTCAAAGACGCTGTCATGGAGCGCAAGAACACCGTTGCAAAACCGTACATGAGCGTCATGCTCTCCCGCGTGCCGATTCCGGAGCTGCAGGCCAAGGCTATCTTCACCTGCCAGAGCAATGAAGCGCAGATTGAGTACCAAAGACGTAAGAAGATGGGGCTGGCTTGAGATCGGCATACGTGCGTTTTCACGATAATATGCGGCATGGCTGGTGTTTGGACGCCTGGAATTTGCTTTACGGGATGGGGATGGGGATGGTGATCAGTTGATCAAGGATAGAACGGCATATGCATTTTCAGAGCCGGCGAGCGAGGTCTTTGCTACCATAGATTTGCTTATAGACACCGAGATACCCTTCTAGCAATGCACACGAACTCCTCATATAGCGAGCATCATCGCTGACCAGCGGTTACACAGGTGACTCGGTGAACTGATCTGTAAAATTGGTTGACATTGACTGCTTGGAAGCTTACACAGCCCGTTCTCTCTTGCCTATACAAAATGCTGATCGCCAGTTTAATGCACCCCGACGCGTAAGTGATATGATGCAATCGACAACTCCAAAAGGAAATGCAACGGCTATACAGCCCTCTTCTGTACTAGTACAGCTCTTCCCACCTAGACCTCCCCTTCGATTGCCCAATCATTCCAGCCAACCAAAAAGGGCATACACACCAGGCGCGCGGCTCGCAGCCTAGGTAAGACGTGAAGCACGAGCAACCACGAGACCCTTGACGAGGTCAGTAGCCAACCGAAACAGACACGGCTGGCTTCAAGGCTGCGGCGACTTGTTGTTGGAGGCGTAGGTGATCCTCAGGATGAAGTTGACGACGACGGCCAGCAGCAGGATGATGGCGAGGAAGGTCGGGCCGAAGCGGTCGTCGAAGCCGGCCTGGCCGCGCTTGCGTATGGACCTCGCTCGCCAGTGATACGTTATCAGCGAGTAGATCATGGCGAGCATGGCGACGCCGGTGAACAGGAAGGCCGAAATGAAGGCGGGCCTGTCACCAAAGTTGAGCATGCCGATGGCCAGCGCACCGAGGATGACGGTGAAGTTGAGCCATGACAGGAAGGTCCGCTCGTTGGCGAAGAAGACCTTGGGCTCGACGCGGGTCGGGAGCGCGATGCGCTTGCCTAGAGTTGGTCTGTTAGCAAAGGCGGATTGCTCGAGATGCTGGTGAATGGGCTCTCCGGGGATGAAATGAGGCGGAGCTTGAGGGGTTTCCTTACCGGGCGCGGTCTGGAGGAGAGGCTGGCTGGACATGGCGGGGGTAACGCAGCTGGACGACAGCGGTATTTACAATGACACCTGCTCTTATCTGCACGCTCCTTGTCGAGCCTTGCTTCTGCGATAGAGGAGAGGAGAGTTTCACGGGTCTCGGAGAGGCCGGAACAAAGGCCAGCCACAACAAAACTCTTGAGGTTATCGTCGTCGGTTGGAAGAATCAAAGAAATCCTCGCACACCTGACGTCGTCGCAGGTAGAAGAAGTTTTCAATCTACCAGAGGAACGCCGGGCGGGGAAGAGACGAGCAATTGATCAATGAGCGTTCACCCTACAGCCCACGCACGATCCGATACTAGCACAAATGAACGCCAATTGACCTCGATCATCCACAGAGCAAAGAAGCTTTTCCCTCCGCGCCTGTCCTCGACGTAAGAGAACCCCTGTCACATGTAACTGCCGCGAGACGAGTAAGGAGAACGGAGCTGCCCACGTGCGGCTTTGATTGGCCAAGACTGTGTTACTGATCACGTGAGCGACTCTCCTCTGCTAAACAGCTCGCTCATTCGCAGCGCAGACCTTGGCAAGCCACAGTGCCTGCTCGCTCACGCCACTGCCCATCCCCTACCAGCCAGCTGCCTCGACTGCACCTAGGTACCTGTTAGACCCGCTCATTGTGCTCCCATTTCTCCCTCAGCTTCGAGGTCAAAGCTCCAATTTGGTTGCCCCGCCGTCCACCAGCGTCTAGACTGAGTGACCGTCCTTTGATCCAAAACACGCAAACAAATCGGGCATCCACTTTTGGCTTTGACATCACTGTTTCCTCCCCCATTTTCAGCCGCATTGCATCGTCTATCGTTCCATTCGCCAGAGGAGTCTTTAGCAGTAGGTCAGCCTTGCTCTAGCGCCCCTTTCTCTCGGCCAGCCTGCCAAACATCGGGCTCAAGATTGGGTAGCTGACGAATTACCTACTAAAGCGCGTCTTTTAGACAACTCACGCGACCTCTCTCCTTTTCCCGTGTCTACACCACATCATCCTCAACGTCAACTCACCATGGCCTCCCCCGCTGTCACGCCGGTAAGCGCCCTGCTCTGGCTCTTCGCCGTTTCATCCCAAGTCTTCGTTGTGCTAACTCATTTGTCCCAGCCGGTTGCGTTCAACCGCCTCAAGCAGATCGCTAACGACGTATGTCCCCCGGAGCAATCTGCCCTGACTGGATCTGACATATACATGATGTTTTAGGCCTGCCAAAGTGCAATCGGCAGCGCAGAGTTCTACGACCACGCTAAGACCGAGTACTGGAATGCTACCATCATTGTGAGTGACTTGTCCAGCCCTGACCGCCAAGCTCTCTGAGGCCGCCTCACCTCTCCACTGGAGACCCGAGACCGGAGATCCTCGCGGCGGCCAAACACACAAGTCAGTTTGCTAATCTGCGATTGACTTTTACCAGAACTCGATCCTGAAGGCCGTCATCTCCGAGTCTACCCCTTCCGGTAGCACCAACCCCTCCTTCAAGTTTGCTGTCAACAGCACCATCGTCCAGCACCTCGTCCCCACGTCCCAGCTCAACAAGTCCCGCGGCACCGGCACCTCGAGCGAGGAAGCGAGCGTCAGCACCAGCGCCGACGGTGAGAAGCCTGCCGCGACCGCGACCGACGGCAAGCCCCATGTCGGCCGCAGGGGCATGCACAGCGCGACGGGTGCTTTCTGGAACGAGAAGACGGACGGCATGTGGACGTACAAGTACGACGGGGGCGAGGGCAAGGGCATGGACGTGATCATTATGCTGATCTGGATCGCCTTGTGATCGCTCTCGAGCTGCGCTTGTACCAACACAAAGGCTGGCTGGCTGGCGCCTGGCCGGGGGCCCAGCGCGGGACCACAATAGTACCATTTGTTTTTGTCTGCATTATGGAATTCACGAGAGCATGAAGCGGTAATGAATCTCGAATCTCGGAGACAGCGAAGCATAGGCTAGCATGCAATAGAGTATGCGCGCTTATTGTTATGATTTGTTGCTGCCAACTTGGATCGATGCTGATGTGGTGCCCGGGGATTTGCTCCGTACCTCAGAATGCTGTAGGAGTCACCACGCCTCCTTGAGGTGTCCTGCCCTGAGGCATGATGCCTCTTGACAATGACTCCAAGTATATGGTACCTGCATCGTGCGTGTTGGCATCTTCTATTGAGTTTCTCCAATTTGAAGTCAGAATTGTTCATAGGACTTCGCCCGGAGATATATCAATGCCAACAAGGCACATCGTTACTCTAGAAGTCATACGGGTTCCACTACCGGAAACTGAAGCGCGAGTTCTTCTACTTGTATCACCAGCCCGTCAATTAGGTCACCATATCTTGAACTCCTGGCTACAGCTCAATGCCAAGTCTTATACTTGGCTTACGAGACGCTCCTATGGACAATCGATTTGGCAGTCAGGGGGTTCAGACCTGCCTTAGCTCATCTTCCGCTTGGTCTAGTGCTGTCTTGCAGAGATCTAATGAGACGCCACCTTCCGGATACCGCGCACAGCTTCAGATAGATTCGATCACTTTCACGGTCTTCTTCATACTTGGAATCATTCTGCAGTGTCGTGAATGACCGAAACGAACTCCCGAGGATACCCGATCGCCCATGTCCGGCCCGCAAAGCAAGGATAAGTGGGTCCTTATCAGAATCTCTTCATGTTCCTCCTCAGTGCCGGGCAGAGCGAACAATGGACTGATGTGGGGCCATCGGCGCTGCCAGCTGCCAGGAATAACCAACGATGTCATGGTGGGGACTGGACCCTTGCGTGCTACGAGCCAGCGAGTTTGCCACTGATCTCATCGGTAAGGCACAATCCATCCTGTTGCGATCTTACCGTACCCATGAACGATCACGGCTCTGCGGAAAAGCAGCTCAGAATGCTCTCAAAGGTAAGGATATGCCTTTTGAAAGTGGCCAGTCAAGTATGTCGATATGAGAGTTGTTCTCTCTTGCCGGACTGTCAGACTGTCGAAGGCGGGTGGGTGTGCACATGTCACTATGATGCTTTCACACTTGCATCTTATCATCTCGAACCGTCAGGAATTCGTACCTGGCGGCGGATGATATGATGACAGGATCGATCTCTCTTCATGATTCAAACTAATGTAGGTTTCTCAGTGTAATGCAACAGTGATTGCGCGGCTCGTGTTTCATTGACTGGATCGTTTCCAGTGACCAGGGAAAGAGATCTGATAACATTGAGCTGACCTTACGAGGGGCCTGGGCTCGCCCCAGATAACGGCCCAACGTTGGAAGCTGCGCAACGGTGTCCCGGCAAAGTTATGCCATTCCCCCGGGTTTGTGATCACGCATTTGCGTATCCTTCGCTTCTTGGCCCGCACAGCGGGATGACGACAGGACAAGAAGCAGGCCACCGTCCCTCCCGCGATGCACCACACCACGAGAGGACTGGCCCAGCCGCTGGTGCCGCTCTACTGGCAGGGCCGGGTGGGTGCGCTGCCACCGATCAGGGAATGGTGTGCTGCTCGAGTTGTCAATGTGACCCGTCTGGGACTCTGGGAGATATCCGCGTGGTCGACGTATGACAGCCAGCAATGACTAGCGATCCGCACCACAGCTAATGGCTGGCTTGAATCGTTCCCTCCGCTCGGCTTTTTCATCGCGCTTTGTGCTGGTCCTGGTCTGGCCTTTTCCGCCTCTTCTGTCCGGCGTAGGAGGACGCCGTCAGTCAAGAAAATTTCCCAAGCCCTTGCTTTGCTCCACCCGGCCCTGAATAAGTAGTCTCGCTATCCACTTACTGCCCGGTTCTTGTCCTGCGACGCCGGGTCTGCTCTTGGTCATTCTTCTTGATCTTGAAAGCCCCCAAACCAGAACAGAAGAGAGGTCTCGAGACATCCGCTGATCATTGCCGGATTCACCCTTTGTTCTCTGTCGCCTGGGCCCCGTCCACCCCATTGGACCCCTTGAGCTTCGAGAACAAACTCCCTAAAGAACCCGCCCAGTCGGAGGGCCGCGATCATACCACCGAGCGATCTGCAGCCCCTCCGCACTCTCTCGTGTCACCAAGCCGAGACCAAGCACGCCAACCTCCGTCACCACACCCTGCCCTGCCCTTGCCTGCGCCTTCGATTGCCCTTTTAGCCAGAGCCATTCACCTCCAAGACACACCCTCCCCACGAACTCACACTTGTACACGAACCAGGCTCTGTAGATCGATCTTGCTTAAATAGCCCCTCTTCCCGCTTTTCCCCCTTCTTTCATGAGCTTGCTAGTGAGGATACTCCCGCTATCACTATCATCCCGTCAACCTGACATCGGTACCTGAACACCCACCACCAACAGCACACACGACACCGCCAACAAATCCACGAAACAACAACCTGCCATAGAGGATACCAGCGTTAGACATCACCAGTACTGGAGAAGCGTTCCCTCCATATAGGCTTGGCAAAAGTACCTTTAGTGGAACACCTCGAAGTGCACACCCAACACTACTACGACTTCTTGTCGTCCACCAACTCCAACTCGCTGCTTCCTGCCAAGGCAGTCACCATGATCGAGGTCATGCACATCTCTGGCGACAACGGCCCTGGGTCAATGCAGGGCTCGCAGGAGAACAGGGCGCTGACGCGGGAGGAGTACGCACAGCTCACGAGGGAGCTCACGACCAGGAGGATGCCCTACCGCACGCCGAAGCGCGCCCAGTCCACCACCTACGACTACAGGATCCCCACGGCGCCCCGCGACCACCCGAGCATCTCCGTCCAGCCCACCGTGCAGGAGCACCCGTCGGGCGAGAACTCGCCCACGGACGCCGGCTCGCGGCAGGCCACGCCCAAGCCGGACGAGCGGGAGCAGGCGGCGGCGGCGGCGGGACGCAAGCGGCCGCCGCTGCCGCCGCCGCGCCGCTCCTACTCGGTCATGGACTACGAGCCCGTGCCGCACACGCACCGGCCCTCGGCGACGCTCACGCTCGAGGACATGCCGCCGGAGCTGCACTACGCCATCTTCGACTGGCTCGACCCCATCGACAGCACGTGCCTGGGCCTCGCCAACAAGCACTTCTACGACATCCACGTGCGCATGCACGGCAGGGTGCCGCTGTCGGCGCGGCGCAGCGGGCCCAACGACATGGAGTGGGCGTGGCACCTGGCGGGCAACGTGCGGCACGTCGGCGGCGTGGGCGTCGTCCCGCAAGAGCACCACCAGATGACGGACAAGGAAAAGCTGGCGCTGCTGCGGGTGCGCGGGCAGGCGCTGTGCCGCAAGTGCGGCGTGTCGCGGTGCGAGCTGCACAAGCACATCCGCGAGTGGATGGGCCCCGGCTACGAGTACTGCAGCGTGCGGCAGAGGTTCGGCCCCGTGGCGCCCGAGGGCGCGAGCAAGGACTGCTACATGAGCAGCCCGCGCGACCCGCACCGGTGCGGCCGGCACCGGACGCGGGTGCAGAAGCCCCAGGCGCCCGCGGCGGTGGCGCCTCCGGCTCGTTCATGAGGAAGCTGTTGTGTGTGATGATTCTAGGGGAAGATGTAATAATGACTGGCGGTTGTGGAGTTTGTTTCCCCCCCGCCCTAGATCGTAGAGATGAAGAGTGTAAGAGACAAGATGGGGTCGACATCATTGTTTGTGTTTTGTCTTTTTTTCAGCGAGGCGCTTTTCTCCGCGACACATCCGAGACGAACAGACTTTCTTGAGTCGAGTCTACGGGCTCCTGGGTTTCTTCTGCGAGACTGGAAAGGTGGTAACATGGATCTGGGAAGGGAAATCGGAAGGGGCCAACTTGTCTTTGGGCATTGACAAGAATGAGTATAAAGAGAATCTTCAAGACCGTATAGATGATTGCACCAAGAGCAGTCATCATGATAGCAAATGAAACGTCATTAGAGCAGTTTCGCGGCCGATTGAGGATATGTCACCATCCACCAGAAGTTCAGGGTCGGCCTCTACGCTCCGAAACCCTTACGGGTATCGGCTTCAAGGCTCAAGTGAGGACTTTTCATCAACCTCGATTGTAATAACGAAAAGCTTTGAGCAAGCTGTAAGAGGCAGGTGGCCTCGGTGAGCACTGCAGAATCGCGAAGGAATGCTGATGTTCAAGCCCGGTCTTGGAGCAGAGATCTGGATTCATGGTGGCCGCTCTCTTGGGTCGGGATTGCTGCCAAAGTCTCCAACCTTTTCATCAATGAAGATAACAAGAGGAGATCTCTACCTATATACCCTGAGCGTGGAATTGACTCTTTGGTTCTCCAAGGGAGGAGAGCACGAGTCGAAGCAACTGGCTGGCTGGTCAAGCCACACACACACACACACACACGCCCATGTAGTGCCCCTTCTCAGCGTGTCCGTGGCGTAGTTAGTGAATGACGCCACCGGCACGCATGAACGCGAACAGGGAACAAAAATTTCCTAGACAGCAGGGATCTGGCAATCACGCCCCCGGAATCCTGGACATTTGTACTTGTACAAGTAGGCACAGTGGGATTCAAGCGCAATCTTATCGTGAACGGGAGAGAGATCATCACACTCTGTCTCCTATTGTCCCTAATTCTTCTCCATAGCTTGGTCTGCATGAAACCACTTGGCCGTCTCATTCCTCTCCTATTCATTCCCATCCTCTCCTTTTTGATCTTCCGCAACATCGTCATCACGCCTAACCAGCTTGACCAGACGCACAAGCCGGTTTCTGGCCTTTTTTGGTTCCTCGTCCCGGTAGCGGCCGCCCTTATTAGTCCAATTCTCCAGCTTGACTCCACGCTATCTTTCTGGGCCCATTGCGCTGCCCACCTTGTCCTTCCTAGCTGTCCTCCCAAAGCTTAAAAGGAGCTTCGACACGACGTCCACAGTTTCACACACAGAGAGCGAACGGCCCTGTCCTCGCGTCAATTCCCATCGACCTCTCCCTCCGGGTTGTCGTGACTTGGTTTTTCAAGCAGCCGCCCTCTTCCGCTGGCTGACAAGCCCTCCGAGTCTCCCGCACTTCCCTCTCCCTCCCCAGCCAGCCTCAACCACAATGTCCTCCCCAAGCAGCGCCTCCAACGCGGGCAAGCGGAAGCGCAACGCCGCCTCCTCCGCCGACGCCATGGAGAACAGCATCGACCAGACCTCGGAATCGCGCGACGCCTCGGGCGAGGAGGGCGAGAGCACGGCGCCCGAGAGCAGCAGGCCCGCCGCGCAGCACCCTAGCAAGCGGCAGCGCGCCAACTCGGACCGCGACCCCAACGGCAACAACCACCACCACCACCAGGGCGCCGAGGCCGGCGCCGACCCCGGCGAGCCCAGCGACACCACCGAGGCCAGCGTCGACATCGCCGAGCGCGTCGGCAGGAAGGCGGGCGCCCGCAAGCTCCCCAGGGACGTCGGCTCCTCGGCGAGCGACCCGTCCATCGAAAGGAGGGACTCGGCCATGGCGCCGCCGCCCATCGGCAGGCTGACGCACCCCGTCGGGTACAAGACCAATGACCCGCCCGTCGGACGGCCGGTCCGGGTGTATGCCGATGGTGTCTTTGACCTGTGTCATCTTGGGTAAGTGGACGGACGCTTGATGCTTTGGATCAGAGGTTATGCGGATCTGGGCAAAGAGACTAACATGAGTTTGCTTCACATAGACATATGCGCCAGCTCGAGCAGGCTAAAAAGGCGTTCCCCGACGTCCACCTCATTGTCGGCGTGACGGGCGACGAGGAGACACATCTGCGAAAGGGCCTGACGGTCTTGTCGGGCAAGGAGCGCGCCGAGACGGTCAGGCATGTCAAGTGGGTGGACGAGGTCATCGAGAACTGCCCCTGGATCGTGACGCCAGAATTTCTCGACGAGCACCAGATTGACTATGTGGCCCACGACGACATCCCCTATGGCGCGGACGAGGGCGACGACATCTACCAGCCCATCAAGGCTGCTGGCAAGTTCCTGGTCACCCAGCGGACAGAGGGTGTCAGCACGACTGGCATCATCACCAAGTAAGATCTCCCATCTCAAGCGCATTTGCAAATTGCTCGTTTGTTCCGGGTCATTTGCTAACCAGCCATCTCTTCACAACCCACAGGATTGTCCGAGACTACGAAAAGTACATCTCGCGGCAGCTCAAGCGCGGCACCTCGCGCCAGGAGCTCAACGTCAGCTGGCTCAAGAAGAACGAGCTCGACCTCAAGCGCCACGTCCAGGACCTGCGCGACAACATCCGCTCCAACTGGACCACCACCGGCCAGGAGCTCAGCCGCGAGCTGCGCCAGTTCTGGCCCTCGAGCCGGCCCCAGAGCCCGGCGCCCCAGCGCAGCAACGCCGGCTCGTACATGCTGGCCGCCCCGAACGGCGACGGCATGCCGCCTTCCAGCCCCATCGGCGGGCCCTCGTCGGGCGTCTTCCCGCCCCGGTCGCCGGCCATCGACAGGGCGGGCGGCAACACGAACGACTTTGTCGCGGGCTACGCGCTGGGTCTCATTGGCGGTGTCAGGTCATGGGTACGTCATATCCTTTTTCCATCTCATCTGTGAGATTAATATGTTAATGTTTGAATTTGTGAAAAACTTTAGATGACCAAGTCCCGCCGGTCAGAGCAGGACTCTCGGCCGCCGAGTGACGACGACTCGGAGGAGGGAGACGACAAGTCTACCCGCCGCGGCCGTAACACCGTGCCTGCAGCGAGGTGAACAGCGCCTTGAGTGCCATCAGCCATCATGGCCACGGGTTTGTGGGAGCAAGTAATGGTAATGCCCGAAGGTTCGTTTCACGCAAGGCGGGCGGGTGGCATTGTATTCTGTATAGGTACGCAAGAGCAATGGAGGCAGGGCAGCAAACAGCACTGCCTGGGGGAGAAGGGACAGCATGGGAAAAAGGATGATACACGGCCTTTGCTCTCTTTTTCTTTACCTGCGATAATAGACTTTGAGACAACAAAATTGTTTACAGCAACACTCAAAATTACACTCTCCTCTGGGGGGGAACAGGAAGATGACGACTTTGTGATGCCTCTCTTGCCCGGGACATCATATCGCCGTCGGCTTGAACCTGTCCCGTGCTCGCAAGGACGGGGGAGAAACAGCCCGCCGCATCGGCCAGTATTTTTGGATTCGCGGAAATCTATCTCACGAAGCTTGGCCTGGGCAGTGCTGAGGCGCCGCCGTGATACCTCACCGTAGCTGCACGCACGGCTCACCACCCATTCTTTCTGCCTCGTCCTGCCTGGTGCTCGGTTCTCAGGATGCCCAGTCTGCCCAGTCCACAGCCTCCAGCCCCTTCTCCCTTGCCCTTTCCTTTTCCCGGTGACAGGCACCGACGATGATCACCGACACCCTGCCTGGATGATTGGCGTGTCGTGGACGACCAAGAAGTTTTCGCCACACGCGGGAACTGCCACCCCATCATCTCCGTGACCCAGTCGCAATCTATCTGGAACGTACGATCGTGGGGGGGATCATGTGGCAAGGCTGGCCTTGTTTCGTCTCGTCTCGTCTCGCAGACAGTGCGGCTGCGTATCTGGCCCCCATGGGGGAGGGACTGCTCCCCCCCCCCTCCCCAGCGCCGGAAGTCACGCTGCCGGAAGGCTTGCGCCGCATCCCATCCCCCCCGCTCGGCGTCTTTGCGGTCCTACGCAAACGTGGAGTGGGCATGTGGCGATGCCCTCTCCTCGCTTCCCCTCTCTTTCCTGCTTGTGTGCTGCAGGGCTGTATCAGATAGAGAGAGTGCATGTGTGAAACAAGACATGACCAAGTCCTTATTTTCGCCCCCGAAAGCCAGAGTGACAGTTGAAGCGTCTGCGTACCTACTTCGGACCAAGGGAAGAAAACACATGGCTAGATGGTGGTGGTGGTGGTGGTGCTGTCAGTGCATCGTCCCACATCCCCAACGACAGTCAGCCTCTTGGGGAACTGCATGGGGATTTCGTCCGAACATGCAGCCCGTCAGTCCCCCACGTGCCAAGGCACCTTGCGGAAGGGACCCCAAACGGAGCTGCATCACCAAGTGAAAGACAGAAAAATTTGCCGAGCTGCTGTCGTTCCAACGGCCGATGGCCCCCAGATTTCAGGGGCATATCTGGGCTGAGCAGGGCTGAGGATGAAACACCGGTACTCGACCTCCCTATCTATCCCCCTCCAGGAATCTTCGAGTGAGACAGGAGCAAAAGGGACACTGCCGGGCCACTTGGCCAAGCTTGTCCTTGCCGGTCGAGGTGCCTTGGGTTCCTGGCCCCCAAGAAAGCACACCCGCCCGCTCACACTCCCACCACCCGGCAGGCCCGCAGCTCGCGTCTGCGGCCGGCTCGGCACGCGCAAAGGGCGCTTGAGAGGCCTGTTTCACCCTCTAGCCTCGCACAGAGCTGGAATGCATGCGTCTTGCTCGGGAAAGACGTTGTATATTGTCATCGGGACTGCTGCACATCCCCCCATCGTCACCGTGACGTGACGGCATCCCCTTGGGTCAGACGGGACTTCCGTCCAGATGAAGGGGGTGGTGCATGACCGAAAGAGGATAGCGAGAGGGTGTGAGGAACAGGAGAAGCGAAGGACCTTGCCTGCGCTTGATCGAGGCGTGAGATCGATCGCTCGATCGGTGAACAGTGCTGCAGGGACATGACAAATGCTATGTTTGCCAGTGCAAAAAGGGGCTCAGCCTCCACCAGGTAGAGGTCGGCGGCACCAGAAGCGCCTGCTTGGCCGGCTCGTCTACGGCCTTTCTTTCCTTCGTGGGGATGGATGGGCAGGTGAGGCAGGGTACTTGCGAGATACTTGTCTCATGTTTGGTGCGACTTGTCGGTCAGGCAGACAGTATTTTCCCCTTTGCCAGAAAGGGAAGGGCTTCTTGCGATGGAATCAGAAATAGGAATGACGCCTACCTCGACTTACTGCAGCTTGGGCGCGTGGGCGTAAGAAGAGAGTTGCACTTTGCGCGAGGCTGAGGATCACGCGCATGTGGAAGCCCGGCCAATCACTTTGGCTCCCGCTCTCGAAGCGACCCTGATACAGCGATACCAGGCCTATTGATAGCACGTGAAGCAGAAGCTCGTCAAGTTGCGCTAAGGGAATACGAGGGCGAGGTATGCGCAAAGCATCAGAAGCGTGATCCCATTTTTGGTGATAGAAGAGAGAATGGTGCCGTTTTGCTCTTCTTCATCGCGTATTCGTCGTTTCATGCAGCCGCTCAGCGCTTAACCCCAGACTGGAAGGTGCATCAAGACTATTCGGGCGCTTGTTTCGAGCCAAGCGTCCCATTTTGGAAGGGAATCTACTGACGATTTCTAGAATGTCTCATGGGAGATGAGCTGGCGATATGCAGTGCAACGGTCTGACACCTCTTTCGTCTGTTTGAAATCGCAGCTGAGAGTAGAAGTATTCCCAATTTGGAATTACAGACGGTATTTGGCATCCGACTGGCACACCGAATCTGGCGGCTAACAGAAGACACCACTAATTACCGAAATGGTGGTGTAGGTCGAGAGATCATCGCTTCAAGGATTTCTATTTGTTGACTGCGTCGTGGTGGGCGTCGTCGATCGGGGTGCTCTTTGGATAACACAGGTCTAGCGAGACAGATGAACCCACCACAAAGCCGCATTGGAGATGGAGAGAGTTCGGAGAAGGTGAAGATGCGTGGTGTTCGAACGAGCACAAGGTAAGGAAGGTCGGTCGAGTCTGGAGAGAATGGCTTAGATGACGGGCAGACGTTGAAGGATCACCCGCCTACCAGGGCGGTTCTAAAAATAAAACTTAAGTTAAGCGCCGGGAAGGATGGGTGCCACAGTCTGGGCTGGCACTGGGCCAGGGTCATTTTGGTGGTGTGGGAGCTCCCCCCAGTCACTAAATCACTAGTTAGGTACCTAGCAGCGGAGCACTCATGGATCCTCTTTAGCGGGCCGGCACCAGAGGGCGGGGTCCTTGGGAAAACAAACCTACGATGTCTCCAACGACATCAGTCTGTTCTCGTACCATGAAAAGAGCGGCAAATGGTGCCGGCCTGCATCGCCTGTATGAATATATGTACATACGTACATACACCTCTATGTGCCTGATGATTCTGCAAGATGAAATAACGTCAGCCCCTGGCCGCCCTCGTCGAGGGTGAAAAAGACCTTGCATGACAGTTGGGTGACACTACCAACATCCTTGCTGTTGGCATGCTTAGCTTCTGGCTGTTAACGACATCGATATAAGCTCCCGTCTCCGTACACCTGACAAGAAGAGATACCGTACTCCGCGCCGGCCCTTCCAAGCCGGGAGTCCGCCAACAGATTGCAAATATGTTAGATGAAAAGAATACTCCGAAGGTAAATGAACCTGGAGCGAAAAGCGATCCGTGCTCGATGCCGGTATGGAGATAAGAACGAACCCCCTGTAAAAATCTTGCAGTTGGTGCTTGTAGGTACGTATTGTTGTGACAGGTGAGATGCATGGTCTCCCCTTGTCGAGATCAGGATCCCCGTACCTTGTCTTGGTACCGCCCCCAGGCCTCTGGATCCTTCACCGGCGCAGTCTCGAGATTGGGTTACCTTGCATCCGCCAGTGACAGTTGGTTCCGTGCCGTCCTCCAGCAACTGGCAAGAAATATCCCCCACAGCAAGCCCATTTTTTGATATCGACCAGATTGGGTCATATTGCCCGCACTCGCAAGCCAATTTGACTTGTGCTCAATCCATGACAACGGACAATACCGACGTGAAGCCCAAGTCTTGCAGGTGACCGGCCGGGTTGACAACAACAACACGCGGAGTCTCTGTAGGTACGTCTGCCCGGTTCATCGTTATTACAAACCACGGTGTAAAAATAGGAATCTTACCAGAGATGATTTGGCATGCCCTAAGCCCCCTGCAACCCTGGCCTACCTGTCCAACGAAGCGACGAAAGAGGTTCAAGGTTCCACCACCAACAGCCAACCCCTGTCCCCTTACCCCAAAACTCCAGCACGGCCCGCAGCCATAGGGCATCGCTGGCTTCCCACCCTCAGCTACCTGCCTACGGACCATGGCGAATAGAGATCCTCCGGCAGAGGCCAGGCCTGGTAAATTGTAATTGTTGTCGGCACAGGGGTGGGAGCAAGTCGTACCATCCGATGGCGAGGGGTGTGTGGGGGCACACGGCCTGCTGGGAGGTACCTATGAACATGAACTGCCCTTTTGGTCGCGACGATGACTTACATTACCTATGGAGAGGAGATCGATGCTCACAAAGTCTGCTTGATCATGGCAGTTGGGTTGCTCAAGGCTGTACATGGCGGATCGGAGACGAGACGAGAAGATATTAACAGAATAAGGCAGCCAACGCAAACAGTATCGATAACACAGGGGATCAAGTCACGGGACTAGAAAAGCATTCAGGCCCTTCCTGTTTGTCCTTCGAGGAAGTCGTGTTTGGATGGGAAGGATCAATAGAGGAGGTCCCTCTGACAGCAAGCAGGTATGGGTGGGACATGCCTTCCCTGGGCAATCTTCCCCGATCAAGAGTCTGTCCCGACTGCAGCCTGCAAGGCATTCGGACCTCGTCTCACTCGCCTCGAGGACGTCATGTTGCATCTTGCATCCTCTTTGTTGTCGGCCATCAGCTTCACCAAATGGAATGGCGAGGTGCCGCGAAACACAGGACCCCAAGAACCACCCCCTGGTCCTGAAATCTTCGGCTGCTCTAGCGCGAGATGCACCTCATAAGCACCAGTGTCTGATCCTTGTCCCTGGTGCCGCCGACCTGCAGCCAGCTCTCTGCCGACTTTTCGCTGCGCCCACCACTCACCCGCCTGTCAGACTAGCCCACCTACCTCCGCCTCCGCCTCTTTCTCTCCTCTGGCATCGCAGGCCGGCAGGTGCTCGTCGTGGTTCACTGACCCCAAAGAGCGGCCGGTGCATGTCCCTGGTTGCCCACCACCACCACGGTGCGAGAGATCCCAGCAACCCGTTCAACCAGCGGGGAATTCCTACGGGCGGAATGGGCATGCACTATCAATGCCGCCTTCTGGGATCCGTGGGGACGCGACAAGCATCGGGGGTCCTGCGCAAACAGATGGCACATGACCTCTGGACAGGGTCGAAAAGGGCAGAGTCGTCTGAGCGACACGGAGTCCGCTAGATCGCGTTCTGAATATGGACCTCGAAGAGGAGCCCTGGTGCTCTTGTCGGTTGCTTAGTCCGGACGGTTCTTTCTAAATTTGGGAGACGCGACGCAGCTAATAGGCCCTTTAGATGGCTGGTCCAGATGAATAGGTAGCAGGTCAGAAGGGCCGTGTGTGAGGTTCGTCCCAACCCCATACCGGGTGTGCACGCGCGCTGGGAAGCCGTTGGATTAGTGTCCGTCCGTCCCACCCGCCAGCGCGGTAAAGCCAACCCTCGATGACAAGCACTGCAACCCACGAGCCAAGAGCGAGATGCAAGACCGGGGTGTACAAAGTACAATCCTGGAGTGCTCAAAGTCGACCGTGTTTTCACCAGCGCCCCGTTGAGGGTCCCTGTTGCCCAAGAGAGGATAGTCGAGCGTGGGCGGCGCGCCGTGTATGGAGTACCTTGCATTTTTTCTGCACGACCCGAGCAGCCCATGTACTTGTGTACCCTGTTCGTCCACCAGCTCAGCCAGTGCTGACAGGGGCATGACATGGGCATGGCGACAGCCTCCCGACGGAAAGGGGAGAGAGGTGGTATTCCCCAATCCAAGCCTCGATAGAGGCAGTAGAAACACTTGGTCCCCATCTTTCCGGGCTAGGGTCGTGCCTTTTTCTTTGGCCAATTCTTGATATAGTAAAGTCGCTCGCAGGTAGACTATCTTTATCACGGGCTTTTTTCTCTTTCAACCCCCATGGCGACGCTGTTCTCAAAATTGGCGAGGCGACATCTCTCAGCCCTCTCCAACGTCCCCTCGATCTTCTGACAAGTCTACATCAAGTCACGGCTCGAGGGCTGAGCTGCTCCGCGTTTACCTCGACCAACCCGTCAAGCCTCGCTTCTTGCGCTCCGTTACCCATGCCCTCCAGATCTCACCCTGCTTCATGTTATTTCCATCTCTCAAACCTGTAGCTCTTTATTTATCCTATCAGCCTTCAGCTTGCAGGGCTGTGTACTCGAGGAGAGCCATTACTAACCAGCTTTTTCGAGTGACCACCAGCATGGCCAGAGCTAGCCTCCAGTTTATTATGGGCGTCGATGGCGATGATGACCGCCCAGGCTCGAGCCATAATGGTGATAAAAGGGACAGGGTCCCGGCCGGCACCCCAGCTTCAGCCTCCCATCCAGGATCACGGCCATCTGACCCAACGCATCATCCCAGCTATGCTACCAGCCCCGGCCAACAGAACGACATCAACCCGAGTTCAGACACTTCGGGTCCTGGTCCAAGACGTTCACGCTCTAGCAGACCATCTAGGTCCACAACAGCTTCGTCCTCATCGTCAAGACCAACCAACAGCAGGAGAAGAAGCACCGCGAGTCTCGAGTCCGCGGAGCAAGCAGGGTACGCATCCTCGTCGTCTGTGGGAGGCAGTGGTGGCGGTCCAACCATGACTTCTTCGAACTATCCATCCCGACCCATGCATCACACTGCCCCTGGCGAGTCTCCGGTCAAGTTGACCCCGATCACCGGAAGAGTGAGTCGGGCCAAGAAAGGTGTCCCTGTTCACACCTGTGATCAGTGCAGGCCACCCAAGGTACGCACTTCGTTTCTAGCATAGGTCGAGCGTTCTATACTGACATGACTGGCTGGTCAAGGTGTTTACTAGAGCGGAGCACTTGAGGTTCGATCCTTCTCCAGATCGGCCGCAGAGCCGCAACGCTAACGAGATCACAGGCGCCATCAGTTGAGCCACCAAACGCCGGCGCATGCGTGTACCTATCCGGGGTGCGACAGAGCGTTCCACAGACAAGACTTGCTAACGCGTCACTTGCAAAAACAGTAGGTTTGGTCCCTGGTCGCGGCACAGAGGGCGTCGATGGCTAACGCGACAGCTAGTGCGCAAGAAGGTGACAAGGCTTCGGGTCGTGGGGGCCAAAGACCCCGGGAACCATCGCAGACTCTGCCCGAGCAGCCGCAAACTCTGCAGTCCACTCAACCGCCGCTCGATCCCATGAGCCAAATGTCAGTCGCGGCATACACGACCGCGGCCCCGAGCTATATGAACAACAGTGGTGCCTACACGCCATCCATGCGGGATTCGGGACGGGCCGCGGGTACGCCTTCCTCCAGTCACGAACCCAGTGCTGGAGGATACGGGAGCCCTAGCAGTGATCAGAACCAGCCAAGCTATGGAGGTTACGCTCCTAACTTTCGCTACACATCGTCCTCGCCGGCATCGAGCTCAGCAGGAGGCCAGATGATCAACCAGATGACCCCTCGCACACCTGCAGTCCCCCTCGTTCTGATCACGCAGGGGCTCGATGCCCACATGCAGTTGGATAACCCTCCTGATCTAGTACATACTATCCCCGATATCTCTCCTTGGGCTTCTTCGACTGATAGTAGTTACTCGACCACGCCGGCCACAGACAACTCGAGACAGCTGCGGCATGCTTGGATTCCCAACCATGCCTCGCCCATGGGCGATTGGCAGCATCAGAGCTTCTTGGGCTACTCTCCTTCCACTGGCCCAGACCCGGGTGCTATGGACCCCCTGGCCTCATCTACTTCCTATCTTTTCTCCCCTTCTGACATCACGCCTCAACCCCATGCTCTTTCTCAGACGTCAAATTTCGACTATCTCGATGTTCCTGTGGGCGGTGCCCGTTCTATGACTGTCAATTCTCCTCGTTTTCAAGACCCCTCTGTTTCTTCAGTTCGTAGTCCATCACCCATAACCACTACGACCATGTCCGCTGAGACTTTAGTTGCGCCATCATTGGCGCTACCAATAGGGCGATCAGGCATGCCGGCCGGCCTAGGACGCCAGAAAGTGCTGGCGGTGGACGCAAGTGCGAACGCATACGATACATTCCAGGGCATCGGCGGCGCAATGGGCTTCACTGTCGGTAGTACCGGCAGCTTCACCGAGCTCAACGGCATGGGCGGTGGCGGTTGTGCTGCAAGTGCAGTGCCAATCTCGCCTCTGCCCCGGACAATTCGCAACGCAATCCCCAACTACATTAATGTCTACTGGAACCGCTTCCACATCATCTACCCCGTCGTCCACCGTGCTTCCTTCGAGGCCGCTCCCGAAGCCGTGCTGTCCTACGCCATGGCGGCTGTCGCGACCCAATTTCTCGACAGCAAAGAGGACCGCCTCAGAGGCAACCTGCTGCACGAACACGCTTGGCAGGAGGCAAAATGCGTAGGTCTCCTTACAGACTCGAGTTTCGTTAGTGCTTGCTGACCAGAACCATCCAGTGCTCGGCATGGACGACCCAAACCATGCAAGCAATCATCCTATGCGAGTTCTTCGCTCGTTTCCGAGGTAGAAAGGTGGTCACGCGCCCCTCAAAGATGTTTGAATCTCTCTACTCGAGGGTGAGTTCCCAGAAGTCTTTACCGTCATCTTAACATGAAGCGGACATGCCGCGCAAAACTCTCTTTTCTTCTTTTCCTTTGTCTCTACTCTTTTCTAGTTGCTTGGCCATGGCTGCCCTCGGAGCTTCTTATTTCTCTTCGGCATTTTCAGCTCCCCGTGGCAACCTTGAAGTCGCCGAGCCCTCTTATCTCAACTATTTCTTTCGTCGCCTTCTCAGCCAGGTGGTGGTTCTGTTGCTAAATGGTCAACTTGCGGTCTGAAACAGGTCCTGGATCAAAACAACACACTCTTCGACGAGGCTTCATTCGAGGATGGCCTCCCCATCGCCAACGAGGAGCGGTGGCACACGTGGATCGAGGCCGAAGTCCGTCGCCGGCTCCTCTCGATGTGCTTCTTCCTTGACAACCATACCTCTAAATACCAGGAACAACCACTACTGCGAGGCTTCGACCTGCTCCAGGCTGGCCCGACCCCACCCATCCCAATGGCGTCGACTTCTGCGGCTCTTTGGGGGGCACCATCTGCCGACTCGTGGGCTGCCATGCTTAGAGCCGACCCCCTTGCTGGAAAGCCAGGATTCCTTCCCCATCCAGACGTTCTCTCTCCATCCTCCATACAGGCACTCCCAATCTTCGATCGAGCTGTGATTCTCGCATTCGAATCCTTGCGCCTACCAAGGCGGACCGTCATGGGCAAAGACTCGGCAGCTTCTAGTGGCGCGGCTTCAGCTAGCAACACTCCTGAGGGACAATGGCCGGATGACACCGAGAGCATGGCTGACAACAGTGACGTCGAGGACCGGATATCCTATCTGTTTGGTGGATGTCCGATCGCTAACACCTACCTGGCGCTCAACCACACACCACTTCATGATCTCCTGGCCGTTAGCGGCGACACTTGGATATTCTCGCAGAAGATCCTCCCCGCCACGTCGTTCCTGGAGCACAAGAAACGCCTGAAGATCTGGGCGGAGGGCCGCGCCCAGCAACGGTCGGCCGGCAGTACTAGCATGTCCGTGGCGAAGGCTGTCGGATTCGCCGCTCGTGCACTTGTGGCCTTCCTGGAGCGCGACTCGGATGAAACTCTCTCCGACGGTGGCCAGAACGGCTGGTTGTATGATCTCTCCGAGTACTGGGCCGTCTATGTCTGCTCGCTGATCTGCTGGGCCTATGGGCGTCGGTACCCCGGCCGTTGCGACGACGGTGACGCAAGCGAGAACGAGGCCGTCGGCTGGCTGCGGAGGGTGGCCGGGACGAGGGCTGACGAGCTGCCGCGGGCCACGCGGGAGTCGAGCCGGAGGGCTGCCGGTGGCGTGGTCAAGATGATTCGCCGGCGTCTGGAGGTCGAGTGCGTCGAGGGTGCGCGCAGCCGGCTGTTTGTTGATGCCGTTGGGGTCTTGAAGAAGCTTGAAGAGGGGGCCAATTGGAGGTGGTTCTAGTTTCTTCCTATACATTTCTCTTCTTTACGTTCTTTCTTCTCCTTTCTTTTTTCCTTTGACTCTGTTCATGCTCGGGAAGGAATTGGATATGGGTAACATATAGGGCATTTGTACAACATTGTATCATTATGGATGACATGACGATGATGGAAACACATGGTGGCTGGCGAAAGCAATCTGGGGCATCAACTTGTTCTTTTCCTTCCTTCTTTCTCATACAATTTCTCGAGAGTCTCTTTTCTCCTTTCCAGTATATCCGTGTACTTTTAGATGTCCTTAAATGGTACTAAACTGTATTGCTTCGTGACAAGATCATCTCAAAGACCTCAGCAGGTTGGTCAGGAATATCGCATGAAAGACGCAGCTCGATTTGATGCAGAACATGATCATGTGTGGCTTGGTGTGCCTAAGTGACTGGCGATCATCGTCAACGAGACGGTGTCCACATGGTAGATGAAGGGCCTCTGGGCACCTGCATGGCCCCTGAGACTAGCCGATCCAGCACGTTTTTCGCGTCGCATCTTGGAAAAGAAGCAAGCAACCACTGTCCAGCTTGTCACCTGTAATTTGGAGGAGGCTTGAATTTAGATCGATTGGGAGACGCTATTCGGGGGCTGAGGCAGCTGAATGGTGCTTTTAAAGACAGGGGCATGCATACGACGCCTGGGCCCATTGGGCAATGAACGGGCACGGACAACTTAGTATCTGGGGAAGCTTGTCGATAGCTTCGAGAACAAGACGGGAGGCATTTTCAGTGTCTCAAAACAAGCGCCTGAGTCACGAGTGTCTCAGCAGAGGTCCATAGCCGGGCGGACAAGACGACAAGGCATGTGACGGACGGGTTTGACATGCGCCTCAAATTTGACGTCGTCGCACACGACATCACATCGGAGATTTCCCTTGGAGTCCGCGTCCGTCCGTTTGCACGGAGTAAGGAGACTTCAGATACGAGCCCCGATTTGGCCGATGCAGAAGCGAAGGCTGTAGAAACCGGTGGAGGTCGAGCTGCCCTTTTTGGCTGTTTCTAGCGGCCCTCACAGGCAAGAATGAAATTAACTTTAGCGCTGGCCCTGCGAGGACCCGCTTGTCCTGATGCTGATGAACCTGGGAAGCACGCTGACTCCTGTATGATCCCCGCCAGCCCAGCCTCTCGCATTTGAAGGTACCTAGGCTACAATCTCGCCAGCGGGCTGGCTCATATTCTCTGATTCTCTAATCAGAACTGGCCCTCTCGAACCAGACACTTGACAATCTCTGTCTCTCTCCATCTCACTCATCTTTGTCCTTTGACACCTCTGCCTTGCTCTACCGTTCTCTTTCAATCTGAATCAGTATCATTGTTTGTGACTCTCAAGGTGAGTGATGGACCTTTCAATGCTTGACTAGCTACCTAGCTACCTAGCTACCTAGGTACCTAGGTAGTGGCTCGTGTTCGCAAGCTTGGTTGCCTGCCTGAAAGAGGTACCTGGACTGGCTGTAATTGAAGGGGCTACCAGGCGCTACATGGACACTATCTCTCTCAACGGAAAGCCGGGCGGCGGATTTCTCTCCCACCCCCCACCACACCTCACGAAGCTCCAGCCCTCTGAGGTCATACCGACTGTTCAATTTTTTGCTGACCTTCCTTGCGCTGCGCAAGCAAAACCTGAATAGTTTTTATCGACCTCGTTTTCGCATCGCTCCCTCTGATACCCCACGAAACGCTTTGCTCCTGATACCCGGACCCTTAATCAACACCACTGACCATGGCTACTTTTACTTTCAAGTGGTACGTCTCTGCTATTCTTCCCTGTCGCATTCGGATTGGCCGCTGCCTGTGGTGGTTGGTCGAGAGGGAGACGGGAGCCAGTCGCCGCACTCAATTGCTTCTTCGGCAGTCCAGTCCTCCTGGTGCCCCGAACTCGACCACCCCCCTTCGGCAGGCGGCGGGGATCGCGGATGCAAATGGAGCATCACATCATGGCTACAAGGCAAACGTCGTCGCGATTGAGTTCAGATATGCTAACTCGCGGGGGAATGTCCCCTTTTCCAACAGGCCCCACGCCGCCGAAGAGGTGTACGTTACCGGCACCTTTGACAACTGGGCCAAGACGGAGAAGCTCGAGAAGAAGGGCGACCACTTCGAGAAGACCGTCACCCTTCCCGACTTCACAGACAAGATCCTCTACAAGGTTCGTGGCCTCTTTTTCTTCCGCTGTCAAGACCAGGCGTCTTCCTTCGTTGCTGCCCGTCGCAAAACTGTCGGTGTGGGTGAGGTTGTGGTGTCTTGCTCGCATATCTACCTCCCCATGCTTTCGCACATGCGCTGCCTCGGAAACCCCTGGTACCTTTTCTCGGCGACCCTCTTACCGCCAACCCTTCCCAGGACAGCGCTGGTATCGAGCTAAGGCCCCATGCTGGCACATGAGGCACTCGCACTTGTCACTCTTCAGCACGGTCCAGACGGCGATCGCTGGGTCATCTGAGCTCTGACCGTCATTTCCCTCCTCGGTCGTCCCCTGTCAATTGGGGAAGATCTGGGTGCTACGATGACGCAACGCAGTGGCCCCCGGCTCTTTATCCCTCGTAAGCGAGAGGAGCGATGAGCAAGCGCTCAAGTGACCACGGCCGAGTCGGACCTGACACAAGAGCTTAATCTTGTGTTTGTTGGGAGGAAGAGCAAATCACCCAAATCCTCCCTGAAACCTAAAAGAAAAAAAAAACACTCTTGCTTCTCCCTATCGCTGTTTTACGCGAGCCCGTCCGTTGCATTCAATCTGTATACCGTTGTGCATTGGTTCCCAGATCTTGTCGACCACTAAGCTAACTTCGCATCGCTTCCACTCAGTTCGTTGTTGACGGCAACTGGACGACCGACCACACGGCCTCGCAAGAAAAGGACGCCAGTGGCATCGACAACAACGTCTTGACTCCTGAGGACGTTATCAAGGCCGCGCCCGCAACCGCTGCCATCCTGAGCTCCGTCTCCCCCGAGTCCACCACTGCAGCTCTCGCCAAGGACGTTCCTCTGGAGAAGAACGAGACTAAGCCCGCCGAAACCCCGTCAGACATCCCCGGCGGCTTCCCCGAGACTCCCGCGAACGAGCTGGACAAGGAGGTCAAGCTTATCAACCCCATCCCCGCTAGCGAAGGTGCTGGTAACCCCATCACGCTTGCCCCCGGCGAGAAGGTCCCCGCGGTCAACGCCTCCGACATCAACTCGCACGTCAAGCTGGACAAGGAGTCGTACGAGAAAGCCGACGCTCTTCCTGGTGTTATGACCGACCTGCCCCCCGTTACCGGCAACATGATTCCCGAGTCAAGCCTGCCCATCAACGGCGCCCCTGATGCTACCATTAGCTCTGTTGCCCCTGGCTCTACCACTGCTGCCCTAGCTGCCAAGGTGCCCCTCGAGGAGCCCAAGGTTCCCGAGGTCGTGAAGGAGAGCCAGGAGAAGGCCGGCGTCGACCCCGAGGCCAGCGGCATTGCCGAGGAGGTGAAGGAGAAGGAGGAGGTTGAGGAGGAGCTGCTCAAGAAGGTCAGCAAGGTCCCCTCCACCTCCGAGGGCACTGCCGGCAAGGGCACCGAGAAGTCCGAGAACGACAAGACCCTGGTCGAGAGTGTCACCGCCGCCGCAGCTGGCATTGGTGCTGCTGCCCTCGCCACCGCTGCCGTCACCAAGGACAAGGTCGTCGAGCAGGCCAGCGCTGCCACGCAGCAGGCCACGACGGCTGCCACCGAGGCCGCTACCCAGCTCCCCGACCCCGTCAAGGAGGCCCTGCCCATTTCGGTCCAGGAGACGATCAACAACGCCGCCAAGGAGGAGACGCGCCAGGAGGTCTCGCCCGAGGTCCCCGCCGAAGTCAAGGAGTCGATCCAGGAGGCCGGCAAGAACCCCGAGGCGGCCGCCAACACGGCTGCCGTCGAGGAGAAGAAGGTGGTTGAGGCCGAGCTGCTGAAGGAGGTCAAGGAAGTCAAGCCCGCCGCTGGTGGCGAGGAGAAGGCTGCCGACAAGGCTGCACCTGCTGACGCCGCTGCACCGGCTACCTCTGCCGCCACGGGCACGACTAGCCAGGCTACCCCCGAGGCTATCAAGGACGCCGCCACGCCTTCCAAGGCTGCCACCACGGTTCCTGCTGCTGATGCTGCTGGTGCCGCTAGCAAGGCGCCCGCGAGCCCCGCCACTACGGAAAAGAAGAAGAAGAACCGTCTCAGCTCCTTCTTCAACAAGCTCAAGTCCAAGACGTCGAGCAAGGACAAGGCCTAAATCCAGGGTGTCAATGTGTCAAGTAGGATGGGCTTTGTGAAGCGTCAGGCTTGGCTACAGGCACTCTGCACGCCCTCTGTCCGTACTCTGTGGCTTCGGATTATTGCTTGGTCTCTTTTTCCTCTTTTCGTTGTGGCTCTTTTTGCACGAGTTGGTCCATTTGGTCATGATTCCCCGGGTCGATGTTTGTATCATGTTGCCATGCCCAGGATCCCTCCGTCTCAGCCGAAGCTGAGAAGGGGCGATCGACGGCGTGTATACGCATGCAGACATGTTGTTCCCACAGCTTCCTCCGCGCACCGTTACAATGTACGATAATCACCACTATACCTGTGCTTCGCCTCTTTCCTGCCCGCCGCCTGCTCTTCGCTATTTTAGCCTGGTTGGGATCGTGTCAGCTGGCGTGAAGAGCGCGCCTCGAGTACATAAAGTTGCCGCTGTTGTTTGTTTGTTGCCGTTATTTGTCTATCTGCGGTTGCTTTGATGTTTCTGCATGCTCGAATTCAGGGAAAGGATTGGGGGAAGGAAGGGTGGGTGGCAGTCTCTCTCTCTCTCTCTCTCTCTCTCTCTCTCTCTCGCATTAATAACTGTCAGTGGAGGTCAGGGGGGAGGAAAAATAGGATAGGAGAATAGAATACGGAGATGATGCTGCTTATATGTTTACGTTGAGAGCGCGCTTGTGGTGACAGAAATAAGTCTTGGGTTGTTTTTGGTGTGTTGTGTTGTGTGTTCAGGGGGCTCTCTTGGATTTGGGAGACTTGGGAGGGTTGATTTGCCTGACTGCCTGCTCTGTTTTCAAGTCGAGTCTCGATCATTGATAGGAAGAACAATTATGACTACTTGTAGCTACATGACTACCTTAACTAACAACTTGCGACGTGTTAGAGGGTGGGGCCATGGTTGAGCCACAGAGGTGCTGCTCGAAGTGACATCGCCATGCCTATGACATGGCTCACCTTCATCAGTCGGGAATCGTTGGTCCCCTCTTCATCTTCTTCATCATCAGTCTTCCAGAACGCGAAGGAATGTCGCGTCAATACCTAGCACGGTCAAGCAACACCAACAACAACAATGGCCGCAAAGGTCATGCCACAATGGGGTTAGGATGGCGTATGAAACGGGGAAGCTCGTCGGCATTGATGGACGAGACAAGCACGGAAGGGTGTGTGTAGATGGACTGGATGGAAATCACTGGATGCATGGATCGCGAATCGGTAGTAGCGGGCGGCCCCACGTGATGGTTCCCATTCGTCCTTCGGCTCCTCACAAGCAAGCTCTTTGTACGGAGTATGGAGTAGGTCGTTAAACTAGTGCTAGCTCAAATGCTTTACCACCCGCCAGACAAGTAATCCTCCCTCGAGTCTCTCCCAAATTCGTCACGCCGAATGCTATTTTGCCCCGCGCCCGCCGTGACTCTGCTCTCTGGCTGGGTTTGATTTGATATCCCATCCACTCTCTCCTCCCTCTGGGGTCCTTCTATCCGGACCCCGATTCGATCCCAGCATCACACTCATCAAAGCATTCTATCTTCTTTTTCTTTTGTTCGAAACACATCCGACGCCCTTGGAGAGGGCATGTCGATGACCTGCTTCTCTTCCGTGCGAGGGATTCCGGACAATCATCTTACGACCCTCGGGCGATGACGACAGGAGACTAGCGGTGGTCCCTTTGGCATCTCCGATTGCTCTCGACTTCCCTCCCACAGAACGACGCCCTCGAGCCAGTCGACCATCCAAGCCACCAGCTCGGCGTGCTTCATGTGACGACAGCCTCCACGTCGTCCTCCCCAACAGGCACTCGGCTGAACCATGAGCTCGGCACCGTCCAATCTGGGCAAGTCCCTCTCGGCACCCGTCTCCGCATCTCACTCGCCAGCGCCGCCGGCTTCCCAAGCCACCTCGAGCTTCGAATCCGTCCGCCGCCCTTCCTCTCAGGCCGGCTCCTCCCCGTCCTACTCGGCGCCGAGAAAAGGCCAGGCCTCGCGGAAGCAGCACCGCAACCAGAAGAAGCCCGGCCACCGACAGGTGGACGAGGACGATGCAATGGCCGAGATCAGGGCCCTCCGAAACGCGTCCAGCCGCCGCGGCCAGACCTCCATCACCCACCTCATGAACTACTCCCTGCCGCCCCGTCCCTATCAAGACCACCATCATTACGGCGGCGGCGGCGGTCGTGGTGGCGGCGGCGGTCACAACCGGTCATACCGGCGAAACCCGGCCTGGGGACAGGGCTCGGGCCACCACGCCATGGACAAGGCCCGCTACGTCCACGCCAACTACCGATTCGTCGTCTCGCCCGCGGGCGACTACTCGACGCACGCCCTCGACGCCGACGAACACCTCGACTGGGCTGACGTCTTGCAGATCCTCGCCTCGGCCGAGTCGCAGGCCGGCTCCTGCCCCATCTGCCTCTCGGAGCCCGTCGCCCCGCGCATGGCCAAGTGCGGCCACATCTTCTGCCTGCCGTGCCTCATCCGGTTCATGAACTCGACCGCCGACGACGACGAGGCCAAGGGGCCCGCCGAGCGCAGGGCGCCGCGCTGGAAGAAGTGCCCCATCTGCGAGGACAGCATCTACATCTCCGAGGTCCGGCCGGTGCGCTTCTACGCCGGCCAGGAGAGCCCCCTGCCCCGGCCCGGCGACGACGTGGTGCTGAGGCTGATGCTGCGCAACGCGAAGTCGACGCTGGCGCTGCCCAGGGAAGGCGGCGCCGACGTGCTGACCTCTGCGAGCCGGATCCCGTGGCACTTTGCCGCGAACGTGCTCGACTACGCCAGGATCATGCGCGGCACGGGCACCTACATGGCGGAGCAGTACGACAGGGAGATCGAGGACCTGATCAGGCAGGAGAAGGAGGACGAACTGATGTTTCACGAGGACGGCGAGTGGACGCAGAAGGCGATCAGGTCGATCAAGGCAGCGATAGAGAAGGTCGAGAGCCTGGGGGGTATCGAGCTGGCTCTGGCCGATGACACGGCCAAGACTGCCGTCAGGAGTACCTCCAAGGACGTGGCGGACCACGCCGAGCAGGACTTTTACTTCTACACGTCTCCGCCGCATCTGTACCTGTCCCCCTTGGACATCCGCATCCTCAAGACAAAGTACGGCTCCTTCTCGTCCTTCCCCTCGACCCTGCTGCCCCGCGTCGAGCACATCTCGACGGGCCACGTCGTCGACGACGCCATGCGCAGGCGCGCCAAGTACCTGGGCCACCTGCCGCGGGGCTGCCTCATCTCCTTCCTCGAGTGCGACTGGACCGACATCGTCCCCGCCGACATCCTCGCCGCGTTCGCCGACGAGATCGAGCGCCGGCGCAAGCGCAACCGCGACAAGGCCGTCCAGGAGGAGCGGGAGCGGCAGCAGGCCGAGCGCATCGAGGCGGCGGCCCTGCGCGAGGCGCGCCGCAACTTTGGCGCGCTCGACGACGGCGCCGTGCTGCGGTACAGCGACGAGGCCATGTCGATGTCGTCTGCTGCTGCTGCGCCGCAGTCGGATGCCGCCGTCGTGGTGGACCTGAACGACTTCCAGCCGCTCGGGTCCGCGGCGGCGCCGGGGTCGACGCCGCCGAATCACCCGCGGCACGGGTTCGCGCACCTGGCCGACATGTCGTCGACGAGTCCTCCGTCGGCAAACAACAAGACGGTGTGGGGCACGCCGGCGGTGCCGGTGTCGCCGAGCATGGTCGCGCAGCGGCAGGTGCCGAGGGGCGATGTCGACGACGGGTGGCTCAAGGATGACCAGTTCCTGGATACGCTGGGCGGCGATGCGGATCTGGCGCTGCAGATGGAGGCTCTGGGGGTCGTCGAGGCGGGCGACGAGGCGGGGGCGCAGAAGCAGCAGGGTGCTTCTGGCGGAGTTGCGGCGGCGGCGGTGGCGGGGGCTGGAGGCGGAGCGGCAGGAGGGTTGGGAGCAGGAGGAGGTGTAGGAGGAGGTGGTGCTGGTGCTGGTGCTGGAGGGAAGAAGAAGAAGAAGCAGAAGATTACGCTTATGAGTACGGGTGGTAGACGGGGGCTGTAGAGTGCTCGATCTGAGAGGCTGGTCTCAAGGGGGTTTGAAGAGTTGGTAGAGATGATGATGATGATGATGATGGCTGGCGAGGAGAAGGGAGTCAGGGAGCGTGGTGAAGAGACACCTCGAGAAGAAGAGAGGGAGAGAGGGGAGAGCATGCGCATTACGGTTCTGCAACGGGGACATTGTCTCCCGGGAGTTTTGATGCTCGTTCTGCTCTTCTTTTATTGGAATTGGGAAGCTAGCCATACATACACATCATTTTCTGCGATGCGATTGTTGTTGATCTCGAAGAACTACAGAACTACAGCTGCAATAAAGCAAAGCAAAGTAAAGCCAATCAATGAAAACTCCAAGACGTCAAGATATGATCTATGAAGGCTATGTCTACTCTGATTTGACTGAAACGGGTTTTGGGGCCTGGTGATTTGATGAGTAGGATTAGTTACACCTGAACGAACCCCCTTGTAGTTCGTGCAGGTATGTGCTGATGAGCGAACTCCGGCCGGCCCCGGGGCCCGGCTTGGCGCCCACGCAGACGGCCGGACCTTTTTGTCCGTCCCGCTCCACAGGACCCGGGACAGGGAAGGAGGGGACATCGAGATATCCAGAACAGCAGCGAAACATGGTGGGTTTTTACGTCTACAAAAAGCCGTGCTGATCGCTTGGATCTCTTGCCACCATGTGCTTTTGTGTGTGGGATACCATTTTGGGTGCAGTGTAACAACCCTCCCTGGTGGGCAAACTATTACATCACCCGCTGGCTGGGTAAGTCCATGATGTCAGAACTACGCAGCAGAGAGGGCAAGATACTTCGCCTATGATAACGTGGAAGGCTGTAAGAGAGAAAGGGGATTGATATATAAAGTAGGGCGAAGTCCAGTACAGTTCTGGTTTTTCTTTCCCAGTATTGATTGCCCTTCTCCTTCCGAAGAGCCACTTACACAGACGACATCATCAGAGATAAAAATATACATATACGATCTTCATCATCTCTCTCTCTCTCTCCTGGACAAACCCAAATAATAGAAATCACTCATGTCCCGACACGCAACAAGTGAGGGCCAAAAGGTAAAAACAAAATGCCCCAAACCTCTTCCTCCCATCGCGCCGTCCGTACCCCCAGTGGTGGCCAGCGAGCATCAAGCGATGTATACTAACACACTCTGCCAAAACCGCAGGTCAACCTGGGCCAAGACGCCCCCGTCGCCCGCGAGTCCGCCGGCGCCGTGCCCGCCGAGTCCCTCGCCGCCGAGTCGGTCCGCGAGGGCGGCGCCTTCGCCCAGAACCGCACCGCCGGCGAGTCCCAGTCCTTCGGCGGCGGCAACAACAACAGCAGCAACAGCAGCAGCAGCAGCCACCACACGCGGAAGAAGTCCACCTCCGTCCCCGCGAGCCACGGCCGCCAGCAGAACGCCGGCGAGGGCGGTGGCAGTGGCAGCGGCACCAACACGGCAGCAGCAGCGGCGGCGGCACCGAGCTACGTCGACGCGCAGTTCGTGCGCGACACGGCAGGGCCGCGCGGCAAGAACCTGCGCGAGGGCGGGTTCGAGGGCTCCGGCCCGGGCAACAGCATCGAGGCGGAGCCGGGGTCCAAGGACGACCCGGCGCGGGCGGCGGTGCTGGGGTTCGTCAGCGGGGAGGGCGGCGGAGGCCGGGGCGCGAGGCAGCCTGGCGGTGGTGGTGGTGGTGGAGGCTTTGAAGAGGAGCAGCCTTATGGGGCTTTGAGGTCGGAGACAAGTTCGTGATCTGGTGTGGTCCGGGGGGTGATGGAACGGACTGTTTTGTTAACAACGCGGGCGTGAATTGGTCTGAATGTTTGAGTAAAAGGCAAGATAGATCCAACACAAAATTGAAGTCAATTTCCTGTACATATATGGCAGCATCATCATCTGTAGGAAGCCTACAAGTGTCGAATCCTGATCAGCACATCACAGCCCGACATATTCGCACCCAGGATAATAAATGCACAGCTTAAGATTGCTATTGGCGCTGATGTTTTGCCGTCTCTCCTACTGATGAACCTGACTTTCTGTCTCACAGAAAGAACGTCTTGTGTTTCCGCGAAATACCCACGCACTTCTTCCCCGCTACCCCAGACCGCTAAACCAGGATATCCTCGTCGATATCCAGGTCCAGCGCGCCAATGATGTCGTCGTCCATGAGCGGCTTGTGAATCGTAGGGATACCATTCTTGTCCACCGCCTTCTGCTGCTGCAGCTTAGCCAGGTGCGGCAGCAGCGACGAGGACGAGCCCTTTTGCGCGCCGAGCTTGGGCGTGCCCGCGCCGTTGGCCGGCGTGCTGGCGCCGCTCGCCGTCTGGCTGCCGCCCGGCTTCTTCTCGCCCGTGTCGTTGATGTCGTGCACAAACTTGGCCTTGGTCCGCAGCCGCCTCGACGTGTCCTCCTCGACGGCCTCGCCGCGCTCGAGCTTCTTCTCGATCTCGCGCGCCTTGGCCCGCTCCTTGAGCTGCGCCTTGCGCACCGCCTCGGCGTTGCGCCGCCGGTTCTCGGCGTTGAGCTGCGCGAGGCGCTCCTGCTGCGACGGCGTGCTGCTCTCGGCGCCGTTCTTCTTGGCCGGCGTCAGGGACGTGCGGAAGGCGAGGCGCGGCGTCTCGAGGTTGTCGAGCTGCTCCTGCAGCTGGGCCACCTTTGCCTCCTGTCCCAGGTTCTTGGCCCTCTCCAGCTCCTTCTCGAGGCGCTTCCGCTCGGTGCCGTCAAACTGATTCCTCAGCTCCGACTGGCGCCTCAGCTTGTCTGCGAGCTCGTGCTCGTTCCAGTCCCGCTTGATGAGCGAGTTGATATCATCTGCCTTGTTGAGCAGGGCCGGACGCTTGGGCAGCGCAACGCCCTCGCCCTGGCAGACTTTCTGGTATCTCGACCACTCTTGTTCCGTGAAGGGACTGTCTGAGCAGGCAATAAAGGGCCACTCTCGCGAGGACTTGCCGTGAGCTGCTATGCAATACTGATCGGTAACCAACTGCTGGCCCTGCAAGCCGGGGATTGCATAGGCCTTGCCAGTCGTGAAACCTGGAAATCGTTAGCTCTGTTCCATCAGAGAAGAGAAATCTGCATTGCGTACCTTTGATGATCGCCATGCGGTACTGGGGCTCGCCAGCATCGTTCGCTCCGATAGAGATGCGCACAAAGCAGCCCGTGATGGCCTTGGCAAAGCCGGGGTAGAAGCAGACTTGACCGAATCGGCTCCTGCTGAGACGAACACGCTCGACATCTTCAAGAGTTGCCATAGGGATGTCCTTGGCCGCCGGTGAATGCGATCTCGCCTTGGACTTGGACGTTGCCCACTCCACCTCGCTCTCATCACCCTCTTCGTAGTCATCCTTGTAGGAAGGCGACCGGTCTCGCCGCCGCTCTCGATCCTCCTCTCTGCGCCGGACACGCTCGTTCTTCTCTGCCCTGCGGTTCCTGAGGGTGTCAAGGGCCGAGTTGGTCTCGCCGACCTTGGTGCCACCGACCTTTGTGCGGACGCGCGAGGTCTTGCGCTGGCCGTCCTCGAGGCCAGCGGCACTGGCGGTGCGCTTCTTACGCTGCTCGTCGTTGCTGACAAGCTGCCGCAGAAGGCGGTTCTGGTGGATGCGCTCCTTCTCCTGGACTCTGTCGGCGATGATCTGCTCTCGCTCGAACTCGCGCATCTTGGAGATCTCTTCCTTCTCCGCCAAGCTGGCGTAAAGTCCCTCGACCGGGTACTTGTTTTCCTCATCGTATGATCCGCTAGGAGCGACGTCCGCATCAGAGTCGGATTCGTCCATCGGGGCGGACTGCTGTGAGCTCGGCGAGGACGGCGCATCAGAGCTGAAACAGGAAGGCATGTCAGCAATGTGCTCGGTGGCGGGTTTTGAGTCGACGAGGCTCCGTGATCCCGCTCGACGGTCATGTACAAGTGATACGAAAAGTGAGGAAACAGGGAGCACTCACGCCTCTCCTTCCTCCTCCTCCGAATCGCCCGGCGTGGCCCGTCGCTTGGTCTTCTTCACCGGGGTCCTCTTCGTTGTTCCCTTTGTGGATCTCTTGGGCGGTGCGGGCGACTCCGACTCGCCGCGGCTGACAATGGAGCGCTCTTCCTCGTCAGAGGAGACGTCTCCGCCCGCGAGGGCGAGAAGCTCGTCATCGACGTCAGACATGGTGACTAGATATCTTCTGCGATCGAGTTCTGTTCTGGTGCCTGTCTAATGGCCGTGCTGCTGTGAGAAATCGGAGAGACAAGACTGTTTGCGCAGTAGTGCAGAGAGGAGCGCAGAACAGGAGATGCGGAATCGGTGTTCTGCTGATGAGGACAAGATGACAAACAGAATGTTGAGGAGAAGAAAAGAAAGAGAGCCTCCTCCCAAGACAGAGTTTTTTCTCTTTAAAAGGGATAAGGCCGGCCAAAATCGGAGAACCAACAATGGTGGTGGTGAGGATCAATTGCCTCCTATTGACAGCCCTTTTTTTCCGCGGCCAGCTATTGTCCAGAGTTGGATGGCTGGACGGCTGGACCGTCGCGTTGCTGATTCGCGGATTGTCAGCGCCGCAGCTTCCTGGAACACAGCGCACTTGGCTCGCTTGGCTGAGGGCGGCAGGCGGCAGGGCGGGCAGCGACAGAGTGGCCGGAAATATTACTGGGCCGGGAGGTGGGTTTCATCCAATCACAGCGCACCTAGCGGGGTCTGACGTGCATTTGGAGAATCCCTGTCGTCTTCGGTGTAGCGATAACGATAAGCAAGGAGACGGCTGGAAAATGAATCAATTATGGCATGACAGCTCGAGCTGGACAGAGGAGCAGTATCGCATCCGGCCAACAGGGAGTTATTGAACCGCCCATCGCAGACCTCTTCTCGCAACTCCAGGCACAGGCCGCCATTGGTCGAGTTAGGTTACCAGACAGCCTCTCCGGAGGCACTAGAAAACGAATATGCGCCCTCCCACCTCTCTCCTCCGCCGCGCATCCCGGGCCCCTGTCGCCGCGAATCCTCTCCGATGCCAATGCCTCTCTACCACCTCCCAAGCCCGCGCAACGGCAGCAGCAGCCAATGGGTCCCCAGACAGTAGTAGTAGCAGCAGCAACGCCGCCGGCAAGATCCCCAAGCGCAAGCCGCTCACCCAGGCCCAGAAAGACTACCTCTCCTCCGCCGTACGCAAAACATCCCTCCTTTCTTCTTCTCCTTCTTCTCCTGCTGTTCCGGTACTCACACCCTTTTTTTGCCCAACGCTAGCTCCGCGTAAACCAGACGGGCGAGCTCGCAGCCACCCTCATCTACGCAGGCCAGATGCCCCCGATCCTGCGCTCCCACCCGCACCTCCGGCCCCTGATGCAGCACATGTACGACCAAGAGGCCGGCCACCTCTCGACCTTCAACGCCCTGATCGCCAAGCACCGCGTCCGCCCGACGGCCCTGTACCCGCTGTGGTCCGCCCTCGCCTCGGGGCTGGGCTGGTCCACCGCCGTCATGGGCCGCGAGGCCGCCATGGCCTGCACCGAGGCCGTCGAGACCGAGATCGGCACGCACTACAACGAGCAGATCCGGACCCTGCTCGAGATGGTCGGCGAGTGGGAGGCCCAGGGCTACGACGTCGGCCCCGAGTTCACGGACCTCATCGGCACGCTGCGGAGGATACGCGACGAGGAGCTCGAGCACCTCGACCACGCCGTCGAGCACGACGCCAAGAAGGCCGAGCCGCACTGGCTGCTGACAGGCGTGATCCGGGCTGGCTGCCGGGGCGCCATCTGGGTTAGCGAGCGATATTGATTGCCAGAATGTCACGACGTCAGGCGGCCCCATTTTCATGTGAGCTGTGTTTTTCCGAATATCCAGCATGCTCTCATGGGCTGGTTCATTTGTATGACCTATGACGGTCTGTATAGTAGGATGTAAAATATGTACATAAGAGAGAAGACGCACGACCAAGCCTGGAATACACACTTCCAAGTTGATCGCGATGCTAGGAATGCTCCTTACGCCAAACGCCTCTTGTGATGGGTTCAAACTGTGTATTCAAAGGCAAGATCCAATCCATAGAGACAAAGCCAAGTCAAGGAAGCCGGTTGCGTCACCAAACCATACGATCAATTACTAAAGAGCTTGGTTAGTACCCATTAAAAACATCATACCTGAAAGAGAGAGAAAGAAAAGCACTTACTAGATCTGCAAGGGAGCCACTTGGTCGACCTGGTACAGCCAGTTGCCGTTGCCCTCCTCGACCAGCAGCCAGTCGTACGGGAACTGCACCAGGTGGCCCTGGATCATGCCGCACAGGTCGTCCGCCTCGGCCTTGGTGAGCAGGTCGTCGGTGCCCTGGAAGCCGCGGCGGCTGCCCTTGGTACCGGCGCGCCGCCTGCGCTTGACGGATCCCCCGTTGGCGGCCGCCGCAGGCTGCTGCTGGCCGGTGGATGCTGCTGTGCTCGGGCCACCGGTCGGCGGCTTCTCGAGCGCCGAGAAGGTCGCGCGGCGCTCCTTGCCCTTGTCTGGCTTGTTGGCGGCCGGCTGCGAGTCGTCGATAGCACTCTCTGACTCCTTAGTTGGGGCTGTAGGGCCGCCGGCGACGTGCGTGTCGTGCTCCTTGAGTGCGCGCTCGGCCTCGGCCGCCTTCTCCATGTCGGTGTGAGGCTCCTTCTCCTTCAGAGGCGCGGCAGGGAACGGCTCCTTCTCCTTGGCCTTCTCGTCAAACTCGCCAGAGGACTCCTTCTCCTTCTTGTTCTCGCCGCCGCCGGTCGCTACGGCGGCGATCTTTTCGCCCACGCTGGCGAGCGCCGCGCCCGGAGACGGCGCCCCGATGCCCGCACCGCCAGACGTGCCGTGTCTGGGCGGGTGCGACTCGGATTTGCGCTCTGGATCCTCGCTCTTCTTGGTCCCTTCCATGCTCTCCTGGAAGCGCGCACCGTAGGTGATGAACTCCTGGAACTCGTGCCAGTTGGTGACCTCCGAGTCCGGCATGCAGCGGAAAACGCGGCGATAGATCTTGGTGTTGTTCTCGGCCACGCGGGCCCAGACTTCGTTGTAGAAGTTGGGGTTCAGCGGGTCTCGCATACAGTCTCGCGTGACATCGGCAAGTCTGATATCGGCCATCAGCGGGTTGACTGGACCGTTACTCGGGTTGCCCTGGGTATCGAGATGCAGTGGTGGGCCACCGATGTCGGTGTCATCGGTGAGAGGCAGGGTAGGAAGTTGACTGGTTCGTAGAAGCCCAAGCTGATCTGTCGTCCGGCGGTTGAAGGGCGGCATAGGCGGGACCTTGTCTTTGGCAGAGCATTCGTCATTATTGAGGACTTCGTTGGGTACGGTGTGATGATGATGATGATTCGCCTGGCTCGGGCTCAGCGGGTTTTCGCCCTTGCCAAAGACGTGATTCACAAGCACCTCTTGCCCGTCGATGATGACCGAGTCCCGGCCCTGATCGATGCCTTGCTTGTGGGCCATACGCCAGCGATCTTCACCGAAACCCTCGACATCCTTTTGCTGCTTGTCATGGTTGGCGACGACCTTGGTCTCCCCCGAGCCTTGGGACTTGCTACCGGACGCCTGGGTCGTCTGCAGGTCCAGTTCCGGCTCCTCAGGTACTACGTGGCTTTCCAATTCCTCGAGATCAACATCACGATTGATGCTAGGGGTACGACTGTAGATGAGGGGCCGCGATCTCGATCGAGGCCGGCGGGAGCCCTCGGCTGTTGGCGAAGCATCGGAATCATCGCTGTACATATCGTTCATGTCGTTCATAAACTCGTTTTCACGTTCCATGTCAGCTTGCCTGTCCTCGGCAAGGATTTCGTCTGTGTCCAGTCCGAGATGTTCTCTCATGAGACGGAGGCGCAAGGTGTGAGCGAAGCGGCCGACTTGATAGGGCTTACCACCCATTGTCGACCAGAGCATGTCCCTGTCCCGGACGATCGCTGCACACTCGGAATCACGGTCCCCTAACAAAGACCTTTCGTTGATATTGGCCGATCCAATCAATGCAACACGGTCATCAATGATGATTGTCTTGGCATGGATGTAGAGCTGCTCAGTAGTCAGGACCGTGCCATGGTTGATGCGACCCCATTGCCGAAGACTGAAGAACTGGATGTAGTCCTCTGGCTCGATTCCAGCGGTTTTGAGGCGCCCAAAGATGGAATCGTCCCCGCGGCAGATGCTACGGAACTGGCACTGCAGAATCAGTCGAACGCTTGTGCCATCCTGGTCAGCGACAGAGTTTTGGAAGCCTGGCAGCAAAGGAATGATGATCACGCAACGCCAGTCCTCGTCGTTCTCGTTGGCTCGAATGATGCGCTCGACAAGGGCATCGCCAATGCGGTTGAGGATCTTCACATTGAGCGTCTCCGTGCTGGTGATGAAGAACTGGTTCTCCATGTAGACAAAGTGCTCCGACTCCTCGATCATGCTGATGTAGGCATTTTGGATACTTGCTTCCGTCTCGTCGATGCCCAGAGACCATGTGGATGCCGATCTCAGGATCTGCACCTCACAAGTACCTGTGAGGCCCAGGTTCTCCAGTTCCTCTCCATTGCTGTCTGGAGGAGGGAGTAGGAACGGAATCGGGCGGGTAGGCTTTCGTCCTCGTCTCAGATAGTTCCACCGCTGTACAAAGTGCCTCGTGAGATCTCTTGCTGGCTGCCCTACGACTTGCATCGAGATATCGTGCCAGGGCATGCGCGGAACTCTAGTGCGGTCATACATCTCCTTGTACGGCTCGCGCAGCGAGTAAAAGTCCTGAACTCGGGCATTCGAATAGTCCTTTCCGGGCCAGAGCTGGCAGTGCTCCGCATCTTTGGGGTTGTCTTCGGGCTCGAATCCCGTGGGTTTGTCATCGTGGAGCAGATGTTCAGGACTATCCCAGCGACCAAAGCAGAGATCCAATCCGCCAACAAAGGCCACGTCGTGGTCTACAATGCAGATCTTCTCGTGATGCGCAAAGAAGAACTGGTTCTTCTTGAACTGGTTGGGAGATCTCTGAACAAAGATGTTGTGATGCAGATTCAGCAGGGCAAACTTGGTGTACTCCGAGTCGATAGGGATAGCAGCCTCGACGTTGCGATAGATGATGACAAAGATCTTGACGCCTTCCCTAGCTTTCCGCTGCAGAAGACGATCAAGCCGCCACTTTTGACTGATACATGCCGGCCGCCGCATGTACAGCTCGGGGCTGAGCCACCAGTCGTGAATGTAGATGACGTCTTTCGCCATGCTTATAGCTCGAGAGACGTTCCACATGTAGTCCCGACCGTCAACGAGCCACTGCGCGAAGACTCCAGTACGGACAGGCGCGAAGCTGTTGAATCTATTATGCTGGTGCCACGGCGTCTGCTTCAGCATGTCTGTGATAGACTCTTCGAACTGACGGATCAAGTGCTGGTTCCGAGCCCACAACTTGACCTTGCGCTCCGAAGTCATGAGAGTGATTGTGTGATGCTTGCGGTGTGGCTGCCCTGAGGTCAGATCAACCTCTTCGGCTTTGTCCTTCGAGCCAATCTGCTTGAGCTTGTTCTTCTTTGATATGATCTTGAATTTGGGATCGACAAGGTATACATCATAGATGTTCATGTTCTCGGCAGATTCAACGCAGACAATGTAGCTTGATCTGACAAGGAACCACTTGCGGCTGTGTCGCTCAATCACCTTGGCGGGTGTGAGAACCCTGCGGAAGTCTAGACCCTTGGAGGACTGGATGTGCAGGAAGCACTCTTTTCCGTGGTAGCTGCCCTCAGCAGCCAGCCGAACGCCGAGGGCAGACAGTTCCAGGAAGCGGCACAGCCGGTTGCTATCCGCTCGGAACATGAGCCAGCGGATCATTTCTTGAAGGTACTTTTCCAGCATTCTCTGCTGCCTTTCGATGTACCTGCGCCTGGCGAGGGCTTCGTCCATTGCCGCGTCGGCGCCTTGGTCTTCGCCTCCTGCGACCGTGGACGACTTGCGGCTCATGCCAAGCATGGCCATGCGTGACTTTCTCCTTCGGGGTGCTATCCTGCCTTCGGCTTCGGTAGCGGTTGCTTCACCGGCAGTCCCCTCCCCTGCAGTCCCTTCTCCGGCGTCGTCGCCAGCATTGCTGACGCCGTCATCCTCGTCTGAGGCGTCGACACCCCGGAGACCGCGAACATACGGAAACGCAGAGATAGGGAAGCGTGGCTGCTTCGGTCTTGCTCCAAGCTGTATCGTGTGGAGGTACTTGTCGTTCCTAAGATCCAGCTTGTACTTCCAGTGTAGGTTCAAGATCTCACGAATGGTTCTCTTCACAGTCCATCGCATGCGGCTAGGACCACTCCCATACTCAAGCTCGATGGTGAAGAGCCAATGTCGCTCGCTCTCTCCGTCTTCTACCGGAGAGCTATCGGTGATTCTAAGTCTGAGCTGCTCAAGTAAGACGGGTATCCTCTTGTTGCCGTGCTCGTCGCGTTGTATCATGCTAGCCAACATCAACACGGCCGGTGCACCAGCGCGAAGCTCGGCCATCAACTCTGCCGACTTGTAGTAGTCGAATTGCTGCTCCTTCTTCTGCCGCAAAAGCTTCAGCGTATTCTTGACTTGTCTCCATTTCTGAGCGCCGAAGGTCGACGCTCTGTCGCCAGCAAAGAAGGGCCTGCGCGGAGTCATGGCATCTCCATCGGAAGCCCCGCCGCCTCCGCCTCCCCCAAAGACGGAAATGCGACGTATATGGCCGAGCCTTCGTCCAGAAGGACTCTCGGCATCTTCGTGATCCTCACTGCGACCGATCCACGAGCTGCCTCGTCGCCAGGCAGATTCTCTCGTTAGATGATCCCGACCCTCGCCCTCAGAAAGGCCGACTCTTTCGCCAGGGTCCGGCATCGTGGCCCTTCTCGTCAGGGACCTTCTATTGACCATGGGCGAGTCTGGATCGGGCAAGTTAAGCCGCGGGGTGCCCGGCGTTGACTGCGTTTGGAGCTTCGGGCGCCGCATGCGCCTCCGCTTCTTCCTCGACTTGGCGGCACTGTCCTCGGGCAGTGCTTCGTCTGCCGTCTCCTCCGCGTCTGCATCTGCGTCACTTCCATCCTCGTTGAGACTGTGTGCCATCCGAGCACCCCGCCCAATCGTTGGCGAGCTTGCAGTCGATTGGCCCCCAGTATCTGAGCCAGGGCCATGCAAGCTTGGTGCCCTCGGCGCGGGCAAGCCTCCTTGAACTGCCAGAGCCTTCAGCCGCGACATGAAAGCTCTAGACCGGGCGGGGATGCCAGCATCCCACGAGCCATGTCTCGTGTGCGTCTGGGCATCTATGACGACGTCCGACCTTGAGAACTGTACGCTCCGCCGGTCTGCGGGTTCCGGCGACAACGAAGGCGTCTGCACCTCTGCATAGCTCTCGGGAATACCGGAGTCTGAAAGAGCTGCGGCGGTCGTAGGCTCGATGGCCGAGTGCACGGATCGTGGCTTGCTGTTCAACAGATCTGGGACGACCCCATCATGGGGAAGTCCACCATTCAGATAGTCTGGTGCCTCAGAGTTTCCGTTCGGTATTGCCGGCGAAGTATGGCCCGGACTAGGTGTTGGTGAACCTTTGATGCGGGTGGGTAGACTGAGCGCAGGGGAGGTGAGCTCGGGGATGGAAGGCAGTTCTTTATCGAGAATCGGCAACGTTATCGTATTCTCGTAGGGCGACCGCTTGGCATTCTGTCGAGCATCATCCTGAGAAGGTGAAGCCATCCTACTCCAGACGCCCGGTAGGCTGCGGTGCTCCGAGAGTGAGACTTCGTGAAATTCGAGGGCGGTTGTCAATGGCGAAGCATCACAGAGGGTTGGCAATGACGCAATCAAGTCGAAAGGCTTGGAATGCTACGCAGGTAGACTCGGAATAATATCAGTCGATTGAGATTTACTCCAGCGCGAGTCTTCGAGATGCGTAGTGGACGAGGAGCGGTCGTCTTCCGAGCAATCCTCGAGGCACTGTAGGGGTGAGCGGAATTGGTGTTTACTTCGGATGCTCTAGCTTAATAAGGCGCAAGCTGCATGCACTTTGACGATGAGGCCAAGGGAAATCTTACGGCCAGGTTATCCAGACAATCCAGTCCCCTGACACCAAGAGATTGCTTGTCTGGGAGTATCTCAGGCTGAGATCGTGGGATATCGTTGGACCGGGTTTGGGGATCAGGACAAAAGTCACAGCCGGGATAGTTTCACGCCAACGCCAATGACCCGTGTCGCAGGGGGGGGAGTTTAGAGGCATGGGCTGAAATTGGAGGTCTCCACAACAGGTGATGTCAGTACGCTAGTTGAACGCTTTAGTGGTCCCCGGCCCGTTCTTCAGCGCCTTACCCAGTTAGACAAGCTCATTTCAGCTTAGTTCTGTGGTATGCTCATGGAGAAGGCCATCAAAAAGGAGATGGAGGTTCTATCGTTGATCTTCAAGGTCAAGGTTGTATCCAAGGCTCGATACCAGCATTTTGATTGCTGTGGATGAACTACCTAGGTAGCAACAGCTCGTGCTGCCGGCATGGCGAGTGCATGTGCTTGGAGAAAGACAGCCAGCCAGCATTGATACAAAGAACTCGTGATCTAACAGCGAAATTTCGGGGCATCCTACTCAATCAACAATTCAGGATAATGCACTCAGCTTCGTGCGTTTTGCTTGTACTCGAATTAAGGTGTGTCGAGGGCTGAAATACATTACTGCCAGCTGGGATAAGGAATGCGAGTCCTTCCATTGTGTCAAGCCAAGGTTGGTGGGGCCAATTTACCAAAAGCCGGGCCAGTTACCAGGGAGCCGTGTACAATTGAGCGAACATGCCCACACCGCCCGATAACTAAGGTATTGATTGTATCTTATCGCGTGTCGCAAATCGAATTGACGCGTCTCCCAACCCTCGACCATTAACAGAGGATGGCCGCAATCTCGCACATGATTGACTGGCAACCACGAGATGCCTAGGTATGCCCATGAGATCTCCCATATCCAGCTCACGGCACTGATCTGACCCTCTCATCCAGAGAAATCATTACCATCCAGGCCGGCCAATGCGGCAATAGCAGTATGTTGTCTACCCCGCTGGGCATCAAAAGTTGCTTCGTTCTCCCCACTAACGAACCGACGCGCGCACGTAGTTGGCAGCCAGTTCTGGCAACAGCTCTGCCAGGAGCACGGAATCAGCCAAGACGGGAACCTCGAGGATTTTGCAACTGAAGGTGGTGATCGCAAAGATGTCTTCTACTATCAGAGCGACGACACTCGATACATCCCCAGAGCAATCCTCATCGATCTCGAGCCCCGTGTGCGTACTGCCGCGACCACTCTGTGCGCGACCACTCTGTGCGCGACCACTTGCTGACCGCCTCAAACAGGTGATCAACGGCATTCAGACCGGACCGTACAAGAACATTTATAACCCAGAAAACTTTTACGTTGGCAAGAACGGCATAGGAGCCGGAAACAACTGGGGTGATGGGTACCAGACCGGAGAATCCGTCCATGAGGAGATCATGGAGATGATCGACCGTGAGGCCGACGGAAGCGACTCGCTAGAGGTACGATTATATCGAGGTGCAATACTCTGTTCCCGTCGCTGATCTCCTTTTCAGGGCTTCATGCTACTGCATTCGATTGCAGGTGGTACTGGCTCCGGGCTGGGCTCTTTCCTCCTCGAGAGGCTTAATGATCGATTCCCAAAGAAGATCATACAGACTTACTCAGTATTCCCTGACACCACCAACTCGGGCGATGTTGTTGTGCATCCTTACAACAGTATGTTGGCCATGCGACGATTGACTCAAAATGCCGACTCGGTGGTGGTGCTCGACAACGGTGCCCTGTCCCACATCGCTGCGGACCGACTTCATGTCCAAGAACCCTCCTTCCAACAGACAAACCAGCTTGTAAGTTCTGATGACAATCTCGATGCCGAACGAGATATTAATGCCGGTATAGGTTTCGACTGTTATGTCAGCAAGCACAACCACCCTGAGATACCCGGGCTACATGCACAATGACCTGGTCAGCATTCTAGCATCCCTAATCCCGACCCCACGCTGCCACTTCCTCATGACCTCGTATACACCATTCACTGGCGATCAAATCGAGCAAGCCAAGACCGTCCGCAAGACGACCGTCTTGGATGTCATGAGAAGACTTCTCCAGCCCAAGAATAGGATGGTCTCGACAGTGCCCGGCAAGAAGAGCTGCTATATCTCCATCCTGAACGTCATCCAAGGAGAGGTGGATCCTACAGATGTGCACAAGAGCTTGCTCCGCATCCGAGAACGGAAGCTTGCAACATTTATCCCGTGGGGTCCCGCTAGTATTCAAGTGGCTCTTACGAAACGCAGCCCCTACGTTCCCATGAGCCACAGAGTGAGCGGGCTTATGCTCGCGAACCACACGAGCGTTGCTACAGTAAGAGTGTTCAGTTCCTACCCTGAAGGTGGTCATTGTCAGCTAACATGAGACAAAGCTCTTCCGGAGGATCGTCCGACAGTACGACGGCATGCGCAAGCGGAATGCTTTCATCGAAGCCTACAAGAAGACAGCGCCTTTCTCTGAGAACCTCAATGAGTTTGACGAGGCTCGCGAGGTGGTGACGGATCTCATCTCAGAATACGAGGCAGCCGAGGATGTCAACTATCTCAACCCAGATGCAGCTGGTCAAGCAACGTCCGCCGAGACGGACAAGCGAGTCGCATAGACTGGATATTGGCCTATAGAACAGAGTATGCTGAGCATACGTAAGTTGACTTTTTGGGTGAGTTGAAGCTCTGCTGGAGCTGGGCAGCATTGACTTTTGGCGTTGGCGGCTGGATGTATGAAATTACGACCCCTGTCTTCTGGTTCTGTCAAGTTTTGACCTCTTTGTACGTATGGAATTCAACGGATTCCACACATCAATTCAGTAATTCACTGGTTCCCCAAGTCGACGACGACTACCTCAGGTACGAAGGACTCCACTGATGAGCCTGGTAAGATGCTCGTACCTGCATGGAAGTACTTTCTCTTCGGCGAGCTTCTATTGCCCTTACCCCTTCACAGGACAAAGACAACAAAAACGCCATGGCAAAATGTCGCCGTAAGAGTTGGGAATTACACAATGGTGGGTCAATCTGCTGGAGTTGTAGGCGGCTCACAGTGGTGATTGTGGGGATCCCGTGCGCTAGAACCACCGAAACACCTACCTGTTGCGTCAGGCGTGGACCCTGAATGGCGGTTTCGTGACGTCAAGATTTCGTCGACCGGACCAGAAGCTCCTGGCATCAGAGTGAGCTCGAATAACTACATATCCATATAAACAGCTTCGCTTTCCGGATATCAGTGTCTTCTTGTGGAATTTTGATATCCATTCACAGCAGTAGAACTCTTTTTTTCTACCTCGAACAAAATTCAAGAAACCCATACTTCAAACCTCAAACACTTACACGCATCACTCCAAACAGTAGGTGCAACAAGATATCACGAACATAACCATTGGAATACTGACGCATGCCATCACAGAAATGACCGAGTCCAAGCAGCAGAAGATTAACAAGGCCCAGGCCAACCTGCCTCTTCCCGAGCAGCCCCCCGTCGCCTCTGACTGGCAGTCGGCGGATGCGCGCAACGTCAACGTCGGCTCCGGTGGTGTCTCGTCTGACATCTCCAAGGGCGACGCTTCCTCGGCTGGCCTGCGGGAGCCCGCCACCAAAGGCTCTGACATGAATATGAGCGGAATCGGAAGGACTGACAGGGCTTGAAGAAGTCGAGGATTCGTTTATTTGGTCATGAATGGGAACGGGTTATGGAAATGCTCTCGGCATAAGAGCAGGAAGTCAGATGGGCCTGGCTCAGGTAGACACGACCGGACCGGCGTTTCTCGGATCGTGCAATGTACTCTATATACCTCTATTTGTTCGTGGCGATACAACGACTGAAATGAGAAAGACTCGCAATGAGTTGATCATTGGGGCGTTCAAAATCCCAGTACTATCATTATGGTCATGAGTGAAAATGAGTCTTCTGTATGCTAGTAAATGACGATATTTAGTAAACGAAGCAGCCCTCCATGGGATACTCAGTAACCATAGACTCAAATCGCCTCGTCTGCAAAAGTACTGTACATGCAAGGCTTTCATTGTCCAGCTTCTCCACGAGCCTTCATCTCGGCGACGACCTCTGGAGGCAGTTGCACCGACGCCAATACCTCCCACTTGGCGTCCAAAGACCGCAGAACATGATCAGGGCCGAGCTGGAAGATGCCGTTGGGGTCAGCGGGAAGGGATCGCACCAGCGATCTGATGGACTCGATCTGGTTCATCGCAGGCTGTCGCGGTATCTGCAGGCAACAAGAGTCAGTGGCGGTGTGGATCGGGCAATCATGCATGCGACGGCGTCCGGCTTACTGCAGCGGCGGAAGTGACAGCGGCACCGGCCGCCAAGAGGGTAAATGGAACAAGCCTCATTCCAATGTTGATATCCTGGAGAAAGGTTTGGGTTTGCTAAACCTGGAGGATGCTCGATGTGGGTGCTTGAGAGAACAAATGCACAAACACGGTCTCAGTTTATTGAGGTGGCGACAGAGTTACATGTGGCGCCTACGTCACGGGACGGGACGGACCAAGGCGAGGCCATTCATGGAACTCAACAACGAGCCATGAGACCTTGAAATAGGGTATGAACTTGATTTCATGATAATTTAGGAAGTCGTGTCTGTTCTGTTGTGAGAGTCGCGGAGAGAGTATGTCCGGTATCGGCTCTCTTGTCCTTCGCCCTCCTCCAATCTAAATGCAGCATTCTGCTGAGTCCTCGAGACACGCAGCAACGGATGACTCTACATCGGCCATGTAGCGGACAGCCCCTACGTTCCTCTACTCATCGGCTCCCGGACCACCAGCTCCCGGATCACCAGCCTTCTTCGGTGCATTCTGCAAAGCACCGAGGTTGTAGAAGAAGGCACATTTTCCGATCAGATCTCCAATGATGCCGTCCAGGCGGAGGTTCAGTCGCTCCTCCATGGCCTCGAGATCAGCCAGAGTAGCGGGGCGTGAAGACGGAGGGCTGAAGTCTCCGTTGATCTTGAGTTGGGCCTCCGTGTTTCCAGCGTCACGCCATCTGTCATATGCTTGCATCCAGTCCGTGACGGCAGCGTTGAATTCGACTCTCTATGGCGAGTCAGCAGCAGTCTCACGAGGACCGGGAAGATGCCTACCTCGATGAAGTTCGTTCCCATGTAAACACTGCTGAACGCCATTGCAGTTTCTTTGACGCGGGTAGCAGCTTCATTAAGCTTCGGAGGGACCTACGAGGGTCAGCAGCGATCAAGGGCACGGTGAATACACGGGGAAACACTCACAGCGTAGCAAGTGTAATCGCGGGCATAACAATAGTCGCAACTGCCTGGTTTGCCGCCTAGAGTATTGTAATCAGTTGACGTTCGATTGTGGGATCGAAGTGAGCCTACTGAAGTGATTCATGCAGATGAATATGGGGTCACGCGTGCTAGCCAACTGGCGGATGCAGCAAAGACAAAAATCCCTGTTGGCCCTGTATTGCGAGTTAGCAGCGAGCTGGGAATAGGCTCCTGGCGACTTACCTCGAAAGGCGGGCCTCCATCATCTTGATGTCCAACCGACCCGAAGGGGTGGTGTTGTCGGCTGTCTCGTCCGGCATGTTATTGCTCTGAGGGAATGCTGAAACCCCTGACGAGTTGTTTTGATCTGGCGAGGCCACAGTGAGGATGGAAGAGAGAAAAAGACCTTTGCACCGGGGATGAAGGGTGACGGTTCTTAAATAGATAAAAGCGGAGAGGCTGTTGGAGGATTGTGATCACATTGGGGTTGTTTTATGACAGTGCTGACAGTTGGTATTACAGAAATGCCAGAGTCACATCGCAACGTTGAGCATATGTAATAGCAGTAACATGGCGTGTGGTGGTCTCACATCTCTCCCTCGGCAGGAACCCGGGACAAGAAGAGCGGATTGCAGAACACCAGTAGGTACCTTATTCAACGCCAAACATGTTCCTCACAGGGGATGATTTCGCTTTGCCTCATCACGGACTGATAAGACCGAATTGGGAATCGTCTCTTCTTAATTGTTTGCTCAAACACCTGCAGCAAGCTGCAGAGAATCTCAGTCGAATATGCAGATAGCCATTTGTTTCCAACGGCCCCTTTTCTTTGTCGTTTATCCTCCCTAGGAGACAGAACATGATACATGCAAGCCGCATCAACGGCCCGGCGGCACCCTTGATTGTTCGGAAGCATGGCATAACGGACCAGGGTGAGACTAATGACATAATTATTATACCGCTGTTGATCTTTTCGTCACTTCCAATTGGAGTTCGAGCAGGCTCTCCTGTTTGTGGCTCGAAGATGGTTGGTGTGGATTGCATGAGAAGCAACCGTGTTGCTTCAGCCGGAAGACCATAACACCCTCGTCCTGATCGTAAATAGCAACTAGGGGCTGCATTTGTTGGCATTTTAACATTTACAATAATGCTGCTGGGCTGATAATGGGAATGATTGGTATGAGATGCAGGTCTTCGCTGATCAAGTGATGGCCAACGTTGTCCGGCATGATCCTCCCTCAATTTGATGGCTGCTTTGGGACAACCAGGTACGGATTTCTCCCCTGCTCTCAAAGAGCTGGCCTCCAACAAACATACATAAGAAGGGCATCCCCAGTTCCATTATGGGCCCATTAATGATGTAGCAGAGAAAGGCCTCAGTTCAATATGCGTGAGTGACCAGGTAGGTATCCAGGGGCCGAACCAGCATCCACAAGACTAGAGAGCACATTGGCAGTCATGCAAGGAGATACTTGTAGTGTTTGTCGCTTTTGACCCTGTCCCGGCTGTCTTTGTTTGGTTGCCAGAGCCGCGACGCAGGGACCGCCATCGACGGAGCTGCTGCGTCTTCTGCTGCGTCGCCTGGCAATCTCACGATCCTACGCGCGGCGCGGCGCGTCCTTCTTCGTCAAACGCCCTAGGTGCCTGGTTCCCTCGCCAATTCTTTGACCTCTGGTCACTTGGCTCCTCAGACGCCTATTTAAGGTTGAGCTGGAGCTTTAAATTCTTTTTCCACCCACATTTTGACGTGTTTTGATCTTGGTGCCCCCCATCAACACATCCACCACTCGGCCCCCTGCAACATCGCGAGACCGCACGAGATTTACGAACATCACCTAGTATCATCCGGCCCTCCTCTCTATCCCTAGCCCTCAAGCAGGGTTCTCTAATACTCATTCTTTTCGAACCCGGCCCTGCAAGATCTAGATCTTGAGGGCTGGGCGCACCTTCCTCTCATCGTATCACGTCGGTTCCACCACGAAGGCGCGCCTTCTAATCCTGTCTTCCTGTCTTCCCGAAGAAGGGTTGCTTCCCAATCAATCATAATCTGAGCGGACCTTAACCTTACCCTTACTTTCTCCTGTCTACCAGAACGCGGCTTTCGAATTGGTTTCTGCATTCCTCGACTCTCCAACCCCTTTGGGATTCCTCGCCGAACTTCGTATTCCCAACCTCTGTTCCTCCAGACAACAGCATCCGTACTGTTTTGAGATCCTCCTTGTTTCTGGATCTCATTCGTACACTACCGTGCAACCCACAGTCTTCCATTTACTCCAAAACGACACAACCCACAATCTTGTGTCGGCGTCTCTCTCCGATCTACACGACACCAGAGCAGGTGTCACTCGATATCGCGAAACGGTCTGCGCTCGCAGATCCATCGCCATCACGATGGCTCAGGTACTGGCTCAGGAACCGGCTCAGCAGCCGTCTGTGGCATCTGTTCAAGCTGCGATGATGGTAAGCAAGCTCCTTCATAAACTGCTGTATCACGACGAGCCTGCACTTCTCCATATGTTCTGGCTCAGTCAAAGGCCTCAGTCCCTAGCTAATACTTGGTCCCATAGGAAGAGCTGGGATGTCATCGTCAAGATCAGTTGCCGATGGATGACCGGCCTAAGAATCACCCTCATGCGAATTCCGGGCGAGGAGCTGGCTTTCATGCTGCTCTAAACCAGATTGCGAGAACTGCTCCGGTGCAGAGCGCATGGAGAGGTTCGTCTGTCCGAGTCTGGCAAATTGTTCTAAAACATTGCTAACCTGCTCACTGCTCCTTAGCTGCGATCGAACAGGGTCAATTCCAAGATGACGATGCCCAGGTCGTTGAGGGACTTGACACTCTCGGCGGAGGTCGGCTTCATGATCGAAGGAACCAGTTCCAACTCTCAAGCCGGGTATCAAGCCGACTGGCAGCCCAGCACGCAACAATGGGACATTCGAACGCTAATGTACAGTCACGAAACGGCCGTCAGAGGGGCAATGGCCGGCAGCAGGCCCAGACTCGAGCCCAGCGTAGCTCGATGCCGAACCAGGGGCCCAGACGAAGACCACCAACACCTCTCATGACCCGTGGCATGGCGCATGATGGCGACGAACTGGTAGACATGAGCCCGGTCAACAACACTGTACGGGTTTCGATGTCCAGGGGTGCGGCAGCCAGCCCTAGGGTTTCACGTGCCGGCATTCGCCTCCAGCCCGCGAGCTCACTGGCAGGCAATGGTCTCTTGGAGAACCAACCGCCATCGGGGTCTACAACAGACCCGGCAGAGGAGCTATCCAACATCGTATTCCGTGCAGATATTCGAATTGTTAAGCATAGAGACTCGAGACCTTCTGGTACAGTCTTCTTGTGCGGCCAACAGCCAGACATCTCTTTCTGCTACATCTATCAAGGTGCCCAGCCGTACTTGAAGATAGCTGTCGTCGCCATTTTTGACTACTCGGCGAGCTCAAAGGAGCTCTCAATCTTCTACCGTTCAAGCGGCCTGCCGCAGTTGACCTGTCTTCTTGAGTTTGACTCTCAGCGAACTCTAAAGGAGTACGTTGACACTATGAAGTTGCTCCAAGAGCCTCCGGCATCCAAGACGATGGTCGAGCAGGGAAACTCCACCGCTGAGGCGATTATAGAGCCTAGAATTCCATCCAGTCAAAATCAACCAGCTGCACCTTCTGGAGAGATCTCAGCTGCTCCTCCTGAAGAGACCTCGACAGACCCAACACCAGAAACCTCGGGCCTTGACACCCTTCCTACTGACGCAGGCGAGCCCGTGTCAACTTCTATCGCCGCATCGGCTCCGGCAACGAACGAAGTGGTTGAGATGGAAGAGAGCGACCCCCTTGACGACGATCCTACCTTGCCCACAACTGGAGGCACTGCTAACACGGCCAATGTTGGCCGCGAGCCATCTCTTTCCCTCGCTTCCGGAGCCAGTCCTGTTGGCGGTGCAAGCTCTGAGGGACATGCGGCAGAGGCATTTGGAGGAGAAGCTATTCCTTCTAGACTCTCCATCGAAATCCCGGAGAGCTTCAATGGCGAGCGGCCAACCCTGGTCAACCTCGAAGACGACGATATGCCTCGTGTTGTCCTTCCACAGGCGCCCAGCTCTGCTTACACACAGGATCTAGAGTCTCTCAACGGATCTCTGGCATCATCTTTAGTCATTTCACCGGTCGATACTGCCAGTCCTGACACCGCCCCTGGCGAGATCTTGGAGCCTCAAAACCCCCATGTTTCGCCAGGCTATGACGTTTTGATGGCATTGAGAAAGAAGCTTCGGGAGAAGGTCAAGATCTTCTCGAGGCTCCTGATGAAGAAGGACAAGCACGTGCCGGAGGAGACGCTGGTGGAAATCGCCAAGACCACTGTCGCCGAGCAGTATATGATGTCAAACAACGAGGAATACGACAACCTCACTGACGAGGACAAGCAAGAGGCCATCGAGGTTATCGTCACCCTCATCGATAGCCTGCGACGAACGTATTCACGAGCCCAATTGTTTGATATACGCCCCGATGCGGTCTGCCCGCCAGACACCCTCTCCAGGATGCACCTAGTTCGTCGACCGCCGGTCCGCCCTCCTCCTATCTCTGTCGGCCCAGCCACATCCACGAGGGACCAGGATAACATAGAGTATGTCGATAGATCGGAGACTTCTAGGACCCCTGTCTCAGGTTGGGGCTCGAAGGGCTGGTCTAGTTCAGATGACACTCCGAGCACTGAACAACCTGCCGCCGAGGTCCCGAACAACCGCATGCCAACTGGAGAAGACCGTCTGTGTGACTCACGCTATGAGCTTCGATCCGTACCAACCGAGAGGAGCTCCTCGACGGAGCACGAAGTGGGTGAGCTTGTGGATGTATCGACCACCCCCGACGCCTCGGTCAACTCGCACCCTGGCGGCAGGGGACTTGGCCAGTCGCGATGGGCGGACCCGAATGTAGAGATCCGGCATGGGCATGCTTTCACGGGCGTTACTACATATATGGCAGGTTCTCTCCATGGAACTCCTCGGAGCCAGTAGTATTGACTTGTATTGCAGGACCAACTCGCCGCCGTCTTCTCGGGCCTGCGCGTCGACTGATCCCCCCAATGACCTATTGCGGCCCTCCCCAAGCGAGAGAACATGCTCTCTCTGGCCATTGGATTCTCTTGACTCGTGTCTCCTTGCGAGACTACAGCCATGAGTTTTCTGTAACCTTATTGTATTCTAGCATTCGCGGTCTCGATCACGGCCTCATCTCTTCTTTGGGCACCAACAAAAGTGCCACTACGATGAACGACATGCAGAGTATTTACACTCAATCCTACAGCGGGCAGAGTTTATGGCAGACCGAGGAGCGCCTATTGTTGGACTGATTTGTGAGGAGGGATGGGCTAGTCAAATATGTGACTCTGACCGTATTTGCCGGATGGGCCTGGATCTTGCAGAAAAGGAAGATTCGGGATTTGGGTTGATAGTCTGCTTGTTATCATGAGATTCCCTATGTACATTACTCTACCATAGCACATCAAATCATAATCATGAGTCTCTTGTACTCTCTGCGGTCTATCGTGAAGCTCCCATTAAGGTCTCGTTATTTTCGTGCCCGCTCCCCTGGAGCTCTGACAGCAACTTGCCCGCCACTACGGAGGAACAACTAGCTCCTTTACTCATGCACCCAGCTGCCGTCTTCGCGGCTGGTGATGACCTCGTCGACGGGGATCCTGTTCTGGAGGATCTCGTCCCCGTTGGGCAGGTCGTTCTCGTCGGCCCTCCGCAGCCCGTCCTCGAGCGTGGCCACGATGCCGGCCCGCACGTGCCTCGCCGCGAGGCGGGCGCGGGCGACATCCCGCCCGACCTCGACGAACCAGCGCTCGTCGGCGAGGGCGGCGGCGGCGCGCCAGGGCTCGCGGTCGAGGCACAGGTAGTTGCCCTCGAGGACGACGGCGCGGTGCCAGGGCTCGACGGCGATGTCGTCGGGCACGGGGTCCTTGACGGCGTGGTCGAAGGACGGGGCGCGGACCGTGGTAGCGGTGGTGGTGGTGGTGGTGGAGAGGGCCTGGATCAGGGAGAGGTAGGCTGCGCCGTCAAAGGTGAATTCCGCGCCGCGGCGGGCGTGGGCTGTCTCCGGGTCCGGCATGGCGGAGAGTTGGGCGCGGGTTAGGTCTATGGGATGGGATGGGAGGGTGGGGGTTAGATCTGGTCTGGTCTGGTCTGGTGGTGTGGATGGGGGGTGGAAGAAGGGGGAGATGCTGGATGAGATCAACGTACGGAAGCCGTCCATGGGGACGAAGGCCGCTATCGGGGTCGTGGCGTGGGCTGGGTGGGATGGGTCGAGGGTCGCGTGGCGGGCGTTGAGGGCGTCGACGACGGTTTTGGCGAGGGTGGTTTTGCCTTTTTGGTGTGGTGGAAAGAGGGCGAGGGAGTTAGTCTTCCTGTGCGTGCATGAGAAGAGAAGAACGAGCCAGGACTTACCGGAACCGGGGATGCCGCCTATTGCTATCACTGCGAAAGGGGTTTACGAGTGTTAGCTTCCATGGTTTGTGGCAGTTTCTGAGTAGTTCTCTGGGTGTAAGTGAGGTTGTATATCGACTTAAGGGGCAGAGTGTTGTTGGGAATTGGGACGCCGGGTCCCAGATGGAAGGCTTTGTCTATATCGGACATCACAAGAGCCCCATGGCCGTGAGAATTGCATATATACGGAAAACGGGGCCGTGTCAGTGAGCATGGGACTTCTCATGAGTTGAACATACTGTACCGGCGGTCCGGCGGGGTCTCGAGCAGCTTGTTCCACGCCTTGTCGACCAGCCTGGTCACTTGGCTCTCCATGACGAGTGAGGAGTGTGGGTGTGAGTGGCACTTCTTAAAAGGAATGGGGAATATCAAAAAGATAACGTCAATAGTGTATTGGTTTGAGAGAGAAGCTACGCAGATGATGTCTCTCAAGGCCGGGACCCGGGGCCGTTGGCGCATTGAGAACCCCACTCACCCACCCATCCCCACTGCCGCCTGCCCGCCGCAATCTCTGCCTACCTAGCCACCCCGGCGAGTGATGTCAAACTTTCAGATCTTCGATTCTCCTCCACGTGCGTGCGTACCAGCCCGGTTTTAGGAAGCGCTCGCCGACTGCCGGATATGGCCATCTCGTAGCCCCCGGAGCCTAGGAAGGAAATATCCAAGGCAGGAAAAAAAAAAAGCTTTCCCAAGATGGCCGGCAGCGAGTCCGGCCTCCTGGCCATCGGCATGATGTCCGACTCGGAGGACTCATCATCCTCCGAGAGCAAGACCACCACCACCACCACCACCGCCAACGAGACGCAGGGCTACCAGAGCCGGGCCGACAAGACGGCGCAGTCAGAGGCCGACTTTCAGGCCGTGAGGGCCGAGTACAACGTCAAGCTCGAAAACGGCGAGGTAAGAAGCTTGAACTCTGCTCCTCTACCAGCTGAAAATCGCTGACGAAGAACATGATTGCAGATATGGAAGACGGTCAAGCTACCCCTGGCCCAGACGCTGCACAAGCTGGAGGCGCAGGATGTCCTGCACGCCGTGGAGGAGCTGTACTTCTACCGGAGGTACGATGAAGCTGTGGCCTTCGTGAGGAAGGTACTCGGGGACCGCGGTGATGGGGTCGACATGGCGGGAGGGTTGGACGGTGAGAGTAGGGCTTTGCTGAGGACGTATGAGGGGAAATGTATCGATAAGATGGCTGGACAGGCGCAAAAGGCATGAGGGCTTCGCTCATTTGGACATGGCGTTTGGTCTTGCATTTCGATTAGTATCTGAGCTCTTGAAGAGTACATGTAGCTGTGCCTCTTTGGCCATCCAAGATTTACACATTACTGAGCATGACTTGGGTTGAGATGCATCATCAAGGTTCACATGCCGTGGGGATGGTCAAGTATTTGTTCAAGCCTTTGCTCTATTTTCATTCGTCTAAAGCTCTATGCTCTAAAAGTCGAGTCGCCGAGTCGACGATGTCTGATCTTGTGATGATGAGAGTGGTGACCAGGCTATTGCCTCCAGACGACCAGGAGCCCCCCTCCTCTCTTTAATTTTGAAAGTCGAATTGAGAAGGGCTCCAGTCTATGCATGGGTATTCATTCCGTTTGAACTCCATTTTTTGTATCCCGCCGTCCCCACGCGCCGAAAAGAGCAAGATTAAACAGTAAAATGTCAAAGTGTACTTTTGATGTGTTCGTGGCTGCCGTCATCGTCGTACACTTCCTGGACCAATGTGGTAAAAACAGGAACGCTGCGCAAGAAATGCTGCAAAGAGGAGAAAAGAAAAGAGGCTGTCGCGTGCGAGTTTTGAGTCATAGCTGCAGGGCTGTGGGTCGGGGGTCGACCAGCCTGCCAGAGGTCGTAATAATTCGCACGGTCGAAGATGAGGAAGAGAGTGAGGTAGAATGTCGGAGGCGTATTGTTGAGTTTGAGGAAGACAGGGAGGTGTGGATGCAGGCGGTTGTTTCAAGACGGCGCGTGAGCACTTCATTGCGCCATCTGGAGTTGACCACCGGCCTGCATGACACGGAGCTTCTCCCGCTCGCGCTCCTCGGCAAACACCCTCCTGCTCATCTCGAGGACGGCCTCGAAGCCCTCCTTGCCCTTGATGGCGTTGTCGTGGAAGCGGGTGACGAGGGTGTCCTCGATCGAGTTCTTGATGCGCTGCCAGCCGCCGCACAGGGCCGTGATCTTGGCGTCCTGCACGAACTGCGTCTGGTGGCCGTTCAGGGGCTTGTAGACGACCGTCTCCTGGACGTTGATGAGGTTGGACCAGGTGAGGTTCTGGCTGACCATGGTGACGGTCTTGTTGCTCGGGTCGACGTACGACGTCTCAAAGACCTGCGACTCGCCGGTGCAGCCGCCCATGATGGTCTTGAGCCACTCCGGGGCGCTCTGCTTGCAGGTGATGAGGCGCTCCGTCTTGAGGATGCCCGTGGCCGGGTCGACCGTCCGGGAGATGGTGTCTACGGCCGTGACGTGGTTGCACTTCTCGTTCCAGGGAGAGTACTTCCTCCAGTTGGCCGTCGAGACCTCCTCCCAGGAGTAGTTGAAGGTGACGGTGTTGGAGAAGACCTTCATTTTGGATGTATGTGTGTGTAGGAAGGCTTTGTTGAGATCGATCTAGGGGGGGAGAGAGAGGAAAGGATCGAAAAGGCAGAAAAGATGCGTTGGTTTATCTGTTCGCGGGTGCGGTTTGTCCGGGTAAGAAGTGACTTCCCGCGGGTAAGCGTGCTTCTATTCTGGGAGGCGTCGCGGCCTCTTTGTCTGTCGAATGCAAAGAATGGTATCGACAGACCAGTGTCTTTTTGTGTCTTTTTGACTGTGTGAGAGTGAATATTCCTAGGATCAAAAAAGGTCAAAGGAAAGAAAAGAGGGCGTAGATATTTACGGCCAAGCGAATCCCGAAGTCGGTCGGGGATCTGGAGGGTTTTGCGGAGCTCCTGAGGTTTTTATCATTTCACAAGCCAGCCAGCCAGCCAGCGAGCAAGAAAAAAAAAGATACCTGCTCTGACTGACACAGGCGAAATTTTTCCAAGGCACGCACGGCACGCCCAGACGCGAAATCTTATCGGAAAAAGAGTGGCAACAGTGCCGTCCCGGGCGTCTGATTGGCTGGACGGCGACACATCGGGTTTAGCGCGCATGGGAGAATGAAAAAACCTCGGGATGAGTGACAAACGTGACAAAGCCGGGGCAGCGGCGAAAGGCCATCGAGCCAATCACCTCCACCCGATTTCTCCCTATTTCCACCAAGTCCCCTGTAACCCCCTCCCCAAGACCAGCCCCCAAGAGCTCCAAGCGCCCCTAACGCCCCCTAAATCCATCCCGGACACCCGGCGAAGGCGACGCCAAAACAGCTCTCCGAACTTTGAGCGGCCCAGAACTCTGGAGAAGTGGACCCCGGTGATGTATGCCCGCCCGTGATGCCAGACGCTTCCAGACACTTGACTTGTGACTTGCTGATCTCAGCACTGTAACAGAGACCCTGATCGACATCAGCTCTTCCATCTTTTCGTCAATGACACACGCTTGGGCCGTCTCGATTGGCATGCAATAATGACACCGATGATGCAAAACTGTGTGAATTATCGATATGGACAAAATCAATCTACGAGTCGTCACAGCTTTGATCACCAGCAAGCTAGCTACGCAGGAGCACGTGCTCTATTGACATCACAGCTCAGGCATGTGGCGTGCACCTCATCCATGTTCCAGAGATGAGATCGTGTTTGAGCAAGAATCAAGCCACCGGCTTGATCAAGTCTAGTAGTCGTCTCCCCTGCTGATAACCTCCTTGACCGTCGGGCGGATCAGGATTGTCTGGTGCGCAGCGCTGTTAGTAACGTATCTCAGGATATTGCTCAGCATTGTTCTGGGACTCACATGTTCAAACTGAGCCGTGTACGAGCCCTTCTTGTCCACCAGCGGAGGATACGCCTCGACAATGCCAGAGTTTACCAGGTTGTTTAACTAAGATTGTGTCAGCAGTGAATTTCAAAAAAGACGGACCCGACTCCCGGGAGCTTACCCCGAGCAGATATTTATCTTGGCCTAGGCGGTCCAGGTACCGCCGGCAGAAAGGCAGTGTTCCAAAGTTCTTGTTGATGACGTTCAGAATGTTCTTGGCCGACGAAAGCCTCAGGTCTACTTTGGGTGCGTCCTTGATCTTGGCATAGTGCGATACTTCGCCCTCGTCCCGGACATAGCCGTTTCCGGTACTGCCAAAGGTCTCAATGGCAAAGATGTCTCCCTCCTCCATCTTGGTCTGGTCATTACTCTTGACGATGGGCACGCTCTTCTTGCCGTGGATGCTGTAGTGCTCGATCGTGTGCCCGTTGAGGTTCCGGATCGACTTGATCGGGAACGTCTCCCCGTTGAGCTCGATCTCGTAGCTCTCCATCGTCTCCTGGATGGCCTCGCCAATCTCGCCCAGGCGGGCGTCGATGCCAGCCTCCTTGACACCGGTGTTGGTGGCCGCCTTGACGGCATCCAAAAGGTTCTGGTACTTGGGGTTGAAAGCCATCGTGAAGGCGCTGTCGACAATGCGCCCGTTGACGTGGACTCCGATATCGACCTTCATGACGTCGTCCTGGGCCAGGACCATCTTGTTGCCCGCGTTCGGCGAATAATGCGCCGCGATGTGGTTGAGGTTCAGGCCGGTCGGGAAGCCCATGCCGGCGACTAGCGCATCGCCCTCAGACAGGCCGTCGTGGCCGACGAGCGCGCGCACGCTGTCCTCGATGCCGTTGGCGATCTCGGTGAGCGTCTGCCCGGGCTTGATGTTCTTCTGCGCCCACTGCCGCACCTGCCGGTGCGTCTCGGCGCCGTGGCGGTAGTCGACCAGGAACTGCGGGTTGAGGTTGTCGAGGTGGCGCTTCTCCTCGCTCGTCGTGCGGTACCGGTTCTCGTCGACGTACTCGACCTCCTCGCCCTTGGGGTAGCTGTCGTTGGGGAACAGCTGCGAGATGAGCACGCGCGGCGGGTCCGACTGCTGCGTGGCCGCGCCCGCCTTCTTCTTCTTCTTGGGCTTTCTCTTCTTCTTCTTCTTGGCGGCGCCCGTCCCGGCCGCCTCGGGGGCGTTGTTCTCGGCCTCGTCCTCCGAGTCGTCGTCTTCGTGGTCGGCTGCCGCGCCGCCGTTGGTCGCTCCGTTGGCGGCGGAGGCTGTGGCGGCCTTGCCGTTGGCAGCCTCTTCCTTTACTGTAGTGTGTGTAAGAAATGTGTTAGCAAACAAGGTGATATGACGAAATTGGTGTGCACGGTGGCGGGGTGAGGCTGGCCGGAATTCGTACCGGAGAGCTTGGCGAGCCCGTCCGTAGGAGCTTGAGCTGCCATTTTGAACCTGCAATGCACAGAGCAAGCACTTGTAGACCTGAGCTGTCACTAGAGGAAATCCGACGCGGCGGTGAGTTGTGGTCGCCGGAATCTATATAGGACACAGAGAAAGTTCACCACAGCCCGAAGGCTTATCGAACTTCTTTTTTTAGCACCCACCCCCACTACCGTCATTATCCGCCCACCAAATCCTTACTCGCCGGGCTCTGCTGTGACATTGGAAGGGCGCGCTAATTAGCTCCGAGGGGTTCGGGATTATGTGGCGTCTGGCCCTGCAAAACCACCTGCAGCACCAGGCCACACGCCACACACCAGAGTGCAGTCGAGTGCCACGGCCTGGACCCCTGTCCCATCCCGTATCGATTTCGTCACTCGACCGTTTGCCCCCAACGCCGAATATCGCAACGATCTTGATACGACCAAACGAGCTCTCAACTCTCCCTTCCTTTCCTTTCCGCACACCATCGCCAATGACCACCATATCTTGGTAACAACAAACTCGCGGGTTTAATTTCTCATACAAAAGGGCCTGGGACACAGCCAATTCCCACCCCCCCAGAGGAGGATGAGGGATGCCACTTCGCTACCCTCCCACGCACAAGGCCCTGTGCCCTCCGCCGCCGCCGCTCCTCTTCCTGCACCCGCATAGCAGCAGACCGCTCCAGAACCACCACCGCCCTCTCCTCCTCCGCCAATTCCACGCCTCCCGACCGCTTCGCAGCCATGAAGACGGCAAGAACCACTACGAGACGCTAGGCGTGCACCCAGAGGCCTCGCACGCCGAGATCAAAAAGTACGCAAGCTTTCCCGCCTCCCTCCCCCCCTTCCCTTGCTCCCTCTCCAATATTCCTCCCCTGGCTAACCATGCGCAACAACAACAACACCGCCAGATCCTTCTACACCCTCTCCAAAGCCCACCACCCAGACCACCACCCGCACGACCCCCACGCGCCCCGGCGCTTCATGCGCATCTCCGAGGCCTACTCGGTGCTAGGCCACGCCGACAAGAAGGCCGCCTACGACCGCGACGTCATGCGCCGCGGGCACCACCACCACGGACAAGGCCATCACGGACACCACGGGCCCCACCACAGGGGATCCTACCACAGCACCTCCGGACCCGCCGGCGCGAGGCCGGCCTCGGGCCTCAGCCGCCGGAGGGGCACCTTCACCGGCCCGCCGCCGAGCTTCTACCGCAGCGGCGGGTGGGGCAGCCAGGCCGCGAAGCGCCGCGCCACGCACGAGGACAGCACCGGCGGCGGCGGCGGCGCGGAAACGAGCAGCAGCAGCATGGGCGGCATGGGCCCCGGGCAGGACCCGTTCGGCCACCGGGAGGACGTGCCCCACTTCGACAAGGAGGCGCACGAGAGGACGCACCGCCGGGCCGACGAGAGGCGCGCGCGCAGGATGGCCGGCATGGACAGCGAGATCCAGCCCGAGGCCGGCATGGCGGGCAGCTTCCTCGCCATCTGCGGCGTCCTGCTGACCTCGGTGCTCGTGCCCTTTACCCTGCTGGGCGGGTGGCGGTCGACCAAGGCCGACGGGGACGACAAGAAGAGGTCTACTAAGAGATGAAGCCATACTGTACGACATACTGTACCAATCATAGATACCTACCTTACCTACCTTACACATGATCATGTAGAGACAGCAACCGGAACAGCATACGCATGCGCCTCTGAACCCAAGCTTGGAGATGGAATGAAGATATGATTCGTGATTATTTACGCGCGAGTACACTGAAGTGGATGCCACCCCCCAGCCGCAGAAATGCATCACCCCGTCTAATCTACAATCCTATGCTCCCTTCAACACTAATCGATACAGGCGGGCCACACTGGCAAGAGTTGCGGCGGTCCTCCTAAGACTCAAAGGTGAAGCTGGCACCGACCTTGTGGGTGGCCTGGTCGAGCTTCTGGGTGTCGAAGGAGGCGCCGATGCCCAGGGTGACGCCCTCGCGGAGGAGGACGTTGTAGGCAACGGCAGCGACACCGCGGTCGTTGATCTTGCCCTGTGCAGGGTGTCAGTACACACACACTGCGTCATATGCGCGCATCGAGTCGCGCAGAAACTGGGGGTTCGGAAACAAACCTTGACGAAGGAGACGGGGTCAAGGCGGTACTTGCTGGCGACCTCGAGGCCGACGGCGTTGCCGCTCTTGCTGTTCCAGGTGGCCTTGGCACCGGCCTCGACCTGGGTGTTGACCTTGTGGTAGTAGCTGGCGGCGAAGACGCTCAGGTTGTCGGTGGCGGCAACGGCGGCGGTGTAGGTGGGGGCCTGGTAGCCGACGGCGGCGCTGTAGCCAGTGACGGCAGCCTTGTTGACGTCGTAGCCGGCGCTGGCACCGGCGAGGAAGCCCTCGTGGCCGACGACGGCGTCGATGTTGGCGGTGGGGCCCTTCAGGAGGTCGAAGAAGGCGCGGCCGTGGAAGTTGGACTGCTTGAAGTGCAGGTTGAACTTGGCGCCGCGGGCCTGGGAGGCGGGCAGGAAGGAGAAGATACCCTCGGCCTTGAGGCCCTTGGCGAGGGAGTCGGCGAGCTCGACCTTGGACTCGAGCGCGTTGGCGGTGTTCCAAGTCTGGGTGAGGGTCAGGCCTGTGCGACGGTAAAACATTAGCACTGTTGCCAAGCCGGGTTGCAAGTCAATAACCGTCGACGGGGGCCAGCGACTGCTGGGACCCCCGATCCGAGACAGGGTCAATCTCGGAGGCCGGTACAGGTGGCTCCGGCCGCTACGGTTCGACTTGAGCTTGGGGCGTTTTTTTGGTGATGTACCGAGAGACTTGTCAGTGTATTTGCCCTCCATCTAGATATCGAGAGGTCTCTGGTCAGCTTTCGTGGTTCTCCTGCATGTCATGGCGCGCGTGCGCCAATGTAAGGGGGGGGGGGGGGGGGGTAATGTCGAAGCTCCGGCATAGGAGCTCCCGGGGGAGAAAATGACGTACAGCGCCAGTGGTAGCACCCTCATGGCTGTTCTTGCCGGTGACCTTGAAGGCGACATTGTTGGGGGTGTTGCTCTTGACCTCGAGGGTGCCGGCGGACAGGTGGTAGAAGTCCTTGTTGAGCAGCTATGGGATGGATTGTTAGTGCTATGCGCCGCAATTGAGAGATTTCTCCCGAGCTCCTCCCCCCCCAAAAGCGAGGGTTCGGCCCGGCAGCAAGAGCTAGCAGCTTACGTCGTTGGCCGACTTGGCGATATCAGCAAAGGCAGGGACAGACATGGTGATGGATGTGATGCGAAAGGAAGACGCGAAGAAGGGGTATGGAAGAGCGTTGGTTTGGGGAGAGGACTGGAGAATTGGGGATGGGAAAACGGGAGGTGTGTTTGAGAGACGGGGATGGGACGAGGTTCTAGTTGTGTTGAGGAACGGAGTGTCAGGTGGTGCTTCACGACTGGGGGGCAGAAATTTGTTTTGGAGAGCATTAATTGGAGGGATGGAGCTCGGCTCAGATCGGGACCTGGGCAACTGCGCTTGTTGCTTGGTGAATCAATGCCCAGGTGCTCCCTTTGGGTGGGCTCTCTGGGTGCTCTGGGCGCTCCAGGGCGGTAAATTTGCTGGGGGACAGTTCAATGCAGGGGATGCAGGGCGCTCCAGCGCTGCGAAACCGACCCGCAAAACCGCGGGTGTCCACGATGCCTCAGGCCATGCTGCATCCGACCTAGCGCGTTGCTCAAAGTGGTCCACGTGGAGGGGAAGATGGCCCCCTTTGGAAGACGCCAGTCGCTACCAAGCTCCAAGTGACGCGACCCAACAACCTCATTTCCCGAACCTCCCCCACTCGAGCTCTGCCGAATGGAGGTTCCGGCTTGCGAAGATCGTCGTTGTCACGGCCTTGTTTGGCAGGCTGGCAGCAAGGTTCGTAGAAGGTGGTGGTGCTACTATGGTCCCCAATTCCACACTTTGATATGAGTAGGCAACTTCAACTGCACAGTTCCTGGAAACCTCTGCCACACTTGGACACCAGTCTTAGCATTGCCTTCTTTCCAATATAAGCAGAGTCTATGGTAACACCCTCGACGCCTCCACTTCTCTCCCATGATGGTAACTTTTGCTGACACGAAAACCAGCTCCCTCTACGCGGCGGACTCGTACTTGGCTACGTGAGTAGCGATGGCTCTATTCATAACGTATTAGTCCAGCACAAGCACTAGCAAATGACCAATGGCAAAACTCACCTTCCACTGGGATCGGTCTGCTTGGACCACGTCGGCGTCCACCTCATGACGGTCGAGGCGCAGTAGGGAGGGAAGTGCTCGTCGAACATCATGCGGTACCAGTAACTGCGAAATATCAATTAGCGAGCAAGTTCTCGAGAGCAACCGTCCCATTTCTAGCCACTTACGCCTCCTTGCTGTCGGGAATGTCGCTGCCCCACTCGGGCTTGGGGTTCTTCATCATCTCGTCCGTGACGTGGAGCTCGGCGTTGTCCTTGAGCGCGTCGATCCAGCCGTAGCCGACACCGTCCGAGAACTGCTCCTTCTGGCGCCAGAGGATCTCGTCGGGCAGGTAGGGCTCGGCGCCGGGCTCGTCCGAGGTGTCGAAGGCCTTGCGCAGGATGTACTTCTCGATGCGGTCCTTGGTGATCATCTTCTCCTGAGGGTCGATGTTCATGCAGACCTCGAGGAACTGCAACTTTGTCAGTCATGTGTCATTGGCCCCAGCTTCCTAAGTCAAACCTACCTTCTTGTCCAGGAACGGCACACGGGCCTCGAGACCCCAGGCAGAGGTCGACTTGTTGGCGCGCAGGCAGTCAGCAAGGTGCAGGTTCTTGACCCGGCGAACCGTCTCCTCGTGGAAGGCCTTCTTGTCCGGGGCCGCGTGGAAGTACAGGTAGCCGCCAAAGATCTCGTCGCTACCCTCACCACTGAGAACCATCTTGATACCCATAGCCTTGATCTTGCGGGAGAGGAGGTACATGGGCGTCGAGGCGCGGATGGTCGTCACATCGTACGTCTCGAGGTGGTAGATGACATCGGAGAGCGCGTTGAGGCCGTCCTCGATGGTGAAGGTCATGACGTGGTGCTTGGTGCCGAGGAACTGGGCCACCTTGAGCGCCGCCTCGTTGTCGGGAGAGCCGGGCAGGCCGATGGAGAAGGAGTTGAGCTGGGGCAGGTAGGCCACCGTGGACAGGTGGTTCTCGTCATCGATACCCACCAAACCCTCGCCCCTGTCAGCGTTCTCGGTGTGAATGTTGTCGGCCTTGTCGCCCTGCTCGAGGGCGAGCTTGCGTTGCCTTATGCTCTCGCGCTGCGCGATCGACGCAACCAGACTGGAGTCGAGACCACCGGACAGCAGAACACCGTACGGAACCTCCGCCATGAGACGCTTCCGGACCGAGCGCTCCAGAGTCTCACGGATCAGCGAGAGGTCAAGAGGCGTGCTGGGAACGTTGGCGGGGTCCCACCAAGACGGCTCGAAGTAGCGCGTCGTCTGCTTGGTCAAGCTGTCGTAGATATGTCCGGGCGGGAACGACTCGATCTTGTCGCAGACCTGGTAGATGCACTTCAGCTCGGAGCCGAAGTAGGTCGTCTCGGGCTGGTCAGACTTCCATCCCTGGTACAGCGTGGTGACACCGATGGGATCGCGCGCGGCGATCGTGCGGTTGAGCTTCTTGTCGTAGAGGACGAAGGAGAACATGCCGTCGAGGTACTTGGGAGCGTCGAGGCCATATTGCATGTACTGCGAATGCGCAAGTACCGTCAGCAGCTGGTTGCACACGGGCGAGTGCCAAAGCAGGAGCTTACCAGAGGAATGATGACCTCGCAGTCGGAGGCAGTCTTGAAGTGGTAGGGCTCCTTCAGGCTCTTTCGGATCAGACGGTGGTTGTAGATCTCACCGTTGACGGCGAGGATGATACTCTCGTCGGCGTTGGTCAGGGGCTGAGCACCGCTCTCTGGTTCATGTAAGACTCCGTGCTGGTCGCAAAAGACGGGGAGCGAAACCTACCGACACCGACGATGCTGAGACGCTCATGGCACAGAACTGTACACACACCATCAGTATGACTCCTCCACGGTATTCGAGGTAGGCTGAAGGTTCGTACTCGTGTTGTTGCAGATGATGTTGCCGCCTGCGGAGATCTAAAGTCAGCAAAGGACTGCGATCAGCCTTTTCGAGGTGAGTCAGGACATACTCCAATCCGGGCCGCGGTGACGGATTCTGCACTCTCGAGGTCAATTGACTGCACGCAACTCTTCGCACGGGCTTGATACGTACTCCCTTGCAAGCTTCAGGGCCGTCGGCTTGAATTTTTGCACGTCGGGATGACTGTTTCCACGTTAATGTCTTCATCTTCCATATTTTATCTGCTCTCGTGGTGTTGCGCGCGGTCGCATTGGCGGGGCATCCAGTGATGCCCCTCATGTGAGTCAATCCACAAGGGGCAGGTACAAAAAAATAAAAAAATATATCCAGGGACCTTACCAGTGACAAGCGAAGATGCCACACATCTTGATTGGCGCGAACTTTGTGTAGTTGTCCTAAAAAGAGCAATTGACTGGTCGAGGATCTGGAGGCACAGGTTGGCAACCACTGGAGCAACAGCAGCACTGATATGCTCGAGAAGAAATACGCACAACACGGGCACCTTTGGGAGATATCTCGATATGGGTTGAAGGTGGGAGGAAATCAGAACAGAAGAAGGCGCGGGATGGGACTAAAAAGAGACAGAGAGATAACAAGCTTATTGGTCTAGGAGCCAACTGCGAACTACGGGAAGACCAGGTCCAGATAGTGCGGCAAGGAAATATTTAAGAGACCCAGAACTCTTGTCGAAAGAGTCACACACCACGGACCGGAGCCAGGTAATTTCGGGTGTAGTGAGTCCACCTGGCTCTCTCTGTCACTGTGGCCAGAGATCAGTTATAACACGGTCTCACTTCCAGTCTCTGTCGCCACCTTCTCGTACGCCTTCTCACGACAGCTCGCTGCTTGAGAGTCGGGCTGCCGGCTACTTACCTAGGTAGTGTGAGCGAGTGGGCATGGCATGGATGGATGGATCCGTCCATACGGAACGTGACGATTAGCTAGCATAAATCCATGCACGTACCTGAAAGCCCCTACGAGGATGACTCAAAGCTATTACTGAGCAACGGCGTGTGTACAAGTACAGTGGTGGCGGGCGGGATGGAGAATGTGTCACACTTTTTTTTCGCTCTGGAACGGCCGATGTCGGTATTGCGTCTCAAGAGTCCTCACTTTTTTTCCCCGCCGTGGAGCAGAACCAGAGACAAGCGCTATTGTATCAAAAATGGGGAACCAGCTGCGTTGCCCATGGTGTAGCATCATTAAGTATTTTCTAGGGCCCCGGTAGACATGAACAAGGGGCGGTGGCGCAGTTGGGAGCGCGTTAGACTGAAGTCATAACTTCAGCCCATTAAATCTAAAGGTCACCGGTTCGATCCCGGTTCACCCCATTGATTCATCTTTTTGCTTTTTGCTCACTTTACATGAAATCCCTTTTGCCTTAGAAAGAAAGATCCTGGAGTGAGTTTTGACATTGCATTGGTTTGCTTATACATAATGTCTCATATTGGTGAACAAGGGCATGTATGGGTAGTTCAGTAGAGTTGTTGTGTGACACCTCATATCAAACTTGCATGTGGCAGCCCAATAATGCTTTTGATCCTCGGGCCAAGTTTTATCGACTACTGTTATCTTGATTCAATTGAAGAGACATGATGAACATAGGACTTGGCTCCGTATACTCTGCTCAAATGGCTGTGATCGTGTACAATAGTCGAGTCTCCCCGCGCCCTTCGGAAAGTCGCAACTCTCCTGAAGTAAACCCGGCCTTAGTTAGTTCTTCAGGACAACTCGAGCATACCGCGGACCTCCGTATAATCATCAACAAAATGTTGGCATTGTCTTGTAGTTGCTTACAGTTGTTGGGAAGTGTATTGAGGAATGTGTCGAGTGATGATTTCCTATAATCTTGGCTGCTCCTGCAAGGAAAGATAAAGACTGCCTCTGTGTCTTCAATACCAAGTAGCCAGGAAATGAAACTCAACTGATAGTCTAATCGCATTTTAACTGCCATTTTTAGTAGAGAAGAGCGGTGTAGATGGATAATACAAAGACGGCAATCCGCCTTAGTTTATCTTAACAATCCGCGGGCTCAACCCAGAGTGCAGCTGGGGATGACGGCGACCTTGAGCATGACGGCAGTGGGTACGGGAGCTTCCGGGTGGTATTCGTGCGCATAAGAACCACTGGTGATAATGAACAACCGAGAACATACCTTGAATATTGCTCAACAGGTGGTCATGAAGTGACTTGATCTTGGGCCTACACCGCAAAGTCGAACGATTTCTCCGGCTTTCTCGCTACACTTCAGTGCTCCATTGCCTATCAAATATGTATGGAGTGCTTGATGATCTCTTTCTTGGTCAATGACCAAGACGTTGCGCTGCCAAAGTTCAAGAACGGAGAGTGTCTAAGCTTCAATGGCTGATGTGTTTCATCAAGAATAACATCAAGGCAGGCTCGATATCGATAGTTCCTGTCTCGCCTGGTTCACAAATTTTATTTCTATATTTTTTTAAAAAATAATAATAATTGAACTGATGTTCATTGAGAAGTATTACAAGTTTGGTGGTCCTGGTTTTACTAAGGCAATTTCATGTTGTGATTATTTCCCCAGGATATAAAGAGCATAGCAACTTGATTCAATGGAAAATCAATTACACAGAGACGACCCCCATTATTACAAAACAGTCACGCCAAGTTGAAGTGGGAAAAAGATACAGAAAAACAGCAAAAAGAAGATGCAATGATCTATGGGGTGAACCGGGATCGAACCGGTGACCTTTAGATTTAATGGGCTGAAGTTATGACTTCAGTCTAACGCGCTCCCAACTGCGCCACCGCCCCACATGTTGAGTAACGACCATAATTCAGTTTATTCAGGATCTTCCCCCGATGTTGCGCAATAGGACATCAGATCAGGTACCCTGTTGCAGTGAGATATTTGAATGATTAACATGTGTACATATGTTCCCATGGTGCTTAACATGTTTACATGCCTGTTTGAATATTCACACCCTCAATGCTGCAAGAGACTACCCAGCTCTGTCTCTTTATCACTGGAGCTCTGCTGCTGGCCGGGTTACAATGGCAATTACAAGATAGTAGTAGGTGCATGCACGTCTTCGCGGACCAGAGGGTGTGCTTCTTTGGACATATACACCTCGCCTCTCGCAAAGTCACAATGGGAAAATTCCGTAATAGTTTCTTGGCGTGATTCAATGGCTCACCCACACTGTGGTGCTCCGGAGTAAATCCTTCTCTACAAGCCCAGCCAGGATGGTCTGGGTGCGTGGTTGACACCCAAGCCATTCATTGACTACTTAACCTTATGTCGGTGAGTGTCACGGAAAAAGTGTCGAGAGCATCGTGAATCGGAGAAGACTCGATGTTCCCAGGTCTACATAAGCTAGCATCCTTTCATTTCCCGGAGAGGCCCGGAATAAAAGATGCCAATTCATCACAGTTCTACTAGAATAGAGGAGTAGTTCTCACCTGCTTTTGAACTCCTCTTCGGCCATCACAGACAGCTAGTCTGATAATCATGCGACGTCCATGTCGATGTGTTAAAAGTTCCATTCAGATGCTAATGAGCAAGCTCTGCCCCCTCCTTTCGAGAGGAAGTCTGGGCCTGCAATGCAATTCCTCAAAAGCTAGTCCGCTTTTCCCCAAGCTCCTGTAACCCGTCTGTGGTATCCCCCGAACTCCGTGAACAAAAAAGAGAAGAAAACAAAACCCAAGTCAGATATAGGTACGGTCTCTTTTTCCACCAAATGGGATCATGAACCGTGACTCCAGCGCTACTGCAATGTTCCGGGATCGTATTCTGCGTCACCCCTTCTCTTGTTGGGTCATATCAAGGCGCCGGGTTCTCACGCACTACCCTACGGATACGCTTCTCGTACTCGGCCTTGTCCTTCTTGAACAGGTTGTAGGCTTCAGCCTGCGCCGGCGACTCGGGATTCGGGTCGTTGAGCAGGTCCTGCACGCCGAGGAGAATCTGCTTGATGGTGATTGCGGGCTTCCACGCCTCGTCCTCGTTCAGGATGGACAGGCAGACCGTTCCGGATGGGTAGACGTTGGGGTGGAACAGAGGCGGGACGAATTTGCCTGGAGGCAGAAAACTCGGTCAGTATGCTGAAATTGACGGCCGGTCGGGGGATGCTTCTTTCTTACACTTTGGAGGCTTCGTCGGATACTCTTTATGTAGATGCATTGTCAGTACGAGGTTTCGGTCGTCTCAGAATGCAGTAAAGTCTCGACGTACCATCAGGGAAGACCATCGTCAACTTGAACAAGCCACCCTCCCAGATCGTCTTCTCCTTGCCGGGGATGCCACACTCCCATGACTTGAGGTCCAGGATGCCCTGGGCATTTCGTTGGGGCTTCGCGTAGAAGCCGAAAGGGTGATCTCGACGCCACTGCTTGCTGTTGCGACATCATCAGGGTTAGTCTCGTGCCTTCTGCGCCCAGCTGCCTGGACGTGTGGGCAGGACGTACCGCTCCTCCTGCAAGCGGTTCTGACACAGAGCCATGATGACGATCGCGGGTTCACTTCAGACGCTGGGTGAGGTGAGGATAGTCTGTCGAGGTGGTTTGCGCAAAGGTTGTGCGTCAAGAGTTGGATCGGGCGAGGCTGAACTGTAGGCGATCGCAAAAGAATCTCCGAAGAATGTCGTCCGGGAAAAGTGGGGAGGTGCTGGTTGCGGTCTCGCAGGCAGGCAGGCACACTTCAGGTTGGGGATGCCGTCTGGGCCAAGAGAAAATTTGCGAAATTTAGAAAGAGTGTTTTTGTTTCGCTTTTTGACTGCAGATTTTAAAACTTTGATGGAGAAGTCACTTCCCAGCGAAAAAGAAAGCCAAGCAAAAAGTCTACGTTTGACCCAAAGCAGACAATACCTAGGTAGTCATTCTTTGAGTCTTAAGAAGATGGATGATACTCAAAGAATCACCATGCCTGCGAAAGCATGTTTGCGGGGAGTTACAGGGGGCTAATTTTTTTGGCCCACAGGGGCTGGCACAGTGGACGGGTACTCATTGACGGGGCAAGCCAGCATTGACACAAGCCAGGCAAGCTGGAAGTCGAGCTCGGCAAGATTCGCCCAACAAGCCAGACACTGCTCCAAGTTCCTCGGCTTTCTCCGCAACCCCACGCAATCAAGCACCTATCCACTGCCTCTTGATTGTCACCACCTACTGAGCAAGCATCGTGTTTAACAGGTACAAGCGGAAACGTACCGTGCATCGTCTTTCTCTGCTGGCCCCTTTGGATACCTAGTCCGTCATCCTTTTCTTGCTGGCGCGACGATTCGCTCAGCTGTATGACTTTGAGCTGCAAGCCCCCACCTCCACCCTTTGATTGATTCCACACTGTCACGGCTTGTATCTACACTCGGATATCACAAACTCATTACCAGTAGCCATACAAAGTCCCAGCCATGGAAGAGAAGGCTGGCGAGACCAGCAAACCCAAGCAGGATGAGCCGAAGGCTACTGCTCCAGCCGCACCCGCAGCCACACAGGCACCCGCAGCCCCGGCCAGCACCACGGCTGCCCCTGCAGAGGATGTGCCCGATCCGGACGAGGATGACCTAGACGATCTTGACGGTGAGCTTACTTGAGACCACCGGTCTGAAGACCTCAGGGCGCTTACACCGACGCAGATATGCTGGACGAGTTCTCCACCGTGAAGCTCGCGCCCAAGGAGCCGGAGCCAGCCCCCGCCTCTGGCCCCGGCAGGCCTGCTGCTGCTGCCGCCGTCGCTGCTGCTGCCCCGGCGGCACCTGCGACCGACGGTCCCGCAGACCCTGTGCTGGACCCGGAAGCCGCCCTCTCGGAGGAGGACTTTGCGCAACAGCTGCAAGCCGGCATGGCTGACCTGCTCGGCGAGATGGAGAACTCTGTAAGCCGAGCGAGCTCCCGAGAATGCGATGCGATGCTTGAACCAGCCCTGTTTCGCTAACGCTCAATCACAGCCCGAGGTGCAGGCTCAGTTTGAGAGCTTCTTTAGCCAGTTCAGCGCAGCCGGCGGCGATGGCCTGGGCGGAGGCGGCGCGGCGGCGGGCGCGTCTACGGCAGCGGGCGCGGCTTCGGGTGCTGCCGCCGGCGCGGAGGCTTCGTTCCAGGAGACCATCCGGAGGACGATGGAGCGCATGCAGAACTCGGGCGACCAGGCTACAGCGGCGGCCACGGCCGGCGGGTCCGACGACTTTATGGCGGAGCTCATGAAGCAGATGGGCGGCGGCCTGGAAGGCGGCGAGGGCGGCGAGGAGGACTTCTCCAAGATGCTGCTCGGCATGATGGAGCAGCTCACCAACAAGGAGATCCTGTACGAGCCGATGAAGGAGCTCCACGAGAAATTCCCGGACTGGATGGAGAAGAACAAGGACAAGACCCCCGAGGAGGACATGAAGCGCTACGAGGAGCAGCAGCTCTTGGTCAAGGAGATTGTGGCCAAGTTTGAGGAGCCGACGTACGCCGACTCGAATGCGGCCGACCGCGAGTACATTGTGGATAGGATGCAAAAGGTACGTCTGATATGTGCACGGCTCATCGTTGAGCCCTCTCGAATTGCATTTACTGCCATACCCAGGCTGACACTCGCAAACAGATGCAAGCTGCGGGATCGCCACCGTCTGATCTGGTGGGCGATATGCCCAGCGCCCAGGACGCATTTGGTGGACCAGATGAGTCTTGTAATCCACAATAGCCAGGTCGAATCCTGGCCTCAAAAGCACACAATCCCGCCCTGATTTCCTTCCAGAAAGACCAATATGCCATCCCGATGATGGGTCATGTAACGCCATTTTAATACAATACCCGATCCATAACTCCAGAACATCCATTTCGCTGGTGATCAAACAAATTCCTCACAAGATCCCGTGCTCTTTCCACCCGTAATCACGACATCTCAGTGTCACCAGAAGAATCTACCCTGAGCTCTTGACCCCGAGACAGCAGTTCCTCAAAGATCGCATCGTAGTCCTCGTCATCGGACAGCTGCGGTGACCTCGGCGGCGTCCTTTCATTCTGTGACTGGTCTTGCTCCATGGACGAGATCAAGGCTTCGAGCTCGGCTGCCTCCTCCTGGGCGATAGCATCAACCATCATCTCGTCCGAGCCACCGCGAGCTTCCTCCTGCGGCATCGGGTTCCCTGCTATCAACCACGCGGCGTCCTCAATCTCCGCCTCCGAGACAAAGCCGTCAATGTCGGTCTCCTTGCGCGTCTGGAAGTCCCGCTTGAGAGAGAACCACTCGAGTTTGAAGAGCTGAGAAGTCGCACACATGTCAGCAAAGTCATAATTCTCTGCGTCGAGTGTTTTGGACGAGAGACGAAAGTACAAACCTCTTGGTCGCCGCCCCGCCTCTCCCACCGCTGGTCCTCGGCGCGCTGCCGCACGTTCTTGAGGAACAGCTTGCGCCGGCTCTCCTGCGCCACCTCGCGCCTCTGCACGACGGGGTTGGGCCGCGCGGGCCGCGACGCGTACTTGAACTTGGGCTGGGCGGGGATGGGCGACGACTGGATGTCGCGCATGGAGCTGTGCGGCGGCGAGGCCGAGGAGGCGCGGATGGGCGACGAGGACAAGGGCGACGATATGGCGGGGCGGTAGAAGTATGACGACGGGCCCGTCGGGGAGGATGCTGCGTGTGCTGCTTGTGCGGGACCCTGGTGGGCGGTGTTGTTGCCGCCGGCGCCGGCGCCGAAGGTCATAGGCGTGCTGGGGAGGACGGCGAACATGGCGTGTGTCTGTATGTGCGAGGGTTGTGGCGGAGATGTCGGAGGGGGAACAGGGTGATGAGGATGATAATTCAGACCATTGGGGAAATATTGGAGACAGGAGTCGAGCCTATAAGACAAGGAGTGGCGGGTTGGTTCTGGAGTTGCGCGAGTTTGCGGGAATTCCTCTGGCCGTTATGGTGATGATTATTGATGATGGCGGGATGTTTAACTTTGCTGCGGACGCGGGTCGCGCCTACGCGTAAATGGGTACAATGTACCCTGGTCCGTGATCACGTGATATCATTTGCAGTGTGGGAGTCCGCTCAACCCCGAACTTACAGCACCGTTCTCCTTTCTTCATCAGCACCAACGAACGGTTTCATTCGCCTATACAAATGCGAAGATTTGATGCAGATTTTGCTCCGTGCCAAATTCGCCATCTAGAAGCAGTCTCATCCACGAACCGCGACTTTTCTGTCCCTTTTGCTAGGCCGATGCAGTGGTTAACCAGTCGTCAGTGCTGTTCCCGGCTCGTGGGCCTTGCTCGCCCACCACTCATTCAGGTGCATATGCCGAACCCGTCTACTTAGTCGGTGCCTCGCTTGCATGAAAGATACCAGTGTATCTGTAAGGATCGTTGTCGTTATGGACATTTTCTTCTCGGTGCCCAGCCAGCATCAGCATGATCTCGTTGCAATATCCCAACAAGACTCATCTGTGCATCTGTCGGGCATGAAAAGCGGACAGAGTTCTAGACTCTCTGTCGCAACCGATTGAGGACTCCTGCCAGCAATATTGGTGGCGAATTGCCCAAATGGCGGTCGCAAGGTCAGAGTTGCGCTCGTTATCCGGGCGCAGCTGAAAGGCTAGATAAACGCCACTGCAGCCAGAAGCACATGGGCTCTGCCAATCGCACATCGGCGCATAGCGACCTCAGGCTCGATGAAGATGTGACAAGTCCCGACTTGGAAAACGAGATTCCAGGCGTTGGGCCCTTGGCTCACTGGCAATCGCATGACAGCTCGTCTTCCACACCCAGCCAGGTTCTGATGCGGCTGAATGCTGTGATGATATTGACTTGATACAGCAATTCCGTCAAGGGAGACTTTTATATAAGAAGGCTCGATGAGAATGCACGGAGAAGCTGGCGTCTCTGCTGTGCTTGCACAGAGTAACATCCAGAGACCAGCGAGAATACACTTGTCCCACGATGATGACTCTCAGCGTAATTTCTGCCCTCCTCTTTTGCACCCTGGCGGCTGCCCTTCCGTCTGCGACTTTGTCTCTTGATGACCTCAACCCCCAGGGCCACCCCTTCCTCGGGTCGACGATTGCAAGCCAGCCCAACACGACCTCGGTCCTAGGCCTCTTCAGGCGCCAGGGATGTCCGGCCATGACACTGCTCTGTCCTAGCGGCGGGTGCTGCCCTTACGAGGGGTCGTGGTGCGGCAAAGTGTGTTGCAATAGCGGTTATGTCTGCTCGGGGGGTGCTTCGAGCTCGCCGTGCTGCGTGGCAATAGGAGACTTGTCAGCTACATGTGGTGGGAGCAGTGGTAATGTGAGTGAGCAAGGCAAGTATCCTGTTCAGGAGGGAAGAGGTGCTAACCTTTGATATCCCTCAGCCGTGCACCCGACCCGGTGATCTCCCGTGTAAAGGGGTTAACATCTGTTGCCCGCCGGCCAGTGCCTGCTACTATGACTCTGCCAACGTTCCCAGATGCTCTCCATTGTCCAGTTCTGGCTCTGGCTCGGGATCTGGCTCAGGGTCTGGATCAGGATCTAATTCAGGATCTGGGTCTGGGTCTGGGTCTGGGTCTGGGTCTGGGTCTGGGTCTGGGTCGGGCTCGGGCTCGGGCTCAGGTTCAAGCTCAGGATCCGGGTCCGGATCTAGTTCTGGAGGATCTGGCTCGAGCTCAAGTTCGGGTGGTTCCTCGGGCTCCTCATCCGGATCCTCTGGCAGCTCCAGCTCCAGCTCACACAAATCTTCGTCCGATAGCCACGGCCTGTCGGGGGCCGCCATCGGCGGTATTGTCGGCGGCGTCGTAGGCGGCCTCATCCTCCTCACAATCATCATCTGCTGGTGTCGCCGCTGCTGCACTGGTGGTGGATCGGGAGGCGGCGGCAGCTACTGGTACACCTCGGGCTCGCACAACCGCCGAGCCACGCCGCAGACGGACGAGCAGATCTACTGGCTGATCAAGGACCTCGAGACGACCTCCGCCTGGCAGGCCGCCTACATGCGCGAGGCCAGGCGCATCCCGCGGGGCGACAGCACGGACCCGGCGCCCTGGATGGCCGACTTTGCGCGCCGCGCCGTCTCGATCCGCGTCCAGCAGCTGCGCAGCGGCGGCGAGCGGCGCGTGTCGTGGGTCAAGTCGGGCTTCTTCGGCGCCATCCCCTTCGTCAGCTCCATCGTCGGCCTCTTCTACGACTCGACCAAGACCTTCCGACTCGTGGCCATCGGCGCCGTGGGCCTCGGCGACTCGGACCAGGCGGCCAGGCTCCGGGCGCAGGCCAAGGAGGTCACGAGGACGAGCTGGAAGGCCCGCGTCGAGAAGGGCGCCGAGTGGGTCGGCAAGAACGCCTTCGAGCACTGGTGGGACAACTCGGACTTTGCGGCCGCCGTGCAGGAGCACATGGTGCAGGCGCTGGCGGCCGAGTTTGGCGTCCAGTCGGCGCACGAGTTTGCCGGCTACGCGGTGCACCTCAAGCCCGGGCTCGGGCAGGCCATCTCGGCCGGCAGGGCCGTGTACACGTGCGACCAAAAGATGCTCAGGGCGCTCGAGTGGCTGCACCCTGTCGCGCTGCAGTTCCACCTCGAGACCTTTGTCGTCAATGCTTTGTCGGAGGTGTGGGGGGAGTAGACGGGTGCCTTTTGTCGAGTATATGAATGTACGCGCCCTTGTGTATCCGCGATCCGGGAGCTCTGTCCTTCCTCAATGCTTCATATGATTCTTGATATACTCGATTGTTCTCTTTGATAATCATAACAGGTGCCATAGAATCTAGCACCAAAGGACTTCACATTGTGGCATCTCTCATCCGTCGTGGTAGCCAAATTACTGATCCGCCCGTACCAACAACCATCGGGCATGCGGTCCAGGAGGGCTTGACGGCCCATTCTCACCGACTGCCATTCTGTCTTCCGAGAGTTTGAGCTTGAGCACGCACGCTCCCTCGCCGGAAGATAGAAAGCCAACATTGATATGCGGCTGGAAGTGAAAGCCATATGACCAATACTCCCCGAACTGACTTGCAATTCTAAAATCAAGAACCAGCTTGCACCCATGTGACACTCCCTACCAGCACTGACCACCTTTACTTAAATCATTAGAGAGCCAAAACAAAAATAGCAACAATGGCATCATCGGGAATCGAACGCAGCTAATTGCACCAGGATATACTCACTGAAATGCCGCAGTTTCTACTATCCGACCCCCTAACCGCTGTGGCATATTGCCACAAGCTGCTATTGTTTTGGGTAGTTTTGTTCTTTATTATAAGGCCTTTGGCAGATGCCTTTCAGAATCTTCCCCTGGTGACCCGACCACAGCTTGTTCAGACAGTACCATACCCGTCTTCTACAGAAGCTGATCTTCCACAACGCGGTACACTGGCAGCGTCTTGTCTAACCATAGCTCAATTCAAAGCACTTGCAAGATAAATTTCTGCAATTATGCAATTGAACTGCCCTGGAAGTCTCCTCTGATGTTAGTGTTCATCTTCTTTCTGCTGGCCTTCCCTCGATATATACTGGTCTTCTCTGACCAGTGTTCAGGTCCAACACCTGCCTTGCCCTTCGCTGACGTCGCTCTCCGATAATCGCATCACGTACTTCTGGCTGTGATTCACCTGACCGCTTCACATTGAGATATGACCACTGGATTGTGTCTCACCGAGCTTCACTCCTTGGATCGCTGGTGGGGGGGCCATTCAGCTCGACTGGACCAATCAATCAGAGCCATGGACATGACGGATTACTGTATTGGGCATGTGGAGAAGCTTTTGGCTTGCCACCAGCGCAACCTCGTGCAGGACTACGGGGGAACGGGTGCAAAGGCTCGAATCCGACGACGTGCAGCTCGTTGGGAAGAAGTACATGCATATCGTCACTGCGTAGGTGGTTGTGGCGAGTCCTGTCCGTGATACAGCACCAGCCAGCACGCCAAGGTCACCACGAAATCGAGGGTGTATGTACCCACCAAAAAGACAACACGTACGTCTAGTCCTGGAAGATGGCGAACTGCTGCCCGTATCCGTGCTTCTGCTTCTGTCGTCTCGACGCTGGGTGCCACCTCCGGAAGAACCATACGAAGGACAAGGAAATGAACTGTGGTGGAGTTGCCTTGCTTGGTGCCAAGCCGTTGCAGACACACTCGTAGGCAATATGATTGCGGTATTATCTCAGCGAGGTCTCTTGGTTCAGCCTCATTGATTCCACTTACCATACCAGCTGACAGTCACTATCTGGGAGACAGACAACTCAGGGATACTGCCTCGACTAGAATCGCGAAGAACATCTTACGGGACATCGCTCACAATCTCGAGATGAGATCTCTAAAGCCCACTGCCCCTGAGAATCTAGAGTCGGGTGCTTTCCATGCAGGGCTAATGGTCTAATGGTCATAACCTATTGTCTGCACGACAGCCTTGCAAGCCTCAAGTCACTCACATGAAGTCTTCCATCTAGTGGCGCGATGGCCGCCAACAAACAGCATTGGACAGAGGCTTTGGCCTGTCTGACATTGAATCACATATTTTACCTTGCTCTACCAAAATCTACATCCGGAAAACTCCAAACTTGGTCTCCCCAGGCTTGACCTCGTTGCGGCCCTCCATGGCGGCCCTCAGCCCGAGCGCCAGATACCTGCGCGTATGCTGCGGCGGGATCACGCCGTCGTCCTATCAACACATGGGTCAGTCAGCCGTTATGCCGTTCAGAAGATAAATAAACAGGCTAAAGAAAAAGAAGAAAAAAAAAACCACTCACCCATAACCTCGCGCTCGAGAACACGGCGCCGCTCTCCCGGTCGATGCGCTCCCGCAGCGCCGGGTCCGCCTTCTGCCCCACCGTCTCCATCACGGCCGCCAGCTGCTCGCCGCCCATGACGCCGACGCGCGCGTTGGGCCACATCCACAGGAAGCGCGGCGAGTACGCCCGGCCGCACATGCCGTAGTTGCCCGCGCCGAAGCTGCCGCCCACGACGACCGTGAGCTTGGGCACGTCGGCGCACGCCACGGCCGTGACGAGCTTGGCGCCGTTCTTGGCGATGCCCTCCCGCTCGGCGTCGCGCCCGACCATGAACCCGCTGATGTTCTGCAGGAAGACGAGCGGGACCCCGCGCTGCGCGCAGAGCTCGATGAAGTGCGCGCCCTTGACGGCCGCCGAGGAGAAGAGGATGCCGTTGTTGGCGACGATGCCGACCCGCTGGCCGCAGATGTGCGCGAAGCCCGTCACCAGCGTCGTGCCGTAGTCGCGCTTGAACTCGGCGAAGCGGGAGCCGTCGACGATGCGCGCGATGACCTCGTGGATGGGCAGCGGCTTGCGCAGGTTGGTCGACGCGATGCCGAGGAGCTCGTCCGGGGAGTAGAGCGGCTCGTCAAAGGCAGCAGGGGCGGCACCGGCGGGCGGGAGGGGGTTCCGGGGGTAGTTCAGGTTGCTGATGCTCCTCCGGGCGAGGGTGATGGCGTGCGCATCGTCGACGGCGAGGTAGTCCGTGACGCCGGAGACGGAGGAGTGCATCTGCCCGCCGCCGAGCTCCTCGGGGCTGACGACCTCGCCCGTGGCGGCCTTGACGAGCGGCGGGCCGGCGAGGAAGATGTGGCCCTGCTCCCCGACGATGATGCTCTCGTCGCTCATGGCGGGCACGTAGGCGCCCCCCGCCGTGCAGGGGCCCATGACGACGGCGATCTGCGGGATGCCCGCGGCCGACATGCGCGCCTGGTTGTAGAAGATGCGGCCGAAGTGGTCGCGGTCCGGGAAGACGTCGGCCTGGTGGGGCAGGTTGGCGCCCCCGGAGTCGACGAGGTAGATGCAGGGCAGCCGGTTCTCCTGGGCGACGGCCTGGGCGCGCAGGTGCTTCTTGACGGTGATGGGGTAGTAGGTGCCGCCCTTGACGGTGCTGTCGTTGGCCACGATGACGCACGTCACGCCCTCGACCACGCCCACGCCCGTGATGATCCCGCCCGCCGGCACGTCGGCCTCCGGGTACAGCTCGTGGCCCGCCAGCGGCGAGAGCTCCATGAAGGTCGTGCCCGGGTCGACGAGCGCCGTGACCCGGTCGCGCGGCAGCATCTTCTTGCGCGCCAGGTGCTTCTCGCGCGCCTTGGGCGGCCCGCCCTGCTGCACCCGCAGCGTGAGCTCCTCGAGCCGCGCCATGGCCTCGCCCATCAGCCTCTCGTTCTCCTTGTACTCGTCCGACGACGGGTCGACGTTGGTCGGCAGGCGCGAGATGGCCTCGGCCTGGTGCGGCGAGATGAAGGAGGCGATCGACCGTCTGCACAGGACCACGGGTGCTGTGGCAGCGCTGCCATTGTGCCTGCTCCTTGCGTTTGCCAGCAGCGACCTCGAGCTCGGTGCGCTGCTCAATTGCTTAGTGACGGGCAGCGCGGTCGCCAGCCGAGACGTCCTGAGAGAGCGCATGGTGTGCGGTGGAGAGGCCCGGGAACCTCCAGAGGACTAGAAGAAGAACAGCAATCGGAAGTAAAGAGAGAAACTATTCACATTTGTCCTTATTTTTTTTGGTTTTGCGCACAAAAACCCGGGGGACAATTGTACAGCGACGAGCAAGCGTCTGGGGTAGACGCGGAGGGATGGCGGCGTCTGACGTCGGTTTTGTCCCGGCGGTCTCGCCGACGGAAGCCGCCCAAAGCCGCGTCCCAAGCTGACAATCAGCTGTGCCGAGGAGCAGCGACGTCAACCGCTTCTTGCCATTGAACATCGTAGACAGTTTCACTCTCTGTCCCCTTGCACAATTTAAATCTTTTTAAAAAAAAAAGGTGATTCTCTGTGTCTGAAAGATTGCATTTCCCCTCGTTCGCCCGGTAGAAGACGCAGACACAATGGCAAGCCTAAGGACACTGCGACCACTCGGTCGCGCCGCCACCCGGCCATCCCCATCACCAAGGCTCTTCTCCCTCGCGCGGCCCAATCCCTGCGTCGCAGCAGCAGCAGCAGCAGCCTCCCGCCGCGCCGCCTCGACGCACCACAAAAAGCACCCCAAGGGCTTCACGGCGCCGACGCAGTCCGAGCTCGACGAGCTGCGCGCCACGGTGCAGGAGTTCGCCCGCCGCGAGATCCCGGAGGAGGTCGCCGCGCGCACCGACAGGGACAACGACTTCCCGGCCGACATGTGGGCCAAGCTCGGCGACGCGGGCCTCCTGGGCATCACGGCGGACGAGGACGTCGGGGGGCTGGGGCTGGGCTACCAGGCGCACTGCATCGTGCTCGAGGAGCTGTCGCGCGCCAGCGGCTCCATCGGCCTCAGCTACGCGGCCCACTCGCAGCTCTGCGTCAACCAGATCCAGCTCAACGGCAGCGACGCCCAGAAGCGCAAGTACCTGCCGGGGCTCGTCGCCGGCACCAAGGTCGGCGCGCTGGCCATGTCCGAGACGGGCGCCGGCAGCGACGTCGTGAGCATGCGCACCTCGGCCCGGGCCGTCGACGGCGGCTACCTGCTCAACGGCAGCAAGATGTGGATCACCAACGGGCCCGACGCCGACTACATCGTCGTGTACGCCAAGACGGAGCCCGAGGCCGGCTCCAGGGGCATCACGGCCTTCCTCGTCGAGAGCACCGCCGCCGGCTTCAGCTGCGCCCGCAAGCTCGACAAGATGGGCATGCGCGGCAGCAACACGGGCGAGCTCGTCTTCGAGGACGTCTTCGTGCCCGCCGACAACGTCCTGGGCAGGGTCAACGGCGGCGTGCGCGTGCTCATGGAGGGGCTCGACCTCGAGCGCCTGGTCCTGAGCGCGGGGCCCCTGGGCCTCATGCAGGCGGCGCTCGACGTCGCCCTGCCCTTCGCCCACGCGCGCAAGCAGTTCGGCACCCCCATCGCCCAGTTCCAGCTCGTGCAGGGCAAGCTGGCCGACATGTACACCAAGCTGCAGGCCGCGCGCTCCTACACCTACGCCACCGCCCGCGCCGTCGACGAGGACGGCCTCATCCGCACGCAGGACTGCGCCGGCGCCATCCTCTACGCCGGCGAGAGGGCGACCGAGTGCGCGCTCGACTGCATCCAGGTCCTGGGCGGCATGGGCTACACCGAGGAGATGCCGGCGAGCCGGATCCTGCGAGAGTAAGTCTTGACTGAACAGATACCTTGTGAAAAAGGGGTCATCATGATCAGGCTGTGCTAACAGAGGTGAATCTTTAGTGCAAAGCTGTACGAGATTGGAGCCGGTACCAGCGAGGTCCGGAGGATGGTCATTGGCAGGGCCTTCAACAAGGAGTACGCCCACTATTCGCAATAGAGCTTCGTCGTAGTACTGGTGATCTGGATTAGCATGTCATCCCGGCGTTTTGGGTATGGTTCAATGATAGCGCGGAAGTGCCGTATATATGTTGGGCAAAATACAACTTTGGTTATCCTCCCGTTGGTTCTTTTATACAAAGAACGGTCACATCATAACGCAGCTTCATTCACTACCGGGCTTTTCACACTCTGCCCAACCCCATTATCTCATGAAATTAGAGCCCCATTCATGATCTTTGCACCTTCACAACACAGTGTTCCGTCACGGGCCATTGCTTCCAAAAAGTAGTATTTCCCGAGCCAGCTATTATCTCAGAGATGCTGACAAGAAGCATAACCTCTTAAAGCAAATCGAGCAGTCCCCAACCCTTCCTCCGCCAACCGATCGTATGTGTCGGTCAGGTTGCGTGCAAGCGCTCTACCGCCAAAAACCGTCTTGTTGATTATGAGAATGTGAAGGTGATCCCCCATAGCGTTGGTTCTCTCGTTTTTCATCGACTAAAATGCCCCTGCTCATCAACAACTGCCAAAAGGTAGTATGTAGTTTTCTCTTTGATTATCGATCAGGCCCGGTAACCCGTCCTGGATGCATCCTGAACAGCCTTCCTGACGACGTTCTTCTCTGCCTCAAAACGCAGCAGGTCCAGTGCCATGTCGATATCAACCCACTCGGCCCTCAGCTTCTCGTGGTCTTCCTGGCCGTGGCTTCCAAACGGCTGGGTCGAGTCCGCAGCGGCAGCGAAAAAGAACACCGTCTTCTCGGTATCGGGGGTCGCCGCCTGCAGGTCCAGGTAGTGAACCGTAGCGATGAACTCATTATTGGGCAGAGTCGTCGTCAAACCCGGATCTATGGGGCCCTCATCAGCAGACGAGTCCGAGTCTTCTGTGGAGGATATCTCTGGCGTGTCCTTCATCTTTGAGGGCAGGGTTGATCTCGTGGCGACTTTCAAGGGCAGAGGGCGCGGTGTGACGCCCGTCTCCTCCCACGTCTCGCGCATGGCGGCATCTTCCAAGCCCTCGCCGATATTCTTGCGTCCCTTGGGCAGCTGGTAGATGTCGAGCTTCTTGTTGTAAATAATAATGACCTTTGCCGGCGATTGCTCGAAATCGAGGCAGACGGTGCCGCAGGAGATGGTGACCCGCTGAGAGGGCTGATACGTCATGCTCCTATCGATCCTCTCTAGATCCAGGGGAGGAGCGCCTCCAGGCAGACAAGTCGCCATGCTGTTTCTGTAACGACTGTGCAGCAGTGCAAAGGCTGGAGGGAAGCTAATAGTTCAGAAAGACCGCAGAGACGGATTTATTTTAGCCACGGTGTTTTATGACAAGAGAGAGAGGCGATGCTGAAGATGTAGACTTTGACCAGGCGTTGGCCGTGCCTGCCTTATATAGAGAAGGCTGACAGAAGTTCACAGGGCAGTCGTCACTTACAACGAATGCGAATGATGATGATGCTTCATCTTCCTTTGCGGCCCAGTTGGCGAGTCATGCCCCTGAGGTCGATGAATGAAACCAATCTCCTTCGCCTGGTCTGGCGACGCAAATGATTCAAGCTTTTGGCGTGACATGCCAGATTTGTGCACGTAGCAGCTTTGGGGGAGAAAAAATGAGATGACATTGATCCTACCAGAACCGGCCAACGTGAAGCCTATGAGACTGCGTGCGGTTCACATATCAAAAGTGTATGCACAATGGCTCACAGGTGTCCCAGCCCTGAGGTTACAGTGAAGCGTCACTGCCCCTCTGAACGGTTCCCCGGGCCGCTGACGGAAAGCTTCGAGTCGTGCGTGGATGTAATGCGGGCTGCATGATGGGTTGAACATGACCAACACCGGTGACTGGGGTGCGGGGATGCTAGAGGACAGCTCGAGCCCGCTCACGCCCGCTCAAGCCCGCAGAAGCAATGAAGAGAATACGCCCAGGACAGCAGGAGGGGATGGCAAGCTGAGACCATTCGCGGCAGTGGGTAGAGGAAAACCGGTCTTCGGTCTGTCATGGTGCGCTAGTGCAGGCTTAACCAGGCAATACTATTGCATATGGCCTCACCGGCTGGCAGGGGACAGTATCAACGTGGAACTGACCAACTGGGCAGGGAAAGGGGGGGAGCCACCTCGCACCGGAGATCATTGACGGGCGGAGGGCGGTGAGATCCATGACCGCTCCATCGTGAGCATCCCTGTCAGACATGCAGACAAACGGCGTAGGACGATTATCGGCAGCTTTTTTCGAATCCCACAACATCCACAGAGAGGCCGACTCTGGTATTTGAAAGCCGCTTTTTTGCTCCGCCAGCCGCTTCGTGGCACTAATCATCCCGTATATCCACCAGCTCTGCCGACAGACGGGCGAAGCCGTGCGCAGGGACCCTTCCGATTGCCGAGGATTCAGATACCCTGCATACTTGTGCAGGGCGAAGCGTCATTCTCAGCAGAGTATGATTGGCGATCCATTCGAAAACGGACTTGCCAATATTAGCTAGCAATCGAGCCTCCCATCCGGGTGAGGACGGCTGGGCTGAATCGGTGCTGACGAGCCAAGACACTCACTCGCCTTGTACCCGAAACTGGGTCGAGATAGGCAAGTGATGGTCAAAATAGTCGACGGAAGTTCATCAGGACCTACCTCAATGTCAATAATGCATAATCTTGCCCTGGTACTCGGAAGGGCTATCCCACTACCTGAAAACGATGGGCTTGATGGATAGCCAAGTACTTTTGTTAGCAGTCTAGCACCTAATCTGACCACCACTTGACAGGACACTCGCCAAACACACTTGGTAACATCAGCTCGGGAGTTGTTGTTGCTCGCACCAAAGACATGCTCCCTCAGCTGCTTTGAGACCCGGAGTACTGTTTCAGCCGCGCTGATTCACGTTGTACGTCGTCTAAGACGGGTGACGAGTATTCGAGAATACAAGAGAAGGTCGCGCAGAATGGGTTGGTGCATGTCGCCCGAGCGGTCGCGCCTGGGTCGCGGCAAACTCGCCAAGGCATTTCGGTCTGTTTCCATACTGGTCATGCAGACATGCTGGCAATCTTCGGCAGGTGAAGCAGCTGCACTGCTGCAACAGTATTCTCCACCGACGCCGAGGGCTTTCTCAGTGCTTGATCCAGACGTGCAACTAGGATTGGCACCGCTTCCTGTGGAGGCTGAACACCCAGATCAGAGAGGCATTGGCGTTGCGGTCCACGGGCCCATGTTGAATTCATGCTCAATATTGTAGGGGCGAAAGGGACAAGACAGAAGAAGCAGTGGCGTTGAGTAGATTCACTCAGGCTAAGTTTTGAGGTCAAACAAGGGGAAAATCCAGAAGAAAAGGGGCAAGCCCTTGATATTCGTAGTCCCACGCCGCTCCCTGCCGTTGCACCTGCATGAGGAGACATGGGTCATTGAATCCGGTGTGATGAATTGCATGAAAAATTTGAACCGCACCGGTGAGGGAGATTACACCACAAAGTAGCATTCGAGTCGAGGGAAAATGATAGTGGTCTGATCTGGGTTGAGGGAGGATTGGCGAGACAGCTTGCTCAATATTTGGGATCCATCATAAGGTAGTATGAGACCAAGGCAGGTGCGAAGGCATCAAGAACTTCCATGTCAGTGACCACCCAAAGCGGAAGTTCCAACCACCAACATCCCCCGCAATTGGCAAGCACAAAGACTTAGGTAATTACTGTCCCAGATACATCTAGATCACCCACGCCATGGTCTGATGAAGAGGAGCATTCTTCACCAGGATGCCCGTAACAAGACATCGTGCCCAGCCAACAACATTGACTCACATCAATGATCAGTGCTGAGAACTCCTTTTCGGGTCGTGCTGATTCTTTTTCCGGCGAAGACGGATAAACCAAACATCGCTAGTCCTCCTCCATCTCGCAAATCATGCAATGCGGGCATCATGAAAAGGCTGTTTAAAATCCCCAAGAACCCCATGCTCAATCCGGAGATCGAGCGGGGGCTCCAGCCAGCTCCGGGTTAAACATATCCGCTAAGAGCCCGCGCGGCGCGTCTCGGCGGTGGGCCGTCTGGACTCCCTCTCACAGCTTTCCCGGGCACTGGTCCTTCTCTAGCTCCCATCTTGTCCGGGTGCCCTGAGTGCCGCGGGGAAAGTTGTGCTCAGCCTCCCAAACTGGGTAGTCTAATGCTAGACATGGCGGCATGCCAGATTCCGGTGCACGAGGCGCGGGGGCGATCAGGTACGGGAAATCGATGGCCTTTTTAAGACTCCGGGGCTGCCGTGAACGGGAAGCCTTCGAGACCCCGCGTGTGTGTTATTGTTGTAATTTATTCTTGACACCCTGTATACGAAGGAGCTGGTACTCAAGCCGTACATAGCGTTTCAACCAAACTGACCTACACGATCCCATCAGACCAGTCTGCTCCGAGTCCGACTAGCTCACCATGTCGTACTCCGTAGCGGGCAAGTACGCCGTCATCACCGGTGCCGGCTCAGGTAATGCCCTCAAAAGCTACCTCACCATGTAAGAACACTTGCTCACAAAAGAACCTCCCTCCCACAAACAGGCATCAACTTCTGCTTCGCCAAGCTCCTCCTCGAGCGCGGCGCCGCGGGCGTCCTCATCGGCGACCTCGCCCTGCGCCCGCACGCGCAAGAGTTCGTCGCCGCGCACGCGGACAAGGTCTCCTTCCGCCGCACCGACGTGCGCTCCTGGCCCGACATCTCGGCGCTTATGGCCCAGGGCGCCGCGCAGTTCCCGCAGGTCGACATCGTCTGCGCGGGCGCGGGCATCTTCGAGCCCCCCTGGTCCTCCTTCTGGTCCCCGCCCCGGACGGCGACGAACCCGGACTCGCCCTCGGTCGACGCCGCCGGCGCCAACCCGGGCACCTACGCCGTCATCGACGTCAACCTCACCCACCCGATCCGCCTGACCCAGCTCGCCATGTCGCACTGGCTCGGCCGCGGGATCCCGGGCTGCATGGTCTACGCCGGGTCCACGGCGGGATACGTGACGAGCTTCGCGAGCCCCATGTACATCGCCGCCAAGTCGGGCCTGCACGGCTTCGTCCGCAGCATCGGCGGCATCAAGGAGGAGCTCAACATCCGGGTCGGCGCCATCGCCCCCGGCGGTGTCAGGGTAAGCTTCCCACCCCCCCTTCCTTTGCCCTCCCTTAATGGCCCCCTCCATGGCATTATCCGGTCCCCCTCCGTGAGCTGTGCGTTAGCTGTTGCGGATTGGGAGTTCCTCAAGCTAACCACTGACGGAACCGTGTCTAGACCCCCATGATGGTGGAGGAGAAGAAGCACATCTTCTCCGCCGCCGACATCGAAAACATGGTCACCCCGGAGGAGTGCGCCGAGGCCATGCTCGCGCTCTGCGAGAAGGACGAGTACGGCGACGGCACCATCCTCGAGGTGGTCGAGCCGGGCCAGACGCGCGTGGTGCCGCTGTACGGCAACGTGCCTCCCACCGGCAGGAGCATGGTGCTCGGCGGCTACCGCGAGTTCCAGGAGAATCTGTACAAGTCACTCAGGGAGAACGGGCTCAAGGTGTGAGACGCTGACTGGTCCACGTTGTTATATTCTAAAATGAACCAAAAAAAAAGAAAAAAGAAATGTTGAAATATAGCGTCCCTTGCCATTGGCCAGGTAGGGTTGGTGCATGAAAGTCATATAAATTTGTCCAGAAGTCATATCAGGTATCTCACCCTGTACAAATAGAAAAAGACATCGGGTGGCGCAGAAAAGCAAATGGTATACCAAAAAGAAAAAAAAACAAGGGAGACCCTCCTCGCCGAAACGCCGCGCCACAGCTCTTTCAGCTTCCTTCACATGGAGTAGGAGGGGAGGCCGGGGAGGAAGAAACACTCCTGGTCCATCCAGCCCCATGTCTCCAAGAAAATCATCGATACTAAACCATCATCATCCAACTAGTCCTCGATCCATGCCTCTTATTTTAATCAACCCAACAACCGTCCCCCTTCTGCTGACTGATCATTACATCATCGGCCTTTCTGTAAATGGCCCTCGTTCAACAACAGCTCCAACACGATCTGCGCACCGGGCACCTCGGGATGCGCCATGCAGATCTTGACAGTGCCCTTGGAGTCCTGCCCCACGCCCTCGGGCAAGTGGGCGGCCCCGCCGTTGGCCATGGAGGCAGTGGAGACGTTGGTCCCCGTCGGCCCCCTGAACCCGTAGTCCAGACACCTGACGTCGCGCCCGGCGATGATCTGCCTCAGGCGCCCGTTGTCGGCGTCGCGCACCTCGACGTAGTCCTCGTTGAAGAGCAGCAGGTACTGGCCAAACATGGTCGCGGCCCTGGCCTTCTTCTGCTTGCCCGAGTACTCCATGATCAGGGTCCGCGACACCTCGCCGTGCTTGTTGACGTAGACGGTGCAGTCCTCGTGGGCCAGCAGGAACTCCTGCTCGTTAAGCCGGAACATGCCCAACGGCTTCTGTTCGCGTAGCCGGGCTGCGATGCTAGCGGCAGCCGGCATGGTCAGGTCGCGTGGCACCGACATGGTCTGCTTCTTGTCCAGAGTCAACATCTCTATGCCCTTCGCCGTGGACACGGCGATATACGACTGGAACAGATTGATCGAGTAGCAGTCCACCGGCAGGTAGAATTCGTCATAGTCGCGGAAGGATTCGGTATTACCGGAGCCTCCCTTTCGACTTCCAAACAGCCTCGACTTCTTCTCGGTTGCTTTCTGGTAGACTGGTTCCAACACCTTGAACGTGTTGTGCAGTCCCTCTTTCCGCTTGTAAAACAGCAGCATCCTATCCTTCATCCTCGCAGTGGCAAAGAAGGAAACGTCCTTGGCCAGTCTCTGCGGCGCTTTCCGCGAGTTGTCATGCGCCGGGGCTGGGTAGTTGGAAACGGGCGCAACGACGTCCAATGGGTAAGAGATCAAAGACTTGTCTGCCAGGATCAAGCAAACAGAAAACTCTTCCAAAACCGCTATCTGGGTCACACGATTGATTTGGACCGACTGTAACATTGTTAGCATTTCCTGCACTGTTGAACACGTTGCCAGGCTGATCACTCACCCTTGTCCATCCTCGGGGGTCCGAAGCCTCCGAGATGTACACACCATAGTCGGTACCAATAGCGATAATGGACTTGCCAAAAGCAGTGAAAGCAGTAGCACAGTTGACGGAAGCTCGACAAACAGGTGCCGGGCCTCGCCCGGGACCGTAGACCTGCTCCATCTCTCGAATGGCCCTGTCCAGGGGAGTGCCCCGAATCGACACCGCAGGAGTCTTGCCAATCGCCGAGACTGAATCGTACGCAAAAGCGCTATCAGCCACAACACGGAGACGGAACGGTTCCGCATTTTGAGTGTATAGCGCTTTGGCGTGCCTGGTCTTCGCCTCGATGATCTTGTTGACCCAGTCCTGCCGGCTCTGGAGAGTCGCAGCATAGAGCGTGTAGATCTCGTGGCCCAAATGCTTGACCTTGAAAGGATACAGAATCTTGCCCTCCTCGTTCGAGGTCGTCGGGCCCAAGCGCGTAACCGAGGTCATCGACGAGCTCGTTGCAGTGGTTTCCAGGCCAGGGCGGTCGGTTCCATTAGAAGCAACCTTGTTCAGCTTTGTGTCTGAGGAGGCCGCAGTGGTTGTCCTTGCCAACGGTGCTGCTAGACCCTTTTGCTTGGAGACCGGATCGTCGTTCATGCTTTCAAGAATGAGCAGCGGCATTGGCATAGGCTGACTCGTTAGTAACAACGCAATAAAGAGGAATGTACAGACCGACATACCTCTTTCGACACATCGTACTTCTTCTCGTTCTTGCCATCCCTGGTGATAACCGTCTTCGCGAGGATAAAGAAGTGGTCGAAGAGCAACGCATGAGTATCGACCCACCGTACACCTTTAGACCCCATTCTCTGAAGATCTCCTTGCCAAAGCAGCTCTCGTCCGAGGTGATCCAGGTTCAGTGTCGATGCGAGACCGGGACGGAACACCAGCATTGTCTGCAATTCGACCAGCGATACTTGCCTCTGCATCTCGGCAACCAGCTTGTCGCATTCGAGAGTGACATTCTTGATCTCCTCAATAGCCTTGCCTAGGTTGACCTTTTCCTCGCTGTCCTGAATAGTGTTCTTCAAAACCGTATTCAGAAGAAGAGTGTACCGCTGAAGTCGCGTAATGGGGGCCTTCAGGAAAGTATCCCAGCCCAAGCGATCCGAACGTTTGTGATTTCGAACGTGATCAAGAAACTGACGGAACAAGACGTTCTTGTTGGCTTCGCGTCGAACATTATAAGACGCATAAGGGTACGCTTGTGAATATTTGATATAGGGTTCTCGCGCTTTTCGGATCCATTCGCGGAAGATGTCGCTGAAGCCGACGACCCACGGTCCCTGCTCGTTCTGACGATACTTGAGCTGAGCAAGTAGGTTATTCTTGTTCGTCTCGTGAACGGCTTCGGCCTGGCCAAAGACGGACTTGATGAAGGAATCGAGTTTGGTCGGCGGGATGATAGGGGGCTGCCAGGCGCGCAACTGGTTCCTGTAGAGGACAAGCAGAACGTCGAGCTGGTTGGTGTACTCCTCCTCGCTTGTGACTATTTCGTGCAGTACGTTCTGGCGCTCGATCTCCTTTTTGTGCTTTCCTTCGATAATCTCCTTGGTGATCTTGTAGTGCGTGACCCAGTCCTCCTTCTTGACTGACTCCTCTGACAAGAGATCGTCGAGGTTGGCCTTCTTCAAGGTCCTGGTACAGTGGTGAGAGTAACACCTGCCGTGCATCTCGTTCTCGTGGAGCCGCGGCGCGTAGCATCCCAATCCGGTCAATTGCCACAGCACGCCACTGATGGAGCCTTGGCCAAATTTCACCCACTCCTCCTCAGGGATCAGGATCCCAGCCGCAAACATCTCATCGGCAACCATGGTAGCCAGAGTTTCAGCGTCGGCGACATTCATAGTCGGAACCTTCTCTGTGAATAGCTTGACAAGGCCCTCCTCGATCGTCTTCCTCTTCAGGTCCGGCTCGCCCTCGGCCATCTCCCGGATCCAAGAAGCGATACCACTCAAGGCCCAGGGTTCCGCACATCGTCGGATGTCACCGGTACTGAGTTTCGACGGTACAAACTTTTTGCGTCGGCCGCTGGGCAATGTGATCATGTCAAATGCCATCGAGTTAGGGCTCGCGGCCGGCTCAAGTCCTTCATATGCACCGCCAGTCTGGACAGAGAGCTGCTGTGTCATTTGCTTCGACGCCTTCCTCCGCTCCTCGGCGGCGTCTGTCCGTGCTCTGCCTGGCAAGTGCACTTGGGGCGTGTTGCTGTGACTAGACAGAGAGACAGACCTCTCTACAGACTGTGACGATTGAGCTCCGTACCCCGCGTACCCAGAGTCGCCGCTCAGTGAATATCCATGCTGATATGGGCCCTTGTTGGCTGCCTGAACCGAGAGAAGCGAACTGCTATCCGAGCCCGGTGGTATCGCGGGAAGCGGCCTGTTCGTGAGGCCAGGATGGTAAAACATGTCTGGATAGTCATCTTTGTATGGCGATTCGCTGTCGCTGTGTTGGGAATGAACTGAGACACGCTCCTCGCCCTCATCGAAGCTCAAGCGGTGTATATTGGGCGCTTGGAGGCCACCGGTGCCGCCATAATCCATGTGATCGTCCTCTGGGTAGGGCGGCTCAGCTCCGTAAGAGCGCGAATGCGGCAAGGGCCGAACATCACGCTCGTCCTCGTAGACCTGACCCGAGGCAGCCGGTGAGCCAAACTCATTGGCATATGAGCCAACATCGTTTCCATAGGTAAGATTTCCAGCATAGCCTCCACTAAACAGGCCAAGGTCCATACCAACGAACTCTGTGTCGCTCAGCTGCTGTTCCTCTGCCTGCGGGGATAGCGTAGGAACGGTTGTCGTCGCAGACTGCGGGACGACCGTGTCTCCACTAAACCTGCGGTTTTCAAGATCTGCTTGCTGCATCTCGTAGACTCCAAATGCACCTTCCGGGTCGCTGTCGTCGGAGCGCCACTCGTAGGCCGAGCGTGCATTGTTCCTATTTACTGTTGATGCAGTTGATGAATAGCGATCAGCCCCCGTTCCGTCATCCATAGAATGTGCGGTTGAAGCACTCGAATCATAGTGCCTGAGGCGGTTGAGGTCATCGCCGGACACATTGCCGTTGATGGGTCGTGGCCGCTGTGGATTGGCTGCAACTCCCAGGTCTGCAACAATATCCTGGATCAAACTGTCTTGCGTTAGCCGTTCATCCGCTCCGGCCCTCCCACTGTAACCCCAGTCAGTCTCCTCGGGCACATTCTCCATCGGCCGGCTGGGAAGTGGTGCATTGGTCGGGTGTCTCTGGAGACCCGGCGAGGATGATGAGTGAGTAGGAGGGGATGGGACAGACGAGGCCGTGGAGCTCGAGCGGGATACCCGGTTGATGAAGGCGTTGGGATCAGCAGCCGAGTAATTTGGGCCTACTGGGATTTGGGAGTATGTCGGATAGGGAGCCTGTGAGGTTGCAGCAGCGTGTGCTGAGGCGGGTGCTGCCGATGCTGCCGATGAAGGGCTTGCACCATTCGCCGAGTATGTGTTGAAATAAGACCCGCCGGAAAAGGTCGTGGAATAGGATGAGTCGTAGGGTGTGGCGGGGAGGGTGCTCGGCGTGCCAGATTGCCCGCTCGAGAGGGATGGATCATAAGACGGCTGGGCTGATAAGGACGGCGCCTGCGTCTGGGATGGGCTGTAGACGGGATTTCCACCTTGACCGTAGGTGGTCGTGGTCTGGGGCACTGCCGGTGAGCTGTAGCTGTGCGCGTAGTTGTTGTAGCCAGCGTACGTCGCAGTCCGTTGCGGTGCGTTGGTATTCGCATAGGCGGCAGGGTTATAGGTCTGCGGCGTGTAGGCAACAGGCGACTGCTGTTGCTGGGTCGGATATGTTGGGCTGGTCGAAGACGCATACCGCGAGGCCGGGTGATATGGCAGAGAAGTCGACTGCGATCGAGCGAAGGCCTGTGGATTGTAGGAATGTGATGGAGTTGGGGGAGCCTGCCCTTGGTACTGGTGTTGATAGCCAGACATGGCACTCTGAGAGGAGCTGTAGGTTAATCGCGAGCTCGTGGCCGAGGTTGGCGAGGTCGGGCTCGTCAAGAAGAGCTCGTCCTCGCCTCGTGGTGGTGGTGGTGGCGGTGGAGGCGGGGGTTGCCGGCCCTGGTCGAAGAAGGCAGTGTCGTCGCCATCGTTGAAACTCGGTCGCCTCGCGGGGTATTGAGTCTGGTCATGTTGGCTTGCAACAGGGTACTGGACGGGCGGAACATGGCCGTAACGCCGCTGGTCGTCACCTCGAAACGACATGGCGCTGGTCGCGGGAGGTCAGGGTGACAAGGAGGGGTTGAGTTCAGATGGGCGAGGCTCAGGCGTGTAGCCTGCGACAAGACACCACCGATAAATATGAAGTACGCTTTCCCGTAGGACAAACCATGCGTCGCATTGACTAGAGCATATCCCAGTGCACAGTCACGGCTGCGCGAGCCAGACAATGGATAGAGGCCGGGAGGCGTCGTTGGGTTTGGTACGCGCGAGCTGCGGCGGTCGCAAGAGTCGATTAGATAAAAGTAGGTAGGTAGGCCGAGGGTGGCGGGCGCCCAAATCACGGCACAGTGGACGGTTTGCCTCGAGTGGATTGGGATAGATCCAGAAGCGCAGAGTCGTGGTTGTTGGCAATCGCGAGGCTCAGAGGGTGGCAGGATCAGCACTGCCGTTCGGTATGACCTCAGTCAGCTGTGAGTGCTGTGCTGGAGGCCTGACGGAACTGGTCGCCGAGGATTGGACTCGACTGTCCGCAGATCAGCTCTCGGGTAACTCGGCGCCGTTAACAATCAGCGGCAGGACGGCCGTGGTTGAGGGTAATGATCGAGTCTCGCTCGAGGGTTTTCCTGGAAATCGATGCCCGGAGGATTTTATCATTGCCGACCGCAACACGAGGGAGAACATCAATTTAGGAACAGCGACTGACCGTTGCGCAGTGTCCCCGATGAAGGTGAGGCAGATGCCAGTCTCGGCGTCCGCCTATGGGTAGGATGTGCGCCGCAAACGGGCCAATCACGGCTGGCCAGGTCCCTCTTGACAACCTGGGGCCCTCGTTTCTGGTGGGCTTTTGGACGAGCCAAACCCTCCAGGGCTGGGATAGAACTCAATGCTGCTTACTCCGTGCTTGCTCCCTGTCCATCCACAAAAGCTCGGCCTCGTATCGTCGTAAAATGTCGTTGAATTTTTCAATGAATGAGGAGATTGCTCTTTCGTCACTCCGATATGGAGGGCGTGGTAGATCTAGATAGCTACCTTATTCACTACAATTAACTTCCATCCCGGGGTGCGCTCTCAGCCAGGCTATACTGTAATGAAAGCAGCACAGTTTTACTTGGCTTCCATTCACAGTGAAACAGAACCACTCGGTTCCTCCATGCCAAGTTTCTCACCTCGCTTCTCGACTTCAACAGAGCCTGGAACTACATTAACCTTTCCTTTCATAATTTGGCAGTAGGTGACCAGCAGCAGTCTAGAGCTACCTATCTGGAGCACAGGCCTTGTTTGTCGGGCCCTGCTTCACATCAAGCGGGACCCTTGGGATGTTTCACTTGAAACAAGTTCACTCCTTCTCTTCCGAGGCACACATAATCTGAAACTCGGAGGGAATGATATACGGTACCGATACTCTTCCCAGCCTGGCAACTTGACTTGGCCACAAAACAAAGATCTCAGGACGCCATCAAAACACTTGGCACTTTGGTGCTTAACCTGACTACCTTTGAGGGTGTCTCTCGTCCGTCGCTTCCTGTACTCCGTACTCGTGTAGTAATGATTACCCTAATCGTCATAACTCTGTGATTGGGAGGATATCTAGGTAGCAAGGATGATACCAATGAATAACCTCGTTCGCAATCAATATAGAGATATCAGAACTACGGCCCAATTCTGGCCATCTAAAGCCTAATCGTCTAAGGCCCATAGGAACCAGTAAAGATCAAAGCAGGATCCGACGGACGCCGCTGGAATACATCAACCTGAGAGATGCAAGTTTATGTCCGTGATTCCTCAGCATTCTGACAGCAAGTACCGAGCTGGAATGGCGAGCCGCGAACAGTACATAGCGATTATCGGCGTGGGGTGGGGCCGGCCCAAGCTTAATGGGTGAACGAACACTGGAGCTTCGCCTCGGTCATTGGGCGGGGGAAAGCTCTGATGACGGAATTGGCGACATTTTGAAGCCCCTCCCGAACGAAATAGGTACCTCGCTCCATTACTAAGAAGGACCTCCAGTGGGGGGAACAGCTCCAGCGGTCGTCTCCCAGCGTTGCTAAGCAGCTGTAGCTCGAGGTACCTTGGTTTTTTTTGCGTCGAATTGACGTCTTCACGTTGCTCTGGCCTCTGGTGCTGGTGAGGGGTGGTCATGGAGACAAGCTCCTCGGATTTCCGATACATCCCCATTCCCCCTCCTCGCTGAGCTTGCCTTCAAAACCTCTCCCCAACCCACTTCATCCTCTGTCGTACAGTCCTCCTTTGCTTGAGCAAACATATCGTATCCTAAGAATCACTTACGCCAAAACAAACAAAACCCCAATCTAGCACACACATCAGTCAAAATGGTTAAAGCAGGTAAGAAAGCTCCACCCTTAGCTGTCTACCCCGCCGGTTCAGTGGTGTTTGTGTGCCCCGGGCTGGCAGATCAGATCTACTCCATCTCAAGAGGCACCTCTTTGAGCTGGATTGAGCACATTACATGGTCTGCAGCCTCCCACGCCGGCCTCATTTATCCACCTTGATGGCCAACCTCCTCGTGGCACCCTTGTCGGCCGCGAGGATTGGCGGGAGCGGATGAGGCTCCTCGTCCATGTCACTTTTACATGCCCCAGCTTCCCTTCTCGGTCACAGAGTTGCTGATGCGGCAGTGAACAGTCTGCGTCGTCCGTGGTGACTCCAAGGTCTCTGGTACCGTCGTCTTCGAGCAGGCCTCCGAGTCTGCTCCCACCACCATCACCTGGGACATCACTGGCCACGATGCCAACGCCAAGCGCGGCATGCACATCCACACCTTCGGTGATAACACCAACGGCTGCACCTCTGCCGGCCCTCACTGTACGTCAGACCTATCTAGCCTCCCCCAGAAGGTATTCTGGACATTCTGGAAGCATTCTAACACGGGCCTACCCGGCGCAAACAGTCAACCCCCATGGCAAGACCCACGGTGCCCCCAGCGATGCGAACCGCCACGTCGGTGACCTCGGCAACATCGAGACCGATGCCCAGGGCAACTCCAAGGGCTCGGTCCAGGACAGCTTTGTCAAGCTGATCGGCCCCGAGAGCGTCATCGGCCGCACCATTGTCGTCCACGCCGGCACCGACGACCTGGGCAAGGGTGGCAACGAGGAGAGTCTGAAGACTGGCAACGCCGGTCCCCGCCCTGCTTGCGGTGTCATTGGTATCTCCAACTAGAAATAGCACTTGGCGACTTGCCGTCCTGTCCTTTGCGGGTTCGTTCAGATAGTTGAATTTCTGCTTCGACAGACAGTCTCCGGCCAGCAGCACTCGTACGAGGTGATGCTGTGGCAATGAGGCAACCAGGTAGCAATTTGCGTGCTAATAAAAGTCCTACAAAGTGCTGAGAACATGTTGTGTATCTGCTTGCGCGTGGCTCATGACACAAATTGATGTTGGCTGGTGATTAACAAACTCGTTGACGAACATGCTCTTGAGATTTCCCAATTCCCTCGGGTGCTCACCAAGATCCCAGCTGTGAGAAAGGAGGCCCGCTCAACACCCCAACGGTAGTATCCTGAAGTACCTAGGTAGCAGTCTCGACCTGGCAATTTGGGAATGCAATGTTGTTTAGGTCTTCCATGTACATGCATCACGGCACTGAGTGCATACTGAGTGATAAACAGAGCGAATTGGCGCGGAATTGAGAAACTGCTTGAAACACATCACCATCGAAGAGTACTTTTCCCCCTCAAACCCCTCGCTTAAAGCTGGTTGGAGGATCTACCCCTGCTAAAAGGGTCCCCCTAATAAAAGGCGGCCAGACCATCATTGTGTTGTTATTTTCCCCACACTTACGTTTGAGGGCAAAATAGGTGAACAGCTGTCAAAAAGACCAGACGAGGCACACGACTTCAACTACAGCTCCGTCTCTTCTCCTTCCACGTTTTGATCATATTCAACCCTCCTCCAAACCCCTACTTACTCTTCCATTTTTTGCTCTTTGGCTTCTCCTCAGGTCTTAGTGGTAAGTCGATCTGTTAATCAAGCTTCAGGAAATGCTCGAGTCGTCGTGTTGCACCCCGATTTGGGAGCTCCCCCCTCGCCCCATCTCCACCCATCTTCATCTTCAGCGCCACCCTCACCGACGTCTTAAACAGCCAGGACGTTGTCCAATTTGGAGGAGTGCAAGTGCTTCTGGTGCCATCGCTACCTGAAAAAGCAAATATCACGTTTCTGTGCTTTTCCTTCCAAAAGCCAAGGGAGCAGACAATTTGTATCTGAGGCTCAAATTCCCACCCCAGGTCTCAAGGTGGTTTCATACATAGACTCACTTGACGACGCAACCGCCATATCCACGCCTGTCCATCACAATCGCCCCCCACAAACCCCTTTACTCACTTTTCACACAACATCTATTCTCAAATCTGAAGCATCGACTTTTTCTTCCTAGGCGAACGCTTGCTAATTGCCACGTCAGGCCATACTGAGACTGTTTCCTCGAGACAGCTTCTGGATTCTTGCTCCTTCGCTCTACGTTCAGTTACGGATCTCGCTTCTTCACCATGGCCAAGGCTTTCCAAGCAAACGTCAAGTCCGTCTTGAGCGGTGACACGCTGGTCCTGACAAGCACCAACAACCCGAATCTGGAGCGCATCTTTTCGCTTGCCTATGTCAGTGCCCCTCGCTTGAGCAAGGACGGCGACGAGCCCTTCGCCTTCCAGTCTCGCGAGTTCCTTCGAGCTCTTGCTGTTGGAAAGCTAGTCCAGTGTACTGTTCTCTACACTGTGCCCTCCTCGCAACGGGACTACGGTACTGTGCTCATCAAGGACGGACCTGTCATCCCGGATGCTCTCGTCAAGGCTGGCTGGGTCAAGGTCCGTGAAGATGCCGGGAGAAAGGAGGACAATGAGGAGCTCCTCCAGAAGCTTGACAACCTTCGTGACCTGGAGGGCCAGGCCAAGACCGAAGGCAAGGGTCTCTGGGCCGGCACAGGAGGCGTCGTCGAGGTCCAGAACGATCTGGGCGGTCCGGGATTCATGCAGGAGTGGAAGGGCAAGACCGTTGACGGAATCGTCGAGAGGGTGTTCAGCGGCGACCGTCTGCTTGTACGACTGCTTCTCTCTGACAAGAAGCACGCCCAAGTCATGACCCTCGTTGCTGGCATCCGCACTCCTGCTACCGAGAGGGTAAATCAGTCCACCGGCCAGACCCAGGCTGGAGAGGAATTCGGCAAGGAGGCCCAGAAGTACGTTGAGCAGCGGTTACTGCAGCGAGTCGTCAAGGTGCACATCCTTGGAACGAGCCCTCAAGGCCAGCTCATCGCAACCGTCCTTCACCCTCGGGGCAACATTGCGGAATTCCTCCTCCAGGATGGCCTGGCGCGCTGCAATGACTTCCACTCCACTATGGTGGGCGATAGGATGCCCTCCCTGCGTGCTGCGGAGAAGAAGGCCCAGGATGCCAAGCTGCGGCTGCACAGGCACCACGTCGCCAAGGCTGCGACCGAGAGCAATCTCGATATGACTGTCTCCAAGATTGTTGGAGCCGATGCTATTCTTGTCCGGAACAAGGCTGGTGTTGAGAAGCGGTAAGTTGCCCTTCAATTGACTTGGACAGAATTCATTATGACTGACTCGCCTGGCAGAGTTAATCTGAGCAGTGTCCGCGGCCCCAGAGCAGGCGAGCAAGCCGAGGCCCCCTTCAGGGACGAGGCCAAAGAATTCCTCCGCAAGAAGTTGATTGGCAAGCATGTGCGCGTCAACATCGACGGCTCAAAGCCTGCGAGTGACGATTTCGAAGCGCGTGACGTGGCGACCGTCACTCAGAACGGCAAGAATGTCGGCCTCATGCTGGTTCAGGAGGGTTACTGCTCTGTGATCCGCCATCGTAAGGATGATACCGACAGGGCCCCCAACTATGATGAGCTGCTCGCCGCACAAGAGACTGCCAAGGAAGAGAAGAAGGGCATGTGGTCCGGCAAGGCGCCCAAGATCAGGCAGTATGCCGATGTGTCCGAGTCTGTTCAGAAGGCCAAGATCCAGGCTTCGACGTTGCAGAGACAGAAGAAGGTCCCGGGCATTGTCGACTTCTGCAAGTCTGGATCCCGCTTCACCATTCTGATTCCTCGCGAGGGTGTCAAGCTCACTCTTGTTCTTGCCGGTATCCGTGCTCCCCGCGCGCCTGGCCGATCAGCACAGGACAAGGGTGAGCCCTTCGGCCAGGAGGCCCTGGATCTGGCCAACAGGAGATGTAACCAGCGAGACTGCGAGATCGATGTCCATGACGTCGACAAGGTCGGTGGCTTCATCGGCGAGCTGTTCATCAACCGCGAGAGCTTCGGCAAGATCCTCGTCGAAGAGGGTCTGGCATCAGTCCACCAGTACTCTGCAGAGAAGTCGGGCAATGCCGCCGAGCTGAACGCTGCCGAGAAGCGGGCAAAGGAGGGGAGAAAGGGCATGTGGCACGACTGGGATCCTTCTCAGGACCAGGTGGAGGAGGAAGAGGCTGCTCCGGCTCAGTCCGCATTCGAGGCGACTACTACCATCGAGAAGCGACCCGAGGACTACCGCGACATCGTCATCACTAACATTGATGCGACCGGCAAGCTGAAGATCCAGGAGGTGGGCAAGGGCACGGCGGCCCTCGAGACCATGATGACCGAGTTCAGCAAGTTCCACCTCGACCCCAAGAACAACGTGGCGATCAAGGACAACCCCAAGGCCGGCGACTTTGTCGCCTCGAGGTTCAGCGCCGACAAGCAGTGGTACCGCGCGCGCATCCGGTCCAACGACCGCGCCGCCAAGAAGGCCGAGGTCGTCTACATCGACTACGGCAACAGCGAGACGATGCCCTGGTCCCAGCTGCGCCCGCTCGAGTCGCAGTTCAGCACGCAGCGCCTCAAGCCGCAGGCCACCGACGCCGTGCTGTCGTTCGTGCAGCTGCCGACCTCGGACATGTACCTGCAGGACGCGGTCAGCTTCATCGCCGACCTAACCGAGGGCCGCAACCTCGTCGGCTGCTTCGACTTTGTCGACACCAAGGACAACGTGAGCTACATCACCATCTTCGACCCCAAGGCCTCGAGCGACGGCCCGGCGCGCGACGAGTCGGTCAACCGCGAGGTGCTGCGCGCAGGCCACGCCATGGTGCCGCGCAAGCTGCGCGCCTGGGAGCGCAGCAAGGTGTTTGAGTCGCACCTCGCGTCGCTGCGCGAGGCCGAGAAGGAGGCCAAGGAGGCGCGCAAGGGCATGTGGGAGTACGGCGACATCACCGAGGACTAGGTCTCTGTCGACGAGACGGCGTTTGTCGCTGTGCTTTGATTTGTGTGCAGTGGCACACACGGTCCGGATGGGATTGTTTGTCCTGCTACGGCCCCCCACCGCACGGTGCGACCGTTTTGGTCTTTGCGAACTCAGAGAACCAGATATGCGTGCGTTGTAGTTGTTGGACGGTGCTCCCCCCCCCCCCCCCCCTTTTCCCAATTCGACTTCCACACCTGCTCTGCCTCCTCCCGCCTCTTGGTTTCCCTAAGTAAAAATCTATATATATAGAAGACAGAAAGTATTGGTTACGTGACCACGGCCGGCAAAAGAAAATGCAAAGTTACCTTCCTGTTCGTTCTTCCATGTCTCTTGTTCAGATTTGCTGATGTGTATGTATGTGCTCTACACGCTTCTGTCCAATCTCCGCTGCTTGCGTGGGGAGGTTGACGACGATGACTGGATCCAAGACATGTGCTGCTCAATGGCGATATGTACCAAGGGAATCGTAGTTCCAAAACGCGCCAGATGAAGTGCACTGCGAACTCATACGTAGGAATGCTTCTTGGTTCTATCATTCACGTCACGTCTACAAGCGAGATCTAAGATCTAGCAAAACCGGCGACCCCCCTCTCTCTCAGCCCCTCATGACACCACGTAACAGACAAGAAATCAGTTGATCTAGACGCCAGATGCTTCTCTCCTTTTCTTTTTTTCCTTTTGAACATTTATTCAAGTACTGGCCCTCTCTCCAACACCCCCCCTTTTTATAGGAAGATGTCGAGGTTGATCTCCAGCGTGCTTACGGGGTATCTAACAGAGAGATCAAAGTCAGTCTTTTCCGCAATTTTCAAACAACAACAACAACAACAACAACAACAACAACAACAACAACAACAACAGGAAAGAGGTAATTCTGTCTTACTTCAGATCAAACTTCTCCAGGACGCTGGGGTGCAGGACGCCCAGCTCGCCTATCCGCCTCGTCTTGCCGCCGAGGCGGGCGTAGACGGCGGCGGCGCGGCCGGCGAAGAAGGTCGGCTCGTCGATCTCCTCGATGAAGTAGCCGTCGCTCTCGGACGGGTTCTCCCGGACCTCGTAGTCGGCGCCCTTGCCCGACAGGCCCTCCTCGTGCGTGAGGAAGGCGACGCGCAGCATGGCGAGCACGCGGTCGAGCAGGCCGTGCACGACCTCGAAGCCGCTCGTCTTGCCGTAGAAGGCGGCGGCGAAGCGGCGCTCGTTGCGGGCCTTGCGCTCGAGCGACTCGTCCTTGAGCACGACGTCGGCCGCCTCGAAGACCTTGAGCGGCAGGGCGACGCTCTTGTTCTCGCGGATGGTCTTGAGCAGGCCCGGGAGCAGGGACGTGCGCACGACCTGGTACTCGGCGGTCTTGGGGTTGGCCAGCTTGACGGCCGTGTTGCCGTCGTCCTCGCGGTTCAGCCAGCCAAAGTTCTCGTCGTGGGAGCAGAGGATCAGCGGGAGGACCTCGGTCCAGCCGCACATGGCGCTCTCGGTGCGGACGATGTCGCTCAGCTTGTTGATCATCAGGGGCTGGCCGATGGTGGCGGACCTGTGCGGCGATGAGCGGGGCAGGTTGTTGAAGCCGTAGGCGATCGCGACATCTTCCATCACATCGCACTGGTGCAGCACATCGGCTCGCGTGGGAGGGACCGCGACCTTGATAATGTTCTTGTCACCGCTGGGCTTGGCAGTGTAAGCCATCCTGTTCAGGCGCTTGCACAACTGCTCCGGAGACTCGTTGATGCCGCAGCATGCATTGATGTAGTCCACCTCGACGTCCAACGTCCTTACAGTCATGCTGGGGGTGACACGGGTACAGCCGTTGTGGTCGGAGATGATCTTGACGGGCTCGACGGTGAACTCGTCCTTGCAGTACTTGGAGAACATGGCCACCATGATGTTGCACACGATGTCGAGCTTGGTCTGGTCGGTAGCAGTGATCTCGATGAAGACGTTCTTGGTGTCGAGGGTGATCTTGGAGTGGTCGCCGTTGATGATGGGAGGGAGGGAGCACAGGGTCCTCTTGGAGTCGTAGATGACCGGGTATACTGGAGAGTCGCGGATGATGTGCAGGTAGCGGCCCAGATGCCTGTCCGTCTCGTAGAACTTCATGAGCTCCTCGCCGTTCATCTTCTTGGTCTGGTTCAGCGGGACGAAGCTGATGTCCCTGGGGGGGTGGGCCTCGTAAGTGAAGGGCCCCTCAATAGTGTCGAGATCGTGCGTGCCGATGGAGACGAGTGTCCTCTGCCTTGCCAGGTTCTGGTGCAGCTTGTCCTGCAGGCCGATGAAGGAGTCATAGGTGTCCTGGGTGAAGTGCAAGTTCCGCAGAATGGCGCCGGCGACATAGGGCCGGACCTCGGCGGTCTCCTTGTGGACTGTGATGGACTGCATCTTGTCCTCGGGGATGTCGAGCACACGGTAGTTGGGGATTCCCTGCCTGCCACGGAAGATGTTCAGGTGCAGGGCAATACCCTCGAAACAGAGCATGTCGTAGCGGTTGGCGGGGATCTCGATCTTGAGCTCCGGGCGCTGGTCCTTGGGCCGCGCCGGGTCGTCCTCAGTGTCGTCATCGAGCTCGATGCCGAAGTCGAAGCAGAGGTCTTGGAAGGTGTCGGCAGTGAACCTGTTATGTTCCAGGAGGGTCAGCGCCGAGGACCTCGTGGGAATATGTTGTAAGGACGAATGTGGGGGATGGCTGATCTTACTGCTCGCCCAGCTCCTTGAAGAGCTCATACTTGTCGACGGCAATGGTAGGCATGTTTGGTGCCTTGTGCAGAGAATGGCCCGGTGGCTAGAGGTTGTTCCAATTGCTCGCGTAGGTGGATTGCGTTGTAAGTCTCGTGGGCGCAATCGACACAGGCGGGCGCATGTGTGAGTCTGGACTTTTTTGAGTCACGGCAATAAAATTGGTGGTGATCCATGCGCAAGTATCTCTGGCGCTCATTAGGCGGGCGGTGTAGCGGGGGAGGGGCATCGAGGTACTTCCAACTTCCACCGCGAATTAAGGTAGACGCTGTTAGGGTCCGCCGACCTGCCTGCTGAACCCTCCAGCCTGCCATATCAACCTGGATGGTTTTCCATTGGATGGCCCATACCTCAAGTAAGCATCTTGCTCTCAACTCGAGAAGCAGCAAACAACCCAAGGCAAGATAAAGGCAGAGAGACCGTCTCATATCGCGGTACAGTTATCATGAGCCTTGTTGATTTACGATAGGACAGTCAACATATCTGGTGGGTTTGGCATACTGGGATCCTATTCGACGGGGCTCTCCTCGGCGAGACGTGGATTTCCAGTACACTGATCACCTTATCGACCTGGCTGCAAGTCAGGAAAGCATCTGATTTCCGAAAGCTGCATACCGTCGACTCAGCCAGCCATGCATCAAAGGGACCGGGACGGGCCTTTTGGATGTAGTACGTGACGCCGGTGCGGTGCTTTAAGAGCTCCGATCACGACACATGTGCTACGAAACGGGACGAGCGATTGGTGGCCCAGATTATGCGTCGCATACCCAAACCGCCAAGGACCGGGACGACCAGCAGGCGGCATCTGCTCTCCGGGCTGAGAAGTAAGTCAAGTAGACTTGGTCATTTGCTTTGCTCTTGAGTGTCACACTGCAGGATGAGCACGAATGTAAGGAAACGGCCCTAAAAGTCTCCCAGATCTGGCAAGCTTGCCTACCCTCCTACTACTGCTGCGTATTTTGCCAGTAGTCAAGCACTCTAATCTCTTTGATCTTTTTCAAGCCAGGTATACGTAGATATAAGGTTTTGGCTGCTCGAGATGCGCGTCGCGTGGGTTAGAGGCGAGACTGATTAGTTATTGATTAGCTATCAACCGCACTCGTGGCGACAGATGGGGTTTTGGAAACGAGATGTGCTCCTCCGCGGGGATGCTCAAGTCTCTCTTAGTCTGGAGGGAAAAGGCTCTTGGACGCATCGTGGGCTTGGGGAGTGGACAACGGGACGGGCTTAACAAGCGGCAGAAGTTGGTTGGTAAGGCTATTAGTAACGGAGGGGGGGAGGCGGCAACGGACAGGGCAGCCCGATACCGCTCCATCCAGCTGTGAGGTGAGTGGTAGGGAGAAAAAAAAACTGCGATAATTGATCGTGCATGATGCATCAACATCATCTGAGGTAAAACCGCCCCATGACGGAGGGGCGAAAATGGCATAGGTATGACGCTAAACAGCGTGGGTGACAGAGCCCCGCCAAACGCCAGCAGAGGATAATTATCCGCCAAGGTCGCTGTCCCAACGCCGCCAGTTTCAACATTAATAACCATAACCGTTTCTTTTCTCGCATCCATCCATCCTTCTTGATAATTGCCTCACAGACGCAATTGTCTTTTGCTGGAACACCTGAAAACTTGCTCTACCCATCTCCTCTCGATAACCACATACCGACTCAAGATGTCCAACTCTCTGGATCAGCTCAAGGCCGCTGGCACTGTAAGTCAATTACTCGAACCCCCCACCATGACGAATAACCCCTCTATCGCCCGCAATCTGCAACGGCGCTCGCCCCCGAAGCTTCGGAGCATCCGGGTTGCCGCACCCAATGCATTGATCCCGGACGCCTCGCCGGCGAGCACTCATGCATTGCCCTCTGGTCCTTGTCGCGACTGTCGCTGCTCATAATAGACCGTTCTTGCTAACACCAAGCTTCCCGTGCTTAGGTCGTCGTTTGCGACTCTGGTATGTCAAACAAGCCCTCTTCCCTCGCATCATCGAGAGCTCTGCTAACCCAACCCGAAAACAGGTGACTTTGCAAGTCAGTAATACCGCCTCTCCTCGAGAAAAGGACCTCCTATAGACGTGCAACTAACCCTTTGTTTCACAGCCATCGGCAAATACAAGCCCCAAGATGCCACCACCAACCCTTCCCTCATCCTGGCTGCCTCCAAGAAGGCCGAGTACGCCAAGCTGATCGACTCTGCTGTCGAGTACGCCAAGAAGCACGGCGGCTCTGTCGACGACCAGGTCGACGCTGCCCTCGACAGACTGCTGGTCGAGTTCGGCAAGGAGATTCTCAAGATCATCCCCGGCAAGGTCTCCACCGAGGTCGACGCCCGCTTCTCCTTTGACACCAAGGCCTCCGTCGACAAGGCCCTGCACATCATCAAGGTACGCACCGCTGGCTATGGGAAATTGCCAAATAGCCGTTTAATCTGGGTATGATTTGCTGACCTGGACGTCGTAAAACAGCTCTACGAGGAGCAGGGCATCTCCAAGGACCGCATCCTGATCAAGATCGCCTCCACCTGGGAGGGTATCAAGGCCGCCGAGATCCTGCAGCGCGACCACGGCATCAACTGCAACCTGACCCTCATGTTCTCCCTGCCCCAGGCCATCGCCGCCGCCGAGGCCAACGCCTTCCTCATCTCGCCCTTCGTCGGCCGCATCCTCGACTGGTACAAGGCCTCCACCAAGAAGGAGTACGCCAAGGAGGAGGACCCCGGTGTCGCCAGTGTCAAGGCCATCTTCAACTACTACAAGAAGTTCGGCTACAAGACCATCGTCATGGGTGCCTCTTTCCGCAACACCGGCGAGATCACCGAGCTCGCTGGCTGCGACTACCTGACCATCTCCGTATGTATCATCCGTTTTACTCTTCGACTGATCCTGTAAATGTCCATCCACACTAACCTGGACCCCCCTTTCTTCAGCCCAACCTGCTTGAGGAGCTCCTCAACTCCTCCGAGTCCGTCCCCAAGAAGCTCGATGCCAGCGCTGCCAGCAGCCTGAACATTGAGAAGAAGACCTACATCAACGACGAGGCCACTTTCCGCTTCGACTTCAACGAGGAGCAGATGGCCGTCGAGAAGCTCCGTGAGGGTATCAGCAAGTTCGCCGCCGATGCCATCACCCTCAAGGACATCATCAAGAAGAAGATTGCCGCTTAAATTGTCTCGACATGGTGAACCGGAACCAGGGTTTTCTCCCCAAGCGGGTCTGACGATCCGTGCGGTATAGACAAAAAATCAAACAAAAAGGAAGAGCCACTCTTCAATCAAGAGGAGTGGCTGGCCATATTTGAGATTGACGATATTCTCATCACTCGATCCTTTGGTGCACTGTTGTGGGGGAACGAATTGACTGCTTGCTTCCATGGGTAAGGGAGTTTACATATAGTCATTTAGAATACCTAACAAAATCAAAAATTAATATTTTCCCGCCCAAGTGTGTTCGTTATCATGTATGACACGGCATTTGTATGGATGGTCTCAGGAGCGTTATTTGACTTTGACTTTATTCTTGGGATGCCATATTCACGCTGGCACAGGGTATGTACAGTAGCAATCGGATGAAAGAGGATATCCTTCCTCTCGTGCTCGATGCAAGCCCGACGTCAAAAGCCATGCAGAAAAACGCCTTGCCCTCCAATATATATACGTCAGAAAACCCCCGTCTCGATTCAAAAATCACGGGTTTTTATTCTCGTCGGCGGCGAAGAGTAACGGGGGAAAATTAAACTCCCCGTATAATGCGTGTATGGTCTTCGTATGCGGTAATGCGTCATGGTTTCGCAGCTGGGTATCTTTGGCGCAATCATACCATCCATCCATGTCCTCTCCCTCGCTCTCTCTCTCTTTGGTTCCTTATTCTCTCCATGAATCCAGAAATGCCATATGCATGCCTTCAACAACCGAATGCTTCCTCTCTTAACAGGTTTCCGTTCCATTTGCCCATCATCACTCGGCCGCCTTGTCGCACTTGACCTGCACGACCTTGTGCGTCACGGCTCCGCCGTCTCCGCCGGCGGCCTCGATCACCAGCGCCGACAGCTGGTTGCCGCGGGAGCAGCCCGAGTCGAGGCCAAAGGTGTACGGCAGGGCTTTCTCGTCGACGGCGAGCCCGCGCCTGGCGTCGTGGCCGTAGACGACGGTGGTGCGCTCGGCGGGCGGCAGGGACAGCTGGTGCCGGTTCCACGCCTCGTGCCAGGGCTCGCCCGAGTGCCCGTCCACGGGCAGCGCGACCTCTTGGACGCTGCTGTTGCCGCCCTGCTGTTGTTGGCTCGCCGCCGCCGCCGCCTTGAGGCGCCGCAGCTCGGCCTCGACCTGCTTGTCCGTGACCCTGGCCGTGAGGGCCGAGATGCCGTGCGCGCGCTGCTTGGCCTTCTTCTCGAGCTCCTCGCGGATCTGCTGGCGGCGCTCGTCGTCGCCCGGGTACACGAGCGAGCGCATGTTCATGGCGGCCCAGGGGTCCTGGGCCTCCGGGTCGATGCCGGGCACGAGCCCCGCGTGCACGACGAGCACGCGGTTCAGGGCGCTGCCGGGGACCCGGCCGACGCGCAGGACGACGGGCAGCGAGGCGAGCCACTGCACCTGCTGCGGCGAGAGGCTGGCGGCCGTCTCGCGGTCGGCGGCGTCGCCGTGCGAGAAGGGGTTCTCCTCCATGCGGTCCGGGCCGCCGGCGCGGGCGCGGGCGTCGCTGTCCTTGACCTGCTGCCAGCGCTCGCCCTGGGCCTCGGCCTTGGCGGCCTTCTCCTCCCAGGCGGCCTGGTCCTGGGCGCGCCTCCTGGCGTCGTCGCCGCCGCCGCCGAAGAGTGACGACAAGAGGCCGCGCTTCTCCTTGGACACCGGCGCAGCAGCGGCGGCGTCGGGGTCGGCGCCCTCGGTGCCGGGGACGAGCTGGGCGTCGAGGGCGGCGCGGGCGAGCAGCACGCGGTCCTCGTGGTTGCCGCGCACGGCCGAGGCGCCGAGCTCCATGGCCAGGGCCACGACGCCGGGCGTGTCGGGCCCCTTGCTGACCATGTCGCCCGCCAGGACGAGGTGGTCGCCGCGGCGCCGGTCGAAGCCCACCTTGGCGAGCAGGGCGTCGAGGGCCGGGCGCATGCCGTGGACGTCGCCGACGATGACGAGGCGCCTGGGCGCGCCGCCGCCCAGGCCCGGGACGTGCTCGGCCGGCAGGTCGGCGACGAGGTTGTCGAGGCCCTTGAAGGGCGGGCGGGCGGCGGTGCCGTAGGACATGGGCGTCAGGGGCCGCTGGAGGGCCAGGGCGGCGGCCGACGAGTCGTCCAGTTTGATGATACCACTACCACCACCGCCGTCACCACTGCTGCTGCTGCTCCCGTCGGCTGTTGGGAAGATGGCGGGCCGCAGGCCCTGCGTCGGCATGGGGATGTCGCCGCCGTTGGTGTAGAAGACGTAGACGACGATGAAGGATATGGAGCTGAAGAGGAGCAGTGTGATGCGCCGCCGGCGGTGGCGCGGGTAGAGGTATGTGAGGATGCGCATCGTGCCGTTTCTCCCCCCCCGCGCGCGTCTCGCGGGAGCTATGTGGTGTGTGTGTGTATTAGTTGCCCAAACCTGCTAGCGCTGTTCTACTAGGCAGCTAGCGAAAAGGTAAAGTAAGGTAGGTAAAAAGGGTCGAATGAATGGGTTTTGATATCCTGGCTTTGTGACTGCATCTGATCTTCATAAGAACACAATCACTATAGGGGCGAGAGAGGCCCTCTCTGCTGCAAAACCTGGGAAGGCAAACTCGAACCACAATAAAGGGGAAGAAAGGGACGGGTTGCTGAGCCTCAGGTGAAGAAGCCATGGCTGGCCGCGAGAAGGAGCTAGGTAGGTAGGTAATGTAGGCAATGTAGGTACCTGCACACAGTCCTGCTGTTTGAAGGGGAGCAAACCATCAATGCCAAGAGATGTTGATGTTGCCAAGACATTTTACGACGCCATGGGTGGGAGTCGGGGGTGCTTTTGTCGGGTCCCAAGACTCGCTCTCCCAGGCTCGTCACATTTGCTGGATCATGGATCACGGACAGGCAAAGACAGCAGGAGGAGAGCGAGCCAGAGGTGGACGCGGTGGGCTGGGTGGGCTTGATTACAGTGGGGGTGGCTCCAGCATTGCAGAAGACAATGGTTCTTCTTCTTCTTCTCACCTTGCCTTGCACGGCATGGCTGAATGTGAAGACAGACTGATGAGACGATGTGCCTGGGCTGTGGCCGTGAGTGAGAGTTGATGTGGCAGGTGAGCACGCGAGTGAACCGAGAGAAGCAACCTTCTAAGGTTAGCCTGGAAGCCACCTGGACAAGCCAAACCCCCTGAACCCCTGCTGCTGCTTGTCAGCCTGTCGCCGAAGCAGTCCCACTGGACTAGCGGCCAGCCGCCGGGAGTTCGGCACCTCGTTAGCAGGTGCAGCGGACGAGGTGCGCTAGGCTGATACACGGCCCCCCATTCGAACCCCTTGAAGTCCTTCTCGAGGTGCCCAAGAGGACCCAAGACAACGACCAGTACGTGTCACCTCGGGCTGTCGACCTTGTGTAAATTCTCGGAGACGCCGTGAGTACCGGTAGATAGGAACACTAGTAGACCTAACTACAAGTAAAGTAGGCAGGTAGACACATGGACAAAGATATGGCAAGTATTCGCATCGTATTAATTGAGAGGCCATGTAGCTTCGCCATGTCGATCGCCTTCCATCAAGTGGACATGACAGTTGAGAAGACGTGGAAGCCTCAATACGTAAATTTGACGTCTCGTGTTTATGGATCCAAGACGATGCCGTGCACAATGAGAAAAACGGCTCGTCGCCTATTCAATGCTGACAACATCCAAGCAGGTAGCCAGCATACCTACCTCCGTACAAGTACATCATACGTTGCGGCACGGCGCATCCCACAATGAGCAATCCTTATCGAGATCGTCTGGTCTCTCCCTCCAACACCAACACCGTCTCCTGTCGCTTCGTTGCAGATGAGCAAAACGTGCCGTCTTTGCCGTGAGCCCTGGTTCTGTAGCACGCAGCTTCGGGGGTGAGGAGATTGTTGCTCCGTTTTGATTGGGCACCCAAGCATTTGATACAAGATTTGCGCCTCCAGCTCGGCCTGATAGGGCAATTCTCAGAGGGGAACGCGCGTTGCCGCCAAGACTTACGGTATCTTTCCCTGTTGGCAGGAAATGCGGAGAGTGTCATTACAGACAGAGTACGGGGTTTGGAGTAAAAGCGCATCTCCCAATGGACCGTTCAGTACGGAGCCCCAAATCTCAACATCTCCATCCACCTCATCTCTTACATACATACGGAGTACAAGACAGATATCCCCCACCACACTCGAGAGATGCTGGAGAAGTGATTATTAAGCTCATCCTGCCATGGCTGGATCCTGCCATGGCATACGATAGCCTTTCTATCTCGCCAAACGTACACAACTGGTTTCACCGGCCCGAGCGCACGGCCGGACCCTGACACATGCTCTTTTGGTGCAACATGCACACGAGCGCCCGGTCTGACAGCCTAACCCCTCTTCCCATGCTGACCGAGTATTGAAGATCGATGTGGTGACTGTGAGCCGGCGTGATATGCGTCGCACATTCTCTGCAACGAGAATCCGAGCCTCTGAAGAATCCAACAAGAAATACCTGAACGCCTCCCAATGCCTGGCTGAATGCGACGTAATCTGTACACAAAGCCGCCTGTTGTACAAGTTTTGTGATCGGGACGTGCCTCTACCCCCTTTCTTGGCCCGTATGGCCTCCTCATGCGATGCGATGCGATGCGATGCGATCTCCTCCGGCCCTGCCCAGGACCGCCGTGCGTGCGTGACTGCCCGAACCTCGGGCATCGATCACGCCTTCTTCTCCAGCTGCTGCTGCTCCCGGTACTTCTGGTTCTCGACCTCGCGCCAGTCGGGCTCCTCCTTCTCCGTGCCGCTCGTGGGCTTGACGCCGCCCGCAAAGGCCGACCGCCCCGCGTACAGCTGGTAGCCCGTGCCGGACTCGCTCTGCTCGAGGGACTTGTAGGTGACGGGCTGGTTGCCGCGGAAGCGCTTGCGCATGTCGATCATGCCCCGGCGGCACTCGGCGAAGCCCTTCTTGAGCTGCTGGCACTTGAGCGGCAGCTCGTCGACCAGCGGCGGCCGCAGGCAGTCGGCCGCACTGTGGCGCTGCACCATGACGCACTCGGACTCTTGCAGGCACTGCGCCAGCGCTGCCCCTACAGCAAGAAAACTTTGTCAGTGGCGTGACGCTCTCTTGATGTTGCGCGGAGGAAAAGAAAAAGGGAAATGCTGGAGCTGGGACATACTGATCTCCTTGCACGAGGAAGGCATTGTCAAAGGGTGTGATTTCAGGTATCCGCGAACCACGATCCGGGATAGAGAGCTACTTGAGCAAGTCCGTGGCTAGGCTGTAAGTCGCAGGTCGCAAGCTCGAGGCGAGGTCGGATTTGAGCCTTTGGCACATCTTCAAAATTCCCGACCAACGACGGCGGTAACTAATGCGGGTGGGTCCCGACTCCCAAGGGTAAGGTGACATTCCGGGCAGCTGATTGGCCATTCAGAAACAGCTTGCTCTGGCCTGCAGAATAGCGCGACCATCGCCAGCTGGGCCCGGTCCGGCGGTGCCCAGGTGCTGAGATATGACGGCATGCCCCCAATTCTGTAGCAGAGAACTCAGTAAAGTAGCAGCTAAAACCGGCGCGAAGATACACTCGATGCCCCAAGTCGCGCGCGACATGTGAAACATTACTAAAAAGAATGTCTAGATTCATCGCTTCCAGCATTGTGTCCGTACCAGCCTCTCCTTCCTGGCCCTCGCCGTCTCTAAGCGAACGTCGCATCCTCTTCATCTCAGCGTTCTAGCCGCTTTCCAGAGACCCCCTTGTCACGGGCGCATCCGCTTTGGGACGTATCTGGTGCTGGGATTTACATGTGACATCACCCACCCTCCAGACTTGTCCATGGGATCGACAATCTCACGGCCTGCCTTCCACCTACACCTCGCGGTTCAACAATCGCTTCGGCTCGTGGGCTACGCGCTCATAGGCATAACTCTCTCTTTGTCCTACTCCATGTAATAGCATCGCCGGCGTAGAATCACACTTCAGAGACCGCGCGTCCGTTTTCCGCCTCCTATCGCCAAAATGGCGGTCCCCTTCATCGGCCGTCTCAACATGTCAGTGTCTAGACTAGCCAGCTGCGGCTCTCATCACCAGATGTGATATGACGCTTGCATGGAGTACTGATCGTGATTGCAGAATTGAGTACTTCGCTCTAATAGGGTCCTTCATACTTGTCGGCCTCGAGGCCGTGATTCGCATCCTCACCCTAGCCCTCCGTACGTCTCCCCCCGTGCCGAATCACCATAACCTCCGATACTAACAGTGCTCAGCCCCAACATTGATCAACCTTTTCTACCGAGCTTCGAGAAGGATATTCGACAGGTTCATATCACCGGCAGAGAAGAAAGCGGAGGAGAGGAAGAAGAGTACGCGCGACCAGATCCTCCGCACAGTTTCCGACCACTGTCACTGATGCCACTTTTCCTTCTCAGAGATCTCGACCTCCGTGCAGGATGCTTCAGACTTTGTCGAGCTCTGCCACCTACACGGCTATACAGCGGAGGAGCATGTCTTGCAGACCCGGGATGGCTACCTTCTCGGCCTTCACCGCCTAGCCTACAGAAAGGGGGAGGAGGACACGAACGTCAATGGTGGCCCTGGTAGTGTGCGGAAACGGGTCGCATATCTGCACCACGGCCTCCTCATGAACAGCGAGGTCTGGGTCTGCCTCACCGAGGCCCAGCGCACTCTTCCCTTTGTGCTGGTCGAGCACGGCTTCGATGTGTGGGTAAGTTGCAGCTCCCTGCGATGAGAACCATCAGCTGTGACATGTACTCATAGCCAACCCACCAGTTCGGAAACAATCGAGGCAACAAATACTCGAAAAAGTCGATCAAATGCTCGTCCAAGTCGACCCGGTTCTGGAACTTCTCCATCGACGACTTTGCCCTCTACGATATCCCGGATAGTATAGCGTACATTCTCGAGACGACGGGCGAGAAGTCTCTGTCCTACATTGGCTTCTCTCAGGGCACAGCCCAAGCCTTCGCCTCGCTCGCCATCCACCCCAAGCTCAACGAGCAGGTCAACGTCTTCATCGCGCTGGCTCCGGCCATGTCGCCCGCGGGCCTCTCCAACGGGATTGTCGACGCACTGATCAAGGCGTCGCCCCAGGTCCTGTTTCTGATGTTCGGGCGGCGCTCGATCCTCAGTTCGGCGACCATGTGGCAGTCGCTCCTGTACCCGCCCATCTTTGTCAAGGTGATCGACCTCGGCCTGGGCTTCCTCTTCAACTGGAGGGCCAAGAACATCGCGACGTCGCAGAAGCTGGCCGCCTACCCGCACCTGTACTCGTACACGAGCACCAAGTCGGTGGTGCACTGGTTCCAGATCATAAGGACAAAGTCGTTCCAGATGTACGACGACGACGTGCACCCGCCGCTGTCGACGTCGTCGCGGCACACCAAGGTGGCGCGGTACCCGACGCGCAACATCAAGACGCCCATCGTGCTCGTCTACGGCGGGTCCGACTCGCTCGTCGACATCAAGGTCATGCTCAAGGAGCTGCCGCCGCAGACGGTGGCCACCGAGATCCCGCACTACGAGCACCTCGACTTCCTGTGGGCGCGCGACGTCGACGCCCAGGTCTTCCAGCACGTCTTCGACGCGCTCGACAGCTTCACCGACGCGGCGCACTCCAAGGAGGAGTACGCGCGGTACCGCAGCGCGCGGCACATGAGCCTCAGCGCCTCGGCGAGCTTCGGGAGCGGCCGCCGGCACCGCGGGCAGCGGCAGCGGCACGCGCGGCAGCACAGCGACGCGGAGGCGCTCGTGGCGGACAGCGACGTGAGCGCCTCGCGGAGCGGGTCGGTCGACGAGGGCAGGGGCCCGCACCACGCTGTGGAGGGGGAGCTGGCGCCGCGCCTCCTCAGCGACGACGAGACGCTGAGCCAGCCGTCGACGCCTGACGTCACGTCGGTGGCCGGGCTGGGCATCGCGCCGCCGGGGCTGAGCAGGGATGGGTCGCTGCAGTTTGTGAACAAGGAGTCGCCGGATCCAGCGAATTGTTGATTGGGGGGGAGTTTGTCCAGGGAGGTGCATTGTGATGAGGTGTGTGGGGTGGCTTAGATTGTTTCTGAATAGTTTTGCGGCGTCATGACTTGAGTATTGATAGCATTTTATGATATCCAAACGGGCTTTCTTGGAAGCCGGGCGGAGTGTGCCGTTCTCCATCTTTGATCATCCTGCATCCTGCTGGAAGGGCGGGTTGCATGTGGTTGCATGTGGTTGCATGTGCGTATTGGCATCGTTGATCCTACAGGCAGGCGTCAAAAGACGAAACATTATTAAATGACAGTCTAGAGGTCTGCTACTCGGTGCCACATTGAGAAATCGGGGAAACAAGTTAGGGACAAGGAAACGAACTCTGCCATTGAAAACGCCGTTCCGAAGTGGGCTTTTTCGATTCTTGGATTATTCTCGGCTTCCAGCACGGTGCGCCAAGAACACCGCGTCCGGCTCCGTAACGGCGCCAGTGGAGCCCGCGGGTCCGTGTGTGCTCCGAGTTCAACAAACGGCATGTGGCCTGCATCTTCCACCTCGTATCGTATTGGAATGGTAGCTGCTATTACATCATACTTCGCAATGCTGCGTTGAGGGGTGCCAATCCCATTCCACTCGATTCAGTGTGCGAGGGAAAATCCTTACTCACCATTCATTACTCGGGCTGTAACATTCTTAGCTTCGGCCATTCACATGTCAGGAAATAAGTCATGCCGGACAGACAGCATGATTACTCCTGTGGTCATCACGAATCTCTCGCCGTGCCCACAGAATGAGTTGACCCAGGGAGATTGATAGTGCGTGGTGTAATGTGATAGATTACTTGCTACTTAAGCTTATCCTTAGATTAGGGAGAGCTTATGAAACGTTCCTCACTCCATCCCACTGCCCACCGGTATGAAGCATGGCAGACTTCCGCATCTTTGGGCCTCAATATCAATGAGTTTGAATCAGCCTTACGGGGATACGCCGTTCACCTTGGGCATGAAACTACCAAGAGAATACCTTGTACGTGGCAAAAGGGCCTGGGTATTTCCTTGCACTCGGATCCAGGCCTGTCGATCCCTTGGAGCTTAATCCCGTCCATCCCCACACGGCCGTTGACCTGACTCTGCGACCACTTGTCTTGACACCGGGTCAAGACAAAAGCACCGTAGTCCCAAACCTTCAACAGCAGATCCGAATGCGATGATTGACCCTCCATGGAGCTCACCCCAAGTAAGCTCCCGCGACTAAGACCGGCTTGGGCGGGCTACCCGTTACGTGGGAGGCGTTTGCCTTATATGGATGTCGCGATGCACGATTCAGGCATCACCATTTAAACTCTTGATGCAGGAACCTCGTTTCTAGACCTCGAGATTAGACTTCCTGTGTAACAGACACCGTTCCCGGTCTCGGGAGTCCCGAGTCGGCAAGCTCCTCCCCCAGACTTGGGGAACAGCAGAAGTGTTCAAGGCACACATATAACTTGCTAGAACTCCTTTCAGTTCCGCGCCCAAACTTTCTCCAATAATATCCAAACCAAAGCCAGGCTTTACACTTGGAGCAAGATAAGCAACCAAAAGGAGCCAGCCTCCTCCCACCCAAGCCCATGTCTCACACCATATCCGACATGCTCGGCCTCGTGGCCCGGGCCACCGTCACCTCGGCCATGTGCGAGAGGCTGCCCAAGACGCCCGGCTGCGAGCGCGTCCGCAGCTACTACCTGTACCACCTCAACCTCGCCGCCAACGCCACCTTCCTCGCCCTCTTCTCCCTCTCCTGCCTGCTCTTCCTGCTCACCTGCGCCGCCACCCGCCGCGGGTACGCCTTCACGACGGCCCTCGTCCTGGGCACGCTCTGCGAGGTCCTCGGCTACGCGGGGCGCGTCATGAGCTGGCAGAACCCCTGGAAGGAGCAAGGGTTCCTCATGCAGATCATCTGCCTGACCATCGGGCCGGCCTTCATGGCCGCCGGCATCTACCTCTGCCTGCGGCGCATCGTGGGCGCGTTCGGCGCCGCCAACTCGCGCATCCCGCCCGCGTACTACACGCGCATCTTCATCCCCTGCGACGTCGTCTCGCTCGTGCTGCAGGCCGCGGGCGGCGGCATCGCCTCGGTCGCCTCGCACCGCGGCACCCCGACGCGCACGGGCGACGACATCATGATCGCGGGCCTGAGCTTCCAGGTGCTGACGCTGCTCGTCTTCATCGCCGTCGCGGCCGACTTTGCGGTGCGCGCCTGGCGCCGCCACCGCCGGCTCGGCGAGGCCGCGTTCGACCAGTCCGAGGCCGTGCGGCGCCTGCGCCGCAGCCGCGCCTTCCGCGGGTTCCTGGGCGCGCTGGCGCTGTCGACGGCGTGCATCTTCTGGCGGTGCGTGTACCGCGTCGCCGAGCTGAGTCGCGGGTGGGACGGGCCCCTGATGCGCCGGCAGGGCCTGTTCATCGGGTTCGAGGGCGTCATGATCGCCGTGGCGTGCCTGGTGCTCAACATCTTCCACCCCAACTTTTGCTTCAAGGAGCTCATCAGCAGCAGGGGCAGGGGCAGGGGAAGGGGCAGCAAGGGCAAGGAGGTCGGGGAGGAGCAGGAGGAGGTGGAGAAGGGCGGTGCCGAGACGCCCGGTTTCGAAGAGAGCGCTTCGCAGGAAGGGAGGCAGTGATCATCTTCCGTTGCATTGTATTGGGGGTTTTGGGGGATCTTTCAGTACGGCAGTAGAGGCGTTATTTGCTCTCGAATTTGGTTCAATGGTCTCTTGGATACCATAGCAATGTGGAGGGAAGGAACTATAACAATTTTATTTGCTCTCATGCCCCCTTTTAGACAAGGAGATTCAAATTCATTTTCACAGCACCAGCTATTCATACAATGACCCTTAAAACTCCATTTCCCATATAGCCACAGCCACAGCCCCCAAACCCAACCCCATGTTCCTTCATCAATTCCCCCTTTGCCTCACAGCCCAAACACGCCCTTCAGCCAGACGATCTGGCCCTCGACGTTGCCCTCAAACTTCTCCCCGCCGTACACGCTGTAGTGCCCGCCGTCGACGAACCGCACCTCCTTGGGCTGCAGCGCGCGCTCGTACGCCGCGAGCGCCAGGTCGGCGCCGCACACGCGGTCGTCGCGCGCCACGACCATGAGCAGCGGCGCGGGCGATATCCTCGCCACCAGCGTGGCCGGCACGTAGCCGCGGATGGCCTCGAGCGACCGCAGCGTGACCTCGTTGACCCAGCCGTCTTTGCTGTGGCCAAAGTGCGCCCACGAGTCCCGGCCCGGCAGCGCGCAGATGGTCGCCATGCCCTCGGGCGTGCTGGGGTCGCACACGACGGGCACGACGCCCGGCTTGGAGGCGGCGCCGCCCTTGGCGCGGGCCGTGTGGTCGGCCGCGAAGCGCGCCTCGAGGTCCGGCAGGACGTCGTGCCGGACGCGGCGGGCGAGCGTCTCCCAGCCGTCGACCATGGGCGCCTGGGAGATGACGGCGCGGACGCGCTTGTCGACGGCGGCGACGTGCAGGACGTGCCCGCCCGACAGGCCGGACCCCCAGAGGGCGATGCGGCCCGGGTCGATGAGCTCGTGGGCCGCGGCGAAGGTGATGGCGTCCTGGAGGTCGGCGATCTGGGCCGCGGGCAGGGCCTCTTGGGGGACGAAGCCTTCGCCCTGAGATTTGGGGGAGGGTTGGAATGTTAGCTCAAGACTTCCTCCCAAGGATCAAGGTGTGCATGAGTGTTGCGTGTTGCGTGTTGCGTGTGTCTGTCTGTCTGTCTGTCTGTCTGTCTATACATACCTGGGACTGTCCGAAGCCGCGGGCGTCAAAGGTGACGACGGCGAGCCACAGGTGCGAGGTGAAGTGCTGGGCCCAGTTCTGGGCGCCCATGGTCTGGGTGGCCGTGAAGGTCGGGGCCAGGATCAGGGCCGGCAGCTGGTGCGGCTTGCCGAACGGCGCCGGGGCCAGGCTCGGCGTGTAGAGGGTGCCGGCCAGCTTCCGGCCGTCCGAGGTCGGGATCTCGATGGGTGATGCGGGCATCTTTTGTGTGATGTTTTGTTGTTGGATGGGACAACAAATCGGGGTGTCAGGGGGGGCTGGCTGCCTTGGGGTGAGGCTGTGTATGTAATATGTGCAACACTCAGAGAATGGATAATGAGATGAGGCTTGCGGGCGAGGAAAGATGAGTCTTTTACTCGTCCGTGTAAGACAAAGACAGAGCAGCAACTCGGGCGTTTTATATCATCAATTCCATCCCGCGAATGTGCGACACCACACCGCCTCCATCTTCGGACGAGAGGATGTCTGCTCTCTTCATGCATGCCTTGCAGCCTTGGCTCTGTATGCACAGCTGAACTGACTTTTTGATGAAGCAGGACCCGCAAGTCGCGAGGCGGTTTGTGGTGCCATGTCGATGGCATCAGATGATTTCGGGAGCGCCTCCCAAAGTCAGGCCAGGCTTATGCGCCAACGCTTGTCTTGTAAAAGAATTGGCAACCCGCACCATTTTGTTGGTTTTTGCCTCCCTCAGACAAGGAACTTGTTGGATCGTCTTCTCGAATGGCAAACTTCCAATTTGTCGATGTAACAATCCCAAGGCTCGGCGGTGCAGAAGGGACAAATGCCTAACCCGTTCAAGGCGAGGTGTGGTCGGCGAGGGGGGGGGGGGGGGGGGGGGGCCCACCCCCGTTTTATAAAAGATC